GAGCGAGGAGATTAAAAGGGCAGCATTTGACATTGGCCCCTCTCAGGCACCTGGATCGGACGGATTCACTGCTGCCTTCTTCCAGTCCTATTGGGAGGTTATTGGTAATTCTGTCTGTGTAGCTGCTAGCTCCTTCTTTCGATCGGGTAGATTACTTCATAACTTTAATCATACTCTGCTAACCTTGATCCCCAAGACCCCAAATGCAGATTCTATGAAGCAGATGAGACCAATAGGGTTATGTCAAGTTTTCTATAAGATTATCTCTAAGGTTTTGTCTTCTCGACTGAGTCAGGTACTTCCCTCGGTGGTGAGTGATGCACAAAATGGCTTTGTCAAAGGCAGGGACATTTCGAATAACATACTAATCGCCCAGGAAGTTATGCATTTCCTCAAAACAAAATCACAAGGCAAGGAGAAGTGGATGGCCCTAAAACTAGACATGGAGAAAGCATACGACCGTGTTGAGTGGGGATTTGTGTTTGCAGTCATGGAGGCCTTAGGGTTTGATGCAGGATGGATAAAACTAATCAAAGCGTGTGTCACTTCGATCACATTCTCTGTTTTGTTAAATGGTCATACCCACGGATATTTCCGCCCTGAACGGGGCATCCGGCGGAAAAAATCCCAAAGTACACTAGTTCTTAAAAAAAATTCCCAAAATACATAAGTTATAAAAAAATTTCCAAAAGTACACATGTTTGAGCATCACCGTTTTAGACAAATTATGCGGAATCAAAAAAAAATTCGCTACGATCGGATAACCGAGCACAAAGTTACGTTGTTTTAAAGTTTGGACGCAGTTCAGTGCTCCACCGTTTTGCTCTCACGGGGTGAAGCAATCACCGTTTTGCTCTCCCACGGTGAAGCAGTCACCGTTTTGCTCTCACGCGGTGAAGCAATCACCGTTTTGCTCTCACGCGGTGAAGCAATCACCGCCCTTCTCTGATGCGGTGAAGGCCCAAACATGTGTAGATAGGGAATTATTTTCATAACATGTGTATTTTGAGAATTTTTTTTAAAAACATGTGTAACTTGGGATTTTTTCCGCATCCGGCAAGGTGACCCACTCTCGCCTCTCCTTTTTGCCATCTATACTGAAGCATTCTGTAGTCTAATCTCAAATGCTATCTCTTCTAATCAGTTACATGGGTTGAAAATTCATTGTTTAGCACCACTAACTTCTCATTTGCTGTTTGCTGATGACACATATCTGTTCTTGAGAGCTTCTTCAACGGAATGCTCACAATTGCTACAGCTTCTTGGCGTCTACGAGGCGGCAAATGGGCAGAAAATTAATCTTCAAAAGTCAAAAGTCTGCTTCAGTGCGAATGTCACAGCTCAGGAAGGCGCGGAATTGGCTGCAAGTTTGGGGATTGAATCTATTGGAGAGCTTGACAAATATCTTGGGTTGCCAGCTCAGATTCACAGATCCAAGGTGCAGACTTTCCGTTTTCTCGAGGATGGATTAAGTAAGCGGATCCAGAACTGGAAGTCAAAGTCCCTCTCTTTGGCGGGGAAAGAAGTGGTGATCAAGGCTGTCGGGTCGGCTACCCCGGTATACGCGATGCTCTCATTCCGTCTTCCTGCTACCACCTGTCGACGTATGAATGGGCAACTATCGAGGTATTGGTGGGCTAGCCAAGACAAAGACAGAGGGATACACTGGATCTCCTGGCCTGCCATCTGTGTCAGCAAATTTCGCGGGGGACTTGGGTTCAGGGACTTCGACCTCTTCAATGTAGCAATGTTGGCAAAGCAAGCTTGGAAGTTACTGGTTTCTCCGTCGTCAACTCTCGCTCAGCTATACAAGGCACGGTATCATCCTGTTTGTGACTTCCTCCATGCACCGATTGGAAATCGACCCTCCTGGGCATGGCAAGGAGTGCTGGAAGGTCGTAAGCTGCTTCACAAGGGATTAAGATGGCAGGTGGGTTGTGGCACATCCATCAGGATCCTTGAAGATCCTTGGTTACCCACCTCTCCACCCTCTGCTCCCACCATTCTCCCAGGTATGTCTCTGCCAAACCCTTTTGTGGCCTTTCTCATTAATCCATTAACCCGCTCGTGGAACCAGGAGCTTCTGCAGATTTATTTTCATCCCGACAGCATTAAATGGATACTCTCCATTCCCATACCGTTGTCGCCGAAGCCTGACCGTCTTATTTGGCACTATTCGGAGACTGGGCAGTATACTGTGAAGTCAGGATATCACTTACTCTCAGACGAACGTGCAGAAATATTCAATTCTCTGCCTCCCCATTTGGATTCTCGGATCTGGAAAGTCCTTTGGAGTCTGCCGGTGCCGCCGAAACTCCGTGTTTTTCTATGGCGGGTTGTGCGTGGCTTTCTTCCATGCATGGCTATCCTTCACTCTAAAACACTAAGTGATACTAACGTTTGCCCTGTGTGCTCTGATGCTGTGGAATCCATATCCCATTGCATGTTTGACTGCAGGGTTGCTCGGGATGTTTGGGAATTGGTAGGCAAAGAACCACTGCGAGCGACATTGGCGGCACTATCGGCGGATGTGGCATGGGCTCAGGTGCTCTCTGCAATGCACTTCAGCAAGTTAGAGATGGCGGAGCTAGTATTTATTTCTTGGCGCATCTGGAAAGGGCGGTGCTGGTCGTGTTATGATAAGATACAATATCTGTCAGGTCCTCTATTTCGGCAGTTTCGACAGCAACAAGAGGAATGGGTAGCAGCCACTTCATCTCCGCAGAATGGTGCAGCTCCCCAGCGGCGCCAGGCCATCGTCCTGGACTTTGTTTCGTGCCCACAGGGTGGGCTGCTTATTCGATTTGATGGCGCAACAAAACAGGACGTAGGTGGCAGCATTGGGTTCGTGGCTTTTTCACAGGCAGGATTGATAACTAGTGCGTACGGTAAGTATTATGTTGGGTTATTTGAGCCTTTTCTACTGGAACTTCTAGCATTACGGGATGCAATGGACTGGTGCTTAATGCAAGGTATTTCTTCTGTTTGTTTCTGTGGGGATTCTCAACTCGTAATCCGTCGAGTATCGGAGGATGTACAGGACCATAATTGTGGAGGGGCGATTCTTGAAGAAATCCGGTTGTTGAAAGCTGCATTTGAACATATTCGTTTTGTTTTCTCTCCTCGTAGAACTAACAGGGCTGCCCATTGCGTGGCGAAAACAGCTCTTGCATCGGCTAATCAGCGTCTGGCTGATTTCCGTTATTTATTTTTCAATTCCTTGTAATTCCCTATCTAATACATACTACCTTAGACAAAAAAAAAAAAAACCGTTCAAAAAAAAAAACATACGAAAAGAACTGGATCCTACATTGACTACTACTATGGTCTACTGATGAGAAATGGAATTGAATTGGACTTGCGATTTGTTTGGGATTATGGTTTTTGAAATTCATAATAAACTCAAAACCCTAATATATCCATGGTTTTTTAAAACCAAATTGATACCAAAATCTTCATTTTTCAAATCCATAAAGCAAACGAACCTCAAATGAATTTAGAATTCATTTCATTTTAAAATGAATTACTTTGTAGAATTAAATAAATTTAGAATTCATATTCAAATATTTAGAAATAAATAAATTGAATTCTCAAACCATGTTTGATATACGTTTAAAATTAAATTAAAACTTTCTCCGACTACACCCTTATTAAATTTCTGGAAGAAACAATATTCATTGAAAATTCATCTTCTAAAAAATGTCTTTGGTCTCATACGTAGAATATCAAAACTGTTCTTGTGTGTTCTATTCTATTCATTAATTCTTTTATAATATTTCGTCGATAAATCCTACAATCTTGTTACAAAGTAACATGTTAGTTTGTTAAGAAATTAGGGTTGGTTTAAATATGTGAAATTAATCTTTTAGCCCTTACTTTGTTTTACAATAACCCTTAAGTCCTTTTGGTAGATTACATTGTAGTTAAATTTTACAATTATAAGACATAAGTAATAACGGGGCGAATATGGGTATTGATATGGGGCGGGGGCACTCAAATCCATCCCCGCCCCATTCCCACAAGATTCTTTGCGGGTATTACCCATATCTACCCCATACTCAATCAATGCGGGGATTCCCCTCATTAACCGGGTTAAGCAGGGTCGAATACCCACGATTACGACTATAATTGCCATCCCTATCTCCAATGCAATACTAATCCATGTATACTCCATCATTTTCTCTCTTCCTTTAAAGCGACACTCATCTTCCTCCAGCAAACAGAGACCAAGCCCTCACTGTAGTTGGGAAACTGCATAAAGATTACGTTTACACTTTGCAAATGAATTTAGTTAGACTTAATATTAAGATTAAATGATTTGATTGTCCATACATGGTTGTGAAGTCAAGGCATGGGTGAGGCTACCAAGAGGAATGACATTGGGCAGTTCCGAGGCGAGTATCTGGATATCCATACTCGCATCGTGGTAGATTGGGTTTAGGTCGGGTAATTTGTGATGGGGTGTGAGTCGGAACAAGTCGACCCATATAAATATCTAATTTAAAAGAAAAATATCATAAATATTATTTTTTTTTATTAAAAAACCCAAGAGATAGACTATGCTATGGTAAATATAATTAAATTATTCAAGAAATTGAACCTCACATATTTCCAATTTTATTATAGCTAAAATGAGGTGATAAAAATAAAATTCTAAGTCATTTGAATAAAATTATATTTAATTTAGGCAAAATATCAACAAAAAAATAGAATGTGTCAGGACATATCAAATCGAGTAGAATACCCACGCTCATCCCATTCTGCGGATCGGCTTCACCGGACCTGCACTTGTGGGCCTGGACCTCCCCGACGATTCCCAGGCCCAGCCCCGTGGATAATGTAACAAATTACAACTCAGTCCTATATCCCAAACTTTGTCGAAATTTCAGTCCCTATTTTGTATTTTCTAAGAAATGACGCAAATGAGATATCCATCCACCCGGGAAAAGTGAACTCCAAGAACTAAAATGCCAATAGGATAAATTTATGGGTACTGATCTGTAAATACATTCCTTCCCCTTTGGTCAGTTGAAACGACAGCGTACACAACGAGAGAATCAAAGAGGGCCAAGAGGCCGCACCAGAACCACAAAACTGCGCGCCTCTCTGCCTCTCTACTTTCTAGTCGTTTAGTTTAACCTGAATCGGAGCGGTTCTTGTGGTTGCAGTTCATAATCGGAGCCATCGATGGCGTTTTCCCCTCTTCCCCCGGCAGCCATCGAACCCGCCGCATTTCCTTCATCTTTCACCCACCCTTTTCCTCTCCGGGACAACGGGTTCAAGCCGCCGGCAAGCAATCGCTGGGCACAAGGAGGAAGAAGAAGACGAGCTCCAAGGATTGCGGCGGTGGTCGGAGGAGGAGGAGATGAACTATCATCCGCCGCCGCCACCGTGCTGTCGGGTCAGCAAGGACAACCCGCCACCGTCACCTGGGAGATTGTCGTCGGAGCTACAGGTCCTCAATTTAATTAAACCCTAATTTTTGTTACTGCCGATTGCCACTTGAAACCTAAAAAGCTCATTACTTTTGTGGGCGTGGGACAAAACGGAGCAGCCGGAGTGTTGCCGTTCGTGGTGGCCGGGATTGAGTTCAGCAAAAGAATAGTTGCGTAGCTCTGCCTCCGGCTCTCACAATCAAACTGCAATCTACGTTGCTACTGCTGACAAATGTCTGTCTCTGTTTTTCTGGGTTTGCAGATAGAACAGAGGAGGTGTGAAGTGTGCGGAGGGTCTGGGCTGGTTCTAATGGAGGACAAGGACAACCGGGAGTACTGTCGCTGCCCTGGATGCGGTACCTACTAAATTACAGCACAAAGTTTTTATCTTTGTTGACGAACAAACCATTAACGCTGTGTAAACATGATATGATGATGATGATGCAGGTGGGTTTCTGCCATGGCAGTCTTGGAAGAGATTCTTCACCGGCTAATTGGCAATTACCCTTGTTAAGTGGACCTTGTGCTTATCGTCCAATCCCTCTTCTGTGGACAATTAGTGTGCTGTATGATTAGGATTAGCACTTGTAATTACTAAAATCGTTTGACGTTGTGTGCCAGATAAACAAACAAGAGATAGAGTTGAACTTGGAAGGAGGAAGTAGTATCAAATTGCTTGCATCTCGGATTTGGATGGTATGAAAGCTAGCGCGTAGCCAGATTTTGAGTTTACTGGAGTTCTTAAAAATTTACTAACACTAAACCTGTGTATCTACTGAATTTTGAGTATATTGGGGTGTTCGGTAAGCTAACATCGTTGAGAGTATGTGATCCTAAACTTGAAAGATCGTACTAAACCCTATTTCTCTAAAGAGTTTTGGTGCCCAATTTTTTGTCAAGTGGGGTCCTAGGACCCTTCTCCTCCTCACCTCCCTCCGCCACTGATGTCAGCCATAGCCTTTGCGAGAAAAGCAAGAGATGACTTTCATAGTGATCATCAAAGCGGATGCCATGAAGTTGTTATCACTTGTCAACTTTCATCTCATATAAATGCAAATCGAGACATCCGGTTGTAATTCAAGTTATATGATAATTCGGACCGAAATTGGAACTGGATAGAATCGAGACTAAAACAGTATGAAAAATCGCGCGATTTAGATCGGACCGCGCACACTTGGGTCCATATCGCGAGAAAACCTGAACCACGATGTGGTCCGATTAGCAAGTCTCCTGCTTTAGTGTGTTGGTATGCACTTTTTCTTCTTCTGTGTAAACAAAATTTGCCGTCAATGGAAGAACAACTACCTAGTACGTAACATATCCATGGAAACAGACAATCACCGTCCAAGCGACGATGATAGTTGTGACGAGACTAGGTATAGCTAGGGTGTCTTTGAGCACAGAACTGACAGAAGAGATAGAACACAGGGACAGGGGAGAATCGAAGGAATTTCAAAGAGAAGTATGAATAGGAGACCGCCGCCATCACAAACAGAGCAATTAGCGTCCAAGCTAGATTCCTAGTACCCTGTCCAAGACGCCACATATATAGCATTCATCAGTGTAACTTTCCTGATCTTGTGCATGTTCCTTTTCAAAAGTCTGCAAATTTGAATGCCTCACATGCAGCAGCAGCAGTAACGGACACTGATGGGATAGATGATAACCTAGTTGCTACTCATTGATGTGGGGAGGTTTTGTGTTAAGAGTGACAAGCAATGGTGGGTGTTTTTTCCCCCTCTTTGAATCCTTGATTATAGGTAGGGGTGGAGGGTCAGTCGGTCGGTTCGGTTATAGCTGAAAATCAAAGGGTCGGTTATCGGTTAACCGAACAACCTCCCAACCCTGCTGACCACCGACCGAAATAGGGATTAAGGCTCCCCGGTTATCTCTGTTTTCGGTTAACCGAGCTGCTCACAAGACCAAAAGCATCTCGCCCATCCCTCCGAATACGGACCGATTTTCGGTGATTTCTATTGGTGGATAATCGGCCGGTTTCGATTGTAACCGGTAGCTTAACCGCTAACCGGCAACCGATTGGCCACCCCTGATTATAGGACTGATTCCAATCAAGCATAATAATGTGACATAGAGTTAATTTATCGGCCAACTATCAATGACCCTGGTGGATGGTCGGCAGCCCCGAAGTTTGCCTGACGACGGCATCACTCAAGTGGTGCCTTCTGGAGGGATTCCTCGTCATGTATGTTATCTTAGTACGCGGATAGGAGAGAGCTAGTTTCACTATACTTGAGGAGATACAAATTACCGAGGGATTGAGAAGTATATACATATATAGTACTTGAGGAGATAGGAGAGAGCTAGTTTCACTATACTTGAGGAGATACAAATTACCGAGGGATTGAGCTAGTTTCGCTAAACCAATTTGGTAAAGGAAAAAAGGCAATAAACCAGACACAAAACATAAACTCAAACGTGTACAGGTCCATACAGAGAGACCATGTAACTTCCCGTCGATGATAGATAATCTATCTTACTGATCAAGTCACATCAACATGACCAAATTTGTACCCAAACTGCTTAACTTGTACTCCAATCAACTCATGATCTGATCAACCTACAATCCCTACTGACTCAATAATCCGAACTACTCGTAACCCGACCGATCCACAAGAACCAACCAATGGAACATTCGAACTTAACCAACACGCCGTCTGCCTCATCGATCCGTCGCCGCCGTAACGGTTTCACCGCTGCAACTTGGGGTAGTATAAATCAAGTACCACATCGTTTACTTTTAATGCACAGAGGAAGAATTCAACAAATTGACTTGCTTTAAAACTAAAATAAAATAATATCACAATAAAAATTGGAAAAAGGAATTACGTAATATTTGCAACAACATGATGTATTAATGATGATGATAGATCAAAGAGTAACATTGAAATCTGTTTGACAGCAGCAGCAGCAAGGAAGCAAACGAAATAGCAGCCAGCGACAACTCGCAGCAATTGAGGGCCCTGAAAGCTCCAAGACTCAGGCATGCATTTTCCTTCCCTTCTTCTAATTTCCACTCTGTTTTCTTCTTAGTTACGTTGAAACGACATTGATGGTCTCCCAACCTTTTCCCCTCTTCGTTCAACTCGTTAACTTGGTTCCAACTCGATCGGTAGGGATTAGGGTGCTAACAATTAGAAAGCGGCCTCAAAGCATCGTACGAAACTTCATTTCCGCTTTAAGGAAATCCCATGAATACCAAATGGAAAAGACAAACTCTTGATGAGCTCCGGTCGGAAAAATTTCTCTCTCGTGGGAGAGTCGAATAATCCAGCCTCGTTGGGAGAAGGCTTCTCAACTGGAACACTAAAATTCGCCATGTCGATTTGATCGGGTCCTAAATTGGAGGATGCACAAAGTTGTAAGGTCTACTTGTCAAGGTCTAAACTGTTAGGCCAGTTAAAGACGAGCGATGATCCCTCTAAATTTCGCACGAGAGCGCGATCGAACATTTTCTGCAGATTATATCTCGCACCCGCTGCTCCCTGTCGAACTAATGGTATAAATGACCTATCTGAATTAATAAACTATCAACCAACCGTGTATCTGAGTTTAATAATCCTGGCATCCACAGTATTAATTTTGACCACTGTAACTGAAAATTGAAAACCATGCAAAGGTATAATAAAAAAAAAGCACTTAAATAAACAAAATCCTGTTTGTTTGTTTGCCTTGTGATTTTATTTATTTCATTTTCCGCAACCAACCATTGACCTGATTTTTTTTTTGTCAAAAAAGACCAGATTTTATTTTTATCAGTTATCACCAACAATCTAGAGTTGAATTGCAACTTGGATTTTCAACTTTCCTTCTTTTTACACTTTTAATTAATCAATTCTCAAGAAGAAAAGGAAAATACTCATAATTATTTTCCAAAATAAGAGAGTCATGCATAGTCTAGTACTTATCTTATCAAACCCTTGTTTTATTAAAAGTCAGAAAATCTAATGTTACCCAAGTTTCAGATTCAATGCTCTCGTATCTGTATGTGTTTGTCTAAAAAAATACCTTAATTTTTATCAGTAATAACGTGAATATCAAAATCGATAAAATCGTGCAGGATAAAATTATGATTTTCTTTTTGTTTAAGTAATTATCAGATTTGCTAGCTAGATCATTTTCATTTAATACGTCCACACAAAAAGCGTACCGTTTTTTTCCTCGATATATCCGTCAAAGCCAAGACATATCACAATGCATTTATGCGTGAAGGAAGTAAATAAAAGGAAAGCAAATCACCGTCCAAACTTCGATTCGATTAATTAATCTTACAATGAAGCTGTTGCTTCACCCGCACGTGATAGTTATTAAACTAGATACGGTAGTTGTGAGTTTACCTTGTTAAAACCATCCGTACTCCTTTCCTCAATCGAAAAAAGTTCGTTCGGATCGATACCCTTTTAAGTAAAATCCATGATTTATTTGTAATTTTAGATTATCAGTTAAATTTTAATTTGAGTTCTAAAGTATGGATCTTGTTGTATTATATTTTTGTCTCCGCTTATTTGTTGTTCTTTTTCAGTTTTCTGTTTCTCTGTAGTTATGGTGGCATGATTGTAATTGCATGGGACAAACGAGGTCAAATGGTTGATTGGTAACATGGTGCTATAAAATGCCGGCTCGATGCAGATTTTTTTTTATATTCCTTTCTCTAGGCTAGTAGAATTGAGTAGAGAAGTGGACCCTTCGACTTGCTCCAGAATTTCATTTGTGACTTCAAAGCAAAGGCTGAAAACCCCCATAGCTGGGGCGTGTTCAAGTTCAGGACACAAAAGTGCAAACCTACTCCCCAGGTATGTGAGAAAGTTTTGAGCTTGAGAAAGATTACAACTTTCCATCTCCTTTGATGAAATTGACTTATGGGTTCTGCTTCTCTCTCTTTCATTGCTGCTGTAAAGTGGGACGCGCTTTCTTTCTTTACCGTGCTTGACAAATTTACGCTTTTGGAGTGGCCATGAAATTCTCAGTAGCTCTGAGATTGTGGCTGTAGTAAATCTTCTGTTTTCTTGGCAAATTTGTTTTCCGGAGTTGGTTGAAGTGGTCGGTGGTGGCGATTGCTGTAGTTTCTTTCTCACCAGGAACTGCTAGCTATATGTTACTGCAACTCTAACTTCCGTTCCTTTGCAATCTTTTTATGAGGGTGAGGTAAGAGACTACCTATTTTATTGGTTGGGTTTGGTTCGGATGATAAATATTAACAGGACGATGAGGACAAAATCAACACTAAAGAAGTGAACTTGTTGTACATAAGATCCAATTGGGCTACCTTCTTGATGGAGAAGATGTTCTCCTGTCCTGATTGGATTGAAAAAGTGGCCGTGGAGGAGTGTTATTTGGGATGCATCTCACCAAATTTCCCCCTCACTTTTTGATTTGGAAGTGGTTCCAATTTGTGTAGAGGCCATCATATGCTTTGATTTTTCGGTTTGAAAAGCATTGGTTTAGTTTGGTGTAGGAGTATATGGAAGCTAGTTTTGGCTTAAGGAACTGATTTTGTTTGCATCCTGGATGTTGTGTGTTAGTTAAGGGATGCAGGACTGAGTTGTAAGGTTCTTCAGACCCTTTGGAACCTTCCAGGTTAGGTGCAGGCAGTATTGGTTGGTGGGTAGCAGTTAATATCATCTTCTATGTATCTGCTGTTTCCTGGTAGTTGTCATTTGATAACTCTTCTATCTTATTTGTGTCCCTTTTCAAGGATTCTTTCATTTACAATTGCAAGATTCTTAAGCACGATACAGATCGTCTGGGATTTTTGGAGTGATAGCAACTACTCTCCCTTTTCAGTCCTTACCCTACCAAGTTACAATGTGAAAACTTCGTCGTTATTATTGGCATCACATGCATTTCCCAACTGGAAGATTAAATTGTGTGTGTGTGTGTATGTTATCTGTACATGTAAAACTAACTAACGTTGGCTTGCTTTGCAGATTACGGTTGCTAGGATTAAGCCAATTAGAAGTTTGTGGCAATCTGAATCCACAACAAGCAGTGTTAGTCAAGTGACTAGAAAGTAAACCATCTACCTCTCTGTGCATCCCAGCTGGTGTGTTTTAAAGCTCGTGAGTTTCAACTGTGGTGTTAGATCGTCAAAACAACTGGATACTACCAATGCAAGCATCTCAGGAGAACACAATCACTGGTGGGTCTCGCTTGTTCTTTAACCAGCCTCTGAGAGATAAGGAGTCATATTGCTGGTCCTGCATCCAGAATGTGCCTCACTATCAATGTTCGGCTGATGTCAACATCCAGGGCATGCATATCTCAGCGGATACTTTCGAGCAGCACTGCACTCTAGAATCATCTTCTGGAACTGGTGGGTCATGTGCTGCTCGCAATTCACAGTCTACTGCAACCAGTTTCTCCCCTAATGAGAGCGGCGTTTCCCAACAGAACTCTCAATCATATCCATCTGATGTTCATGATTCCCCTGACCAGACCAGTGGTTCACAAACAAGTGAGTCTTATGTCACCCACAAGCTAAGGGAACTGGAAACCGCTATGCTGGGCCCCGATTTAGATGTTTGTAACACATTCAATAATGACATAATGCCAGCTGGAGCCAATAACCAAACCTCAACCGAGTCAGAGAAGTGGAAGTTTCTGGGTGAAGTAATATCTAGAGGAGATCTAAGGGAAGGCCTATGCGCTTGTGCTCGGTTTCTTGAAGATGGTGATATGTTCACAGTGGACTGGTTGATTGGTGAGCTGCGTGCAATGGTTTCGGTTTCTGGTGAGCCGATTCAACGCTTGGGGGCCTATGCTGTAGAAGGTCTTGTTGCAAGGTTGGCATCCTCTGGAAGTGCCATCTATAATGCCTTGAGATGCAAGGAACCTGTACTACCTGCCAGCATGGAGCTTCTCTCATACATGCACCTGCTCTACGAGATATGCCCATACTTCAAGTTTGGGTACATGTCAGCAAATGGAGCAATAGCCGAGGCAATCAAGGAGGAAAAGAGAATCCACATCATTGATTTCCAAATTTCACAGGGCACACAGTGGATCACCTTAATCAAGGCTCTTGCTGCACAACCTGGTGGGCCTCCACACATTCGAATTACTGGGATTGATGATTCAACATCTGCTTATGCTCGAGGAGGGGGGCTCAATATAGTTGGAAAAAGGCTGACAATGCTTGCACAGGATTATGAAGTGCCATTCGAGTTCAATGCTGTTTCTGGAGTACCGTCTTCTGAGATTCAAGTCGAGAATCTCAAGATTCAACCGGGCGAAGCAATTGCTGTCAACTTTGCATTGACGCTCCACCACATGCCGGATGAAAGCGTGGGGACACAAAATCATCGTGACAGATTACTGAGGATGGTTAAAGGGTTGTCTCCTAAGGTGGTAACTCTTGTTGAGCAGGAATCGAACACCAACACTGCACCATTTTTTGCCCGGTTCGTGGAGACTCTAAACTACTACTCGGCTATATTTGAGTCGATTGATGTAGCTCTGCCAAGGGAGCACAAGGAGAGGATTAATGTTGAGCAGCATTGCCTGGCTAGGGAGGTGGTTAACATCATAGCTTGTGAGGGAGCTGAAAGGGTTGAACGTCATGAGCTTCTTGGGAAATGGAGATCACGGTTCACAATGGCTGGGTTTAAACCATATCCTCTTAGTAGTCATGTGAATGGCACAATCAAAGCTCTGCTGGGAGAATACTCCGGCAAGTATACGCTAGAGGAGAAAGATGGAGCTCTTTATCTTGGCTGGATGGACCGCCACTTGGTTTCTTCTTGTGCTTGGAGGTGATTGATCAATAAAACCTAACAATGAGAACTAGTGCTAATGTTGTTGATAATGTTTAGACGGGAACTCTTTGAGGTCGTGAAACAAACTAGAAAATGTTTGTCTGAGGGCGCTTCAGAACTAATCTTTGCTTGTAGCTCATAATGTAGTAGTCTTTCTGTTTGCAGTATAATTATCCAGTAAAAGAACATCCCCATCTCTCTGGAAATATTCTCCCAACTGTCATGTCTCTTTGCTTTTACTTTCTGTTCCAAACTTCATTTGGAATTTCATCATGATTACTTTTTGCCCAAACTGTACTTGTTGGTTGATGAGATTTGGTTTATTATCGAAACTGTGAATCATCTTGTGGATGCAATCTCTAAGAGTGCCATGTGAATACTATGACAAAGCAGGGGAGTACTGCACCAGGATTTGGTGATTCCAAGTTTGAGTTTGGATCACTCTTGTGAATAGTTCTTCCATTATTATTAACTTTACTAACATCTGTATTAGTATCCCCTGCAATTTCCCTGCACAGTACCACAGCTCTCTCTTCATCAGCTCCCACCAACACCACTTTCGATAGACCGGACAATGCTCATCAGTCAGTTCATCACTCCTTGTGCAGAGTCAATTAGACGAATACCACTGTTCTTCCTCTGGTGTTCCATATTGAAATTTCACGGAATCGCTCTGCAGATTCCGCAGTTCTTGTTTCTGCAGAGCTCACTGACTTCAGCAGCAGCAGCAGAGGAGTAGTATTGTTGATTGCAGCATGGCATGATGGTGCCGAAGAATCTGAGAACCTCATTCCCAACCCCACTTCTCCATGGATATCTCTTGAGTTCCTATGGCTCAAATTGGCTTCGTTCATTTTTTTGGTGTTATCCAATGATCCAATGAGTTTGAACTTCAAACTTTAAAGGCAGTTTTGGTTAATGAAGAGTTAGATTGATTAGTGATAATTGTGTATATGAATGTCACAATTACATGTCATCCAAATGGTTTCATGTTATCTCCATCTGAAGTCAATTCGTCTCAGACATTTTTGTTATGTACATAGTAACATATCAGCAGTTCAGCAACAGAAATCATACCCCCAACAACACATCTGTCGGGTCGGGAGACAAAAACAAAACATTTCCCGATCGCCACCACCTTACACAACAAAGAAAGTGGGCTTCAATGATTAAGAGTTTGATCACAAAAAAAGAACAGAAGTTGAGTAGAAGCTGGAAATCGCAATCAGCTTTAGACACAGCGTAGAGTTTAAGAGATGGAGCACTACCATCCTTTTCCCTGTTGTGAAGTAATGTAATAAATTAAAGACACTATTGAGGAACTGACTGGTCATTTCCCATTGAGTAAACTATGAAGTATTGTGTATGTATACATCACAACAATAAAAAGGCCATATACATACAGCGCTGCTTACATTACAACTTTGTCAACCAAATCACTAATCATCCCACATCGAATGCTGAGCTGTGTTTTGAGTCAGTCCCTTCCAAGCCACCAGCAGATTCCCCGACTCTAAGGAAAAAGCCGATCGACCCTTGTCCCAGTTGTACTTCCGTAAGCTTTCACTTCAGAAGCTATGTGAGCTCCTACCCAGGAAAGCTAATAGAAAGAACAGTTGATGACAAGCAGAAGCTCTAATGATGAACAGCTCTGTGATAACAGTGCTTACCGGACCAGCATGGTTTAGACAACTAGAGAAATCCTACAATTCGGGATTCATGACCAGCTGCTTCGATTTCACCAGCCGGAGGGAAAGTCATTTTATCGTGCTGGCTTCATCGGGAACAGATTCTAAGGACCGGTAAGTAATCTTCCAATATTCGGTGGGTAGGGGTAAGATGAGCTGTGAACCTCCGTAGGAGTTTGTCTAGTCGATGCATACTGGTTCATGCCACCATAGTAATTTGCAGCTTTGCTGAAACTGGGCCCACTGCTTTGCTGCCCATGTTCAGAGTGGAAAGGCTGTTGGTGGTGATGGTGGTGGTCGGTGGACCTATTCTCAGCGGCTGCAGAAGAACCCATCCCAACTCCGAGATCAAGGCTGATGGTGTCGCTTTCATCTGATCTTATTATCCTCAATGGACCACTACTGCTCATAGCAGCAGCAGCAGCTGCTGCAGCTGTGTCGTGACTACTGCTATTCTTAGCTGCAGGTACATCATGGTTGTGTTTCCCTTCGTAAGTAGTTATGACTGCTTTCGGATCATGTGATGCCCTCTCTACATGCTTTCTCACCGGGCATCCCACATTTGTGCACTTGTAGTAGCTCCTGAATAATGGGCCAAAACAATAAGAAACTCTCACATATTTGCATCCCATGTTCAAACAGAAACCAAAGAAACTAAGGGAAACACTTCATACAAAAATCTTCCATGTAATAATGAATTTGGGGAAACTTCAATCATTAAGACAAGGAAGTTTCAAATCACTGACAAAGCCTTCAATTGAATGATGAAACAAGAGAGCCATGTGCCTAGCATAATTGAGGTGAAAGGAACCCCCACTGATAAAAAGCCTCATCCAGGAAAGATAAGACAAATCTACTTTTATTCAAAAGGATACCAGATAGTTCCCAAATTTAAGAAGAAGTGCAAACAAACACACTCATTAATATTGGTTTTCTTCCACTAAAAGCTACGGTAGCTCTACTTAAAGCAACTGATCTTCAACCAAAAAAAAAAGCAACTGATCTAGCATCTGTTAAACACAATCACTAATACCTTATTTCGGGAAAACCACGGCAAAACATTATGGATTAGTTGATTCCCCGGACTAACTAAACTTAGACTTTATTTGTTGGCTATAACTTATAGGAGAAAGAAAGTTTCTGCTTGAAGTGCAAGGAAAAGAAGAAAGGGTAAGAGAATCAGTTCCTAGTTCCTTGGCAATTGAACTTAATTGCATTCCCTCTATCCAAACGAATGTTACTGCAACATTGCTGCAGCATTTCTTACATTGATGGCACAATGCATCTCTTGCAAAACATAATCGAAAAAGGAAGAATCTTCAGATAAGTTTTTGGGTTCCCAATCAATAAGCAGGAGGTCTGCCATCAACGTTAAACTATTGCCCAGAATAAGAACAGAAATAAGTAGTACCTCGGATTAGGATTTCCTCTCACTACTTTCTGCCCATATTTGCGCCACCTGTACCCATCATCAAGTATATCAACCTCACTAAGAGTTTGAACAACAACACGTGGTTCACGGATAGGCTTAACCACTGGAGTGACATCAAAACTCCCAGTATCCATTTTCCTGATTCATGAACAACACACATAAATAAATGGTGAAGTTTGATTAAAAAAAGTCAGAAGGTAAATTGATTAGTAAACATTCCTCCAAGAACAGAACAAAAGACACACCTTCGCTTTGAAAGGGGGTCATCGTCATCTTCAGTAACTTCTGCATTTTCATCAGTTGCTGTAACAGGGGACATTTCAGAACCATTTGGTTCCATGGTGTTGGACGCTTGACTATATGCACCAGACAATTTTTCTACATGAAGATTGAAATTCCACACAGAACAGAAGCTAATGAGAAGATCTTTAAGAGCAAGAAAAATGGCAGCAGCTAGAAAATGAGATTTGAAAGTCTGCCCTTACCATCCCTCCCAGACAGTATTTTATCAGATCTATCTTCTTGCGCAGTCAAAAGAGCTCCAGCAGCGTATCGACGGCTAGGTTGAGGTTTAGGATGGTCATGTGTTCCTTTATAAATAATCTCTGTTATTTGCCCATCATGAGACCGCTCAAATAACTTCTTCACTTCACAGTTAGGATGTGTGCACTTGTAATAGCTACGGGGAAATTCACTTCCCTTGACAAGCTTCTGTCCATATTTGCGCCAGTTATATCCATCCTCTGATGTAGTTGAGTTTGTGGTTCCTCCTTTAAGATCAGATTGTGAGACCTGGGGCCCACAGCTCGAGTTTCCTGTCTGGTTTTGTTCATTAGCTTCAGCTTCAGTAGTTGCAGTAGTCCCAGAAGTTGCCATATGGAGACTCAACTCATTTGAGGAGGCTACCATCTCCGCTTTAGGTGAAGCCAATGATGAAAATGATTGGATTTGAGACTGAGAACTGCCTTGGACTTGTACAGATTGTTCTCTCCTCTTATTGATCATATCTGCAGAAGTCTTGAGCAAATTTTGTACATTAGGAAAGTTAAAACTTCCAAGTTCCAAGCCACCAATGGAAAAGTAAAAGAATCCAAATCCTTTATCAAGAAGAAAGAATCATAGCACAACGTTCAGAAGGGTAGTCAAACAAGAAACAGTTCCTCAACTATTCTTTCCGTGATGCATCCTGATGAAATATAGCAAGCGAAGTATGATGAAACATTAGTGGATGATTCAGTACAATGATTGTAACATTTTGGGCGGGCGATTGTAATACTCCAGGACATCACATTGGTTAACGTTTGGATGGCATCCTATTCCTTAACCTTTTGTATCACTGCTTCAGGCTGGCTAACATTGAACTGATTAATTGACTGCCTATGTTCGGTAGTAGAAAGCAGCAGCAGAAAATAGATCGTATGATTCACAAACAGCTGAATGGTTTATGATGCAATTAGTAATATGCAGATAAGGATCACATAACATAGAAACACAAAATCTCTTTGTTCAGTTTAATTTGTTTTTATCTGTTTGAGTCAATTTCATTCTGCTGCACTTTCTAAGGTTCATGCTTGCGCTTCTATTTCCAAATTCATATCTTGACACCCAAAGTTGGAGCAAACTTGAGTTGACTCAAATTATCGACTCCTTACAGTCACCAAGCAGTTCAAGAAAAATCAAATGTGGAAGTCTAGTAGACCTATGATTAGAGCATACCATATTTGATATAGAAGGAGGCCTGAACTCAAAGAAGCTGGAGGCTCTTTCCCCAAAGGTGTCAGATGAAACTGCAGTTGCTGAGTAGGAGTTCGATAAAAAAGAGCCATGCACTGTTTGAGGCTTGATGAAAGATCCTGTAGTCGGGGAAGGCTCAGCCTGCAGAAGGAATTCTCTTATTTAAACCATTCACCATTCAGAGTTGACATGTTTAGAAATTTTGAATGATAAAGCTGCTGCAAATTGACTAAACATGAGCAGTACAGAAATAAGAGGCAAGCAACTAGAATAATTTTTGCACTCGAGGAACCTCCAATTAATAGCTCAGTAAATCAGACAGGTATAGTTGCACTAAGTGCCATGCATCCACAGAAGCAGCATCTGCATAACTTCTGCTTACTTATCAGCATCACTAAAGTCTAAAAAGAAAAGGAATTGCACTTGCACATCTAATCACGTGACATCATCCGATTCTCACCAGTCACTACCAATATTTCAAAATATGCTAGCACTAACATGAGGAACCTCTACGAATAATATCGGAATTATGATGACTTTACTTCGACAAATTAAGTCAGCACAATGGACTTCATTCTTCCAAATCAACAAAGATTCCTTCACCCAAGTGGAGAAATCCCCCAAGAACAGCTACAATTCTTAGCATCTGGCAAATTTCTAACCATATTTGTTCTCATTATAAACAAAATCAGCTTCTTCTCACAGTCTTGACCCCATATCATATATAGTATCCTTGCTTTTTGTATTTGAGGAAGGCACAAATCTCACCACGGTAGGACTTATGCCATATTCTTCATGCTCATACCGGAAAGACATCAGTTTGACAGACCAATGACACCACTTAACTATAGAACAAAGCACCAGCTAAAGGGAAGATTCACTATGTGAAAACACAACACTGGGCAACTAATGAAAAAAATAGAAAAGAAGAGAAAAGCTCGTCCTGTGAAAAGTCATATTCTCCAAAACGAATGCTAAGAACTAGAATCTTGATCAAAGAAACACCAAGTTCAGGCCTTTATTATAAATATCATCCAGCATCCGAATCTCACTCGAGAACTTGCATTCCCATCATGGGAGAGTCACTAATTTTGTAAAACCGTAAGTCCATAACCCATTACAAGCAAGAAGATAGAGAAAAAGACAAATATAGTAACGAGAATTTTGGAATCCCGGTGTCTTGCATTCATTTCAGGGAGAAACAAAGAGCATCTCCTTCCTTTTTTTTTCCGCTCAAAAACCTTTAATGGCTTCAATTCACCCACTTCCGTTAATTTTCAATCCAGGGCCGTACGAATCCCTCCCTAACTTGAGAAAACTACACTGCCAAAAGACTTCCCCTTCAGAACTTTATGGTTCCGCATTATCCCCCTCTCCATGAACCAGCTGCCCAACGAACGATGATGTACCGTTCTTTCTCATAGCTGCAGAATCAACCCACCAGAGTGGAGAATCCTTTAAAGCTTTATACGTACTTTTCTGAGAGGCACAGTGTTTGGTTGGATTTAGAACTGTATTCTCTTCCCAGTAGTTTAATCCATCCCACTTTCCTCTCTCACTCTGTCCACTACCCCAACCCAAACAGATCTCAAGCTTCCTCATGAGATGTCAATTTCATTTCGTCAAGCTGAAAACTTTCAACCAAGAGAAGGAAAAAAAGGAGAGAACTATAGCTTGCCCCAGTCCAGCATTCCAATCAACCAAACACAATTTGCTAAACAGCCAGCATTCCAGAGTGGAAAATCCAGCAAACAAAAGCAGCAACAAAATAGGGGGGGAAAAAAAGGAGCTCGCTCGATCCAAATCGAGGGAGCAGCAAAACGAACCTTGACATTGGAGAGCAGGACCGGTGACTCGAGAAACGAAGTCGGACTAAGCCCAGGAGGGATGGTGATGTAAGGAGACCTGGAGATCGGGAGCTTCGCCGGCGACATCAGCTTATACCTAGCCCCTCCTCCACCTCCGCAACCGCCTCCGCCGCCACCAGAATCGGCACCATTCTCCCTCCGCTGATCGGCCGAATCGCAAGCAGAAGCCGGGGGAGCCGGAAGGCGGAAGTCATTAGTATCAGCAGCCTCAGCAGCAGCAGAAGTAGCAGAAGTAGACTCCATTGGAGCAGAGAAAGCAAGAGGAGGGGGAAGAAGAACGCAAGGAAAAGTGGGAAAGCGCAAGGAGGAAGGGAGGGAGAAGAAATTGGATTGGAGAGAAAGAAGGGTAGAATGGTAAAGTAGAGGAAGAAGGAAAGAGCAGCTGAGAGAGCGTTCCCCAAAACAACGTGACGGTGGTGGTGGTGGTGGTTTGCCGTGGTGGGTTTTCTGGGATTTAAATAATCACAATTTCAATTGGGTTTTTAGAATATTAATAATAATTAATAAGGAGATGGAGTGAGAGAGAAGGCGCCGGCGGAAGAGGTGAAGCTGGGCCGCGGCGGCGGTGGCGGAGGAGAGAAGTGAATTGGAAGGAAAATGAAAGCTGAAGAAGGAAGGAGAGTAGAGGAGAGGAAGAGTGTTGACTTTTGGTTTACAGTTTTGGATCTGGAATTTCTGCTCTCCTTTTAACCAATTTTCTTTTTTTCCTTCTTCAGTCTTTCCTTTTGTTTTTTTATTTTATTTTATTTTCTCTACGTTTTTTTACTGTTTTCGTTGTCTTCCGTTGGACTGAAGTGGGAAAGGAAACAAAGGAAGAACCCGACTGCACTCGATTGCTAAAAAGAAATCAATTATCCAACGTAATTTTTAGTTTTTTACATCAATATTGGGTTAGGTAATAATTTTATTTGAAATTTGGGGTTAATTATGTTTGTAGGAAATAATAGGGATATAGTCTTTTAAAAAATAAATTGATACGCACCCCACCTTTTTTTTTTTAATGTCTAGGGGTCGTTTTAGAACATGAGTTATACAAGGCATATGTCACTTTCTATCTAAATCACTTATAAAAATTGAAGAAAAAAAAACCTTCTTTATCGAAATTAATATTTATATTCTTCAAAATAGAATGGGGATTCATTTTCGACCATAAATGGTTAGGGGTTTTGAGTATGGTTAAATTTGGACAAACGATAAAAAAATGAGAATAAATTTACTTACTGGTCATTCTATGATATACTCGAAAATTTTGGATCTACACAATAAATCATTATTGTCGGTAAATGGGAGAAATTTTACAATGCTATATAGTATTGGTGCTATAGGTTTTTGCCTTTATGGTACAACTTAAATTTGTACATTTACGTTATGGTACAACTTCAGATTGTACCTATACTTTTTGTGCAAATTCTTTTACGGTACAACTTGAACTTGTACCTTTATGTGATGGTACAACTTCAAGTTGTAAAGTTGTACCATAACATAATGGTACAAATTGTTTTATGTTAAAACAATTTTGAGTTGTATTAAAACAATTTCAGTATTACAACTTCAGTATTAAAACAATTTGTACCATTATGTTATGGTACAACCTAAACTTATACATTTAATGTTATGGTACAACTTTGAGTTGTACATTAAAACATCAATGCTATATAGCATAGTAGAAGTGCTCCGGTAGACGATCAAGATTAAAATTTTAATTTTTAATACTGAAAATCATTTTATACTGCTAAAACTCATCTACTTATTTAGACTCCGGTCGGTCGGATCGCCAGGTAAAGGTAAACACGCATTTGGCCCTCTGAGTGGTTTACGAGAGATCGAAGTCCAGTTTTCCAAAAGGGACATGTTCTTCTCCTCTACTATGCTGATATGCACCAACAAAAGGAAAAAGTACAGAGAGGGATTGCTGGTGTGTGGTTTACTCACTCTCCTTAGGTTTTGACAGCCAAAGAAGAAAACCAAACCAAAGCAGGGCTCCTTACACTGAATTTCGGATGCGCGCGCCGAAATCGACTTGCCATCAAACTATCCTCTCAACGTGACTCACGCGCACAGCTTGAGCTAGTTTCCTACTTCTCATTCGGAAAGCCATGTGTTTGGTCGATACTCAACCGAAAACGTATGGCAGAACGACGATGAGAGGTTGATCGAAATTGTGAATACGTCCTATTTAATTTGATCCAACATTAGTACGATCCGTTTAAACATTATCATTTCGATCCAATTCAAGCTAGTATGCAACCTATGTGATACGTGATTGTTAACGGTGCTTCTCGCCCAAGTGAATCCCTATTCCCCACATGTTGCCGGGAAATGTATAGTCGACGCATTTAGTAACGTGAACTTCATACCTAATATACTTGGAGAAATGTTTCAATTGATTAGTCGATGAAGAAGGAAAGAACACAAGTACAAGACAGGGAACCGGCAATTTAATAATCCATGTAGTAGCAATGACCAAAACCAACCTTTGACAAAAGAATAAAAAAAATGCCATTCTTTCACTTGTAGCCAACTTCACAAATGAACAAAAGAGGGAAAAGTTGACATGTTACTCATAGGGGTGTATATTCGGGTCGGGTTCGTTATCCAAACCGAAATCCGATAAAACCCGAAAAAACACCAAACCTGAAATCATTGAAAACCGAACTCAAAACCGATAAAGTTCCTTATCAGGTTTGGGTTTGGTTAAAGCAAAATCGAAACCCAAAAAACCAAACCTAAGAATATGGGCCAACTGCTATTCCTAGAGGGTTTTCCATCGAAACCCGAAAACCCGATAATCAAAACCAAACCCAAAACTGAAAAACCTTAAACCTGAACCTGAAAACCCAACAATTTATCAAATCGGTTCGATTTCGGTTAAAACCAAACTCGAATGGACACCCCTAGTTACTCATTTATCCTTCTTCACTATTCGCCACTTAGCGATAGAGCCGATAGTCGGATCCATTAGCGGTAAAACTACTACTCAAAAAGTCTATACCATTAGCTGACCCGCTAGACTATACGATTAACCGCTAACCGATTGACATTGTTATCATAAATAAATTAGAAGAAATAATAAACGAAATTATAAGGCATGAAATTCGTGCTAGCAGTTGACCGGATCAAATAGCAGTTATCTGTTTACCTATTCATCAGTAGCAGCTACTATCCCTTAACAGATATCAATGTAACCGGTAACCAACAATTAACGGTTAACCCAATAACCCCCATAACAAATTACCAGCCCTACTTAGGGGAGAAGTCCACCCACATCAATTAACTCCACTCAGATATTTGTGTCCAGAAAAAGCATATCTTCAAGCTCAAGAACTTGTTAGCCGCCAGTCAGTTGTCATCAGTCGGACATCCCATTCTCTTCTATCTACCAAGAAACACCAATCCAAATCACAAGTGGACATGCACAGAAATTAGATACAGAGGCTCTGTTCATATGGGGGAAGGTCTAATCTCCCTTTTACAAACTTCTGAGGAGACGTTGGATTGACATCCCCCAACTCCATTGGAACAGCTCTCTATCTAATGAGATCAAATTGAGAAAAAGGGTTCGATCTCGATTAGATTGCAGATGGCATTTTCCATCAGAGAATATCATCGAGGAGCTTCAGATTGACTCTACTGCTGCTGATCACAGAACAGCTTAACCCTTCGAAAATCAAAAGGGAACAAAAACAAAACCCTCACCGACATAGATGGGGTGAGGGGTATTGTATTGAACTGAACCTTGCATGTGCTTGATACCAATGGGAAACTACCAAATTGGATCATAATGATAACAAGAGGACAGCTTTCCTTTTACATTATACTTTTGATTCCCAGTTATAGTATGCACAACTTGTGTTTTCTGAGCTAGAACAATAAAGAAAGAAGACCCCATAAGGCAGCTATCAAGTGGGTATGTGTGGGGCAGAACAAAGATTGGGGCTTTTTCATGAGGTGCAGCTAAAAATCCACAATGATGGAGCTGACAGCAACTCAACAGAAAAATGGAAAGCAATCCAGAAAATAAGGAAAGGACAAAAGGAAGAAGAGAAGCCAAATGCGGAAACAAAAAAAAAAGTCTCAGAAAGAAAAGGTGCAGAGGCAGTAAAAACAAAAGCAAGACCAATGTGAAAGAAAAAAAACAGCAGCAGCAAATACAGAAGTGGATGAAGATAAAAACAACTATTTAATCCTATATACAGAGCAAGGGCAAACTGTTGCATTCATGGAGTTTGAATGTGGGGTAGGAGGGGTTATTGGGGAAGCATATGCCATTGCCGCAGACAGACATATTGGTTTAAGCTAGTAAATGGTCATCTGCTGGATATCATAAGCAAACCTAAACCAACAAAGAAACCAAATTGGGCTACTCTCAATTCAGCTACTGGCAGGAAATTGAACCTTTAAGCAGTTCAGGGATCTAAATCTTGCTTAAATAATAAACCTAGCCAAAGTGCTGGGTTTTGGTTCATAAGCAAACAGAGAGATATTGAACAATGCCAATATCTGCTGACCCAAGATAATTGTAGTGCATGCATGGTAACCAGAAAAGCAAATGCTTTTCTGGTGATCAGCATGGTATGTCAGACAAAACAAATACTACCCCCAAAAGTTGTATTAACTCAGATGGTCAGTAGCTAAAATATCTATTGAGGGTAGTAGGATTGATGATGCTGAGGTGGATAACCATATCCATCATAATAACCAGCAGCAGCTTGCCCCCCATTATAAAACCCTGGCGCCATTTGAGACTCAGAAGGGTATTGCTGTGCTGCCGCAGCAGCAGCAGCAGCAGCAGGGTTTGGGTTCCCAGGTAAGCCCACTCCAGCTCCTGCGAAACCATACTGTCCAGCATATGAGCCCCCATAACAGGGAATGGGAGGAGAGGCATTCACCATCCCATAGGCCCCAGCTGCTTGATACAAACCTGTTGGCTGCAAATGAGGTTGGTGAAATGGACGCTGAACGGTTGATCCAGAAGCAACCATTGGAAGTGCCGGTCCATTTGTTCTCAAGCGCTTATTTCCGTAATGCTGCTGATGGTGTTGCTGCTTCTTTGCTTGGGGCTGGTATTTCGCTTGCACTTGCTTCTTCTTCTTTGCCTGTTGTTGTTGTTGCTGCTGCTGTTGAGGCTTCGTGGCAGAAGATGGTGTAGCCTGTTTGCCATCAGTCTTCTGCTTTTGCAAAGTCTCAATACGCTTTTCAATTTCCGTTCGTGGATACTCAGATTGAAGCTTGTGCTCATCGATGACTTGAAGTACTGACTTCAGTGCACTAACTTCCTTGGATTTGACCTCATTCTGCATGATAGGTGAGAAAGAGATATCAAATTATTTGAATAAACTAACAATTAACAAGGGATGCAAGATTAAAGGGGTCTTCCTGGACACCTGTGTCTTGATGGGATTCTTTCCATCCTTGCAAGCTTGGTTAGTGGAATTTCTGCATTCCGTTAGATATGCTTTCAACAGCGGCACTACTTCAAACTTGTCAGTCAATCCAAATTCAAAAACAAATTTGACAGCCAGAGGCTGTTTGCCACCATCTATAAGTTTCTGCACAAGAACTGCAAAATGGAAGAAAGTGAGCAACCATCCATATGGTTCTTTACCTGGGGTGTACAGGTCAATTACACAGACAGCAAGAAAGGAAAACAATCAAGAAAGAGAGAGACATATTGAGGAGAACGCCAAATATAAGTTATCATCAATGACTGTCCTTAGTTTGACTACAGCTGTTGAGCACCATCTAGGGGAAGCATGAGTAACCCAAGGAGTTGCTCATTTGGCACAGCAGTTTCTGGCCCAAGATTGTGCCCACTGCCCAGGCTACAGGTCTACTGCCAGATATAAACCAACTTTCTACATCCTGACTTTCTTCCTACTTATGATCTCTTCACTAAATTCGTTCACTCTTGAACTTCAAAACACATCCACTTCTTCCTTCTCTACCAAGGAGCTCCATTTTAGGTCCAAATGCTAAAGCCATCAGGGGACTTTACAATCTTAAAACCAGTGGCTTATTTGACCTTCAGAAGTATTCATGTTATCTAAGAGGCACCATCAATGTTATCGACACTTAGAACTTCACAAAATTCTCATTTTACTATGACAGTGCCCACGCATACTCTTATGTCTTGATTCCACATATTGTCACAAATAGGAGGATTTCAAACAGCAAAGAAAAGCTAAAGCAATTGAAAACCCTGACTGGAAGCATCATGAGTTCATAACCAGCAACCTGGCTCAATCTTTGGACAAATTTGTTCCACTAACTTAGGTTATAGGAAGTGGCCAAAATCAATATCTCATAGGACATTCCTCCTGCATACCGCACACCACTGCACCGAAAACCTAATCATTGTGCTTGAAGTTTACACAGGCTTATACACTGCGTTTATATTACGAGCACAGTAGAGGAACTAGTTCACTTCTCACAATCTAATCATCAGCCTTAGGAATTCAAATACAGTAGATGAACCTAGCAACACGTCTAAAACACTAAATAAATTCACAGCTACATAAGATCGAAGCAAAACCATGAAAAATAGATTTCACATTAGCACAAACCAAACATTACCTGCAGTCTTCTCTCCCAGACCAATATCTCGACACAGAGTAATTGCTTGCTTAAACCTCGCAACGCCAACAAAGTAAACCACAAGCTCACCAAAATCAAACAGATCCCGCAATCTAAAAGCTGCCAACAAACTCAAGAACGCCAACGCCTCAGAAGGGCTCTCCCCACTCAAACTCACTTTGCATTTCCACTCCAATGCCAACTGTTTAGCACTCTCCCTCGCCTCATCGCTAACATTTGGCTTGATATCAACCAACACATCCAGCAAATCCAAACAACTCTTCCGTAGACGATACAATTCCGGGTCTTTATCTCCTTTCGAAGCCGAATTCCCTGGATAGAACCCCTCCATTGCATTCAAAACCATAGAACCTGGGTCACTGCTCACATGAATTGCACTTGCAAGTTCAGCCCGAATCGCAATCCGCTCCTTGGCATGCTCGCTAATGTAGTCTCTCAACCCTTTCCCATCCAGCTTCTCGCAAAAGAGTACCAACTCAGCTCTAGCCGGACTGGGTCCTCCCACTTCCGGAGAGACCTGCATTGCAGAGCCAGGGTCAGAGTCAACCCCAGCTTTCTCCTCCTCTACACCATTGGCCACGAGGTCTCTCCCCGCCTCGGCCTCAATAGGACCACCGTTCTGCTGGCCGGAGTCCGAGGAAGTAGGACCGACCCCCTGGCGAGGAAGAGCCGGGCCGCGGGATTGTAGTAGGCGGAAGCGGCCAGTGAGGTCAGCCTGGTGGGAGGAGAAGTGGGAGTCGAGATCGGACCACGAGAGTGAGAACGCCGCGGATGAAGAATGGCGTTGGAGTTCATCGTATGCCTTCCTCAGGCTCTCCTTCTTCAACTCGGTCAGCTTCAGAGCGGCTTCGATAGTCTTCAGCGTCGGGATTTGATCTGTCTTCGCCAAAGCAATCGCCATCGATCTTCAACCGGGAAAAATTGATCGGAATCCGTAAACCCTATAGCCACCGCCGAGGAAGGGAATCGGCGAAAGAATCTCTTATTAACGTCGGTTATTGGCGGGTGACCGGTTTCGTCAATTGACAGGAGTACAAGACGACAACGACGGCAGAGGAACGGAACTACGGTAGCTATCGTTGGAGATTGGAGAATAATTCTATTCGTCAAACCAAAACGACACGCCGTTTTGGTATCCTTCGTGCCATTGCTGGGCTTTTGAGCTTCAGAAAGTCGAAGCCCGTAGGAATCAGAAATGGGCGGAAAGTAGCCTTTTTCCAATCAGAAGCTCGTGATAGTGGGCTCGATACTCAAGCATTGTTTTTGTTTTGTATGATGATATTGGGCTTGTAGGAGGCATATGATCACTAAGGGTAACCTTGATTACGGAAATAATGTGGCAAAAATATCCGTAACCGTGGATATCCACCCGAATTCGATCTAATCGGGTAGGGTAAAACCCGAATCCGAAGCATTTTCCGTGGGTACTGATAAAACCCGAACTCGAATATTGCGGGTAATGGGTGGGCATGATTATCTCACTATCCAACCCGAACCCGCCTGATTATACACATGCACATGTATTTTGTCTAGAAATAATCATTATGTTTCTCTAGAATATTTTATATTTAGCATATAAATATAATATTTTCATGAAATTATGTTGTTTTAATTAATTTTTGTCATTCTAGTGAATTATTGTCGTACTTTTCCTCTTACGTAATGTGAGTATACGTGTGAATGTTAACATATTGGTTGGAATTATAAGGAGAAATTATTACCCATGGATAACCGTGGATACCCGAAACCCGAACGGGTATGGACATGGTTTTGATTTTCTACCCGTTTCTCGTGTGGGTACGGGTATGGGTAGAACCCGAACTACATTGGGTAGGGTAACGAATATGCACTATCCGCCCCCGACCCGACCCATTGCCATCCCTATGTATTACAAGAATGTGTATTAAAGATTATGTGTATACTAAGAATGTATGATTTTGAAAATTCATTGTTTTGAACCGATAAAAGAATGCATGGATTATAGGGGTCGTTTGGAGAACACGATTCATGGTGTGGATTTGTTGAATCCGTAGATTTTGTAGAAAGTCTTGTTATTTTGTTGCTTTTTGTAATGTGAATTTTAGCTTTAGCGATTTCAAATCTCTAAAATCTATGGATATAAAATCTCTCATAATCAGAGAGATTTTATATCTAGATTCTTGAGTTTTTTCTCTCTTATTTTTTCTCTTCCTTTTATTTATTTATCATATTTAATATATTTTTGGTTTGTAATATTTCTCCAACCAATCTAATTTCTTATTAAGGATAAACATGTTATTTACAATAAAATTGAAAATTTTATTTTCTTTGAATGTTAACAATAACAGTTACCAAACAATAAACATTTTAAAATATATTTTCGACAATCTGAAGAGTTTGAATCTTTAGATTGTTGACAATCTATAGATTTAAACTCATATTCTCCAAACGACCCCATAGTTTAAATGACTTATGGATACTCAAATCTCACCAAAAAGGTAAGATTATGAATACATCATTTTCTATGTATTAGGAATACAACATGTATTATGAATACACGCATTTTGTTATTATATCAAGTCAAAAAGCGTTGTATTCACAGGATACATGTATACTGAGAATACAACATCTAGAATCGGATGTTCCAAATGAGCCTAAATCTAATGAAGTAATTGAAGCAGCCATCTGAATATTCCATTCCTTTGCTTCTTATGACCACTGTTTATACTTGTTCAAAATCTGACAGTCATCTCAACTCTGTAAAATAAAGATTATCTTGCTGGTGAATGATGATTGATAGCCAACTCTCTCCCCTTTTATCGAGTCTTTTCTTCAGTTGATGGGTAGATAATCAGAGACCAGACCATAAAAGAGGAAATTTGAGCAAGACAGCTAAAAGCAAAAATCATGAACATGCTTTGGCTTTGCTGGCTTTTTTTCTGCACCTCAAGTCACCATGTGACAGTGGGGCCATATCCAATAACCATTTAATCAGTGTAGTTTGCATCCATCATTAGCATATAATTAGTTTGAAATTATGATTTCACCATAATTCAAAGGTTTGAAAATGGGCAGAACAGACAAATACAACACAGTTTGCAAAAGGGAAATTTTGCATGTATACAAACTGGAAACACAGCAGGAATAGAAACAAAGCTGAGAACCAAACCAGCATACAAGTCATGATTTCCCCAGTCATCTCTAAACATCTCAAGTCTCAACATGAATCCAAGGTAAAGGGAGAAAAACAACACACACTACTACATCATAAAATTATTACAGTTCATCACTATTAGATACTTAGTCTCTCCATTGGTAGAGAAGGGAAGTCAAACTGTTGTCACCTGTGTGTTCTCCCCCCAGAACTCTGAAACTAGCAGGTAACTAAGGGAGAGCTCAGAAGAAAGCCCTGCTCCCATAAAACACTCGGGATCCTGCTTTAGTTGATGAGGGCGTTTTCTGCTGCTCGGAGTTTGAACTTCCTGAACTCGCTGGTCCGCTGCTATCGATGTCCAGTGGAAGCTTCATCTTTGCCAATGACTCGGTGAATTGTTGCATGCTCTTCATATACATGTCAACTATGTCTTGCTGCACAACACCCTGCCCTGGCTCCATGTTCAGAGAAGCAACAGGCTTGGTAACTTCCTTTCTTGGAGTTCCAGCTGAGGAGTCAGTGAATTCTTGCATGCTCTTCATATACATGTCAACTATGTCTTGCTGCACAACACACTGCTCCGGCTCCATGTTCGGAGTAACAACAGGCTTGGTAACTTCCTCTCTTGGAGTTCCAGCCGACGAATCAGTTTCCCCATTTGCAGCATCTATGCCCTTATCCTCTTTGCTAACCGAGTTGTGTTCTTCGGACTGAGTCTTGGAGTTGTCCGAGCTCGCACCATTTGAAGGAGACGAGACGGCTCCATTTGTTGCTGACACGCTGCTTGGAGGAGAATCGTGCTTATTAGTAGCTAGGGCAGAACCCACTGTCGCAGCAGAGTAACTTTCCACTCCATTAGCAACACTTGTACCATTACTGGTATGGTTGTCAGCAGCATCACAAGTGACCAAGCTCTCAGATGTTTCGGACTCGTCCAGATCAGTACATGGTGTCCCATAATACTCAGAAACCATCATCTGGTTTTCATTTGCAACATTTGGATCTGGGAATTCGAGCTTGTCAAGCTCACATTCGAGTGATTCCTGAACCTCGGAGTCCCTCATCACCCCATCAGCAGCAGGAATTGCCATTACCTCCGGAGTAGCTCCAGTATACGAGAGTGAGAGTTGAACATATCCAGAAGGTGAATGGAACATATCATTGGATGAAAGGGAGAACTCTTTCTCCAACTTCCCATTCTTCATAACAACTTCAGACAAAGGCACCAAAGCAAACCCCAGCAACTGATCCTCGAGGTAGTTCCTCACCCGACTCATCATGAATACCTCGCACTTAAGGGAGCAGTCGACCGTCTTGACATTAATCTGCAGATTCTGGTTGAAAACCGGGTTCCTGCCACCACCATTTATGGTGTTGGTGGAGACAGTGTTCTCAGGGTCACTGGTGAGGCAAATCTTGGCATAAACATCTTGTTTGTGGTAGATGCATATGTTATGAATGTCCCTAGCCTGATGTACATAAACCTCAAGCTTGCCAATGAAGTTGTCCTCCAGATGGCCATTAGTTGCCTTCCTGGGAACATCCTCCTTGGTTATGCTGTTGACTGCAGTCCTCACAGAATGGTCAGTTGTTTTCTGCTTCTCTGGCTCCGCGGTTACAGCATTCTTGAATGGTGAAACAACAGATTGTGGAGAATCCATTACCTGGCTGAAGTTTAGACCTGGCATAGCACACAAAGCAAGTTCTATTTAAATACAGATAAGCTAGTACAACTTAAAAGGGAGTTGAAATTCCCATCACCATTTCAAGAGTCTACTTTATTGCACAACTATGAGACGCTCAAAGGTAAGAACGAGAACTAATACGAACCTAATATGCATAATCCAAGCCCTAATTTGTGCTGCAACAGTGGTAATAACAAATTTAAGCTATGAACAAAAACTTACCAAATGAACCGAAAATGAAGACAAACTGAAATCTTTATAACCTAAGCGTCAAGAACAGAAGGCAAAAGCAACCAAAACCCTCAAGGTCGAAAAAGTTCATATCCCAAAACTCAGCATTTCAAGTCAACTGCACTATATATGAATGAACCCAGAGATCAAAGAGTCCAGTCAGTGGACATACAACTGAGAAACGAAAGCAAGGGAAAAAAGAGCACAAATTTCCCAATTTCCCTCAAACACCCCATGGAAAGTCAAGAAGTTAAGGCGAACTCTGACACCCATGTTACCCAAAAACCTAGAAGCAAAGCAAAGCCCCCTAGTCAGCGGGTTCATACAGTGACCGGATTCCAATGAAGTCGCTGACTTTGTCAGCTCATAGGCCGGAATCCAAGGGAAAACGGACAGGGCAAGCAGGAAACTTCGCAAACAAACAAAAAATCCCAGAAAACCCGCCCCCAATTCCTCGACAATTCGTGACCTAAAGCGACAAAATTTGCCAAAGTAAGCAGTTGAGGTCCATCAGAAGGAAACCCACACAAGAACTCACCTCAGAAACCTTCACACGCAGAGAAAGCAGGGGAAGGAAATGAAAACCCTCTTGAACTCCAGAAACTAATCACAGCACACACCCGTCGAAATGAAAGCGGAGGACAAGTGGAGGAGCAGAAAAACCCAGGAAAGTAGGAAACAGGGTCTTGTGGAAGAGAGCCCCACCTTCCGTATTTCTACAAAGAAAGTCAAAAAAGGTATACGGCCGACGAGAAGTCCCGAGAATCAAAGCAGTGGAGAATTAGATAGAAAGTAACAAAAGGGTTCAATTTAATTAACTCAAACGGCTGATGACCCAATTCACAAATCGAGGCCTCTGTTTCGTCTCTTTTGCCTCTCGCTTTCCTCGCCCTTTTATCTCCCCTCTTACTTTAAGCCCCCAAGAAGAAAGGGAAAGCAGAGAGCAAGCAACGGTCCCAAAGAGGAGTGGCGAGAATGAACAGAAGATGAGGAGGTAAAGGAGACAAATTCTACGGGATCGTCAAAATTTGGAGGAAAACTAATCAAAGTATTGATCTTTTCAGAGAGAAGAAAAAGGGGGATAGGGGGAGCGCAGTGTCGCTGGCTGACGGTAGAAGGTAAGGGCGTGTATCCCGTTTTCTTTATACAGGTATATAGAACCCACAAATTTGTCAGTTTGTACAGAGGAACAGTGGCTCAATCTGAAAAGATAGGGAGAAAGGTTTTTCTTTGTTTTCTCTCTTTTTCTGTAGACAGCGGGAAGAGATGGGCGAAGGAGGAGGGGAGGGCTGGGAGGGATAGTGCGACAGCGGGGCACGGCAGAATGTGGAGGTGACCGACCAATTGAATTTGGGATTGGTGGCTGCTGAGGTGGGGCCGTCGATGGTGGGGTGGCGGTGGCGCAGTCCCCGTGACTGTCACTCTGACTCTGTGGGAAAAGCTGGTTTAAAGAAAAGGAGGCCAAAGGTAGCCATCGTCAATAGGGGTCGCATTTCGGTTTTTGGTTAGCGGCTAACCGACGGTTTTAATCGCTAATCGGTGGTTAGTCACTAATTGAAAATCGGCCGGTTACTAGTCGGTGTTTGGCAAAGGTGAAGGGTTCTTCGGTTAGCCGAATAACCGACCCCCCAACCGAAAATGTAGAAAAAGGAGGAGGAATAAGAATTCAATTAACCTTCCCCTCCCCATCTGGTTCTCTACGAACCCTAAATCCCAAAAACGATAAACAGCACAGCGTCGCGCCACTGTCCCAGACCAGTCGCCCCGCCTCCGCCTTCACGCTCGTCCACCGCCGCGCTCGTCAGCCGCCGAGATTGTCCGCTGTCGCGCTTGTCCGTCACCGAGATCGTATGTTGCCGAGATCGTCCGCCTCCGTCCTGTCGCGTCGAGCGCAGGCGAGCGCCTCCTCTCCCCGCTCCTTTGTCGCCTCCGCCTCCGTCCTGTTGCGCCGTGCCGCCGTTCCCAGAGATTCAACAGAGCAGGCGAGCGCCTCCTCTCCCCGCCTTCATCGCCTCCGCCTCCTTCCAGTCGACAGGTTCGTGCCGACCTCCATTCCCCTGGCGACTGCTGCTTACTTCTTCCTCTTTAAAATGGAGAGATGTTTACGCGAGAAAAGGAAAGAGAGATTGGGCAGATCTAAAATGGAGAAAAGTAAGGAGAGAGAAGTAGTTGTTGTGAGGGAGAAGGGGAAATGGTTTTGTTCCGTGGGTTTTTTTTATTTTTTTTATTAATTAAACGCCAACGCTTTGTAAAGAAAAGGTAGGTTTTTTGGTAGGCGGCTAATCGAAATCGACCGGTTAGTTGGCCGGCTAACCGTGACTTTCCTCATGGTCAGTGGGCGACAGTCATAGGGAGTGGCTCGGTTTAATCGATAACTGAAATTTCAATTTTCGGTTAAATCGAAATCGACCGACTGACACCCCTAATCGTCAATTTGGTTAGTCCGATCCAGTCGAGCAAGTAATTTAATAGTGAATTATTCTATCGATTTAGTTTGAATATATATGGTAACGGCTGGTATATTTCAGGAGTACACTATACTCCACAATAATAGTTCATATTATGATCTAACATACAGTGAAAAGCGCAATTACAAATCAAAGAGAAAACAATGTCGTGTGAGCTCCAAACTAGAAACCTTTCTGCGGATCGACCCGCGTATGTGGTGTTTGTTTTCCTCATTGGATCAGGATTAATTTGGGTCAAACTGTGGGTTGACAACCTGTGTAGAAACACAAAGCAAAGCATTCACAGTTTCACACCCACCACCATGGATAATGTATAAATCCTTTGTATGAGTCATTTATACTGAATGATATGTCTGTTAGCCTAAAAAATGCTCATATGAATGTTTCAAATGATTTCAAATGGTTTCTTTCTCTGAGTTATTTTCAAATAACTCATTGTTAGTTCAATTTTTAATTATGTCATTTTCTCTTTTTCTTAAACCTACTTTTATCCTTTCCTTCCTATTTTTGTGTTTCCTTTACCATTGCTTTGTCTCCCTCCAAATTATTTTTTATTTCTCCCAAATTCGTAAGCAACAAAAAGGATCATTCATCTCGTCGTCTCCACTAATCTCTCTTCACTCCAGCTCTCCATGTCATCAAAGTTGCCGCCTTCAAGAATGGGTTGCAAACTCTCTCCAGGTATCACAGCTCTCTTCTTCGGTCCTAAGCAACCGATGCACATCAACCCATATCGAGTTCACCCTCTCGACGATCATCTACTCAACGACGCATCTTTTCATTCACAACCTCGCTATTTACGGGGCATTTGCCGTTATTCCTTGTAATTTGATCAAATATATTTTGATTCGATTATGTTAAGCATGAAAGAAAAACGAAACAAAATTGAATTTATACTGGATCAATTCGAACAAAATGAACAAAATATACTTTTGGTTCGATTATGATCCTCAATTTTCCTTTACTTCTAGTCTGGCATATCTAGATCTGATCCAATATGGATTGAATCAAACAATTCACACTACTGTTTTGGAGCGGGGTTGCACTTGCAAAAAGGGATGACAAAAATAATCATACACGTGGATACCCACCCAAATCCGACCTACTTGGGTAGTGTAAAACCTGAACATAAAGGACTTTTAAAGGGTATGCGTAAAACCCAAATACGAATATCACGGGTAATGAGTAGACATTACCTTTTTCACTATTCAACCCGAACCTGCCCCGATTATACATATGAATGTGTATTTTGTATAAATATGATCATTACTTTACTCAAAATATTTTATATTTATCATACATATATAATAATTTCGTGAAATTATATTGTTTCTTAACTAATTTTCTTCCCTCTAACAATTTCCTAAAATTAATCCAAAATCCAATCACATACAAGTATGCCTTTGATACTTGAGAGGCTTAGTTAGAAGTTAGAACATAGAAGTAATTGTTTTATTGGGCTTTAGAGAAGAGAAGGTCGTTCAAACAAGTCTATCCTCCTCATTTTGTTGGACCGGACCTATTAAGTTTCACAGATTAGAGAGAAACCCAGGCCCGAGTCCAGTTACAGCCTTCTGGTCGCTCTGGCCAGCACCCATAAATTGTTTGCACCTCCCGGACATTTTCGTCATTTCGCCTCTTATCTTTCAAATTCAAATATAAAAGTTTCGGCAACGGTCATCGTCTTACTCTCACACACACAGTCGTCCTCGTCCTTCTCCTCTCACCTCTCTCTCCCTCCGCCGCTCCAAATCCCCAAATTGACAGAGCATTTATCCAATTTCTTATCTCAGGAAGAATCACCGCCTCACCGGTGACCAACCAACACACAACCGATTACCGACCATGAGATCCACCGTGGAGACTCGCGGCAGCGACAGTGGATTCCTTGGGAGCATATCGGCCTCTTCCATCAGAAATTTGCTTCCGAGATCCATCTCTTCCAAGAAGAGACACAGGTCCAAGTTCTTCCGCAGCGAGAACGATCCTCCCCTACACCCCAACATTCAAATCAGCGACCCCCCGCTCTCTCCTTCACTTCCAAAACCCTTGAGTTCCGCCAAATCGCTCCAATCCGATGTTCAGCCTGCGATTCCCTCCTCGCCGGACCATCCGACTGTCCAGGTGCGTAGAGATTCGCTTGAATTGGCAGTTGACGTGTGAATTTTTTGCTAAATTTGGTTGTGCTGCTAGTGTTGCTCGCTCGTTTCAGTGAGGTGGATCTACTGCTCACTCACCATTTGACTCTTTGCAGAAGGTGGAGGCTGCGGAATCAGTGGAGAAGAGCGAATTATCGGAAGCTTCTGATCCGTCCGTGAAGGTTGTAGTGAGAATTAGGGCTTTGAATGACCAGAGAAGGGAGCGCAGTCGAACAGTGAGGAAGGATTCTTCGGATTCACTCTCGATTGGTGATAGAAACTTCACTTTCGATTCTGTTTTAGACTCCAATTCGACCCAGGTTCGTGCTTATGGGATTGTTGTTTTGCGATGTCATATCGCAAAATTGGAAATTGGAGAACTGGTTCTAAAGCTGTTTGGTTTGCCTTTCAGGAAGATGTGTTCCGGGAAGTTGGAATTCCGTTGGTTCAGAGTGCATTGGCTGGGTACAATGCTTCTATCTTGTCTTATGGACAGGTACTCCATGAAACATTGAAGATTTCCTTTGCTTGAACTTCATTGTTAGTATATACTTATATTGATTTGCTTACCGGTGGTGGGTTCTTTCCATTTATGATTCAAAAGACTGGAAGTGGGAAGACCTACACAATGTGGGGTCCTCCAAGCGCCATGGTTGCGGATCCTTCACCCAGCAGTCACCAGGGGATTGTTCCTCGGATTTTCCAAATGTTGTTTGATGAGATTCAGAAAGTGAGTCTTCGTTGTTGTTTTCTAGAGTGGTAATGCTAAAGGTTGCAGTATAGATTGATGATTAAGGTTGCTTTTTTTTTTTTCTTTCTTTCTTTCTTTCTCGTTTGGGATTGTAGGATCAAGATAGCTCTGAAGGAAAGCAGATTAATTACCAATGCAGGTGTTCTTTCCTTGAGGTATGTACTAACTCGGCATGCTTGTGCTGGCATTTGTGGCACTCAGATGACCCTTGTGAGTTGTGAATGTGTTCTGATGTACTTGTTTTTTTTTTGGCCATTGTAGATATATAATGACCAAATTGGGGATTTGCTTGATCCAGTTCAGCGGAACCTTGAGGTGGAGACTGGAGATACATTACTACCTTTCCATTTTATCATCTTGTTCTCATTTCTAGTCAAGATTTTGATAGTTCATTTCTAATGGTAAAGATCTCCAATTAAAAATTTCAGATAATGGATGATCCAAAAAATGGATTGTTTGTGGAGAATTTGACTGAGGAGTACGTGACTAGCTATGAGGATTTGGCTCAAATGTTAATCAAGGTGAGGATGAGGTTGTTGTTACAATGAAGTCTTGATGATCTACAGTTTCTATCGGCTGTATATTCCCTGCACAATTCTGCCATCTTACCGTTTGGTAAATTCCATACAGGGGCTTTCAAGTAGAAAAGTTGGAGCAACAAGCATAAACTCTAAGAGCTCTAGATCTCATATTGTGTTTACTTTCATAATAGAATCCTGGTGCAAGGTATTTTGACGTCAGATTTGCCATTCTACTGAGAGGAAGTTCCCTTTTTTGTGTTTCCTTGATCGATCGCTTCAGTTACCTCTATCACTGAAAGTTTATAAAGAAACATGGTTCATTTTCACAGGGTACGTCGTCAACATGTTTCAGTAGTTCAAAGATTAGCAGGATTAGCTTTGTAGATCTTGCCGGGATCGACAGGAATAAACCTGATGATGCTGGGAGGCAGCTAGTCAGGGAAAGCAAACATGTGAAGAAGTCCCTCTCTCAGCTGGGGTACTATTCTATTGCCATTTACCTACATATTCAACCTGATGGGAGTTCTGGCTTCTGAAGAACAAAGTAATAACAGTTTCTTGTATCACTGATGCAGGCAAATTGTGAGCAGTCTCGCAAAAGAAGATCAACCTGGAAGGTTCAGAGATGTTCTCTATGAAGAGTCCTGTTTAACACATTTGCTTCGGGAGTCGCTTGGTGGAAATACCAAGCTTACAGTTATCTGCAACATCTCTCCTGATAACAGGTATTTCCCCCCACTTCTGTTTATACACTCATTTACTATCCTCTGGTGCCATCATCTGAAACAAGGATGGGGGTGTTGATTTTTACTGCAGGAATGACAATGAGACCTTAAGGACACTTCGATTTGGACAGCGAATCAGATTGATCCAAAATCGACCAGTTATAAACGAGATATCGGAGGATGATGTAAATGATTTGAGTGATCAGATACGCCAACTCAAGGTATTGCATCAATATTTCATTCAATGTCCATCTACTGCAACCAAGTTAACAACTTTGCTTGTGGCGAGTGAACAATCAACCACAGCAGCCCACAGAAATCACATTCCTGTTATTTTTCGTTAACAGGAGGAGCTCATCAGGGCAAAATATGACACATGTAAATCAGCTGGAAGTAAAAGTGGTTATTTCAGAGGGCGGAATGTGCGTGACAGCTTGAATAGCTTAAGAGTTAGCCTGAACCGCTCTTTAATGTTGCCCAAGATTGATGCTAATTCCGACAATGATGAGGATAACATTGTCGACGTGGATGATGTAATGGAACTGCATAACCATCTCAAGAATCTCCGGATTTCAGGCGAGGAGAACTTAACAGATATATCCGACAACAGGGATTCAGTGCATTTCACATCAGTAGACCAAAGTTTTGAAACTGATGCCATGACTGAAGATGGTGATGAAGTCAATGGTCCAGATAGAGCTGAAAATGAAGAAATTGGTTCAGTGAAGAACAAGAAAGGCATAGATGAACTTTCAAGCAGCCTTATCGTAGATCCTGCTTCTATCAGGAGTAGCATATCTATAAGCTTGTGCCGGCAGTCTCAAGTTCTCCAAGAACCACTGCTGTCTGAATCTCCTAAAATTGGAAATACCAGGAAGAGCACGGCCATCTCACCATCAGCATTTTCCTCGAGTCAGAATAATGTTTCAGAGAGCTCAAACTTCCCCTCAATTGGAGCAAGTCAGTCGTTTAGGAGAAGTGAGCAGATTAGATCGTCACTGCGTTCAAGCAAGGTATTGGGAGGCCCCACTGACTCCCTGGCTGCTAGCCTTCAGAGGGGCTTGCAGATAATTGACCATCACCAACGAGCCTCGCCGCTGTCCAACAGATCCACGGCATCTTTCTCTTTCGAACACTTCGCATTGAAACCAACTGCTTCGGTTCACAAGTCCATGGAAGGTTCCCTCCCATCTACTGAAGAAGTAGCTTCTTCAGCCTCTTTACTTTGTTCATCGTGTGGCGAAAAAGTCGTCGTCGATGAAACCTCTACTCAGGCTGCGGCAGGTTGTGAAGTAGCCAATCCTGATGAACTGAGCAAGGTATATTTATTTCCCTCAACCTTGATTCTTTAATTGCTACAGAAGTTTCTGCTACTTTATTTTCTATGATGATTTTTTCAACTGGGTTTCTCATATTCTGTATGCATGATCAAATTCAGCGTTCAAGCGGTGATGAGCTAGTGAAAGTTAGCACTAGAGAGAAGGAATTTGAAATTCTTTGCAAGGAGCAGGCAGCAAAAATTGACGAGCTAAATAAGATGGTGATGATTCCTTCTGTGAACTTCTGCTTTGTCCCCTTTCTTTTGTAAACTAAAACTCTCTATTGTTGGTTGTGACAATCTCGAATGTTTCTGATCCAGGTTGAAGAATACAAAAAAGTTGCAGAACAGCAGCCCATGCAAAATGGCTATATACTAGCTCTGGAGGCACCATCCAAGGTTAGCTTTTAGATTGTTGGAAAGTGATATGGGATTTTGGCCTTATTTCCCAGTTCTTATTTTGCTACCATTCTTTTTGCAGTGTTTGAGACCTGGTTCTAAGGAGGGAAATGATGAATGTGAAGTGAAAGAAATGGTTTCAGATAATGCACACACAAGTTCCGACACAAGGGAGAAAGAAGAACTTCTGAACGAAATCGAAACTCTAAAGGCCAAGTTGAAGATGTATACCGACGCACCACCTTCAACGAAATCTACCGACTTGCTCAGATCATCTCTGCTCACACGATCCATTCAATTCCGGAAGAGCATAGACATGCGTCGCAGCCACTCCAGCTCCTTCAACGACGTCGAAGAACTGGAGAAGGAAAGACAGAGGTGGACAGAAATGGAGAGCGACTGGATCTCCCTAACCGACGAGCTGAGGATTGACCTCGAGTCCAGCCGCCGGCAGGCAGAGAAAGTGGAGACGGAGCTCAGGCTGGAAAAGGCCGTGACCGAAGAATTGGACGACGCTCTCCACAGGGCCGTGGTTGGACACGCCAGGATGGTGGAGCACTACGCCGACCTGCAGGACAGGCACAACGACTTGGTGGCCAAGCACCGAGCAATGATGGAAGGAATAGCAGAGGTGAAGAGGGCGGCAGCTAAAGCTGGAACGAAAGGCGGCCGCCGGTTCGCCAAGTCGCTGGCGGCGGAGCTTTCTGCGTTGAGGGTGGAGAGGGAGAGGGAGAGGGAGCTGTTGAGGAAGGAGAACAAGAGCTTGAAGCTCCAGCTTCGGGATACTGCTGAAGCTGTTCATACTGCAGGGGAGGTGCTCGTCAGGCTGAGGGAAGCTGAGGAAGCTGCATCATTTGCCGAGGTGCGTTCTTCACAAAGTAAACTTCTTTTGTGATTTTGAGCCGTTTTTACGAACATTATCTAAACAAGTTTGTGTTTTCGGTGATGGTGAGCAGGACAAATGTGGGAGCGTTGGGGAAGAGAATGAGAAGCTGAAGAAGCAGATGGAGAAGATGAAGAGGAAGCACAAGATGGAGATGGTGACGATGAAGCAGTATCTGGCGGATAGCAGGCTGCCGGAGAGTGCACGGCGGCCGATGCACGACGGAGAAGATTCGGAGTTGCTGCCGGAGAGTGGTTTCCCAGATGATGATCAAGCGTGGAGAGCTGAATTTGGAGCCATCTATCAAGATCACCATTACTGATCAGATTTGATTGATTGATTACTAGTTAAACAGGGAGCTGGTTTGTGTAGAAATTGTTTGATTAGATTAGAGACCCTACTTGGGTCAGTGCTTGTTGGCTGTAGTTATTTCTGTGTTCAAAGTTCCTTTTTGTTGTGTTGAGATCCGAATGTTGTTTGATTAAACCCTTAATAAGAGTGATCTACTGACCGGAACGATTAAATTTAAACGATGTGATTTTGGTGGAATTAACTAACGAAAAGAAAGAAATTTGTCAGATTCAAGTATGAACATTTAGATGTTGATGTTATCTATTGAATTCAAGTATAAACGTTTCGACGTTCACGTTAAATGTTGAATTTAAATATGATGATTTGTCATTTTGTTTGTAATGTAGTATTTTATTTAAATATGAACGAAGACGATAGGTAGATTATCTTAGAGTAGATTATATAAATGCACAATTTATTTGGTCTTGATGATTTTCTTCGAATGTTTTGTTAAAATCGGTATACAAACTGGCTGTACACGGTTTAAACCGCTTGTTAAACTGACGTGACGGTATAAATCGATTCAACAACCTTGGTATGGAGCATTGGAATGTGGATATGCGTAAAACGGCGTAGCTTAGCTTGGCTGTCTCCTCAAAATATCTCCATCAGTTAATTTTCACTGCGAGCAAACACCCACAGCCTGTGTTTTGCCTTACTTGCAGTGACTCGCGGCACTTCACCCTGAAAGAGATAGACATGGCGACGGCGGATTCTCCAAACCCATCCAACTCCGACGTTGATCTCCCTGATTCCAATGAAAACACTACTCCTTATTCCTCCTCCTCCTCCGACTCCTTGGTTCCCATTCAACCTCCCTCCTCCGCCGTCATCCCCGCCAGTTCTGCCGTCTGCCTCCTCGGCTTCGCTAGCGAGGCCGCCGGCGGCGCGTTGATGGGTTCCATCTTCGGTTTTGGTATCTCTCTTTGCTCCTTCCATTTAGCCCGTTTGTATAGCTGCTATCAAGTGGTAGTGCTGGCTGGAGCTGTTAAGTAAAGCGCATATGGGATTTTCGCAGATTTTGGATTTTGTGGTGATGTTGTAATTGGCATTTTAGGGTTCTTTGGCTTTCGTCATTAGTAGTTCATTTGGGATTTTCAGAAGCCTCTTGTTTTTGGGGAAGCGAGGGCTTGTAAACTTTCTTGACTAGGGTTTATGCTCTGTGTTAGAGCTTCAATTCATTGTTTTGCCTTATTGGTATGATAGGCTCATGAGGAATAAGCCACTCGGGGAAACGAAGAGTTTGATTGTTGTATTTGTAGCAAGGAAGTCATTACTTGGATATGGGCAGACAATTCTTTTCCATCTTGGTGATTGGTTTCCCTCTAATCAGAGCAACAAGAGCTGCTTGATTCCTTTAGCTCATAACTCTGAAAAATATTTCACTTTTTATCCCAATTGTTTGGCAGTAGGAAAACTTGTAAACCTCGTGAAGCTGGTTGTTCTGTGGAAATGATAGCTTCAGCTAGATTGTCAACTCGTTTATGATACTTCTATGTGTTTGAGAATTTGCTCCTGACTGTGAGTTAATTCTGGCATGTTACAGGTTCTGGATTATTTAGGAAGAAAGGTTTTAAGGGATCTCTCGGGGAGGCAGGTTCTCATGCAAAGGTAGGACTTGTGGGCTGTGGCTGATGATCTTGATGGGTTTGAAATTTGAATGTGTTGCTCATTCCTTAGCAAGTAATGTGCTTGGATTTGAATTATCAAGAGTGGAAATTCCCTCTTCTCTTACATGGCCAGTGGCCACTGCTTGGCTATGTGACAAACCAAATTAAGTTTCATACAAATGCAAATGTTTCCTCAAGCTTAATATATGCAATCTGAGGAACCATTGGTTGCGTGCTTACTGAAGACAGTTCTGTTTTTTCGTGTTTATAACATGGATGCACCAGACGTTTGCTGTTTTGTCTGGAGTGCACAGCCTGGTCATATGCTTTCTGAAGAGGATTCGTGGGAAGGATGATGGTATGAGATGAGAACTAAATCTCTCTGATTCTTTCCTTCTTGCCTTTATAAACAGAGTGTGTACACACACTCTCACGGATGCAAATTGACTGACTATGTATGTGTCTTGTCTTTGCAGTCATCAATGCAGGTGTTGCTGGATGTTGCACGGGTCTTGCTTTAAGCTTCCCAGGTATTTGATGGCAATGTTAACTGTCTTTGATAGGCACAAAGCCTTTGAATCCTCCTTAAAAGCTACAATAGCGTTTTCGGCAATGATATGGGCTACTATGCATGCAGGTGCACCTCAGGCTATGTTGCAGAGTTGTGTCACATTTGGAGCCTTCTCGTTCATCGTCGAAGGGATGAACAGGAAGCAAACAGCACTTGCTCATCCAATTAGTAACATGAGCAGCACAAGACTTGACAACCATCGCCTGCCTCGATCCCTTATGCTCCCCCTCTCAGTTCCGCTTCCAGAAGACCTAAGCAAGGCCTTCTCTTTCTTCTGTGATTCCTTGACAAAACCGAAGCGCCGCATCAAATCTCCGAGGCCTGGACCCTGGAGTGCTTGAACACTCGTAAACCGAGAGTCTAGGACAATGTATGATTGATGAATGAGCCTTGAAACTAAGACGGACTAAAGACTCGAATGCTTTCAGCTCTCTTGGATCGGATCCCAACCGAGTCCTGAGGGTTTTGGTCATATAAGTTTTCTCGAATTTTGAAAGCTGTCCCTTTTTCCTCTTTTGTAGATATAGTTTTGTTCATGTGTATCGATCATCAGTGAGTAGGGTGAGGCGAGGAATGCTGCATTTTGTCAAATGAGTGACTCTGCTGCACAATGTTCCTTGCAAAGTGCAAAGTACACTATTTCGTTTTGACATTCGAAAACGAACCCTCATTTGTTCCTCAAATTCTTACTCGTTCTACCTCATTTGTCCAAACAATATTTGAAAGAACTTAACAAATTATTGTCAAGGTGGTAGGAGGCTAGGAGCTATCTCCGACCGCATAAATTGGTTACTTTTTAATAATCCTGGTTGGAGAATGTTATATATGAAAAGGGTAATCATCCGCATGCAAACTCATAGGATTACAAAATAGTTAGCACCCATATTGCCTCAGGCTTCATTAATTCTAAGTTTCTAACGGCATAGTAGATGAATTTATGTTTGGCTAATAACTTGTATTTACCGCAAAAGCTAATATGTTTCCACAATACAAAAGCATTCCAACTCAGCATGCAATATGCACTCTCTTCTGTTTACTCTTCACAATTCCAAATCCGAATAGGTGCTTCAGTTCAAAAAAGAACAGCAGATGAGAAAAAGAAGAAAAAAACTAATAGATGCTTCCTGAGATTAGCCAAAGACGACTCAAAAGTCAAGTGGCACTTTTGAGCTCACTTCATGCCCTTTCACTAGTCCAAGGGAGAGAGATGGTAGAAATCAGCCAAGTAAGACAGAGCTTCCGAGTTGTTCTCACATACCTTCCACAATGACCCAACCTCACCTCTCGAAACAGTGCCCCAGTACTCGCAATCGTCTAGAAACTCCAACAGGTTTTTGTAGAACGAGTCATAGTTCATCACGATGAAGGGTACTGGAAGCTCCGACCCAATCCTTTGCAGCTGAATCAGTGCTAGTATCTCAAACATCTCGTCTAGAGTACCAATCCCACCTGGGAGAGCAACCACCGCAGTCCGATCAGTGGCTTCGTTCCTCACTGCAGCATCTACTAGCCCGTGTTTCCTGGCTGAGAAGAACCTGCCATTCGTCTGAAAACATATCAGTTCTGCCATAAATGCACAAATGGAGGGGCTTAGAGAGCAACACTACTATTGGTAATTGTTGTTTTACCTGCATGTAAGATAGGTTTCTGCTGGAAGGTAAGAATGAAAGTTTGAAGCTGTCCATTCCCCAGCTTCCTTACCTATCTTAAACCCACCAACAGGCTTTCCTGCTTGCAATGCGCCCTTAGTAGCAGCGTCCATTAGACCTGGACCAGCCCCTGTCCATGATGTGCAGTCCAAAAGCTTAGCAATCTGGACACAAAAACAGGATCAAACCACTTTCCTCAGAACTTATGATTGAAGTGGCATTGTGATCTTTTCCCTGAAAAACTTTTGAACCCACTAGAAAATGAACATTAAATGTATAAACTATCGGGAACAAGGGCTGACTTGCCTCTCTCCCAAGCTCAAATGCTTTCAAGTAATGTGGATGATCTGGTCCCATCCGTGAAGAACCCAGATAAACAGTTCCCCTTCCAAGTCTATTTATGAGATCGTAACATCGCTCTACCTCTTTTCTGATCTTCGATACAAGAAGAAGACACAAGCTGACCATTAAGCTCCCACAATAAGGTTTATAACAGTAGAACATCAAGCATCAAGCAAACCTAGCAAACAGACTAATAACCAACAGTTCCACGGAGCTTCTAATACAATACAGCAGCAAGCATCAGATGGTCCCCATCGTGAATCACTAAGAACAGCAACTGATCTAATCTTTAACAATCCAACAAACTCTTTGCTTCTTGATCTAGCAAAGCTACCCTACTCTAAATTCTGTGCTTATTGCTGGGACTGTGGAGTTCTAAGCAACAGAACATAAACACAAATTATGGATAGCTATTTACTTGAAAGCATAAACCTCGAACACAATCAATAGTGTCACCTTACAAACAATAATCACAGAAACCATAAACAACAATCAACTTGTAACCTCATAACATGGAGGAAAAGAGAAGGAAAAAAGGCTACCTCATGCGGACTCGTCCTCTCGTCGAAATCAACAAGTTCACTCTTGCACATCAAGTTTTTCCTCCGGCGGCAAGGCAGCGACTCCCGGCAATTAAGATTGACACCAAACCCCCATTTCCCACTCGAAGACTGAACCTCCGCAGCACTTCTCCCACGGAATTTCGTCACAACAACGCGAGAACCCAAATTACTCACCGTCGAAAAGCTCATCTCAGCCTTCAAAACAGTATCTCAAGAAACCCCACCAGACGAAGTGATCGGGAGTCTACACCAAACGGAATATATCATATATGTATCCAGGAAGAACCGAATTAACTAGCACATTAGGCAAGTGCCGATCGGAAAAGACGAAGCTTTACCAAGAGCCAAGCGCTTCTTCACCTGGGTTCCCCTCTTCAATTTGCCTTAGTGCCATTGTTCACAACGAATGAAAGTGACTCGCCGCCGGGCTCGTCCTCCGGCAACGGGATTGTTGTTACCACTCGCCTGGAAAGTAAACGGGCCCTTTCTCTTAGGTGGGCTAGTTTGTTGGGCTCATCCGGTCGTTCTGGACCCGAATTTACGATTTTACCCAACCAAACACGAGCACTGCTGAGGACAATGACGTAATTTGGAAGACTAGGGTTTTTGGACTATAACACCTTTAGCCTTCGCCTGGCACAATCTTCTCCTCCGCCGAAGCTGTGTTTTCTGTATCCCGGAGGGCTGCTGATATCCAGAGGGCCGCAGAAAGCCGTCGACTCCTCATTCTGCGAAAATGGGTATGTCTTATTCATCTCCGATTCTCGAGAATCATATGGTTTTTCAGGTTTTGAATCATTGTTGTAGGTAGTTGATGTTGATTTTTGTTCATTTATGGTTTTGGTGTTGGATATGGATAGGGATCTCCCGTGATTCGATGCATAAGAGGCGCGCCACTGGTGGCAAGAAGAAGTCATGGAGGAAGAAGCGAAAGTGAGTCCCCTCGAATATCATTCTCTGGTGTTCTTCTTCGTTCCCACTAGGGTTTGCGTAATGTCGCTCTGTTTCGTCCCGTTCCTGCTGCGAGGATAAGGAAAGAGTTCTGAGATATGGTTTCAGTGTTTTTAGGGGTTTATTGTCTTATTTGATTAAGTTTTAGTTTGTTTGAGGTTAGTTGAATTGGGTTTGTTACTTACAAGTTCGCTAAGGTAAGATGGATGTGCTCATTTCTAAGCAGTGAATCTCGAGTTTTAAACGAATGATATATCGCATGCTGTCTGTGGCTTGTGAGTAGTGAAGATATGGTCTCCATCAGTCTGTTCCGATGGTGCCAATTCGTTCTGTGCGCCTGTCGACTGTTTCTGTTGAGTGAGGATTAAATCGATGGCCAGCATGTATTCACTTGGGTCAAACTTCAATACTGTGCAGGTATGAGCTCGGAAGGCAGCCTGCCAACACCAAGCTCTCCAGCAACAAGACAGTCAGGAGAGTGAGGGTTCGTGGAGGCAACGTTAAGTGGCGTGCATTGAGGCTCGATACCGGAAACTTCTCATGGGGTAGCGAGGCGGTGACCAGGAAGACCAGACTTCTCGACGTGGTGTACAATGCATCTAACAATGAGTTGGTCCGCACCCAGACTTTGGTCAAGAGTGCCATTGTTCAGGTCGACGCAGCACCTTTCAAGCAGTGGTATCTCCAGCACTATGGTGTTGACATTGGTCGCAAGAAGAAGAATCCAGCAGCTGCCAAGAAGGAAGGAGAGGTAATGAGTGTTTCAGAGATGTATGTAATCGGAGAAACTATCATTTTCAGTGCTGACTCTCTTCCCTTATTTACTTTTCGAATCGACTGGGTATCTAGGAAGCTGAAGCTGTCCCTGAAGAAGTGAAGAAGAGCAGCCATGTGACAAGGAAGCTGGAGAAGAGGCAGCAGACCCGCCAGCTTGACTCACATATTGAGGAGCAGTTCGGTGGTGGGCGTTTGTTAGCTTGCATTTCATCACGCCCTGGTCAATGCGGCCGTGCCGATGGGTACGTCTGAGTTCTCAAATTCTCTCATGCTTGATATCGTTATATGATACCATGTTCATGAGTCTGCATTATCCATTATAACTGTTTTCTTGCCCTTTTGTGACTTAACAGATACATCTTGGAGGGCAAAGAGCTGGAGTTCTACATGAAGAAGTTGCAGAAGAAGAAGGGCAAGGGAGCTGGAGCTGCTTAATAGTTTTGATTCACTGGATATTTGTCAGCTTTTGTTCCTTGTTTTCTTTTTTCGGTCTTCAAGACTTTTTTTGAGATATGACAATGAGATGCCAAAGTTTCGCCCTTGTACTACTGCTGAACCATATACTTTAGAATGTTCATCATGTCCTCTAGTTAAATGATATGTTTCTGTTTATTCCAAAAGATTGGGTCGTGTTCCACTTTTTCTGAATCAGTGTTGAATTTTCTCAGCCAGTAGATCCGTCATCAAATACAACGAAGTGCTGAGACTGAGTATATGTAGATTCAGTATTTTATCACCGTACTCATGGTTCTGCCTCTACTTGCCAACGATCAATCTTCTAATGGAGAAAGGTAACGAACTAAGAAGCGTGATTCGACGAAGCTGAAAGAAAAGCGTTAATGAATTGAAGAAAAGACGTTATAAATATCGCAGATGAATGCACATCATTGGGGATGTAGCTCAGATGGTAGAGCGCTCGCTTAGCATGCGAGAGGTACGGGGATCGATACCCCGCATCTCCACTGTTTTTTAATTTTTTTTAATTGGTTCATTACAATCTCTCTACTTATGTTAATTGACTTTTTTTTAATTGGTTCATTGCAATCTCTCTACTTATGTTAATTGGGTCATTACGATCTATCATTTCTTCCAAACAAACATATTGATGACCAGATAGCTTACAATCGATTCTTAATCTATAAGTATTGTTATTTGTCATATCACACGGTCAATAACTTCAGCATTCGTGTTCTAACAGGTTGCTCTATATTTTTGTGTTCGTTGTATTAATATAGGGTTGGTGACTTCATTAAAGACGAGTTCACAATATCTCTCACAATTTGTAAAATAGTTTTCTTAGCCAGAACGTAGACCCGTCATCACGTACAACCAAGTGATAGAGAAGCTTTCATCGAGAGCGTATGCACATTCAATATTTGTCACAAACACGGATGGTTCTGCCTCTCAATTGTTTCGACGAAATCGTAGTGCGATTATATGAAAATGAAATCAAAGGATTAGAATAGTTCACTAGGAGTTTATATTATAGTCTATAGATAAGCATCTAATACATGTATCTGAGCAACATGTAGAAGAACGAGGATGTAGTTGTTGCTCAGATGGTAGAGCGCTTGCTTAGTATGCGAGAGGGACGGGGATAGATACCCCGTATCTCCACAGTTTTTTTTTTTTTTTGGATAAGGGTGATATAGGTGCACTATCAGTTCCTACCAAGGCTGCCAAACCTGTATCGAGTCAGTAGGTTCAATCGGGTATGACCATAATCGGTCATATAGACTATTGGAATACACTCTCAATTGTTCTAACAGGTTGCTCTATATTTTTGTGTTCGTTGTATTAATATAGGGTTGGTGACTTCATTAAAGACGAGTTCACAATATCTCTCACAATTTGTAAAATAGTTTTCTTAGCCAGAACGTAGACCCGTCATCACGTACAACCAAGTGATAGAGAAGCTTTCATCGAGAGCGTATGCACATTCAATATTTGTCACAAACACGGATGGTTCTGCCTCTCAATTGTTTCGACGAAATCGTAGTGCGATTATATGAAAATGAAATCAAAGGATTAGAATAGTTCACTAGGAGTTTATATTATAGTCTATAGATAAGCGTCTAATACATGTATCTGAGCAACATGTAGAAGAACGAGGATGTAGTTGTTGCTCAGATGGTAGAGCGCTTGCTTAGTATGCGAGAGGGCGGGGATAGATACCCCGTATCTCCACAGTTTTTTTTTTTTTTTGGATAAGGGTGATATAGGTGCACTATCAGTTCCTACCAAGGTTGCCAAACCTGTATCGAGTCAGTAGGTTCAATCGGGTACGACCATAATCGGTCATATAGACTATTGGAATACACTCCGATTGGACGATTCTAGAAAAAGTTAAAATCGTGTTAAACAAGTTAAAACCGGGTGGTATGATTTGTCAAAATTGAGTTTGAAAATGAGGATTGATAATTTTGTAATGTATAATTATTTTGAAGAAATAATTTGGTAATATATGTATGTAGATTAGCGAGGTTGTTTTAAAATATGTCAAATATATACTTAATTTATTTAATATTAGAGGTTTTATTACATATTATGTTAAAATCGACTTGAACTCGGTGAAACTTATCCGACCATTAAACCTCAAATAATTTGTCAATCCGGTTTGATGGCTTAATCCGGTTTGACAAGCTTAGTTCATATAGAGCTAGTGACTTCACTTCATTAAATACGAGTTCACAATATCTCTCACTATTTGTAACATAGTTTTCTTAGACAAAACCCAGATCCGTCATCACATACAATTAAGTTATCTAAAGGCTTTCAATCAAAGTATATGTAGAGTTTCGCTCAATTGTTCTCAATGAAATTAAATGACTTTTTCCAGAAATATCACTGTTTAAAAAAAAAATTCCAAAAATACCACCCAACCCCAAAAAATTCCAAAAATACCAGCTTTTTAAAAAACCACCACCCCACCCTGCGGTTTACACGAAAACCGCTGGGCGGGGGCGCTGTTTTCTATGCAAACCGCGGGGCTAAGGGGCGGTTATAAAAAAAAATTGGACCATACCGCTGGATGGGGTGGCGGTTTGGCCCAAAACTGCCACCCCACCCAGCGGTTTGGTCCAAATTTTTTTTTTTTCTGATCAACTCCTAACTTCCGCCGAAACTTCAAACCACCGTAACTTTGCACTCGGGTATCCGATCGTAGCGATTTTTTTTTCATTTCGTATAACTTTTAAAGATCTAAAACTTTTACTAGGATGAAATTTTCATAACAGGAATTAGTTGTGGATATACGGGATCTTGAGAATAACTTTACCTTTACTTTTCACAAATCCATGTACATTTTGAAATTATGATTATCCTAAAAGTTGTAGATCTTGAAAAGTTATGCGGAATCAAAAAAAATTTCATGACGTTCGGATTTTGGAGCACAAAGTTATGGCCGCCCAAAGTTTGACGAAAGGCGAGACCCGGCGGTTTGCGGCTTGCAAGATCTCAAAAAGTTTGCGGCCTCCATTTTTTGAATTCGAATAACTTTTTGAGATCTTGCAAGCCGCAAAACGCCGGGTCCCGCCTTCGTCTCGAAATAACGTCATTTGCCACCCCGAACAAGCCTTTTTTTATAATGGTGACGAACAAGCCTTTTTTTAATTTGTCAAACTTTGGGCGGCCATAACTTTGTGCTCCAAAATCCGAACGTCATGAATTTTTTTTGATTCCACATAACTTTTCAAGATCTACAACTTTTAACATAATCATAATTTCAAAATGTACATGGATTTGTGAAAAGTAAAGGTAAAGTTATTCCCAAGGTCCCGTATATCCACAACTAATTCCTGTTTTGAAAATTTCATCCTAGTAAAAGTTGTAGATCTTGAAAAGTTATGCGAAATGTAAAAAAAAATCGCTACGATCGGATAGCCGAGTGCAAAGTTACGTTGGTTTGAAGTTTCGGCCGAAGTTAGGAGTTGATCGGAAAATAATTTGGACCAAACCGCTGGGTGGGGTGGCGGTTTTGGGCCAAATCGCCACCCCACCCAGCAGTTTGGTCCAATTTTTTTTTATAACCGCCCCCTAGGCCCGCGGTTAGCATGGAAAACCGCGCCCCCGCCCAGCGGTTTACAGGCGGTTATTGAAAAAGGGTGGTATTTTTGGAATTTTTTGGGGTTAGGTGATATTTTTGGAATTCTTTTTTTAAACAGTGGTACATTTGGATTTTTCCCGAAATTATAGTGCGACTGACGAACTCAAATGGTTAAAAAGTTTACTAGGACTTTATATTATAAACAAATGATTAATAAATCTATCTAAGCAAACGCCATAACAATGAGAATGTAGCTCAGATGGTAGAGCGCTTGCTTAGCATGCGAGAGGTACATGGATTTACATCCTGCTTACACATGCGCCGCCTACCTACCATTTAGGTGGCACCGGCGAGATCTAGCTAAGGTAAAGAACTTCGTGTCGCGGCTACTCCACTCCGCCGCGGTCTCATGAAGTTCACTTCCTTGCCTTCCCGCGCGCGAAGCGAATGGGCCCTGTGCTGTGCGTCAGTTTCGGGGCGGGGTGCGAAAAGAGACCAGAAGAATGATTCATTTGGATCGACGAGAATCAGATCTAACCCGTCTCCATCATTTTATCATCTTTTAAAATCTATGTAATTGTGTTAATTGATTAATCACCATCGGTTCATTAAAGATGAGTTCACAATATCTCACACTATTTGCAATATCAGGTCTTCGTTCGGTGAGGAATGCTAACCTGGCTATGCTCGCTAAGAGCGGATGGAGACTCCTCAAAGAGAAGGACGCTCTGTGGACCCAGGTGGTCAGGGATAAGTATGGCCGGAACAAAGAGAACCTGGATCTTTTTCGCTCTATTCAGGGAAGTTCCTTTACTTGGAGAAGCTTTAATAAGGCTTCTCCCCTCCTAAAGGGGGGTTGTGCGTGGAATATTAAGAACGGGAAAACTACTAAATTTTGGCATGACCCTTGGATTGTGCAGGAACCTCTCTTGAATCTAGCGGAAGCGGAGGTCCCCAACTCGCGCAGGGACGAGGTGGTGGCGGACTTGACCTCAGAGGATGGAGGATGGCGCACGGAGCTGTTCGAAGGTCTTCTCTCGCCGGAGATGCAGATGAAGATCACCAGCGTGGCGGTGGATAAGCTTTCGAGTGAGGAGGACACCCTCTTCTGGGCTCTATCGTCGAATGGCCAGTTCACCACGAAGACTGCCTACCAGTCCCTTTTACCTGAAGGGAATGATCCGGATGCCAAGTTTTGGAAGATTATATGGAGCCTTCCTGTCCCAGAAAGGGTTCGGTGTTTCGTTTGGCTCGTGAGTCTTGGGAGAATTGCGACTAATGCTCTTCGACACTCTAGGAAGATCACCGACTCGGCAGACTGCGGAAGATGTAGTGGTCAGACTGAAACCATTCTTCACATCCTTCGGGACTGTCCTCCGGCTGCTTATTTCTGGGTGAGACAAGCGCCAAGCGAGAGACAATAGGCTTTCTTCTCGGCAAATACTGCGGACTGGTTGCGGGGGAATCTGGCAGCGGATGAGGTTGAGCATGTCGGGATTCAGTGGCCTGCTTTCTTCAGCACTGCGGTTTGGCTGTTATGGAAGAACAGGAATGACATGTGCTTTAAAGGTATCTCTTCCACCCTCACCCCTCCTTCCTTGACTCACTCGATTGTTGCTAAAGCCAAGCTTTGGAACGAGGCATGGCGAGCACCCTCTTTGTTGCTGAATGGAAGGAGAGCTGCGGCGGCCCGGGTCATGGCAAATATTGCCTGGAGCCCGCCTCCCGAGGGGTGGGTGAAACTTAACATTGATGGTGCTTCTAATGGGAACCCGGGGCTTGCTGGGGCCGGAGGTGTTTTGAGAGATGAGGTTGGGCGTTGGCTCGGCGGCTTTGTTGCCATGATCGGTGAAGCCTCTGCAGCTTTGGCCGAGTTGTGGGCTTTTTATCATGGCTTGGATACAGCTTGGAATTTGGGTTACCGCCAGCTCGTGGTTGAATCGGACTCGCAACTGGCCATTCAGCTGATTGAAGACAGACATGATCCGGTCCACCCTTATGCCACTTTACTTGCTGCCATTCGCAGGAGACTTAGCCGTGACTGGCTGGTGCGCGTTGTTCATGTATACCGGGAAGGGAATAGAGTCGCGGACTGGCTCTCGAAGCACAGTCTCGTCTATCCCTACGGTGTACAGGAACTCGTACACCCGCCTTCAGGGGTCGTGTCTATTCTTCAGGATGATACTCGGGGAGTCTCTTTTGAGAGGCGGATTGTGCCCCGCCAGTGTAACTCCTTCTCCACTCATTTCCCCATGTAACCTCTCTTCTTGGCTTTTGCCTCCTTCTATGCAAAAAAAAAAAAAAATTACTTGAGCATTTGTGTGCTAACGGGTTACTCTATATAAGCATGTTCTGTGCATAAATATAGAGCTGGTGACTTCACTTCATTAAATACGAGGTTCACATTATTTGTAACATAGTTTTCTTAATCAGAACCCAGATCTGTCATCAAGTACAATTAAGTTATTTAGAGGCTTTTACTTATAAGCGTATGTAGAGTTCCGAGTCAATTGTTCTCTATGAAATTATAGTGCGACCGATGAACTCAAATGGTTAGAAAATTTTACTAAGACAATTATGGGGATGTAGCTCAGATGGTAGAGCACTCGCTTAGCATGCGAGAGGTACGGGGATCGATACCCCGCATCTCCACCATATTACCTTTTTTTTTTAAATCTATCTAGTTGCGTTAATTGATTAATAACTATCGATCCATTCGAGTTCTTGCATACATTTCGATAGGTGATTTCATTAAAGATAGATGGGTTCACAATATTAATCACCATCGATCGATTCGGGTTCCTACATACATTTTGGTAGTTGATTTCATTAAAGATCACAATATCTCGCACTATTTGTAATATCAAACAGTCAATTACTTGAGCATTTGTGTGCTTAAGGGTTACTCTACATTTGTATATTCTTTGTATACATATAGGGTTCACAATATCTCTCACAATTTGTAAGATAGTTTAATTAGCTAGAAACTAGATCGGTCATCACGGCTTAATCTCGTCAGAAATATCTCAATAATTACATTTTTTTTAAAAACAGTTGCAGTCAAACAAAAGAGCAGCCAACAGAAGAACAGCTCACTGGTTCATTTTGGACTATGCAATTCCCAGAATTTGGGGATCTCTTTCTCCACATATTTATTTGCAGGAATCACAGCAGCAGCAGCAGATACAAAGCAAACAAAGGAAAAACAAGCAGTCCAGAATTAGTATTCTTTCATTTCCAGAGCTAACTTTTCTTCTTTTCAAAGAGGAGGGGAGCTGGTGCGCTGCAGCTCCTGATGCAGAGCCTTCTCCAGCCAGGCCTCGGCATCCTCCATCATCCCGGGGCTCAGCCTCACCATCAAGATACAGAACTCCGCCTCGCTCAGCGCTCCGTCGCCGTCGAGATCTCCTTCCCTCACCATGGCCTCCGCGTCCTGCTCCGTCATCCCTTCCATCCCCAGGAGCTCCGAATTCGCCCGCAGGCTCCCGGACGTGATGAGCCCCTTCTCGGCGTCGCAGAGTAGCTGAAAGCCACCGCACAGCTCCTTCACGAAGCCCTCCACGTCCAGCTTCTCCGCCATCACCGGCAGCAGGTCTTCGTACTCGGTTTCGCTGCTGCGATTGCTGATCGGTAGACTATTCTCCATCTGGTTTTTCTTCTTCTTCTTTCTCTGAGGAACGGTCAAAACAGAGAGTGCAGAACAACAATGGGGAAGAGAATGGAATGATTCGATATTTGGTGCTGAACTGCTGCCGAGTCTTCTTATTAAAGACGTTGATTATTGCTAGGGGCTGTAGAGGCAGGCCCTTCGATGTTGACATTTCTGAGGAGGTAAAGGACTCTGTTTTTATGAGAAACGGTCAAATGCCTCAACTAGCTTTATGATATTTTCAAAATCATGAGAGCCCATAATCAAAGTAAAAGAAGAATTCGTCTGACCTGTGTCACAAGGCTAATTACATTTCAGATGCTGAACCAGTAAGTCTTCCCGAAATCTCCCACTGGCCAAGGTCATGGATCAAGTGATAGACAGTGTTGTTAACAATCACAAGGATTCGTGCAGATTGCGAGACTCTTGTGTACAGGGTTTCCAAGTCGATTTTGGCAGGATGGTTCGGTTGAACATACATGGTGAGGAAACAATCTTTGCGAGGCTCTGTCGAACCATGAATCCACGATTATGATTGCCAAGTACCTCCCAGTCTGGCACCGTGCTCTTTAACTATGCGAGCCGATCCCAAGAGTATCTCTTGTTCAGTGGCATAGCAATCATATTTGCTCTGTGAAGAAAAAAGGAATCAATTAGACATGAGAAAAATAGTTAGACGCAATTCGTTAGCTACCGATGGTTGTATACTGTCCTAGTCAGTCGTAGCAACCAGAATTACGCACAAAATGTGGAGAGATATCACAAATTTATATAGAGTTTCGACATAAAATAAGGCTCTAGATACTTTGCTTAGGCCAATTTAGGTGAAGATTATGCATAATTTTGACCAACAGTAACTCACGGAATCGTTCCACCATCTGTCTTTCTACATCATACATGGCTATTTAGCTTTTTATGGTTTGAAATCTAAACTATGCAGGGAGCAAATGATAGAGAACTCATAACATATTAGATTCCATAATGAAACAATAATTCGTGGAGACTAAATGATGTTAGGTGGAAGAGACTGTAGAGAAGAAAGGTTACCATGTGTTTAAGATTGCATCCCAAAGTCAATTCTGCAGAGGAGCTTCCGATTTTAGACAAGAAACAGTAAGGGACCTCCTTCCCCAAGAAAACCTTTGGGTTCGACTTTATCATTGCCTCAATGTCCTTCGAAATTTGTGCAACTTTGTCCACATCATCAACCACCAGAGGAACTACTTTCACCATAGCGCGAAAATGAGCACGAGACTTATTTACAATCACCTGCAAGTTTCACAGACCAAGATGAAGGAACTTTGCATCATCAAACAGGTAGAGCAAGCCCTAAGACTCTTTATAAGATCACAACCCGTAGAGGGAAAACATAGAAGCATCAACAAACATGCACGCACCTGACTAGAAAACAATGAATTCGGGACTATCACTGGAAACTTTTCAGCATTTAGTAACATCGTAGAAGTTAGTCCCATCTCAATCACTTGACCTTCAATGGAACCCGCCTGCATTCAAGAGATTTAGTTTCTCAGATATATAAGGCAACCAATTAGTATATTAATCCAAAGGATTTAGAAACAAGTGCCTAAGCTAATTGAGCTACCATTGAACACCTAAAAGACATCTTTTACATTCATATATTTGAGAAAAAAATGAGCAACTAAAAGCTAAACACTAATGATTACATGGGCTAATCAACCGGAAAATAAGGTTTTATACATACATCATTTCGCTAAAGTATGCATAGGGTTCGTGAACCCTTTCCTTCCAACTAAATAGAACCTAAGCATAAATATTAAATTCCCTCATTATGTCATAACTGGAAGTGTTATTGTGGTGCTACAAATACAAACAGACCAGAGGGCTTATTATTAAGTACTCTTAGGACAATTCATCTAGAAGTTCACCAAAAGGATCTACTTACCTGTATCGTATCTCCAATTGAGAAAGGTTTTGAAACTCCCATTGACAAACCACTGAGAACGTTTCCAAGCACATCCCGAGCAGCAAATGCAGTAGCCACTCCTACAGAGATTAGAAAAATACACAAAACCAACAGAAGATCGAATCAATGATGCAACTTTCGAACATCGAGGTATAATAACAAATGCAATCCACACTAAGACAAACCCACCTCCAACTCCTCCAACTGTCAAAATAGACTGCACTGCCACTCCAGATGCCTCAGCAAAAGCCGCCAGGCCAATAACAAAAAGCCCCACAGACGAAACTCTATCCAAGGTCAACCACTTATCTCGATCAGCAACGGCCAAACTATGTGAAGCCAGTGCACGACTGATCAAATTGGTCTTCCACCGATAAAGAAACCACACCAAAGAAACCGTTGTCGCACCCTTCCATGCTTGTCCGAGATACTGTGTTGCCACGGTTGTTGGAGCCAGCATAGCACAACTACAAACGGAAAAACCACGCAACTACTCATTGCATAGCTCAGAAAGACAACCAAACGAAAGACAATTTGTGCGATTTTCAGGAACTAACATTTGTGAAAACGCCATGAACGTAACCAAATAGCGCAGAGGATCCTCCAAGGCACCCCAAACACTCTTCTCATAAGGAACTTCCTGCCCGCTTATGCTTGTGGAGAGCACTCCACCAGGACTTCGCACTGCAAACCTCTGAAGCCTCCTCAAGAGTTTCGGCATTACCACCCACGCCAATATCGTCCCAGTTAGTGTGTAGCCAATAGGAACAACCACAGTGTTGAGATAGGGATGCGAATCAAGCACATTCTGAACATGAGGGTTCATTCCATCAGAGACCTCTTTCGCCCTTTCTGCTGTATAGTTCACAGCACAAGTCACACCGTGCCATACATCGTTAAGCTTATCCACCCACTCCCCACCACCAGTCCCATCACCACCAATATCAGTTCCAGTTCCAGCAAAGACTTCACTACCACCACCACCAGGTTTCTCAGCTCCGCCATTCGAGGTCGAGAAATGGAACCGTTGAATCGAGAAAGGGCTCACAGAGCCGAAAGGAACTGTTATCGCGGAGTAGGAAACAAGAAGCGGTGACGAGTATCCCGTCGCCGAATTGGAACCGAAACGCTTCGAATAAAGCGAAGTCGGCGGCACAGTCGCCAAATACCTAACCAGCCGACATTCTGCCGGGGAGTGATCGCCGGAAAGTAGTGACCGCTGAATCCTCCAGGCAGACCTAATGGAGCTACCAGCCGCCCTCGGATTCGAAAACCTAAATCCTTCCATCAATGAGACTCCGCCACCGGAATTCGTACAGCTATGAACGGAGGCAGAGAACCGAGGCGAGAAAGAGCTGGGGTTTTTTTTTCCCCTGGGAGGAGACGGTTAGTATGGTAGCAATACGGCGTCGTTGAGCAAACATTTGGGCCGCTGTGGGCCTAAAAACTTGGCCAAGTTGGGCCTCTGGCTTCAAAGAAAATTGTTAAAGCACAAGGAAATTCTGCTTCACCATTTCATTTTTCACCAAGCCATTCTGCAAAAGCCACAGAGGAAAGAGACGTAGAGAATAAGCATAAGACACACTATCCAATTGCAGAACATGACTGGATGGCCAAAGAACACACTGAGTTGACAATTTGATGCCTGAATCCAAGTGCTATATGATTCAAAGTCGGTAGTTTACGGTACATAGACATGTCTCAATGACAAGGCAGACATTATTCTAAGTAAATCCCGAGGACTTGGACAATACGAAATTGCTGCAACTCCACGAATCGGTCTTCTTCCGCCCCTTCACTAAGAAAGATCACTCTACGCTCAGGACTTCGATCTCGAAAATCAGAGGAGAATTGGGCAGGATTCCCCATGCTCCGAATCCAGCAGCTCCATAGGCGTAGTCGGGGGAGCACTGAAAATTCATGCATGGAAATAAGATTATTAGGTAAGCAGAAGAATATAGAAACGGCAATGGTGGTGAATTCTTTTAAGAGTCTTTAAGTATAACGACATTCGAAGCCTAATACTATTCGGTACAGTCATCTGTTCGCTTGCCAAGCCGGATTTTGAAATCCAAACAGTTGACCTGCGATATCGCTACCCTAGATATGACAACGAGTCCATCATCTACCAACAAGGGTGAGTGGCTCTGGAGTTGGACTAGCATACAAGGTTGTATCTTTTTTTCTGACAAGTTTTCCAAAAAGCTTATTCAATTCACCCCACCATAGAAGATTCAACCCCATCAAGCAACAGACTCGCTACCGCTGTGCATCAAATGCTGGGTTTCATTTGCATTTTGCAGTTAGGGCAAAGGCTTTCTTATTTAGAGCATAAACTATAAGTCTATAATCCAACTTATGGAAAAAGCACCAAGGGAACAACTTCAACAAGGAACATTACCCGTAGACGAGCAACTTCTCCCACTTGCATTCCCATGACTCCCTCGTCCCACCCTACATATAAATTTTACAAGGATTATCAGCAGTTGCACAAGAACTAAGAAGATTGATACAAGGATTACAAGCACAAAATGCTCGTAGATGAGCTCACGAGAACCGGAATGCAGACAAATTGACCCTGGAGGTACAAAGCTGATCATCCAGCCAAAACTCTCTTTTCCAAATACTTACATTGCAAATTAAAGCTAAAAGAAACGTTTTTTCCAAGCAGATCCACTGAACAAAATGTGTGCTGAACCATATCGAAAACCTTTCTGCTTAAAGTGAAGTACTGGGTGCTCACCCTAGGAAAGGATTGACACTGACAGCATCCAAAACCCACCTATCTATTCTTACCATAGACCATTGTACGATCCAAAAATTAGGGGGCCAAAACAAAGCACAATACAACAGTGCCCAGATAATGTGGAAGATAACCAAGCAGCCAATGAATCCAACTTCAAAGCGAGAAACGAAAACACAAGGGCTCACCTTTTATGACGCTTCCCTTGCCAATATTGAAAGAGAAAGGCTGCTGCCCTGGGTCCTTTGTGCTGATATACAGAAACATGGGCAACACCATTATTAAACTCACAAATACAATTGAAAGATCTGGAAAACTGGAAACAAATTTTGCAGGCCAAAGTGACAGAACCCATAGTAAATTAGTAATGCAACAGAATGTGAGAAGTGAGAAGCCCTCACCTCCAGAACTTCTCAGACATATCACCATTTTTCCCTACAAATCGATAGGCAAAGATAATCAAGCAATGAATCGCGCCAAAAGACCTAGCTACGTTCACTACCAAACTAATTCCTAAAAAGTTCATCACTATGATGAACGCGTCAAGAGTGCGCAGATTGAATGCCAACAAAGCTTACCAAAGCCGGTGCAATGGACGGTGACTTTCTGGCCGCGAGAAGGTTTGGGGCCATTTCCTGGGCGGATGATCTCCTTCTCGAATCCCATCTGTGCCTTTCTTCTTCTTCTTTGCTGTGGATCGCTCTCGGTGCTGTTTTGTGAATTTTTGCGGGTGTCGATGTTAGAAGAATTTCCTCTGATGTACGGTTATTTATACAGTTGTAGAAGGTGCTGGATGCGGAAAACAGGAGCCAGAGCCTTTCAACTTACGGGCCCAAAATAAAAATAAAGAACTTATAGGCCCAAAGCTGGCTTCTTATTGCGTTTATGGGCTACCACGCCCCACTCACAACAAAATTAGCCTATAATTTATGACATTCTAGGTGAAAAACCGTGATCATCAAATTTAAAATATGAAATTGTTGACATTAGTGGAATATGATTATATAATAATAATAATAAATTATACATTATTATCCATAAATTTGTCCTCCCTTATAGAAAATTTATGAGATAATACTAGTAATTCGTAAATTGTTTTCGATTCGCACCCAGGTTCCTGCCTGAAGAAACTTACATTCAGTGACTTTTCTTTCTTTCATTTAACTCCGAGCCCTAGTTAGTAAAATACGGTACGAAAAAGTTATGTATAAAATACGTACGGGTAATTTACTTCATCTCTAAGCTAATGTTACGTTTCATAATACGTTAATAGTCATAAATATATAAAATTAATCATTTTAATAAATAAATATATAAATAATAGTAAAGTTAATAATTTAATTTATTAAATATGAATATTAAACGTGTTATACGGATTTTATACGTGTTAGTACCGGAGTTGTCAAATGAACGGAAACAAATGAAACGGATTGACAATAATACAGATACGAAAATTTTAAACGGATAAAGTATGTACATGTACATATACGTGTATTAAACAGAGTATTTACTAACTATGCTCCCGGCTGATATTGAACAATATGATGCCATCATGTCCATGAATCATGATAATTGTCGAGCTTTGTGTATTCCTATGTTACACAGTTGCAGAGACTTCCAAGAAACAATCAACCCCCGCCTAACTACGTCAATGACACAACTCTACAACAATGGCAGTCAGGTTAGGACAGCCGCCTAGCCACTCATCAGCCGGAGAAGAAGAAAATGGCCTTCAGTTTACCTTCACCCTCCATGTCTGTCAATAATATAGAACCCTATAATGGTTAAGATCAGACTGACAGAATTTACATTCAGCGTCAGCTTCGATCCATGTTTACGAGCAAGCTCTCCCACAAGAGCACGCAAATTGTTCTTCTGCTGTTAAATTTGCAGCATCCGGGTGTTTCCAAGCATCTCTTCACGATCTTTATCATGAAGCGCACACAGAATGAACGTTTGATTGAAGAAGGGAGTATTTCTTCTCAACATGCAAAGCTTCTCACTATGCGTCCAAGCCTGCTGATCACAACCACTGGATTAGCATACGAATCGTCGAGATATATGGCGTGATACTCCAGCCCTTTCCACTGAGCAATCAACTGAAAATGCGGGCGTCTGAACTCTGCGCTCACGATCTCAAGAATCACAGTTCTTGGTGTAGCTGACAGAATGTGAGTCAGGCCAGCACCATGAGCGCCTATGATAATCGAAGCCTCTTGAATGGCTCTCAGTTGCTCCCTCATTGGCATGTGTGCCAATAAGCCGTTCACTACCTTCACTTTACACTCTGACTTGTTGTTATGTTCAGATGATGCCCATTTCTGTACAGCATCGAACACGACTTGTTCATTGCTCAGTCTCGATTGAACCTTTCCATCATGGCGCGGGTGGGCCAAGTAGTCTTCCCGCCTCACAAAAAGAACGTTGAGGCCTGAAGCTGGCTTTTCAGTACCGGGCTTATTGACCGGGAAGTGAAAGGCTGCTCTTATCATTTCTCCAAACTCTGACAATCGTGCTGTCTTGTGGTCATCTGGGTTCATCCAAAGTTCTTTCCCGTCAGCTCCATAACAGAATATGTCTTCAGTTAGACCCTTGAAGAGGGCGGTCTCGTATCCCAGAGGAACAAGTACAGCGTGACGGTAACAAACTGAGCCGGTGAAGTTTTTAGCATATCGGATGCTAGAGAAGAGAGCACTCCAGGTTTCTTCCAAGGGCGTCTGAAATTTTCTCAAAAAGATGAGAAATCAATGAGCGAGCTATAAATGTAGTGTCTGACACAAACCAAGGCCGAAACGCAATACACAAGGTTCGAGTGAAGTTCATTAATGGAGTGCACGTAGTTTTCAAAATTCACATTAATGGGGCAGAGAAATGAAAGAAAAAAAGACTGTGAAAGCCTGTAACTCCACATGAGCCTAACGAGAACATATGAGATAAATTGCCTGTGTTCGTGATAAAGAAGTTGAATCATTCGTTGAGGGGAAAAAAAAGACTAAAGAAAGCTCAGAGTTCCAGAAAACAACTCATTTTCCATTGATGTTCATAAACCAAGGAGAAGAGACATTCGAATTGATACAACAATACCACAAATTAAAGCTCTATGATGCATCTAATTCAATTCATAATTCACGCCCCTCTTGCAACTAGAATAACAGCACATGGAACCCAACATGAGCAAAAAGCATAGTAAACTTGTCACCAGAATAATCACATAAAATAGGATCTTTTATCCCCAAAAACACAGAGAATCCTGGCTCCTGAAGTGGCTAGCTAAGATTATATACTGAAGCAATGAGAACATCACATAGAGAAATAAGGACCGGCTCTGAAGTTCCTGGTTTCACAGTTGCTCATTATTTCTGATAAATTAAGTTGCTGTGCTCTCAACTCAATACGTAACGCAAACACTAGAAAAAAACATCTACAAAGAACCATTTCAAAGGAGAGAGCAGAGAGGGAACGTACTCTACAATGGCCATCCACAAAAACCAAATGCGGCCGGTAAGGCAAATCGGTCACTTTAGAAGCCGCATACGAACTGTACCAATCTGTTACAGTGTGGAAAAGGTTTGCATACTCAAATCGGGTAACCAGCAATGTTGGCTCCTCAATCCACTGCAAGGAATGCAGAAAGATTAAGACCACACAGAAACCACAAGCATACAGAAAATCATGACATGATGCAAAAAATGGTACTTGCAAGATCATCCAAAATCACTTGAATTAATCCATAATCAAGCAACTATACCATTATCATGGCATTTCCTCGGCATCCTAAAGCTACATATCTCTTCCACTTCCAGATTTCCCCTGGCAATTAATTTCTCAATGAATCGATCAGGAGCTCAGGACAGCATTCAATATCGTTCTGTAAACAATATCTAAACCTCCAATTCCAGAAAAGGAAATATGCAAACTTTCTGATGAGTAGTTCAAATGTTCAATAGTTGATCCGAACTTCCTTAAGATCAAATACCCAGAGAAAGAGATTCATCAAAGGAGTCGGAGCTAGAACCCTAACCTGATCGCACTGGAACTCCGTGGCATCCACCACTTCAATCGAGCTCACAAGCTGCCGAATCGTGTGCCTCTCAATTTCCCCCGGCGGCAGGTACTCGCCGAGAAACTCCTCGTCCACAAGCTTCCTCTTCTCACTCCCCAAGGAACCCAGAATCTGAAACGCGCCGTCCTGAAACGTCGGCATCTCTTCTTCCTCATCCCGCCCAACAACCTCCTGCAGCGTCTCCCCGCCTCGCGACACGGCAATCCTATCGGGGACCATTCGAATCCCGCCGCCCTCGCAGACCGAGCTCAGCAGCGTCCGGCTGAAGAAGCAGCGGAACCACCCGCCGGCGGAGGAGCGATCGGGAGAAGGCGGGAGGACATCGACGCGGCGGGTGAAGCCGTTGCCGAAGTAAGCCTCGCAGGAGCGGTCCTTGGGCTTGCGAGTCCAAGGGAGGTGAGAAGGGAGGACGGGCCAGGGCTTGAGGTAGCCGTCGGGGGTGGTGGCGTTGGAAGGCGGCGCGTGGTCGGTGAGGAAGTGGCGGTTGGGGATGAGAGGGAGGCGGTGGCGCGGATCGGAGAAGGGAAGCGGCGAGGTGTGGTGGCGGAAGGAGAAGTAGAGGAAGATTGTGATGGAGTTGAGAGCGAAGAGGGGAATCAGGATCCAGAGGAGCTTCGACTGAGCTCGGCTCATTTCAGATACATTCCGAATCGGAAGGAGACGATTGGGTTCAGCAACTCCGGCGGGTGAAGGGTCGAAATGGGAAATAATGGGTTGGGGGAAGCAAGCGTTTGGTCGCCGTTGCGAGCGTCCGTCAGACGATTGAATCCTGCCCTAATTGATTTGGGGTAAGCCCTTTTTCCCTGTCGTATTCCTTTTTGTGGAAATTCCGCCATTGGAGAGAACAATTCTCTCCTGTCAAAGAAATGTCTTTGGCTCGTTCGGTTACAAGTACCTGAACAATGCGCGTAGAGTTAAATAAAGAAGGTGAATTTTAAGTTTAGTCGCTCGGGTCGGGTTATCAAATATGTTTCACTTGTGCCACCAAAGAAAATTTTCATTCTTATTAGTCATCGAACTTTTATTTCAACATTAGTCATTGAGCATCCAACTCCGCTAAGTTTGTCTTAGATTATCGTCAATTATAACTTTTGATCGTTAATGATATGACTTGGAAATTAAAACAATATAAAAATTATTTATAATTATACACATCATCTCACCACCACCCAATCTGACTATTAGTTCCAACTAAACCACCCATACCCTTGGATTGGCGGAAATTATCATCTCCAGTTCTCTCGAGGCGACGTTTGGTTGGCTGAAGAATTATGTAGCAACAAAGATCGCATTTTGAAACAACGTTGACATGGATCTGAAGATTGATTGGTAAGAAGCCGTATTGTGAGTGAGACTGAGACCTGGCTGCTGAGCTATCCAATTGAAGAACCATAGCATCGACGATTGGGGACTCGACAGAGGGGAACGATCGAGGTTGTATACGTGTTGTGACTATCCTTTTGACTAAAAATATTACCAATTGATTTAATCTCATAGTATGGACTATAAAAATTCCAACCTCATGATTTGATTAGATTTGGGTTCGGCTTGTTGGTCTGATGACAATCTATCGATCTCATAACCTACTTTATGAAGTAAGATTTCTTCTTTTATTTGGTGCAATAAAATCATTCAAATTCTTCATGAACAGAAAAAATTGAAACTAACATACGTTAGAGAATTTTTGACATCCTACCTAGTACATTTACTATGATCTTATCGATAGTAACAAATCAAACTCATGCAAGAAAGCCATCTCATAAAGGACCTAGTAACCTACTTAATCTCGCTCCTACCAGAAATCGCAGTGAGTTTCCATTTTTTTATAGTATTTTTGCGTTGCCATCAAAACCTCCTTATCTACCAATAACCATGCCATCCTCTTCTTCATCGGCTGATGTATCTCCATTATCAATAGTCTCTTACTTGTTCTTGTTGGAAATGGTGAATTGTTTTGAAAGCTATATGTCTCAAGGCAAGACTGTCACATTGCTGGGAGAGTTCTTGTCAAACGAGTATAAAAATTGAGTTCTCTTATAAGGGCATTGCTCCTTGGGATGACCCACTTTTGTGAGAGAATCAAAACCTAATGGGCCACTATACACGTGCCTGTCGTTGGGACTACTATTTATGGAGAAATTCCAAACTGAATTATTCTGTATCTTTAAAAGGAATTCGAGAGATAACTCGGGTAATTAGTTTAATTAAGGAGAGGTTTATCTCCTAATTAAGCATGACTTATCCCCATGAAAGAGGAATTTTGAGGGGTCTCGACTCGTATAAATAGCTACCCCTCAGACCCTCTAAACACACCAAATTCGAAAATCTGAAACACGAGAGAGAGAGAGAGAGAGAGAGAGAGAGAGTTCATAGAGCTCCGGTTTTTCGCAAAACCCGACGAGCAACAAAGGAAGGTTGTTTTATCCTGACCCCTTAGACCCTCTAAACACACCAAATTCGAAGAGTAGAAACACGAGAGAGAGAGAGAGTTTATAGAGTTTCGGTTTTTCGCACAAAACCAACGATCAACAAAGGAAGGTGTTTTTATCCTTGAGGCGAATGGTGATGGTCTGTTGTGCGCAAAGAGGTAGCGTCACAAACGTCTTAAATAAAGCGAACTAGTCCGCGACTCAGCCAGATTTCAGTAACCCTAATTTCTCTTTGTTCGGTTTCTAATCGTTCCTAACAACGACATTATTTTTATCACCGACTTCACTGCTTCCTACATTAACGACTTCTCACTTCTTCTTCATTTCTCAATCACCATATTCATTGTCGCCCCCATCAATAATGAACGATGATGGGAACTAACTTAAATTAAGCTTATTCGTTCAAATATCTCAACTATATGTGAGATATGATCTAAGTCACCTCAAATCATAATAGTATCTTATTTCGAAAGGAGACATACCAAATATATAATTTCATGCCTTGTTGAGTAACCTAACAATAATGACTACTCTACCACCATTCCCATTTGTCTTTGTCAAATGAGTTGTATATGTAAAGTCCGTCATAATTATCTTTAATTATTGTCTAGTCGTTATTATTATCGATCCTTCGTACCCTTAAAAAAAACCAAATCATAAAGTTGAAGTTTGTATAATCTCGGGTGCCGGTAAATGATTTTCCCTAAAAAAACAAAAGGAAGACCCTAATTTACATTTTGAGAGCAATCTCTACATTCTACTCTCTAATAAATGAATCTATCCCTCCACTTCTAATCAAACACCAACCAAGACATAGCACGAAAAAAACAAGAAATCAACCATCCAATTTCCATAACTCTGTTTTCGCCTCTAAAACCCAAGGCTAATCCCACTCTCAGACCTCCAATGCCTCGCCTTCTCAAACCCATTCACAAAATTCTCAAAATCATCAACGGTCCGATCAATCTCCTCCTCCGTGTTCATCACAAACGGACCCAACTGCGCCACCGGCTCCCCCAACGGCTCCCCGCCGACCAATACAAACCTCAGCGGCTTCAACGACTTGTTCCACGCCTCCAACCCATCCCCACCGCCGCCGTTGCTCAGAAGCAGGAGCTGATGAGCCGATGCAGTCACCGGTTTCGTCGCGCTCCCGAACCCTCCTTCCCCTTCCAGCACGTACACGAACGCATTCCAACGCGCCGGGATCGGCTGCCGGAGTTGTGCTCCCGGCTTCAGCGTGAAGTCCAGGTACATCGTCGGCGTAACTGTGTACACCGGCGACTTGGCCCCCAGAGCTTCCCCTGCTATCACTCTGACCTTCACGCCGTCGTTTGATGCTTCCGCGATGTCCTTGCTCGCGATTTCTTGGTACCTTGGCTCGACCCTGTTCCGGAAAAATTATGATAAAGTAAATCAGAGATGCCATTGATGAAAAAGATTGGAACTTTAGGCAGTTGGTTGGTTACATTTTGTGCTTGGAAGAGAGGTTGATCCAGAGTTGGAGACCCTTTTGGGTGCCTTGAGCTGCAGGCATCTCGGAGTGAACAATCCCTCTGCCGGCGGTCATCCATTGCACGTCGCCGGCTCCGATTGTCCCTTTGTGACCTTCGAAATCTTCGTGCAGGACCGCTCCCTGATCAAAATTTCCAAACAATTGTTTTAACCCACTAAATCAAACAAAAAGGGGAATGAAACAAATCCAAAATAGCCCTTGGGATCTTGCTGCCGGCCATGGAATGGAAGGATGCCCATAAAAACAGTTCTGCGTAGCTTCTTTTTTTTTGTTTATTGAATATCATATTCTTTTTGGTAGCTAGTGGAGAAACGGGCGATGTTAATAAGAAAGTCAACTCCTTACCCACTAAACCCAGACTCGAAATAATAAAGTCAAACCGGATTAAAGGTAATTTACCTGCAACATGTACGTGACCGTCTCGAAACCTGTTGAATACCAAAGCGGGAAAACAGAGCAAACAGAAGAAGAAGAAGAAGAAGAAGAAGAAGAAGAAGAAGAAGAAGAAAAAAAAAGAGTCTTTCCGCTCGTAATCCCATTGCTTGATTGAAATGTAAATGGAAGGGTGGAAATTGCAGAGAGACAAAACCAGACCTCTGTGTGGATGATCGGGGAATCCTGCTGGCGCAGTGACTGTTAAGAAGAAGAATCCCAGAATCAGCCAAGAAAACAGAGGATGCGGGTAAACAGAGCATAGGCATAAAAGGAAGGAGAAGAAAAACAGAGCACCAACCAGAGAACTCATCGAGAGCAAGGAAAGGATCGAAGTATTTCAGTTCAAACCTGCAAATAACCATACTCATTAGTCCAAACGCCTCAGAATCCCCCCAAGAGAACACCACTCAAGGATCAAGCTCTGGATTCCTCTAATTCTCAAAAGAAACAGAAAGAAAAAAAAAACTGTTTTTACCTTCCAATGCTCCTTCTAACAATGGCGCCGACTCCCTCGTGCTGAGGCCTGGCCAAGAACTTCTTCACCACCTGGCGGGAATCGCGAACGGCGTAAGAATCCTCTCTTTCGGGCATTTCTTCTTTCCTAATTTACAGGGATTTTGTGGGTTATTTCTTTCTTGGGGCTCTTTCTCTGTTTTCTAGCTGTGAAAGCAACTGCGAAGAACTGGCAATTTGGGTGGAAGAATGAGTACAAACTACAAACTGCGGAGCTTTTCATCAGCTTTATATACAAGGAAGGATCACCAGATTAGTGGAAGGTCAAAGGTCACAATAAAGGCAAAGAGGTTTACCGTTCATTCCATTAGCTGGACACGCTAAGCCCAGGGATTCTCTGATGACATCAGCATAGCGTTCTCAACATGTCACCTTGGGAATTTGCTTTCTTTTCTCTCTTGTTTAAGATTTCTTCTGGTTTGTTGGTGTTTGGTCATTGGTGGTGTAGATCCGTGATGTCAGCATGAGATGTAAGCCCAAGAAGAATTTACACTTTTTTGGAGCCAAATCGTACTTATTCGTTTTGTGCATTGGGTAACAAGCTTTTGTCATGTTAATTTGTAAGTCAGATCTCAAATTCTCAATACTTGGATATGAACAAATCTTCCCAATGAATTTTAGGGCCAAATATGAAGAGTGACAAATTAAAAATTCCTTTGGTTACTCATGGTCAATTTTGAAGTGATTCTCCATTCTAGCATGATGGATTGATCAACGGTAAATACTGTTGATGCGTGATGCTATCGACATTCACTGTCTCTTGCATTCTCCTTCATCGGAGAAGAATAATGTCATGTTGACCATTCTTCTTCACTTCTTCTTCTTTTCCTTCAATAAACCCAGACTTATTTCGTTTATTTTACACTCTTGGATGACAGACTGTTGATTTGAAATAGAGTTACACTTTTGAGTAATCTCGTACTTATTGGCATTTTTATAATCGAAAACATTCGATTATGGTACATGCAAGTAACTTAAAAATTCATCATAGAAAACATTCGGGTTAGTATGAAATTTTTCTAATCGAGAGACTTTCTTATTTGGACAAGTCGATCTTCTCCGACAAACCAACGTTCTTAATAAAATCTCCTTTACGCAACACTAGCGGATTTTATAATACACCACAACCTATGGTACAATATCGACAACCATAGAGTTATGAATCCAACACACAAAATGCTCTATTGTGTAACTAGCTTTTCACCCGGCCATTGGCCGGGAGGTTTTATTGATTTATATTAATAATAATTTGAATTTATTTTTCAACTATTTTGGTCTTGGATTGCTCAAATATTGTGAAGTATTCTTCATAAATATTGTGTTTCCTCGTGTATTATCTCAATACATGTTGTTAAAAGATTAATGTAGTTAATTTATCAAATGAAATTTCAATGTTTAATTCAATAATATTTTTATTTAACATAAGGATTGCATATTTATAAGTCAAGATACTCAACACATAATCACAAAATATTAAATGTTGACTAAATCATAGACATATTTTGAACCCTACCCTTTGGGAAGGAAAATTTTTTAACTTTTCTTTTTACAATAGTATTTTTGAACTTTCGATTTGAAAAAAAAATAACTTTTCTTTTTAGGTGATTTCTTCATATCATTTTTTAACTTTTCTTTTTAGGTGATTTCTTCATATCATTTTTTATTTTTATTTAATTATTTTGATTTGAAAAAATTTAGTGAAAACTAAATTGTTTGTCGTAATCGATTTCATAAACTCGACCATAAAAATTGTAGTAAACAAAGTTATAATAGGATTTTTCCTGTGGAATAATATGGATAATTGTTATCATTCTTAGACTTAGATATATAGGAAAGATGTTTAACGATCGGAGAAAAATAAAAAGTTTATACAATCTTTTATGATGGATTTCCACCAAAAAAAACTTTTATGATGGATTGTCCAAGATTTTAAATGACTATCAAAGATTTTTTTTAATCAGTAATCTCCCCTCCCCTAATTTTTCTCGATGACTAATTATAAAAAAATTAAAACTCTCCTATAATCTCTCTCTCCTCTTTCTAACGTAAAAAAAACTGAAAAAAACAGAAGAGTTTAGGGACGATTTTAGGAGAGAGAATCTAGGGCTTGTTTTAAAAACCACTGACGTGGACACATGAAAATTGTTTTAAGCTGATGTGGCACAGGTTCAATTCTAAAACTGCTTTAATATATCTTAAAAATGAAGATAAAGATTAAAGATTGTGTATCTCCCAATGAAATGGCACGAGTCTTGTAACTAATGAGTGGCACCAGAATATCAAAGTGGGCCCACAATTCTGGCCCTAGAGATTCAATATGGGTCCATACATGAGAGAATTGGATTTGAGCCCATGAAGTGCGGATCACCAACATGCACTACGAGAAAGATGACATCACCAGTAGGGAGCGGATACTATAACAACATCCCTTATGTTGTTATAGTAATATCATGGGTAAAAAGAGAAATTAATAAAATATAACACATTACAAAATAAAAATTGAATTAAAACTCAAACATTCACGTGCTCTGCTCTCCCTCTGCCTCGTCTGACCTAAAACATATCTGCCTCCGTTGATCCCCGACCACCATCAGAGCTTTATCCTTCACAGCAATCTCTACGGCGGTGGCGGCGCAAAATCAACTTTCTCGCCATTGAATAGCGAGTTGTTCATGGACGATCGAGATCAACGCTCCTCTTCCTCATTGGAAGCAAATGAATTGGAAGGCGCGCCGGAAGGGAGCTACTGCGTCTGGACGCCGAAACTGATTTCTCCGTCGTCGATCACCGGAGCATCGCCTTCTCCCGGTAGATGCAAGAAAAGCAATGCCGGAGTGGAGCAAGATAGGAGTTGTGCGGAGGTGGGAGGCAAGGCGGCGACGTGAAATGTGGTTAGGACCCCTGATACGAAAGGAGTGGAGCAAGATAGGAGTTGTCCGGAGTGGAGAATCTGCTTTTCGTTTAAACTTTAAACAAATGAGAGAGTGAGAAGCTGGTTAGGACCCCTGATATGAAAGGTTTGGCTTAAATCTGTTAATGCAAACCACAAACACTATAAAACAATCATAAAATGTACCTTAGAAACCTCTTAAAGTATACCATAAATCGCTAAAAACATACCAAAAATCCCACAAAGTAAACCACAAATATTTTATATGCACACCATAAACCGCTTTATGCAAACCACAAAAAAGCAAACCAGAAACCTCCTAATGCATACTACAAATCTCCTAAAACAAACCGCAAACCTCACAAAGCAAACCACAACATTTACGAAAGCACATCAGAAACCTCCTAATGCAAACCACAAACACAGTAAATCAAACCACAAAAAAGCAAACCATAAACGTCCTAATGCAGACCACAAATCTATTAAAACAAACCAGAAACCTCACAATGCAAACCACAAAATTTTTGAAAGCAAACCAGAACTTCTTAATGCAAACCACAAACACGATAAAACAAACCACAAAACGCATACAAAAATATGAGAAATCAAACCATAAATCTTAAAATAAAGACCATAACATCCGGTAGTCGTTGGCCGTTGTCCGGTCAACGAAAAACTTAACCAAACTCTGATGACCGTCAGTGACCGGATTCCGGCGCCGATAGGCGTATTCCGGTCCCGATGACTAGATTCCGATGCCGGTAAGCATATTCCGGCGACAGTGGCATATTCCGATTACAAAATAGCATATTCTGGTGACAAAAAAGCATATTCCGGTGACCGGCGACCAGATTACGACGCCCGGTGACCAAAATTTTTGGGCAGAATTTTTTTTATTTTTTTATTATTTAAACATATTTTCATAATGACAATTATACCCCTGCTTTGATTTTACACTAGGTCAACTCAACTAATGAAAAGTCATCACAACCCTACCTTCCTATTGATTGGAGATTAGTGTAATATTGTTGTTACAATAACAACAAATATGGTGTTGTCACTGTACATGGGCGCTGGGTTGTGCTTGGGCCGGCACGGGCACGCTTTGGGCCCATTTATTTCGTGTCGTGCTTGGCACGGCACGTCAGTTTTCGTGTCGTTCCATGCAAGCCCATTTGTTAACTTTGCTAGGCCCGACCCAGGCCCGTGCACGGTTCGAATCGTGACGTGCCTATTCGTGCTCGTGTCATGCTCGTATTCGTGTTTAATGAAAAGGACGAAAACAAAAGAGAGAATGAAAAAGAAGGTGAAAATTGGACGGGGGAAGATAGTATTAACCGATAATGTTTGAGAAAAGTAACAAATAAGGGGGGAAAGAAAATTGGAAGTATAGCGAGTGTAATTTGGCTTTGTTTAATTCTTTGTCCATTTTTACTTATGTTCGTAATTATGTATATATCTTTATGACACTTCTAACAACAACAAATAATTATTTTTCTACTTGTGTTTTGTAATATTTGAACCTATAATTCTTTTTAAATTTATTTTCTATCAAATAAATATTATTTTCATGACATGTCCGTTTTTATACTCAATAAAGTCTCGAAAATATTAGACCCGATACAGTCCACTTATATACCGTGTCATGCCCGTGCTCGTGTCTGTGCCCATTAAGTTTAGACTCAGCAAGACCCATAAATTATTTGTGCTCGAGCCAGACTGGCCTATTTATTTCGTGCCCGTGCTCATACCGTGCCTTGCCCGTGGCCACGTATAGTTGTCGCCATATCGGCTCTCTCACCAGTAGCAAAGCGTGATGCACGCTGATGGGAAGCGTCAAGCGTGCTTGTTGGGTAAAGACAAAAGATTTAGAGGAACAAATTAAAGGGAAGAAAACAGGCTGGCCCCCGAAAGCCGAAAGTCAAAATCAAAGGGGAAAGAGAAAGAAACGAGGAGCAAAACTGAATAAGTGGTCTCCTTTCTCCCCTCAATTCTCCATAATCAGAAAGTAGCCATAATTCGAATGTGTAATGGAGGAGGAGCCATGATGAAAGTTTCTGCAGAATCCATACATACAATCTTCTCCTTTCACTGTAACATTTGCCCTATTATCTGGAGCTTTGTCTCACGTATGCTTAGTTATCTTGTTCCACAAGTTACATGTATAGACAGAATATATCACATATGCAGAAACTTGCATGTACATAGATAGAATGTCATAGAATTACAGAGATCATGTAATTCCCATCCGAGCCAACAGTCCCCTATTTCTCAACTGAAAGCAGCCGAGCGCGACGATAAGTATAACCACAACCGAAACTACAAGCCCTGCAACTGCTCCCTTTGACAGCCCACTTCCTCGTGTAATTTGAGCAGCAGGGGGAGAGTCGACCGTCGGTTTGTTCCTGACTGGTGGCAAAGGCGCCTCAGCGATATCGTTCTCGGTCAGAGGTAGGCTTGGAGCCTGAGCTGGTGGCAATGATGGCTCCTGGATGAATCCCAGCAGGCTCCCTGCCGGAACTATGGACATGTAGGGAGGAGTATTGTTCCGTTGAGCCAGACATCGGTTCTCTGTTGTCAATAAATAGTGGACGGAGAGAGAGATATCAGCAAGCTAGAGAGAAAGAGAGATATGCAGCAATGGAACTTTTCTTCAAAGAGGGGCTTACTTCTGTATCTGTCAGGTGTCTTAGGAAAGCCTGTAACAACGCCGCTAATATTGGTCCCCAAGATGTAGGTGTTGAGCTCCACGTTGATATCTGCAAAGAAGTCCCACGGTTGAGATACAAACTCATTGCTGAAGGTTTGGACGTAGACCGGGAGATTAGCATTGTGCAGCTTCGTCACGACATCTGTCATTCTGGTCAAGAACTCATTATTCTCAGCCACCGACTGCTTGCTGATCACAACAGAATGAGCGAAGTTCTTGATGTCTGAAACTGCAGAAGGATCAGCACTCCCAATTGTTTCGTCAACTTGGTAAACTAGCTCGTACTGTATTTTATCCTTCAGCTTCATTAGAACTGAGCAATTGGTGGATTGGATCATGATTTTCAGAGATGTCTGGTTATCATAACCAGCTTTGCTCAATTCGGTCTCAACCGCATCAACTACAGCCAGACCCTGCTTCTCCATGAGATAAGCTGCATTCTGGGCAAATGGAGGAATATAAAGAGACCAAGTCCATCAGGAAAGGTTATTAATTTGGATATATAATGAGGATGCGATCGAAACTTGGAAGCTCACTTCAATGTTGATTAAGACGCCAGAAAGCGATCCAGCGTCCTTTGCCAAAGCCAAGAAGTCAGCTAGGGAAACTAAACTTCCTTCATTACTCACCCTAGGATTTCGGTACAACTGATAACTTAGAAATGGATTGGATATGGCCGCTGCAATGTAACATTTAAAAAAATAAATATAAAAACCCCTCTAATGATGCAGAGTCGGGATACAACAACCAAACGAAGGCCAGATGAAAAGCTTACTAGTCAAGTTCTGAATCTGGCTCCAATTCAAGCTAAACGTATATATGCCTTTGCCCTTGAGCTCCGGAACATCTGTTAAGAAGTCATTTAATGTTTCAGTGGCTTGTGTAGTGTCGATAAGGTTTATAGAGCTTTGGCAAAATGGGACTCCATCCTGTGACATCTGAATTGGACAATCAATAACATCTGCTCCATCCGAGATGGCTGTTTGGTATGCAAGGTCGGTACAGGATGGGTAGTCTCCACTTGCACCATTTTTGGTGATGACCAAAGTATTTACTGCAAAGTAGAGTATGGTTAGTTCATAATTAGGCAACGAGCTACTATGGAAACATGAACTAAAGGCATCGTATACAACATGAGAATCACATACCTTTCTCTGAAGCATTCCGGCCAAGGTGAGCGTAGCAATCTGCAGTTGGAGAATGAATCAGTACTCAAAATAAGTAATCCCTGGTTAGAGTAACTGGAAGGAAATCTGTGTTGTCCTGCAACCCCAAGGACACACTTCCACGAGCTTTTGCAGATCTATGCTGCTGACAAATTAAGAGAACCCAACCCAAACAAGCAATGCAATTCCTAATCTCAAGAAGTAAGACAAACAAGTGTCTGTTACATTCCATACTCAAAGAAATACCCTTGGATTTCTCTAGTACAACTCAACAATGAACTATGTACTGGGAATAAAGAAAACTTTAGAAAAAAGGAATGTGAAAAATGAAGTGGGTCATCGGAAAGAAAGCTTACTAAATGCTGCAGATGGAGTTATTGGGAAGTCAGACAGCACACCGTCAACAGAGAAATGACCATTGTCCACAAATTGCAGATATTCAGCTATAGGGTCGTAACTGTAATTGTAGCTCAGAACAGCATCATTGTAAAAGTCTGTGGCCACAACTTCAAGGCCAGCTTTGTGAGCATCCAAGACAAGGGGCATACTCGACTGCAAATAATTACGTTCATCCAGTGGCCATATGTAAGTCTTGGGGACAAGAATTCCAGAGGCAAAGGTCCTGATAAATGTCAAATTTGATCGTAAAGAATCATATGTCTGGTTTGTCGAAGGCTCGACATCACTAGGTGCATTAAACCGGAAGAACAGTTTGGTGATTCTTGGGTTGAATCGCGTAGAAATACTTCTCAAGAACCCCACTTCCGGAGATGAGATGTAATTGATAACCATTCTTCTAGATGCAGCAAGGACATAATTTTTCATACTTAAATTGCGCTGGGTGTAGAATGCATCATGCTGGAGAAAAAAACCACATCAACACTCAGCAACTGTTGTAGTTAAGAAAATGAAAAGTCAGATAAGAAAGTTTCCCTGCAACTACCTGAACATTCAGCCAGAGGCCAGCTGGATTTAGTGCAGCAACATCCTCAGGAGTTAGAATCGGGAACAAATTGTTGAACCGCTCGCTACGAGTATAAACTCCCTGAACCACTGTCAAAACCAAAGAGTCAATTTCTGAACAGAGTGCTACTATTAATTCGATTCGTCTGTACAATTGAAACAGCTACTATGGCTTGACTTCATCCCAGTCAGACAAACCCTGGAACCCACAAATGCTCATCCATGACGGATGAACATGAACTCACAGGGTACAGTTGACAACTCGGCGAGGTTGAAATCCAAGGGAAACCATCCGGTTTGAGTGGCGCCATTGATCATGTAGGTGTTCTGACCGTCCTGGTAAATCTGAGAGACATCAGTAGAATTATCAAGCTTGATGTCGGGGAGACAAAGCCCGAATGCATCTTTAGTGAGCTGCAAGTCGCACCACAGGACAACGTCTGGCACACTAGTGGCCAGTGCGAATTGGTAAGCCGCACTTGAAGAATCAGGAAACAGACCCGAAAACCCACCCCGGGCTACAACTATGGGGCTATGGCCTGCACAATGAAGGAAACTGTTCAATCAGCAGCAGTCTTCCAGGCAAAAAGACACGGTGTGTAAGATCAACACAGTATTGCTATATTTCAGAAACATGCCTCCTACAAAATTCAATTTCTTAGCATAGTGAGGTGAGAAGATCAAAGCAACAGAGGGCACAATCGATGAACAAGATAACAATGCACCAAAACAAAACCGAAAACCCATCAATTACTTCACCTCCACAATCCAAGAAGTAGAATTTCCAGTTCAGGAGTTCTCTAGATATAGAAGCTCATGCAGAGGGTCTACAGGAGAAAAGGCAAACAAAGAGGAAGAAAACTTTCTACTTACCGGAGAGAGTCTGCCAGCGAGGAGCAGACCCAGAACCCCTCTGAGCAGAGACGGAAGCTGGAAATGAGTGAAGGCGAAGGAGGAGTAGCAGTAACGCAATGGGGAGGAGCAGCGAGCTGGTAAGAGCGGCTCCGAGGCCAGACATTGCCGCCGGAGACTTTGGCCAGCAACCGTTCACCTCGCCAAGACTTTTCAGCCAATGTGTGAGATATGGACGAGGCGAGAGAGGATAGGGATTGGACCAGGTTTAGCATCCACATGTTCACAAGTTGAATCAGAAGTTGGAAGGATATGTGGAAAAACCCAGTCAACTAGGTTGTAGGGACAGATTTTTTCTGCAAGTTGATGCTTATTGACAACAAGAGACAAAGTTGACAGAAACATGCCTAATGGGAAAGAATTCCAACAAGAGACAAAGTTCGTTTCCAGCATATACAGGAGACAATAAGATCAGCAATGGTGTTAAAGCAATGGTCAAGGAAAATTTTCAGAAATCGCCATTGATGGGTTCTTTCAAGCTACTTCTTCACGGCCAGTGGAGAAGGAAGCATGCAGCAAGATAGAATCCCACACATGAACTAGTGCATGGTTGGATTTCTTGATCTAGCAGATACAAGAAAGGGAATTTTGCCTCTATTCCTGTTAATACAAATTGCAATGGAGAAATCAATTAACGAACATGGTTCATCACTAACAATGTCACGCAATTTATAGCAGATCGAGCAACGGGCCACCATGAACAGATCCTCAAACGACGACGGTGAAGCCCTGAAGGGTTTGGCCGTTTGGGAACGGCAACGAAGTAACAGACTAACAGTGATGGGTCTAAGTTTCCATGGTTGGGGGATAGAGAGAAGGAGAAGCTGCTACAGACGACGGCGAGCTCCAGTGCGACAACTTCGACGGTGATCTGATATGAAGCGACGAATCGGAGTTTGTGATTTTCTCGTCCCTGCGGCGAAGCTCTTTGGCGGTTTCCATTAGTCTCACAACTTCGTTTTTGGTCAAAAGTCTCGCCCTTGCCATTAAACCGTACCGTACCGACGGTTCAACCACAAAATACCAGTATTGGAGGCTAAACCGATAGACGGTATTTAACGGTACTAACGGTTGAACTACGGTTAAACCACGATTTTGTCATAAAATACCCTATCGCTGACTTTTCCGGTACGATCTTCGGTACGGTTTCATGAACCATGCCTTGTTCAGCGAGGAAGATGAAGGATTGATTTGGAATTTACGGAACCATCCCCAAGATATTTATTTATTGAAAGAAGGTCCTATAATTTGTTAAGTCTTACCAGTTTGGCTACCAATAATTGTGATTCTCTCACATGGGCCACCAAATGTTAGGATGACAACTGGTCGGGGATGTATAGTGGGTATTTGTAACTTCATTCTAACTAGTTCGAATTTTATTCCTATCTTATTCATAAAACAATTTCACCATAGTATGCCTAGTAACGACCATCTCAAGATGACAATCTCGTACTCATGTGGTGATTGACGAAATGTCTGCATCATGGTGAACTTAGAGAAGGATATTGCCTAGCAAGGACTTAAAATGTGGGGGTATTCGCTTACTCTCTCTCTCTCTCTCTCTCTCTCCCCACCTCTCTTGTTGCACTATGCTAGGCCCTCACACCAAGAACATGGATTCTCGATACTCCTTGTCTAGCAAGGGTTCGTCGGGGCGCAATCTGTGATATCTCTCGATGAATTGCCTAAGTAGGGGTTTTGATAGTGGAGGATATGATTGAGAAACTGTGTCGTTTTAATTAGATTGATGGCCTCCTATTCGTGGTTTATAAGGCAAGTTTCTACATAAATTGAGTTCATCAATTCAAATTAGATAGTGAAACAACCATAAATTGAGTTCACCAAAGAATAAAGCTTTTTGTTTATATTACACGTACCAAACAGCCACAGCTAATACAATCCCTCCATGCTCTTCCCTGATCCGTCTTACTCTATTAACCTCCATCCAATTAAGAATGATCCAATAAAACACCTAGAAAAAAACTCTTCCCCATATCTCTTCTTCTGGGAGGGAAGACCCTAATCACCATTTACACAGTCGACATTCACACTAACTCAAAGCAGCAGCAGCAGCGAGAGCACAGTGAAAAAGCATAGCCACACAACAGAAGCCATGAACCCTGCAGCTGCTCCCCTTGGCTGCCCACTTCCTGGGCCTGCTGGTGTAGCTCCACCACCAGGGGGAGACTCCGCCGTAGGCTTCACTCCGACCGGCGGCAAAGGCGCCTCAGCTACGTCGTTCTCGGTCAGAGGCGGGTTCGGAGCCTGAGCTGGTGGCAAAGATGGCGGCTGGATGAGTCCCAGCAGACTCCCTGCCTGAACCGGGGCCATGTAGGGAGGAACATTGTCCAATTGAGTTAGACATCTGTTCTCTGCACGCAGTCGAAAATGCAGTGGATTAGATATGAATTTATGGAGATAGAGATGACAGCAAGCTAAGATGCAACGAATGTTTCTTTAAGGGCTTACTTTTGTATCTGTTAGGTGTCTGAGGAAAGTCTGTAACGACGCCGCTGATGTTCGTGGTCGAGATGTAGGTGTTGAGCTCCACGTTGATGTCTGCAAAGAAGTCCCACGGTTGAGATGCAAACTCATTGCTGAAGGTCTGGACGTAGACGGGGAGATCGGCTTTCTGCAGCTTCGTTATGACATCGGTCATTCTGGTCACGAAAGCGTCGTTCTGGGGGAACACCGACTGCTTGCTGATCACGACCGAATGAGCAAAGTTCTTGATGTCTGAAACCGCAGAAGGATCAGCACCTCCAATTGTCTCGTCGACCGCGTAAACCAGCTCGTACTGTTTTTTATCCTTCAGCTTCATTAGGACTGAGCTATTGGTGGACTGGACCATGATTTTCAGAGCTGTCTGGTTATGGTAACCAGCTTTGGTCAGCTCGGTCTCTACCGCGTCAAGTACAGCTAGCCCCTGCTTCTCCATGAGATAAGCCGCATTCTAAGGAAATGGAGGAAAATAGAGAGATCAAGTTCATCAGGAAATGATTGTCAATTTGGATACTTGGGGAATTGTAGTAGTAATGTGGCTGCGATTGAAACTAGGAAACCCACCTCGATGTTGATTAAGACACCAGAAAGCGATCCAGCGTCCTTTGCCATACCCAAGAAGTCAGCTAGGGAAACTAACTTTCCAGCATTTCGCTCCTTTGGATTACGGACTAACTCATAACTAGGAAATGGATTGGATATGACCGCTGCAATGAAACATATACAACAAAGGAAAATTAAAAACTCAAATGATGCAGAGTCGGGATATAACATTTTAGAGGCCGGCGGATTGTAATAAAACAGTAAGACTAAGGCCAGACCGAAAAGCTTACGAGTCAAGTCCTGAATCTGGCTCCAATTCAAGCTAAACGTGTATATGCCATCGCCTTTGAGTTCCGGAACACTTGTTGAAAAGCTGGTCAATGTTTCAGCGGCTTGTGTAGTGTCGATGAGGTTTATAGAACTTTGGCAAAATGGAACTCCATCCTGAGATATCTGGATTGGACAATCAATAACATCTGCTCCATCCGAGATGGCTTTTCGGTATGCAAGGTCAGTACAGGATGGGTAGTCTCCACTTGCACCATTTTTGGTGATGACCAAAGTATTTACTGCAAAAAATGAGCGATGTTGGTCCATAGTTAGGAAACAAGAGTATCTATGCAAATAGAACTTAACAAGAAGGGGCAGACTATCCAAAAAAAGGCATCATTTCACTACATGAGAATCATGTACCTTTGTCTGAAGCATTCTGGCCCATGTGAGCATAGCAATCTGCAATCGAAGAATGAATTCAGTATCCGAAGTAACTAGTGTCAGGTTAGAGTAAACAGTATAGTGGTTGGAATGAAATCTGTGATGTCCTGTGATCCCTATGAACAAATTTTTCCAAGCTTTTGCAGTGCAATTCCTAATCTCAAGAAGTAGTACAACCAAGTGTCTACTACATTCCACGATCAAGTAATCCATCTGAGTATTCTTTACCATTATAACACAACAACGAACTGCTGAAATAAATGAAAACATAAGGGGGAAATGACTGAAAACTGAAGGGTGATTGGAAAGAGAGCTTACTGAATGCTGCAGATGGGGTTATTGGGAAGTCAGACAGCACACCGTCAACAGAGAACTGACCATTGTCCACAAATTGCAGATACTCAGCAACAGGATCGTAACTGTAATTGTAGCTCAGAACAGCATCATTGGAAAAGTCTGTGGCCACAACTTCAAGCCCAGCTTTATGAGCATCCGAGACAAGTGTAGTACTCGACTGCAAATAATTGCTTGCATCCAGCGGCCATATGTAAGTCTTAGGCACAAGAATTCCAGAGGCAAAGGTCTTGATAAATTTCAAATTCGATAGCAAAGAACCATAAGTCTGGTTTGTGGAAGGCTCAACATCACTAGGCGCATTAAACCGGAAGAACAATTTGGTGATATTCGGGTTGAATCGCGAACCAATGCTTCTCAAGAACCCCACTTCCGGAGATGAGATGTAGTTAATGACAACTCTTCTAGATGCAGCAAGAACATAGCTTCTCATACTTAGATTATGCTGGCTGTAGAATGCATCATGCTGCAGAAGAATTCACATCAAAACTCAGCAATTGTTGTAGCTTAGAAACAAAAATGCCAAATAATAAAGGGGGGTGCTAAGAAATGAAAATGTGCCTACAATTACCTGAACGTTCAACCAGAGGCCAGCCGGCTTTAGCGCAGCAACATCATCAGGAGTTAGGATAGGGAACAAATTGCTGTCGAAATTCGGGCTACGCGAGTAGATTCCCTGCGTCACTGTCGAAAGAGCTCATTTCAGAATCAAATGTAATAGCGAAGCAACTGCCACCGGGGATTACTTGATACTAGTGACATGAACATGAAAACCAACAAAAGGAAATCCAGTGAGATGATGAAAAAAATGAACTCACAGGAAACAGTTGACAAGCTGGTGGAGTTGAAATCCAAGGAGAACCACCCGGTCTGCCTCGCGCCATTGACGGTGTAGGTGCTCTGACGGCCCGGGTAAAGCTGAGAGATATCAGTAGAGTTACCAATCGTGACATCGGGGAGACAGAACCCGAATGCATCTTCACTGAGCTGCAAGTCGCACCAGAAGACAACATCCGGCGCGCTGGTCAGCAGTGTCAGCTGGTAAGCCGCATTGGAAGAATCCGGAACTAGACCCGAAAATCCACCCCGAGCTACAACTATGGGGCTATTTCCTGCACAAAATGAAGGAAACTGTAGAATCAGCAGCGTTCTTCCCGAAAATACCAGTAATTAGCGAATTGGCCGACGCCGCTCTAACCGATTGAGCTAACAGTACAATTTACAAAAACTGGCCTCCGCAGAAACTAGAAAGAAATGGTTCAAACGCTGAAGAATTTGGAGCTCGCAATTCAAATACAATAGCAGCCTTTCGGCCCTAGCTACACGAAGCCGGAGCTCGCATTGACGCCAGCTAGCTCGAGTTTACTCCCAGGAAATGCAGAAACCGCCATTAACTAACCTAACTCAACTCCTCGACCTCATCCAGAAGCAGAACGGCGCCCAACTTCATAGATAGATAGAAAGAGGAAAAGGAAGCCAGAGCAAGAAAGTTCTGCACCGCCGGAGAAAAAGAAGAAGGAAGGAGAAGAATGTGGAGAGGTCGAGACTTACCGGAGAGAGTCTGCCAGGGGGGAGCAGAACCAGATCCCCGGCGCTGAGCAGAGACGGAAGCTGGAAAGGAGTGAATGAGGAGGAGCAGAGGGAGGAGCATGGATCTGCTGGCAAGTGCAGACATTGCCGGGGACTTGCGCCGGCAGCCGGTCATCTGGCACAAACCTTTTGTTACCAGGTTGCGTCGGGAAATGTGCGAGATTGTACACGGAGAGAAAGAAAGACAGAGAGAGATGAGAAGAAGAACTGAAGAAGAAGAACGGAAGAAGAAGAAGAAGAAGAAGAAGAAGAAGAAGAGGAAATGGGGGGACGAAGGTCTGCAACCTTTTTCGGGGCCTGTGGCTTTGCTGGACAGAAGTGGAGTATTTATTTGTTTATATAATTTCTTTTAAATTATTTGTTACTTTAATAAACTAACTAGCATGGGTCCCGGCCAGTTGGCCGTGAGGTATGCAATTTGATAATGTAATTGGGTGTATAGTTTATTGTTGTATAATTTTTCTTTTTTTAGAAACACGTGATAAAAATAGTGAATTTTAGCAAGAAAGAGATATGAATCATGAAACGAATCAAAAATCAGCTTTATGAACCAAAATCAAGTACCTGTTACTTTGTGAAACAATATTGTTTCTAGTAATATGATGAGGTGGAGTACGTTTTATAAAAACTGAATTCAATAAAATCAAATAAAAAATCGCTTATCCCGCCGGTTTTCAGGAAATGAGCATCTCACAATCGTTGCTAGCTTTTACTCGGCCTGTTGACCGATTAATTTGCTTTCTAAAACTTTCATCTTGTCGTCATTGTGCTTTCTGGTTTTTGCCGGTCCATGATAAAATCTAAAGAAATCAATAACACACAACACGATTTGGGATAGGAACCGCCGTTCCTGTATCTCTTGAAAATGATGGTAAACACAGACTCACCTGGCAAACTGGTTTTGGATTAAGATTTTTATCGGGTATCAGGAAACCATGTGATTATAAATTAGACTTGATCAAAACAGCTCAAAACTTGAAATTTAGCCTACTTGACCGACCCATGCCAAACTCTAATCATTCTTTACTTTTATACTCTAATTATTCTTTACTAATAATTAGTTGTGCCGCATCGGCATCTAGTTGAGAGAGACGAGTGACGAGCCGCGGCGGACCGTTGGCTCCGGGGTTGGTTCAATGGTTCATATATTTAATCCGACGTGGTCGTGGCCAGGCCGGCGAGTCGAAGAGCCGGTGGCGGTGGATTTATTTATTTATTTTTATTTTGCAGCTATTTTTTTAAGGTTATCCATCGTATCTATTTCTTTGTCGTGTTAAATAATTTGTTGGTTAGGAGCTCCGCATATTAATAGTTTCATGTCGTGGTCCGTGCCGTAATTTTCCTAACAATACAGATTTCTTTTCCGGAAAAATAAAAGACTAAATTACATATTCGATCATTCAAATTATACAAAATGTTCACATTTATCATCGAAATTACTTTTTATTACACAAGAGCTCCGGATAAGAAACAAAACACTAGGGAACCCAAATGAATGCAGGAGTAATTTTTGTGTAGGAAAAAATGATGTCTGGTTGTGGGGACTCAACTAAGCTGCTGGGCAGAATTGTGGCGCAAGTTACCTACTGCCATTGATGCTCTTACGAAAGATTACAAACTTTGCCCTGTTTGATCTCATTTTACTGCTCGATTACTATAGAGAGTTTCGATGAAGAGATACGCGGCTAAGAAGATGGATCTTCGGCGCTAACTTCGCGAGGTTTGATCTCGTTTTAGTACTGAAACGTGCTTTCAGAACAAAATTACAAGTTGTGTGAATATGGTTTGACTGTAAAGTATCGCCATCGTATGCAAAACGATAATCCTACCTCAACAACGATTCATTTGAGTGCGGTCACATGTGTCGTAGACAAATACATCAAGCAGCACTACGAGCAACGTCAAGACTTTTCGTCGCCACGCAGCAACCGCTGATCTCGAGTCGAACTCGCAAGTGCCCCCTTTCATTTTTTATTATTTAAAAAATTTTGAATGGAATCTTCTGATTGGAACACAGCTGGACAGGACAGTGACTCAACAACCCACACGTTCCCCATTTGTAGAACTATATTATTGCTTCACTTAAAGCTTCATTCCTTATTTTAGATGCATGGAAAGTGATATCAGCTGGGGACTGTTTTTCTGTGGTTAGCTAGTGTCCATGAAACCGTATCGTACCGGCGGTTAAACCACGAAATACTGGTATTGGAGGCTAAATCGATAGATGATATTTACCGGTATAATGGTTGAACAACGGTTAAACCACGATTTAACCATAAAATACCCTACCGCTAACTTTCTCGGTACGGTCTCCGGTACGGTTTCATGGACCATAGCTTCTGTTTGAATTTTTTCGAGTTTGGGCTGTTCAAGTCAAGCCACTTAAAATTTAATAACCTAACCTTAAATTGGGCCCTTCATTAATGGCCTTACTTACTAATTCTTTATGATATTGGGTGAGTTTTACCGATTAAATTGTATAGCCACGGTGAAATTCGAAATGATTGTTATGTTTCGTACACAGTTGAGTCACTATCATTATATTCTTGAACGGTAATTAGTGTCGAGATTTGTACAAACATTGCTTATTAATTAGTAAAAGTAAAAGGTGGTGAAAATTGCTTGTTATTCATAATTTTTTTTTTTTGCTTATTAGTAAAAGAATTTCCCACTAGTAGAAAATTAGTGCAAAAATCAAGCTAATTAAAACCATGTTCAAGATAATCATTCAGACAAGCATCGAATAACATGTCAATAATATAACTTCTCAGGAGACATGAATTAGAAGATCTTTTCCTCTTAAATGTGTATGAATATGAATGAAAATATATCAATTTTTTTAAGTACCGGTAAGTAAGGTACATAATGCAGGAGTAGTCACAACTATTTTTTACTAACTTTCACACTAAACACACAAGTCACATAACTAAAGAAGGATAACGTAGAACTCGCCGCACCACGATAACTTGAATTTCTTTAGACAAATCATGTACAATTTATCATTGATCGACGTTCAATTAAAATGGTGTATCTTAATATTTTAAACGAATCAAGTTACATGCATTGAATCAATTTTGAAAAGAACCTTATACATAAAAATGCAACACAAGAGTAACCATCCACGTTGAGAGGTAGAGGGTTATAACCGAAACCGAGTTCCATGACACTTCCTTGAGTTGAAGAAACACACCAAAATCTAGTATTATTAATATGCCTGATAAGAGGATGCAGATAACTAGAGAAAATCATTGAACTTTCTATGCTAAGTTGCTAACAATAATTGGAAGAAAAAATTGGATTTCAATTTCACAATAACGATGACAACCGCTAAACAATTCAAATAGTTTAGCATGGATGATTTGGATCATATCTATATGATCACAGTCGATGCCTAGGTAACGGGAGGAAATCATCGAGAGTAAAACAATATAAGGAAAAAATAACGAGAGTGATATTGGGACACGGCGAGTTAAGAGAAAATCAAAACAGAAAAATATATGAAACTAATATCGACAATATGTCGAGAGAAAAAATACATTTAGTAGAGAAGAGAATAAAATAAAGGCAAAATACAGCTGTATATTCACAACTATTAGGTTTGTGACAAATATATTCACAACTATCGAAATACACGAAATATCCATTTCCGTCCACTCCGTTAACTCCGTCAGTTAACTTGATGACTGGACAGACGGTGGATGCTTAGTTGGCGTGTTTCTGACCCCACTAAATGATGTGGATTAAAAGAGGGAAAAAAAAATAGGCAAAATACATTTGTATATCCACAACTATCAGGTTTGTGACAAAGATATCCACAACTATCGATATACACGAAATATCCAAAAATCGGAAGGTTGTGTGACAAATCTATTCACTTTCGTCTAAAACTATAACGACGTGGCAGACGGCGTTAAATTGACTAACGGAATGCTAAATCGATGTCATCTCACCTGCCACATAAGCCAAAAAGCAACCAAACTTTACACCGTTATCTGTTAGACCTCGCTGCTGCAGTCTTCTCTGTTGGCGATTTGGTTAGATTCAAGCTTTTTTTGTTTGAGATTCAAACTTGGTATCACCATGGCTCCGACTGCATGGAAGATGTCAGATTAAAAGGGAGGCAATGGTTGGGGATTGTGGTTGGAATCAAAATCTGGGCTTGGGGTAGGGTTATTTGGGGGTGGAGGCATCGATCGGAGGAGGATCAGTGGTTATCGGGCATGTTTCTGGTTTGGATTTTTAGTCTCGCCGTCTGTGGTTTTTAGGGTTTTTAAATTTTTTTTCTCTTTTAATCCACGACATTCAGTGGGGCCCGGAAACACGACAACTAAGCATCCACCGTCTGTCCAGTCATCAAGGTAACTGACGGAGTTAACGGAGTGGACGGAAATTGATATTTTATGTATTTCTATAGTTGTGGATATATTTGTCACAAACCTGATAGTGGTTGATATATTTGTCACAAACCTGATAGTTGTGGATATACAACTGCATTTTGCCTTTATTCAACTAGCCTATTTGGCATCTAGGTGTAAAGTTTGGTTGCTTTTTGGCTTATGTGGCAGGTGAGATGACATGGATTCAGCATTCCGTTAGTCAATTTAACGCCGTCTAACACGCCGTTATAGTTTCAGACGGAAGTGGATAGATTTGTCACAAAATCTTCCGATTTTTGGATATTTCGTGTATTTCGATAGTTGTGGATATATTTGTCACAAACCTGATAGTTGTGGATATACAACTGTATTTTGCCTAAAATAAACGAAGGAAAAAAGCCAGCATTCATGCAAAATAGGCCACGTGTCGAAACTCGCCGGCAGCACCCTCCCGTCGTCGCTCGACTATCTCTCTGTCTCTCTTCCGGCCGCCTAGCTATCGCCATCACATTTCGATCCACATTGCCAGCAAAAGAAAGCTCTCCGCAAAACCAATTGCAGACTCAATGCACAGAGTGACTTAAAAACTCAAAACATTGGCCCGTAGCAATTGACCTAGAGAAGCGATGCAGAGCATATTATCATACGCGACGGTCGGCGAAAATGCGTCGCCGGAGCACGCCGAAGTCGTCCCCATTACGATATTCGTGGCAGTGCTCTGCCTCTGCTTGGTAATAGGCCATTTGCTCGAGGAGAATCGCTGGGTTAACGAGTCCATCACCGCCATCTTCATCGTAACTCTCTGTTTCTCTGTTTCTATCATTCCCTTGATCGAATTGGTCAATTGGGTTGTCGAATGTGGTGAAATTGTGTGCAGGGAGGCGTGACTGGAATCCTGATCTTGGTCCTCCGGAAGGGGAAAAGTTCTCACCTTTTGAGGTTCAGTGAGGAACTCTTCTTCATTTACCTCCTTCCCCCAATCATCTTCAATGCCGGGTAATTTAGGGCTTTTTTCTCAAAACTCTCTGCTTTGAGAATTGGGCATTTTGGGTTCAACGAAAGTTGCATGCTTTTTTTTTTTTGGTTGGTGGTGATGAACAGATTTCAGGTGAAGAAGAAGCAGTTCTTTCAGAACTTCATCACTATTATGCTGTTTGGGGTTGTTGGGGTTTTCATCTCAACAGTCATTATCTCCCTAGGTAAAAAAACATTAGCAGAATTCTGACTTTTCACACATTTGCTGTCTATGTTCTTGATTGATTTAGTGATGACTGATGAATGTGATGTCCATTGGTTCAAATGTGTTGGTGTTGGTTTCCTAGGCAGCTGGTGGCTGTTTCCTAAGCTTGGATTCGTCGGCCTCACGCCACGAGAGTACCTCGGTGAACATTCCTGTCTTCCATTCATTTGATTCTACTGTACTGTTGTTTCAAACCTTGTGAGTCATATCATTGGAGTGATCCTCTTTGTTTCTCGGCTTGTTGGGTTCAGCTGTAGGGACTATATTTTCGGCGACCGATTCAGTGTGCACCCTGCAGGTCTGTTGAGGATTGAAGAGAAACATATTTTGAGTCCGTTCTCTTGTCCCCTGATGCTTTTAGCATTTGCAAAGGTTCTTGATTTGGTGGTCTTGTCATGGTGACTGTAGGTTCTTCAGCAAGATGAAACTCCTTTGCTCTACAGCATAGTGTTTGGGGAAGGAGTAGTGAACGACGCAACCTCAGTCGTTCTGTTCAATGCTATACAGAAGATGGATGTCAGCAAGATCGACTCGCAAACAATCCTCAGTGTCGTACGAAGTTTTCTGTACTTGTTCTCCACCAGCACTGCTCTTGGAATCGGTGTGAGTGCTCACCGAATTGCAACCACGTGTTTCTCTCGTTGATACATTCGTTTAGGGGAAGGTTTGTCTCACCCCCAATTTTCTTTTTTGTAGGTTGGCCTCCTGACTTCACTTGTTCTTAAAACACTCTACTTTGGGAAGTAAGTACTCCTTGCTTGGAAAGGTAGTTAGAAAAATACGAGTGGGGATCTAGTGTCCAATTATTTCGTCTGCCTAAACAGTTTTAAAACTCCTAACACAAGTTCTGTTGTGTAAACACAGACACTCGAGCATACGTGAACTCGCCATGATGGTCTTAATGGCGTATCTATCGTACATGCTCTCCGAGGTACTTTTGCTTTGCTTAAATCCACTCACTAGCATGGTTCATGGTGTGGGTTTGATGGATGCAGCAACACTAACACACTTTGAATTCTGCAGCTGCTGAAGCTAAGTGGGATTCTCACCGTTTTCTTTTGTGGAATCGTCATGTCACATTATTCTTGGCACAATGTGACAGAAAGTTCCAGGATCACAGCCAGGCATGTACCACTTCAGGAAGAGTCAAGTCAATCACCTCAATTCTTTGTATAAACTTACCTTGGTACTTTTATGCAGACATGTTTTTGCCATGCTGTCCTTTGTCGCGGAGACGTTCATATTTCTCTACGTGGGAATGGACACTTTTGACATGGAGAAGTGGAGGATGACTAAATTGAGGTACAGCTTCCTTAATCAGTTCTGTGCATGTGTTTTATCAGCTTGATGTCATATCTTCAAGAAGCTGTGCCGAGAGTTAACAAGAGTATTTCTCATGGTTGACAGCTTTGGGACTTCCCTTGGGATCTATAGCACAATAGTGTTCCTGATATTGGTGGGGCGTGCTGTATTCGTGTTTCCACTCTCCGCATTTTCCAACTTCATGAACAGAAACAAAACATCCCCACTCACCTTCAAACAACAAGTCTGTTTTTCCCTTCTTTGCAGCTAAATTGCGACTTGAGGTAGACTGAAGCACATTCATTTCCTAATGAGTCTTTCGCCCTTTACTTGGGTACGTCATTCGTTGTGCAGACTGTTATTTGGTGGGCTGGCCTGATGAGAGGTGCAGTCTCTATCGCTCTTGCTTTTAAACAGGTTCTTCACATTTCCAAGCTGGTCGATTGTTGCCATTAATAGTTGTTCTGATTAGCATATGATAGCATATGTTCTTCTGTTGTGAATGCAGTTCACCTATTCTGGTGTCACGTTGAATCCCATCAATGCAACAATGATCACGAACACCATCATCGTCGTTCTCTTCACTACATTGGTAAGCAGCAAAATCCCTTATTTTCATGACTTTCCTCACCAGAATATCAAATGAAACAACGGAATGTTGCTTTGCCATTGTTGGCAGGTATTTGGTTTCTTGACGAAACCCCTAGTAAATTACCTAATCACACACGGAATGAGAAACCAGAACAATCATGGAGCTGGAGAAGGAGGAGAACAACCAAGGTCCCCGAAAGACGATGTGGTGCTTCCTTTGCTGTCCTTCGATGAATCTGCTTCGGCTAACATGCAAATCGCAAGGGATAATTTCTCCATGTTGATGGACAGGCCGGTCTACACTATCCATCACTACTGGAGGAGGTTTGATAATGCCTACATGAGACCCATTTTTGGTGGCCCTCGGCACAATCCATCAGAATGCTGAGTTTCTACCACAACTACTACTACTCTCGCTCAAGTCCCGACCATTTCTCCATTGAGGAATACCAGAATCGCCGGTAGTGGAATTAGCCTAAGGTTAGGGGAGAAAGGGGTGTGGTTCTTTGACTTGGTGCCTAGAATATGCAGGTAGCGAATTCTAAATGCAGAGGCCGAGATTGCCAGAGAATGTGTAGTCTCATGGAAGGAATGGCAGCGATGCCAAGTTTTGGAAGTTTTGCTGGTGAAAGCTACTGTTTCGATCTAAATGTAAATGATTTTAGTGAACTCTGCAACAAACATTTTTAGTGAAAAATGGACCTTCCTTACTGCATCAAACGTTGAACTATGTTGATCCGTAAATCATCAGAAAAGTACAAGAACGAAGTTCACTTAATAGGCCAAATCTCCTTACTCATCGACGTCCTTTTCAAGGCGCTGCAACCATCAAAAGCCATTTCAAACTTTAGAGTTCAGGGAATCATCACTTCAGCTCGCCATAGCTGCATAAAAGAAGTCACCAAATCAACCCAAAATGCACCGAGGGAGGAGGAACTTACATTGTCGGCAGATGATGAGCTGGGACAGGTCAACCCGGCAATTGCTGTTTAGCCTGGCAGCGGCGGAGCTAGCACCATCTGAGCCTCCTTTGGTCGCAGTAGCTGCAGTCAGTGATAGCACTACTACAAGCACGCAGAAGAGCAGAAGAACTTTAAGGTCTGCCATTGACCTGCCTCCTGATGTAGGCTTTCAGGACTGAAGAGTGTACAAGGCAAAGTCGGTTGCAGTTTGGTTGAGCTTAGTTTTATAAGAAGCCAAAAAGAAACTTTAGTAGCCATCTGCTTACCAGTTTGTTGCAGGGATGCACGGGAAGGATGAACAACATTAAACAAAACTCTTTTCCTGGGGATACAACTTCAAGAAATGAAGCTAGCAACTAGATTAAGATCTACAGATTATTAAGGTTTTTATAAATCTGTAGTATGTGCAGACTTGATGACCTGAAAAGCAAGCCGAAACACTAAGCTCCTCGGATACCTGACATAAGGTGAGAAGATATCTTTTGAACACCTGTTGTGGTTGTCTAAAGGCTACAGAACATATATCGTTATAAGTAGAATGTATTCAAGTCGAGTTTCCATAGGAATGCATCATTTTACAATACATTTGTCTTTGTCGAAGTTCGTATCTGGCTGTTGCGACAAGAGCTGATGAGGTGAGCAGTTTCCTAGTAACTTGATAAGCAAAATAAGGCGCAATGGGAGATAGCAGACAGTGAAGCTCAGGATTGAGCTCTTGGTGTGTTTGGTCCGACATAGCCAACTATAGTTGACAAGTTTCGGTGTCACTAATCTGATGAACTTATCAAAATAAACACACAACTGTACATACGAAGGAGAAAAGGCGCTTACAGAGAGCAAAAGCCAATGTCACACTACACTACCACGAATAACTGTTTTGCTGAGATTAAAGTGCATTAGTTTTTCAGTACAACATCTAGCTAGCCAAGTTCATATTCCCCAACCTACAAATTAACAAAAGCAAGGAGTCATAGCAGCAGGCCCAACAAGACCAACGAAGCTACCTACAAACTGCCTTACATGATAAGAGAAACCCAAATAACAACACTAAGATGAGATGAGATATCCTCCCAACTTCAAAATCTAAGGGTGAAAGCTTCAGATTACTATTTCCATCTTTGCAAAGGGATGAATAAACAGCTAACTATATCCACAAAAGGTTAACCGTCAGTCGTCATGGTTAAGGAAGGTGGAGGGAGTGCCTGATCATTAATACTTAGACTAACATCTACTAACCAGTCATTCAATTAGCAGCAAGCAACCCGCCATTTGCAGATGCTCAAGCCCTAAATATATGCTGACGGGATAGAAATTCCATTAACTTTGCAGCTGGGAAACTTTGACAGCCAAAGAGCTCTTGAAGCTTGGAGTCGCATACAATCACAGTTGGATTAACAAGATCCTACAGAGCACAAACCACACCCAGTGTTAAAAAAAAACCCGTTGTCAAATCATCAGATGAAGCCCCATTACTGCGTTTCAACACACAGTGTGGTGATATATAAGCTCCAATAGTTGTTTGTTACCTCCAAATTGTTGGCGTTGATGTATTCCCAAAGGCGGGTGCAAATCTCTGACTGGAGCATCACCCTCTCACCAACACCGAAAAAGTTTGCAAGTTCTTCAGATATCCCCACAGAAGGAGCAGCAGCATCCTGTGTGTCTTGAGACTCCTTGTCTTCATCCTCTATCTCTGCAGGAGTAGGTGCAGGAGCAGGTTCAGGTGCAGGTGCAGGTGCAGGTTCAGGTTCAGGTTCAGGTGCTGGAGCAGCCTGTGTATCCTGTTCTTCATCCTCTACCTTTGGCTTCTTAGAACTGGCCTCGCCTGAAGCATCAAAACAACAATAACAAAGGCTGTGACATCATTACAAACCCCATACCCACACAGAGAGCCTCCACACAGTAATCAATCACTCACTGGCGGGATCAAGACGAAGGATATGTTTAGAGAGCAACTTGTTCATCTTGAACATATCAGTACAGTCAGTCTCAAACACCACACGCAGTGCATCGTCGCAGATAATCTTCCTTTTGTTGCTCGGGTCTTGCAGGTTGTGCTTTCTTATGTATACCCATAACTGCTTAACAATCTGGAAACAGAAATCATCATTCACAAGTCACGACACCTCAGTCAGCTATGTGGTCATGCAAGCAAAAAGAAAGCAAAGTAGGGTACAAGAAACAAAAACAAAAAAAGAACCTCAGTCCTAGGAAGAGTAGAATGGCCGACCACAACTTGAAGTTCCGGCGACACCCCACAGAGCTTGTTCAAACCACCCGCCCCGCCTTTCCTCTTACCCTTATTACTGCAAATAAGACGAGCCACATTCAACAGTACATTAGCAGCAAGTGAGTATACCTCATTAGACCAACATGAGGCTCCCCTCTCCAGTCTCCAGAACACTCAAATTCAATGGAGTAAGTAGCACATCAACTCTACATTCAATTCATTAGTTCAACCCTAACAAACAAACAAACAAACAAAAAAAGAATCCTTTCACAATCATTGATCTAAACCCAATTGCAAGCAGAATGATGATGCTAAAAATTTGAGCTTTCCCGTTCCCCTCAACTACCCAGAACCCAGATAATTCTCAGCAGAAAAAAAAAAACAAAATCGAAACTGTGAGGTTTTACAAAGGGATATCACATTCCCCATTTCAGGACAAACAAAGCTCGAGGGAAGAGACAGAAAGAGAGATACCCCTTACCTCTCCTTAGGAGACTCGAGGGGAGCACCAGCAGGTGCAGGGGATTCCAAATTGAAGGAGCCGGGGGAGTGAGATGGAGGGAAGCCGGAAGAGAGGAAGAAGTTGGGGGTTTGTTGAGGGGCATAACGGTCATTGTAAGAGGGCGGAGGAAAGGGTTGCTGGTGGTGCTGCTGCTGATGAGGCGGCGGTGGGTAGCCGGAAGAGAGCAAGAAATTGGGGGTTTGGTGCGTCGGAGGGTAGCCGGAAGAGAGGAGGAAATTGGGGGTCGTTTGGTGGGGGGCATAACGGTCTTTGTAAGATGGCGGCGGAGGAGGAAAGGGTTGTTGCTGCTGGTGGTGCTGCGGCGGCGGCGGCGGCGGTGGGTGAGGTTGCTGGAAGAGGAGTTGCTGCAGCTGGGATCGGATGAAGTCGAGCTTGGGGGAGAGGTCGACGCCGAGCTTGGATTGGAGGTGGTGGACGACGGCGGTCATGGAGGTGAGAGGGCCGGCGGCGGAGGATTGGGACTGGGAAGTGGAATAGTCGTGGAGGAGGGAGTGGAGAGCTTGGGATATCTCTCGCTCCGACATTTTTGTTCTTTTTTGGGTTTTTTAACTCGATGATTTCTGCCCTGATCTCTCTCTCTCTCTGTCTCTCTGTCTCTAAACTTTCTCCTGTTTCTTTCTTTCTCTTCTCTCTGTCTCTCTCCCTCCCTCCCTCTGTTCTTTCCCTCTCAGGCCCAGTGCTTTGCTTTTGGCCCCTCTCTCTCCTCTCTCTCAGTCTTTCTCCCTCCTGTTTCTCTTTCTAGATTGGTTGCTGCTTGGCGCTATCCGAGTTATCAAAATCGAACCGGACCAGACAGTTGAACCGTTTAAAATCAAAACCATTAGGAATGGCAATGCGCAAGTTCGGGGCGAGTATCTTGATACCCATACCTGTCCTGTGGCAGGTCGGGTTTTGATCAGATAATTTATCATGGGTCGTGGGTCGGGGCAGGTCGACCCAATGGGTAAGCAAATTATATAGAAAAACATTAGAAATATTCGTTATTTTCATTATAAGACCAAGAAAACAAACTATATTAAGATAAATGTAGTTAAATTATTGGAGAAATTGAGATTTTTACTAATTTAAAACTTTATTATGGCTAAAATATGGTGTAATAAAAAGAATATTATAAGTAATTTGACTAAGATTACTTGTAATTTAGGCAAGAACGGGTCAAGAATGGGGCGGGTCAGGGTAGGTCGGGTTGACAAGAATACCCATGTCCGTCCTGCCCCAAAACAATCCAAACAGGTCTGGTAAAACGGGTCAGCTCGAAATTATCGTCTCTAAAAACCATCCATATTGAAAATTGAAAGGGTAATTTTATCTCCATGTGTGACATATTCATGGAGTCGGTTTGTAACTATATGATCAGTAAGAGCGCATCACCCAATCATCAACCGTCACATCTGAATTCTGATGTGCCTCTCCCTCACTTGTAGAAGGTCTCTAACATTTTCTCTTTCATTTTTAACAGACGATTTCTTTTTTATGTTAAGTCGGAATTGAAATTTGTCTGCATAGATAAATCAGATTAATTATGCTCTTCAAATAATATCTATTTTGATATATTTTTGAAAAAAAATTGAAACGTTTATTACCAGTCTATACCATATGGTATTGATTGCTATTAAATAAGAGCATATCATGGTGGTATGAACATACCAACCTGTATGATGGTTGAATGCATAATAGTAGAAATATACTAACTGTCATTTACGACTTTCAACATTGCGTACCATAAGATACCACACTTATATCAGGGTGGTACAAAAGTGGTATTTTTTGGACATGTATCCCCCAGAAATTTGTAGTTTTAGAATAACGATAAACTCCCCCCCCCCCCCCCCCCCCCCCCTCCCCCCTCCAATACAAATATTTTTAAAAATGACTTAAAAAATGAAGGAGATAACATATGGTATGGAGTTGGTAATGTGAGGTATGAAACAAAAATTTTCAAAACATATTGAAAATGGATCTCATTTTGTAGAGCACAACAAACTCGTTCCATATGTGGAAAAAAAATCCAAGTTAGAATTGACATTTTAAGCCTTATATTTGAAGCCCACTTAAAAGGAAGAACCTTATTATGCAAGTTATACACCATAGCTTTATGCACCATATTCCTAACCATTCATGGGTAAGACTGTCGTTTTAAAATATAAGCAGGGACAAGATGGTTGAAGTTGGATAGATAGGTAAATTCATACGTAAGAGTTAAGATTATCATTTTAAAATAAAAGAAAGGACAAGATTGTCTAAACTTGGATAGGTCTATAACAAGTACCTATTCTAGTTTGATGTTCTAAAATCTACTTTAACAATATTAATTGAAATATTTCCCCCAAAGGCATCAACAATCCACTACTAAGAAGAAAATAGTCAAACAATCCAATATATGAGAAGGTGCTCACAAGTCACACCAGCGCCGCTGGATTGACGCGATGACAATTTTTTGTAAATAAATTGTCACATCATCGATCCAACAACCACATAGCACTTCATAGAACGTTACAATCCAGTTACACTCTAGATTGGTAATCACAATCCAAGGAGCCCAACTAGTAGCTTGTGAAATACATTCACATGAGAAGGTCCTATTGATCAATTGTCATTTGGGATTCTATTTTGCAGGTATTCGCGGCTAGAATCAAGGAGTATAGAGTGCATCTTTATATCTCTTTGGAAACTCACTCCATTAATTATTCTCTTAGCTCAACAGCTGAAACAATATACCTCGGGATCAACTGTCATAATCTTATGAATTACGGGAAAGAGACAATGAAATTTGAGCTATATTGAGTGTGACTTTATAAAAGTACGGGGAAATATGTACTTGATTAGAGACATTGTCCTAGAAGGGAATAACCAATGAATAATGGAGCCTACACAAAGTTTCGGGTTAATTGCATGGTTGGTCACTGAAATTACAAAAAATGTTCAAGTTTGATCACTCGAAATATTTAAATTTATTGGTGGTACTTCACTTTACTGAAACTGTTCACATTTGGTCACTCTCCGGCCAACTCCGTTAACTTTTACTTATGTGGCGGTCAATTCTAAAAATTGACTGTTAAATGTGTGACTTGGCAATTTTAAATTAATAAATTAAAATTTTTAATATTACCACCTTATTTCCACCTAATTATCAGTTTTATTTAACATTAATAAAATTAAATTGGCCTGTCGTCGATCAGCCCCAAGCTCTTGCTGCTACTCCTCCTCCGGTCGCCGTCTTCGACGTCGAACAACCGCCGCCACTTCCCCGCTCTCCCTTGTTAGGAACGGAACAACAAAAGGAACGCACATTTCACCAAGTAAAACTACCAATGTGGTAGTTTTTCCACTAGAGACTCTATAGCTTTCAAAGCTATTCATATACATTTCCAACATCCCTCCGATCCTTCCTCCTCCTCGTCGCCCTCCGACCAGACTCGGCTCCTCTCTGAGATGCCGAATCTCAAGGACCCTGAGCCACTCGCCTCCATGACCACCGCCATCGCCGACGTCTCACAGAGAGAAACTCTCGAAAATCTTGGTTTCTGCCTTTCTCGCAGGCACGGCCGACGACAGGGACGCCGATACCGCGAGAACCGATGGAAGAAGAACGAGACTGCCAAAGCTGTTCTCCCAGCGGCGAAGAAGAAGCTACCAGGGGAATCGTACAACAGAACGGAAACAATACAGTATTCGAAGAGGATACAGAGACGGCGGCGGAGTCGAGCGCCCGGACCACGAGACCGTCGACAACGCCAGGGCCAAGCTGGACGACATCGAGGCGAATCTTTCCTCCCCGAGATCCCAATTTGACGAAGCTGTATCTCGGATTGGGCGAGGGCGGTTTCAGGGCAGACGTTGGATTCGCCCCCAAAGAGATTTGGCGATTATCGTTGGCTGCCAAACAAAAAGGGTGACTGGGTAATGGCTATTTATCTCCCCGCCCAAATGGGTAAAGAATTTGGATGGAGATTGCTGATCCAGTATGGGTGACTTTTGCTTTGGCTGTTACATTTCAATTCCTCGAGCTCCCATACTGTGTCGTTTTGTCGTCCTCCTCTGCGCCTTCTTCCCCCGACGAGGCGCCACGGCAAGGAATTGGTAGCGATAGTAGTGTTAGTACCAATGTTGTTGCTGTAAACTCCACCACCCTCCATCCTGCTCTGGAGGAAGTGGCTGACAACAATGGCTTTGTTTGTGAAGGAATCATGAACAACAACAGGTCTTCATCTGAGTTTGATTTGTTACATGAATGGCTGGTTGATGCGAATTCGAGTTCGACATTGTCTCATGGGCTGCTCATGATCAGGAAATTGATGATGATGATGATGATCCAGAAGGGATTTCTAGTGATCACTTTGTGTCTGAACGAATCACGGATTTGAAGAATGATTCTGCAGCTGAAAGCAGCAGCAATTTGCAAGGGGAAAATGTCACTGTTGCAGCTGATCGAGAAGCGAAAGAAGGAACTTCTGTTGTTGCAGCTGTCCCCACATCACCAATGGATGTCAATCCCTTGCAGGATAAGGATCTGGCGATTATCCTCGGCCCGACCACTAGGGCGCGCTGCTGATTTGCAGCCTTGGTTGTTCTCGATGATTTCGCAGCGCTGTTTTAGCGGCTGGGGTGGCAGCAGTAGTGCTGTTAACTTCCTCGACTACGGCGGCGACGGTCGGAGTGGCTCCGTCCGGGGAGAGCTATTTGCGGGGGCGAGAGTAATGAGGTGATAATATTTGTCTTGCGAATTAGAAGGTTAGATTTTTTTATTTTATTTTAAATAAAAGTGATAATTAGGTGGAAATGACAATTTAAAAAAAAATATTTTTTATTAATTTTAAATTGCCACGTCACATATTTAACGGTAAATTTGTATAGTTGACCGTCACATAAGCAAAAGTTAACGGAGTTGGACGGAGAGTAACCAAACGTGAACGGTTTCAGTAAAGTGAAGTACCACAAATGAATTTAAATATTTTGAGTAACCAAACTTGAACTTTTTTGTAATCTCAGTGACCAACCAGACAATTAACCCCAAAGTTTCCATACAGCTTTCTTCTTCTTTTGATCATGAAGTTCTATAAAACTTTAAGCACACACTATTCACACTTATAACAAATAGCTCTGTAAAATATTTGTAGCAATGAGCAGGATAGAAGCTTAGAAAAGACTACTCAAAGACCATTTATTGCACCAAACATGGAAATGATCAACACTCTGCTTGAGTACTTTAGGCTCTACACGAGAATCGCTGTTAAAACCTCTGGGAATGTTATAGAGGGCCTTAGTGTTAGTGGGGAGTCGAACACGAGATCTGGTACTTCTCGAAACGAGCACTCATTAAGAGTTTCACCGTTAGATTATATGAACTTTGCCAAATAATTTCAGTTGAATAAGGAGTTGCTGATGCCAACAGTATAATTCACCCTATCAGAAATATTATCTCACATTTATTTACCTTTTTTCTCTCACAATATATGGATTTTGAGACACCAGTGATTGGAGAAGATTAGAATACTTACCACCATGAAAATTTCAATATTTTAGGTAAAATCCAAAATAGTTAAGGAGCTCAATTGAAATTTTGTGGACCTCTATTCTGTTGGCAAACGCTGCTCCCTCCACCACCTGAACCAGCGATTTGAACCGGGTTGGTTTTTTCTGAATGGGCCCGTCTCTGTCGTCTTCCCTTGCTGCTGCTACAAACCGTTCCCTCTCCCTTTCTCTCTGTTTCGCCCACAAACACACAAAAAAACACAAACTTTGCTCTCCCCTGAAGGAATACCGATCCCCCGTCTCTCTCTCTCTCTAGTTTTCTAATAAAAGTTCGGAACTTTTTGCGATACATGGATGGTGAAGCCAGATATAGATATGGTTTATGTGGTGGTGCTACGGGAACCTGCGGCCTGGTTAATTGAGACGTGAATCCTTTTTTGTTTTTGGGTTCTCGTCTTCTGGGTGAAGAAGAAGAATTTTTTTTTTGTTTCTGATTGTCTCTTCCCCTTCTGCAGGTATGTTGTATTTCTGGGTTCTCTTTGATTTTGTGTATGCTCTCTTGGGTCGTAATTCTGTTTCTGTCTCGGCAAATGGGGAGAAAACTTGTTGAAGAAGTTTTTTTCTCGTTTGCATGCTGTGATACGCTTCTTTTTCTCGTTTTATGATAGAATTTGTTTCTTAATGGTTTGGCGATGGTATATGTTTGATTGGTTGCGATTCGGTTTTGGTGGTCAGTGTTTCATTGAATTTTTCGACAATGTAAATCGAGAACACTGGGTTGTGATTGAATCTTATTGATTCAGGGATTGGGTTCTGTGTGTTTCATGCAAAGCTGAGGGGAGAGACCTGCAAAAATCACATTTTGTTTACCTGCTGAGTTAGAGCTTTGATTCTGCTCCTGGTTCTGAGATCGTGAAAGGACATTTGGTGGCATTAATTATTTTCTTGGGTGTTGTCTAGGGTACAACTGAGAATCGTTTGAAGTTCTCCGCGGAAGGCTAATTCGCGGAGATGACGAGTTATTTAGGTGTTCAAGTCTCTGATCCAACGCTCCAGAATCAATTCACGCAGGTGGAGCTTCGTGGCCTCAAATCTAAAGTAAGTCCCTTTTCAGAACCCCGCGGTGTTTGTCTGTTTGAATGCCGGCATTTTGTCAGTTGGAATCATCCTCAGATGGGAAAATTTGTTTCAAGTTATTTCGACTTAGCTCGAGTTGTCATGTTCTTGATGTTGTTTTCCCCCCTTCCCTTGATTCAGTTTACTGCAGTGAAGAATGAGAAAGGCAAAGTTACAGTTGGAGATTTGCCATCTTTGCTGGTGACGTTAAAAGCCTTTGCTTCAACATTCAAGGAGGAAGAAGTTGCAGGCCTCTTAGCTCAATCCTTCCCTGACTCGACTGCCGATATAGACTTCGAAGGCTTTCTCAGGGTGAGCTGTTCTCATGTTTGATAACCTTGCCTTCCTTTTTTGTTTGTTTTTGTGCACCAGCTTATTATTGTCTTATGTCCAGTTGAGAACCAGTCCTATTTGTCATTTCAATAAATAGGAAGTGAAAGTGCTACTGAATATATTGTAACCTATTGCCAAGGCAAAGGATATGCTCTTTAATTTGCTTACAAACTCGAAATGTAACAGGTGTACTTGAATTTACAAGGTCAAGCTCATGCTAAAGCAGGGCATTCAAAAACATCCTCATCATTCCTCAAGGCATCAGTAACCACTCTGCTTCACACTATTAGCCACTCTGAGCGAGGATTATATGTAGCTCACATAAACAGTTACCTTGGCGATGACCCTTTCCTGAAGCAGTTTCTTCCCTTGGATCCAGCAACTAATGATTTATTTGATCTTGCAAAGGATGGGGTTCTTCTATGGTTAGTTGATTTGATAATTTCCTTGTTTTCCCCCCGGTATTATCTTGAATTTAAATCATCGTCTTTGTTTTGGCTTTTGTTCAGTAAGCTTATCAATGTTGCTGTGCCTGGGACTATTGATGAGCGGACTATCAACTGTAAAAAGGTTCTTAACTTGTGGGAGAGGAATGAGAACCATACTCTTTGCCTCAACTCTGCAAAGGCTATTGGTTGCACTGTGGTTAACATTGGTGCACAGGACTTGGTGGAAGCAAGAGTAGGTTTAATCTATTTATAGATTGCTTTGCTATATACCAGGTCAGATTTGTTGTAATGAGAAGATTTGTTGCTAACATAATTGTAATGATTATGCAGCCTCATCTTTTGCTCGGTCTAATTTCTCAGATCATAAAGGTTAGAGTTTGGCTTTTTTCTTCATTGCCAATTTGCATATAGCGAGTTATAATGCTATGGGTAGCTGGCAGGTTTTAGAAATTAATTAATCATTTAAAATATTACTCTGCATAATTTCTCGATTTGGGTGTTAATGTCGACGAACATAAATTCCCCACTCTGTTGTTCTCAGATTCAATTGTTAGCAGACCTTAACCTCAAGAAGACACCTCAGCTCATTGAATTGGTGGAGGACAACTCTGTAAATAAATCCTAAATTGAGGACCTTTAGTGTTTTCTTCTTTTTCTTCACTTGCATTGTTCAGCAACTCAATCTAAACAATCCACTACAAAAATTTCTCTCTCAGGATGTTGAGGAGCTCATGAGCTTGGCCCCTGAAAAGCTTTTGTTGAAATGGATGAATTTCCATATAGGCAAAGCAGGCTATGAAAAACGTGTTACAAACTTCTCTTCGGACTTGAAGGTAATATCAATTTATATACTCTAGCAACAAGTATGCACAGGTGACATGACTCCTTTTCTTCGATATTGGGAAAATGCCTAAAATATTCTGTTAATCATGTTCAAGTAGCCGCATTAAAACTCTTCAAAACTTAAGGCATCAAATTGACATGTATCATTAGTTGATCTTTGATTGCCCCTTCAGTACCTAGAAGTAATTTTTTCCTTTGAATACTACATCCTTCAAATTACTTAGTACCCCAATTGCCTGCTGACTTTAAATTTTGCCGTTATCCACAAAATATGCTTGTCGTGATGCTTTCATGGTCGAACTTGTAGGATGGACGGGCTTATGCCTACCTTCTTAATGTTCTTGCACCAGAGCACTGCAATCCAGATACATTGGACGCAAGTACTGCGCTTGAGAGGGCCACACTAGTACTTGATCATGCTGAGAAAATGGGCTGCAAGCGGTATTTGAAACCAACTGATATTGTTGAAGGCTCATCGAATCTGAATCTTGCATTTGTAGCACAAATATTTCATCGAAGGTGAGGGATGCCAGCAACGGTATGAGCTGTTTCCATGGTAACCTAAGGGGCTTACTTCCTGAGCTGTTGGGGGCATGTGACTATTACCCTGAGCATAGCTACTCTAGCTTGTGTACCAATGCTTTCTAGAGCCTTGGTACTTTTTGTTTCTTAATCATGTGGTAGTTGGAAAAGGTGACTTGTTAGCTGTGGTCCAATGTGTTTCAAAATGCTGCTTTAGTTCTTGGTAATGTTCCATGCAGGCAAATGCACACATTAAGAGCAATAGTTGAGGTTCCATAGTCAGAATTGACAGTAGCTACAAATAAATTTTGATGAATTTATGCTGAAGTATTCCTTAAACCCACGATCATTTTAATTAGTCAAGCATTTTGGTTATATCCGAGTCATGATGAAATACTTATGCTGTTTTCTCCTTGGTAACTTTGTAGGAGTACCATACTAGATGCACTGTTGGTGTCATGTTCGTGTTATTAGTCTTTTTTTCCCCTTCAGTGAAAAACTTGTCTGTTCTTGATATTTCCTCCGCTCAACATTATGACTGAATGAAATTTGCATCTTATTATTGCAGGAGTGGCTTGAGTACAGATGGCAAAAAGTATGCTTTCGCAGAGATGATGACAGATGACGTCCAAACATCCAGGGAAGAGAGGTGCTTTAGATTGTGGATCAATAGCCTTGGAGCTGCCTATTGTAATAACGTGTTTGACGATGTTAGGAATGGGTGAGTTTGCAAATGTCCGAGTCACTGTTTTTACCTATTAACGGTAAAGGTTCCATTTTAGTGTATTGGTATCTTTTCCAGTTGCTACTGATATTTTTTCTTTTCTTGGACCAGTATTGCATTTTGGTTGCGAGTAACTTGATTGTTGAAGATTATGCTTGCAGGTGGGTACTTCTTGAAGTACTTGACAAGATTAAACCTGGGTCGGTTAACTGGAAGCATGCCACAAAACCTCCCATCAAAATGCCATTCAGGAAAGTGGAGAATTGCAATCAGGTCATACAGATTGGGATGCAGTTGAAATTTTCACTTGTTAATGTAGCTGGCAATGATATCGTGCAAGGAAATAAGAAACTCATACTCGGTAAATGTCCACAATCCCTTCCAGCAACAACATGCTATTGGAGTTTGTAGGAAACATCATTGCTAATTCATACTGATTCAAAGTCCTCTCCACATTTTGTACTCTTCCTGTCTTGAATACCTATGATTAATGTCTCATTGAATCTGAAGATCATTGGTTCTTTTTCAGCTTTCTTGTGGCAGTTGATGAGATATTCCATGCTTCAACTTCTGAAGAACTTGAGATCACACTCTCAAGGGAAGGAAGTAACTGATGCAGATATCTTGCATTGGGTGAACAAAAAAAATCGAAGTATGGGGAGACCTTCCCGGATTGAGAATTTCAAGGTTGATAAAATAAAAGCTCTCCACTTTTTACCTCCTCCATCATCAGTTGATATATGTTTTTGGTAGGTGCTGACTTGATAATAATCTGGAAATAACTGTCAGGATAAGAGCATATCAAATGGGAGATTCTTCCTTGAGCTTCTAAGTTCTGTGGAACCAAGAGTAGTAAACTGGAATCTTGTCACGAAGGGTGAAAGTGGTAATGACCATTTCCCCTGCTATTCTGCACTTTTTGTTAGTATTCTGCATTTATGTAAGTGTCACCTGACGTTTGGATATCATCATCATCTTCTCCCCTCCTTCAACGCAACAGAGGACGAAAAAAGACTGAATGCTACATACATTATTAGCGTGGCCAGGAAGCTTGGTTGTTCCATTTTCTTGTTGCCAGAAGACATCATGGAGGTAACAGTTCTTTCTTTGTAATGTACGGTTATTACAAAGGAATCTCTTTTGTTTTCCAAATGTCAGTAGTGGAAGTGATTTTAAGTAGAGCCAAACTGATTTGAGTTTGGTTGCAGGTGAACCAGAAGATGATTCTGACGCTAGCGGCGAGCATCATGTACTGGAGCCTTCAAAAAGCAGTGGAGGAAGGGGAGTCGCTATCTCCGGCACCTTCCAGTTGCAACACATGCCATGCTACACCTGACGCATCCCCGGCGCCTTCAGTTTGTGGTGAAGATGAAACCTCTTCCATCACCGGCGATGTCTCAGGCTTGACCCCGACACCTTCAGTTTACGGTGAGGATGAAACCTCTTCCATCACCGGCGATGTCTCAAGCTTGACCCCGGCACCTTCAGTTTGTGGTGAAGATGAAAGCTCTTCCATCACCGGCGACGTCTCAAGCTTGACCATCGACGATGCAGCCTCAGACACCGCAGTTTCCTCATCTCATCTTGACAAAGAAGAAATCACCTCTGCAGGAGGAGAGTGATCTCGACCCAAAAAATGTAAAGAGAAAAGAAACTCAAACTGAAGTCAAACGGGGTTTTGTGATATACAAGGCATATACATGTGCAGTAAAAAGAAGAAAAGTGACGGAAGTCCATAATATCATCCTTCAGTCAGAATCTTAACTGTGAAAAAAAGTGAGATAAAAAAGAAAAGAAAAGAAATGAATAGGGAGGGAAGCGTGGGGATGAAGAAAAGGAAACACCAATTTTGTAGTTGCATTTCATTTCTCATGAAATAATATGACAGAAACCAGCTTGGCTTCTTTTCATTTGCAAAGTAGGATTGTAATATGCATCATTCTTTGGACAAGATTGAACTTGTTGACAGAAACAAGTTTGGCTTCTTTTCATTTGCAGAATAGGATTGTAATATGCATCATTCTTTGGGCATGATTGAACATCATGTCGTCAACATAATAAAATCGGAATTCTCCGGTTGCTTCGCTTACAAGAAACAGCAATAGAATGGTGAATTCCCAAAGAGATAAGTTACATGATTCATCCTCAAGGTTGTGATCTTTTACATTCTTTCCTTGCTTAGATCAATGGTTCTCTTTCTGTTGGATTTTCAATGTGTCGATGTAAGCCTTGCTGTCAAGCTGGCGTAAGAAGAGGCCATTGTAGAACTCTCTTATAGTCACCTTCTTGAACGCAGCAGGCGTCTCTTTGGTGACCAAGCTAGCAGCAGGACCGATTTCACCGTCATACTTTGGAGAATGGAAGCAAGCAATTGACAGCATTTCCTTTTCAGAATTCACCGTTGCACGATGCTTGATGCTACGGTATGCTCCACTGGTAGTGATCTGCAAACAGCTAAGTGTTCAGCACATACAGGAGAAAAAGAACTTCCCACTATGCTGGATGCCGTTTTCAGTATTTAAGTTTCTTTACCTCAGAATGGCCTCCTTATATTGTTCTTTTAGTGGGCTAATGGTGTCGATCGGTGAATCCAAAGTTGGCTCAAGAGGGCAATTTTTTGGCGACTGGTGTCAGGTCGATCACTGGTAGTAGTGCAGTGCAGTGCAGCTCTATTTGGAAAGACCCACCAGGTGTTTCAAGGGCAGGACATAAATTATTTATAGTGCATTTGGGTTCATTTAGGTCTAATCCAATACTGAGATCATATAATAATTGAGTCAAATTGTCCAACAAAACAATTGATTGTCATCCCTAGTTGTTGGGCCGCATAGTTGAGGTACTTGGGCTTCGTGCCCAAGAGAGGGGGATTTTTCCAGAAATAGCACTGTTTAAAATTTTTTTCCTAAAATAGCACCTAAGTCCGAAAAATTCCAAAAATAGCACCCTTTTCCAAAAACCGCCATCCAGGGGCGCGTTTTTCGATGAAAACCGCACCCCCAGGGTGCGATTTGCTTTTTTTTTTTTTTTTTTGTTGAAAAATCCTAACCTAGGTGGAAACTTCAAACGGACGTATCTTTGTGTTCAGGTATCCAATCGTCGCAAAATTTTTTTTGATTCCGCATAACTTTTTGAGATCTTGCAAGCCAAAGGTGGTTTGGTCCCGCCTTCATCCCAAAAAATGTCGTTTGCTACCCCGAACGAGCTTTTTTCCGATTTCGTCAAACTTTGGACAACCATAACTTTGTGCTCCAAAATCCAAACAACATGAATTTTTTTTTATTTCGCATAACTTTTTAAGGACTACAACTTTTATCATAGACACAATTTCAAAATGTACGTGGATTGCTGAGAAGGAAAGGTAAGCTATTCCCAAAATCCTGTATATCCAAAAATAATTCCTGTTTTGAAAATTCATTATAGTAAAAATTGTAGTCCTTAAAAAGTTATGCGAAATAAAAAAAAAATTCATGTTGTTTGGATTTTGGAGCACAAAGTTATGGTTGTCCAAAGTTTGACGAAATCGGAAAAAAGCTCGTTCGGGGTAGCAAACGACATTTTTTAGGACAAAGGCAGGATCAAACCACCTTCGGCTTGCAAGATCTCAAAAAGTTATGCGGAATCAAAAAAAAATTCGCGACGATCGGATACCCGAACACAAAGATACGTCCGTTTGAAGTTTCAACCTAGGTTAGGATTTTTCAAAAAAAAAAAAAAACAACAGATCGCATGGTGGGGGTGCGGTCTGCCAAACCGCCCCCTAGGGGTGCGGTTTTCATCGAAAAACGCGCCCCTGGGTGGCGGTTTTCGCTTAAACCGCACTGGTAGGGAGCGGTTTTTCAGAAAGGGTGCTATTTTTGGAATTTTTCGGAGTTGGGTGCTATTTTTGGAAATTATTTTTTTAAAAGTGCTATTTCTGGAAAAATCCCAAAGAGAGGTGAGTCAGCAATTAAGGCCCAATAAGGAGGCCAGGCCCGATCGAAAGACCGTGTCAGCGGGCGGTCCTTGACCGACTGCAAACCCGAGAAATAGATAAGGGCGCCTGACATAAAGCGACTGAGCAGCACAGAAGGGCAGAGAGCCGTTGAAGATGCGTATCTGGTGTCTGGCAAGACTGAGCATTTATTGCCGGCCACAGGCGGCCTGCAGAAAGGCTGAAAGCCTGCCCAGGATGCCTAACATGACCCAAAAAGCCTGCTCGAGACGCCCGACCAGGTCCAAGGCGCCCGACATAGCATTTAATGCCCCAACCACCCTCAAACCAGGTATAAATAGAGGTTGAGTGCATTAATGGTAAGACCAACTACTATCCATCTCTCTACATAAATTCTTATCTCTCCCATTCTCTCTCTAACTTAAGCTTCGGAGAGTGTCACGGGCGAACCACCCCGGACCGCTGTTTTGCAGACTATCAGTACTCCCCTACATCCAAGAACAGGCGCCTCGCCCCAGCTCCGCAAACCGCCTAGTATCTACTAGGCACAAACACTAGTAATGTAATATAAATAATGTAGCGAAAATTTGTAATGTATGAAAGGGAATGATCAGCAATTTGACGGCAAAAGCAATAAGAAATACAATATGTAATCATATTTCCAGAACACCGGGATACGTTAGAATGTGGCATCCCATGAATTTTACCCTAACATTATGCAAACCAAATAAACAGAAGTTCCATTTCTGCCGCTTATGTACAAATACAGTCAGTACTGACCTAGAAAAGAACAAGTAGCAAGCAAGCCCAAAAGAAGCGTTTCGTAGGGCATTTTCCAGACCTCATCAGATCCTCCAAGGTATCGAGGTAAGACTTTAATACAACCCTGGGGGTGTATATTATCAAAGTCACGCAGCTAACGACTCAATTGAAGAATCGATTGAGCTCGAATCAAGAACGAAGCGTTCTTAATACGAACTTAGATAAAACGGAACCAAAAGGACAAATCCACACCTGGGGATAGCTCGATTGGTATAAAAGGGTAGTTGCTCGACCACGATTGAAGTGACTATTCAATCGATACACAAGCTCAGCAAGTTTGGAATCCACCAAACCCAAAACAAGTCGCAACTTGCACAAACCAAACGGTTTCGATTTCTATTCAACAAAGTCTTAGTTTTACAACGAAATAGAAAGCTTAAATAGGCCTAGCTAGGGTTACACACGTCCCATAAACTTCTAATTACAGTCTAATACGAAAAGGAATCAAAAAAACTACCAAAACAATGAAATCCTAACTAAACAAGAAAAGAAATCTGCCTTTAGCTCCAAGTAACCAAACAGCTTTGATGCCATCTTTGAGCCTCTCGATCAAAGCCTTCCAGGTAAGCTTCCAATCATCCAATGCCATGTCTTTGTAGTAGAACATACCTACTTTCATGTGGTATAAGCCTCTGGACTCGAATCTCATCCATGCTTCTGGAATGGAGCTCCAAAGTAGGCTTCTTGAACACAGTTTCTGCCTTAACCAAATTCTGGCAGTTTTCCAGTTTTGAGGTAGCAACTTTGAGGCCTTGGAAAAAAACCTTAATGATATTATCTGGATCCACAAAGCATACCATTGGAAAGGTGGCAACTTTATCTGCAAAACAAACTCTTAAAATGGAATTTCCACCAAGCCAATTGAGAGAACCATGCCTCCAAAGTATGTACCCTGAACACGGATTTTGACTTGGCCAAATTCTGCCCTTCTTCTTTCCAACCTTGATAGCTTCTTTGTCAAGTAATAAAAACGTGTATGGTTGGCAATTTGGGATCATATCAGGCTCCCCCCCTCTTCAAAAAGCTTTGACCTCAAAGCTTGATCTTTCCTTTTGTCAAAATCATCACAGAATCGATCCCAAATTGGATCGAAAGTAGCCTGCTCGAACATCTTTTTCGGCACAACTTTGGCAGCTTCAATCTCATCATCAATCGCATCTAGTTGTGTTGGTGCTTGCAGTTTTATTGGGAACGCTTTGTGTGGTTGAAATAAACCTGCTTTGACCACCAATTTTGCCGAATTTCGTTCCGAGCAATTTCCATGTCGTCGGACAGCAGTGCGACACTCGTTCTTGCTCGGCACAATTGGGGGTTTGTGATTCAAGTATCCCCCATCCAATTCAAGCACTCCAAACTCTTCTCCAGGCTTCCAATTGAAGTTCTGCTCCATTCCCAAGTCCCGAAGCATCGCCATTGTCTTCAATTCGTCGAGTTCTCCTTTCCCACCGTCGACGGAATTCGAATGTCCGCAACCCAGAAAAACCAAATCGAAATTGGGGGTTTTATATCCAAGCACCTTCTCTTCGAATTGTTGAATTCTACACGTTCCTCTTACCTCCTGTGATGATTCTACAACGTTGGATTTGCTCGAATCGAGCTGGATTGCTCCACCCAAGAGAGGGTCCTCGTCGGCCGTTTGCTTCACGAACAGAGGTAGTTTTACGCGAATCGATTCTCCAATTCCAGGTCTGTTCATCTCCGATGAAGTAGCTTCCAATGTTTTTGGGGTCGTGGGGATCGATTTGGCACCAATGGCGGAGTTCGAATCTTCGCCGATCTCTACGACGAAGTCGCCCTCTCTCCTGCTCTGTTTTCTCGAGTGCAGGGGCGTTGCTGGTCGATCTCGATTCTGTAGTTGGTCTTGAATCGACGCAAACCACTCCAGGGTAAAGATTCTTGATGCTACCTGGACCATGTCTGCACTGGTGGTGTGGCTGGACTCTTCCCCTAGCTCGGCATCGACTTCTCCACGCTGTGGGCTCTGTTTTGACGAAGGAAAACAGAGATGATGAGCGCCGGTGGACGTTTGGACGGGAATGCCTTGCGAGGATGCCAACGTTCGTCGATCCAAACTCCTAACTCTCTCTTCCAAGTCGTGGGCAGGTCTGATTACAAATCCTTGGTCTTGACTCCCTTCTGGAATTGGATTACGTACTGTAAAACTTGGCGTCGAAGTTGTATTGTTTCTCGGCAACGCAAACTCATCTATTCGATGAGAAACTCGATCAAATTTGGGCTGGAAGGTCGCGTTAAACGCGTCTGTGAGCATCTTCTTAAATTCATCCATGTCAATTTGAAGACTTCCCATCGTCTCTTTTGCGGATTGGGTCTTCTTCTTCGAATAAGAATCTTCCTCTGCTCCTCTCTGTTTGCTGTCCGCAAAGAAAAACATAACGAAAAACAAGATTCTCGATCTCCTTCTTGCCCCTGCTTTGAACGGGGCTCTGATACCACTTAATACAACCCTGGGGGTGTATATTATCAAAGTCACGCAGCTAACGACTCAATCGAAGAATCGATTGAGCTCGAATCAAGAACGAAGCGTTCTTAATACGAACTTAGATAAAACGGAACCAAAAGGACAAATCCACACCTGGGGATAGCTCGATTGGTATAAAAGGGTAGTTGCTCGACCACGATTGAAGTGACTATTCAATCGATACACAAGCTCAGCAAGTTTGGAATCCACCAAACCCAAAACAAGTCGCAACTTGCACAAACCAAACAGTTTCGATTTCTATTCAACAAAGTCTTAGTTTTACAACGAAATAGAAAGCTTAAATAGGCCTAGCTAGGGTTACACACGTCCCATAAACTCCTAATTACAGTCTAATACGAAAAGGAATAAAAAACTACCAAAACAATGAAATCCTAACTAAACAAGAAAAGAAATCTGCCTTTAGCTCCAAGTAACCAAACAGCTTTGATGCCATCTTTGAGCCTCTCGATCAAAGCCTTCCAGGTAAGCTTCCAATCATCCAATGACATGTCTTTGTAGTAGAACATACCTACTTTCATGTGGTATAAGCCTCTGGACTCGAATCTCATCCATGCTTCTGGAATGGAGCTCCAAAGTAGGCTTCTTGAACACAGTTTCTGCCTTAACCAAATTCTGGCAGTTTTCCAGTTTTGAGGTAGCAACTTTGAGGCCTTGGAAAAAAACCTTAATGATATTATCTGGATCCACAAAGCATACCATTGGAAAGGTGGCAACTTTATCTGCAAAACAAACTCTTAAAATGGAATTTCCACCAAGCCAATTGAGAGAACCATGCCTCCAAAGTATGTACCCTGAACACGGATTTTGACTTAGCCAAATTCTGTCCTTCTTCTTTCCAACCTTGATAGCTTCTTTGTCAAGTAATAAAAACGTGTATGGTTGGCAATTTGGGATCATATCAGACTTCACCTGAAGCTCGCGAGAGAATAATCCATCAAGGAATTCCTTATCGATCACATTCCTGGCAGAGTGTCTCCAGACACCAAGCTCGGTGCAAGGCCAATTTCCCTGATCAAACCTAAGACCTAGAATGGAAACAAGCAACCGACAGCATCTCCTTGTCCTAGTTCACTGTCGCCTGATGCTCGATGCTCTGGAGCACCCCATTGGTTATGATCTCAATTCTCGAGAATATCACCAACGTTGACCACAAACGCATTGGGAAGGAGCTTGACAGATACCCATTTATTGTCATTCCTAATCTACAGCCTTCAACTCCCTTCATGTCATTCCTAACCATGCACCTATCGGCAAAAGGAGATGAGCTTCGTCAACATAGCTAGAATACTGGAATATGATTCTGGGCTGCTCTGGACTCTACCAAGCAGTTTTCAAGTGCCCATAAGCTCCTTCAGTTTTTCCACTCCACTGCAGGACATAAGAAATGACACATCAAAGATTAGCTACCATAGGCATATCTTCTGTAATTCTATGCCGTCACCAAACAAGCCTGCACCTAATATTAATCAAGCATCACAGTATTTGATATCATCTTCTAATCACCTCAGCCATCAAATAAAATGAGATTATCGCACATAAAAACAGCAAGAAAGGAAAACCAAAACTGAACAGATTACTGATCAGAAGACAGCACGTATCATCGAAGAAAACAATCCATCTCTCAGAAACAAATAAACATGGAAAACCAAAGCCGGAACAGATTACTGAGCAGACACAGCACATATCATCGAAGAAAACAATCTATTTATCAGAAACAACTAAATATGGAAAACCAACATACCTCCTGGGGAAGGAAGGTATTAGCTCTTCAACCACTTCAACAACTAAGGAATCAGCTGCTTGTTCCTTAGGAGAGGTCTTTCCTGCTTCTTGATTAACACATGAGAGCAAGAAGCTCCATAAGCCAAATATTCTATGCAATCACGACAAGGTTAGGAAATGCTAATTTGAAGCCATTTGGCTTGCCATTGCTGATATTAATCACAAAATGTTGCTATCCAAAGCTAGCAGAAGATCCATAAAATACTCAGCACACAAGAATCTAACAGATAGGATGATAATTTCTAGGACCAATTACTCTGTTCCCAAATCACACCAAGAAGAGACAAATGTAAGTATGTCAATTTTGAGTAGAAAGAAAAATACCAGGTAACAGAGGTCACCAAAGTAGTCAAGGTTGACTTAAATACAACATCATAGTAGTTACAGCAACTTGCTTCTTTAACAACTTACAGAACCAAGATACAAATATTCTCAGATTACCCTTTCAAACAAAAAGGAAAACACTTCAATACCTGCATCCCGTTGATATGAATAGTTGCCTCTCAGATATCCATCTGTATAATCTAGATCAAGCCTGTCTTCTAATGTGAACTCTGCTAATAGAGAACCAATGAGATTGTAGGCTACTAAACTTGTCTCATCGGAAGCTTCTTGGATATTAAGGTACAAATTGTTAGAAAGAGTCTGATTGCTAGGACCAGATTCTTCCCCTCTACAGCAAAGGTTTAATTCGTGGAAACCTGATGCGTTTCTTAGACTATTTGCATTACTCTGATAAGATTCAGTTTTCATATCACACTCGACTTTTAAAACCATGCTGAGAGAAGGGTTGCCAATCTTGCAGTCATTATGTGTACTAGGAAGACTCTGACCTTCCTGATCAGGGTTAGGTATGTCTAGCTCAACGTCTAAAGGTGTATATTCTGCAAAGCTCTCTTCATCGTTCTCTGAGTACATAGAACCAAATCTGAAACTTGGGGAGTCGAATTCTTGCTGCTTGGGAGACACCTCACCACAATCATCATCTTCACTTCCACATGGCTCTTCCGTATATGCATCGCCAAAATTCTCAGCAAGCCCATAGCCAGGAATTAAATCCCAAACAAGTTGCTTTATATCAGAACTTACACTTATGATAGATTCTGCCTCCTCTTCAATAACATGGGTCAACAAGTAGCCATCGGGTGAAACTCGAGAGCTATTGATAAGATTTAGAGCTTTCAGAAACCCCTTGGGAATGGAGTCTAACTCATTGCAGTCAAAAAGATACTCGGTGAATAATTTCTTCATTGCTGTTCGTAAAGACCGTGCTGGGATATTAGCAGATGGATCCAACAGATGTTGCAAGGCTTGAAGCTCTGGCATTCTGACCTTCGTTTCCAGTAACCAAATAGCCTTTATGATTTCTGTCTGTAACAGTTCTATTTCTGGTGAAAATTTTATGAAGTCAGTCATGCAAGAACCAGGACATCTTTTCAGCTTTAGCGATAAACCCGCAACTGCTAGGGCCATGGTTAAAGGTTCCTGGAAGCTATGCCTTCCACTCCCAACGAGTTCTGATAGCATCTTCCTAATGGTTCTCTTAACCTTACAAATCAGGGTATCTCGACTCCAACCATATCTCCTTTTCCGCAAACAAGGTAATTCTGCCGGTAACCCTCTTAGTTTCCTGCGCATAGCAAACAGGGCTTCAGTTGGCAAGTCCTTTAGTCTATCCAAAATTTTTATTGCAGCAACATTCCATTGAAAGTAATGTGAACAGCACTCCTGCCTAATATTCTCTCGGTCAGTGAGAAGCTGACATAACTTGGTAAAAATTTCTACTTTGTCATCCTTGCTATTCAGATTCCTAAGAAATCCTGGAATAGATTTCTGGAAAACATTTCTCATTTTTTTCCGAGTCTTTTCAAACTTCTGCACACCTTTTGTAAGGAACAGAGAGACAAGGTAAAGACCTTTACTGGTCAAAGAATCAAGACAAGACAACAAGATGCCTTCGATGTTGTTCACGTTGAGAAACTGACAAGTTGTTTTGACCTCTCTTTCAACATGGTGTACTCCAAATGCTTGTTCAACAAACGTTTTAACACTATCATAAAATACCTGTGTAAAAGAAATGAAAATTGTCAATCATGTTGTACCTGTTTACGAATCTACAAAAGCAATAGGAATAAAAACCATGACTGACATATAAGCGACCCTTATATCACCACTATTCATGGTCATTTAATTGGTCGAGACTCATAGGAAGCAGACTATGTTGCAGTGTGATTGCGTTTCACCTTTTAAGAACTCTTGCAAACCAGTCACTTAAGTGAACACATGAAACCGTGTAATTTCGTCATCGAAATTCCAGAATCTAAATGCAATTTAGCATCCTGGCGACCTGGGATGCTTTAAGCATCTTATGTGATTACTATGCACGGAAAAATCAAGATGGCTGAAACTAATTTATAATGGATAGGCTTTCAAGTTCACTACATAGTTGGTAAACCGAACAAATTATAGACTTCCAGATCAGATGAAACAGTCCTAGTGGTGAAGGCTTATGAAAGTGCATTTTTATATTAGAAGCAGACATTGTTGAAGGGAATAACTTACATCATCTTCCCTAAGCATAGACTCAGGCAGGCACCTGGAAAGATCGCAAGAACTATTGTTCAGTAAACACCAAACACAGCATCATGTATGGAACCAGGGTACAAGCAAGTACTTACTCGTTATTTAAAAGTCTCTCCACTTTAGAGATTGACAATGGCGCTCCTATTAGCCACCTGCCCGGAAAGCATCACATGGTGAATATTACAAGAGTTAATTCCTTCAAAATAACTTGTGAAGACACAAACGCCATAGAAACTACAAGTGGTTAAAGAGCCAAGAATCTAAAATTCTTGGTAAAGAGAAGACGTAGCTCTCCAAACACGGTGACATGCCAATGGAAAAAAATAAAAACTTCCCAAGACTTCCCAAAAGCTTCATAGTTCCAATAGCCACAGTCCAATGCTTCATTCACAAGAGAGATAGAACAGAGGAAACAATAAGATGAACAGTAAAGGGAGAAATTGGGCCACCTTCGCTTGAGCTTCAGCAGCCTGTCCTTTCGCTTAAGTTCTGCAACGATCAACTGCGAATCAGTGCGGAGAAAACTACCCGCCATATTGGTTGAAATTCGCTCGTTTTCCACTGCGCAGCCGCCAAACGGGAGAGAAGCGCCTCTAAGTCTGGCGCTCTTCAAAGATGGCGGGAGAGACCGAGAGAGGAGAAAAGGGTTTAACTTTTTAAGACACGGCAAGCTTCTGGGTTTGCACTTTGCAGGGGTTTCGCTTCGTTCGTGGGAATTGGGATACGGAAGACGAAGGGCGGAAGGGGGAAGGATTAGGGATTTAATTGAATGAAAGTTTCTCTTTTGGTACTCCAATTTTCCCGATTTTGCTAAAATGCTTCATTTATGAGAATGTGTTATAAGGGAGTGTAGTGATTTCTAGGCTTATTATTAAGTTTAGGGATCACATTGTAATTAACCAGCCCTTGTTAATTGTTGTTAGGGTTGGTTCGGACGTGTACTTAAGGGAGAGAGCTCATATGCAAAACCCTAACTAAGAATATCATCAATAACAGATCAGCCGAGAACTCACGTTCTCCGTGGACTAGTCCTGTTCTCACCGAACGGGGAAACCACGTAAATCTTGCCTCGTGTTCTTTCGTTTCCGCACTGTCGATTTCTACATGGTATCAGAGCTGTGAACGGATTCACGGCCAGTTTTCACTATGAGCGACAAGGAAGATGGCACTCTCAATAGCTCGTCCAAGAGCAGTAGCGGCGGTGGCAGTGGGACGTCTCTGGCGTCGCCGCGGCCCTCGCCTTTTCTGATTCACAACTCGGACAGCCCCAGCCAGCTTTTTGTTGGCGATTTACTCACCGAAAACAACTACGGTGAATGGGTTGGGGACATCACCGATTCTCTTATTGCCAAAAACAAATTGGGTTTTGTTGACGGCTCGATCTTGGCTCCGGACGGTGGGAGTGACGATTATGCAGCTTGGAAGCAGGCGGATGCTATGGTGAAGGGATGGCTCAAAACTGCCATGACCAAGCATATCCGCAGCAGCGTGCGTTTCGCCACCACCGCTCGTGATATATGGGTTGACCTCCAAGCTCGTTTTGGCCATGGTAGTGCCGCTCGCCTATATGAGTTGAAGCGCACCATTAATCTTCTTCAGCAGGAGAAGACTTCTATTGCTACCTTTTACACTAAACTGCGGGGGCATTGGGATGAGATTAGTTCATTGGCCCCTTCCTTGGAGTGCACGTGTGGTGGCTGTACGTGCGACGTCAAACGTCGCCAACGCGAAGCCAAAGAGGGTGAGCGTCTATTTGATTTCTTAATGGGTCTTGATGATGTTTTTAGTACTGTTCGTACGCAGATCCTGGCTATGAAGCCGATTCCTAGTTTGGGAGAGGCCTATCACTTGATCATGAATGAAGAGCAATCCCGCCACATCTCCAACAGTCGTCGCTCGCGGCCAGAAGTTGCTGCCTTTCAAACACAAGGCGAACGCAAGTCTGATCGGTCGTCGCAGTCGGGGGAGCGTGATGCCGATGGAAAGCTTGTTTGCGGCCATTGCCAGAAGCCTGGGCATTCTCGCGAAACGTGCTACAAGCTGATTGGATACCCTCCACGCAAGGAAGGCGAGCAGAATTCCAAGAAAAAGTCCGATCGTGCCTCTCGTTCTTCCCCGCGGGCAGCTGCTGTCGACGTGGAGCCAGACTCTAGCCCGATACCAGGACTCACTATGGCCCAAATTACCCAGCTCAAATCATTCTTGAACTCGGATTTACGCATGCCTAGTCAATCACCTACGGATCCCGTGTCGAACATGGCAGGTACGTGTTCGCTTCTACCTTCTTCGTGGATTATAGATTCAGGATGCAATGAACACATAGTTAATGATAAATCTTTGTTGATTAATGAGTTGGAGTCACCTCCGGCTCTTCAGGTTCGGATTCCTAACGGGACAGGTGTCCCTGTGCATCATGTTGGTTCTGTCCGATTATCTCCTGATTTATCTCTTCAACGAGTATTGCATGTGCCGGATTTTCAATGCAATTTGCTCTCGGTCAGTAGGCTCACAGCTGATCTCCCCGTGGCCTTAATCTTTTTGAGTGACTTCTGCATTGTTCAGGACTTACCATCCAGGAGGCTGATTGGGATGGGTAAGCACGTTGATGGGCTCTATTATCTTCGACTGTTTGATGGGCAGCATCCAGTGGCGCATACGGCTCGTCAGGCGGTTGATCAGACAGCTTTGTGGCATGCCCGCTTGGGGCATCCTTCCATGAAAAAGTTGACAGTATTGCAGAAGTACATTTCGACACCTCTTCTTCAGCGGAATTCACCCTGTCATTCGTGTATTCGAGCCAAACAAGCACGTGATCCTTTCTCCACCAGTTCGATCACGACCTTTTCTTGTTTTGAACTCATACATTTGGATATTTGGGGAGGCTATCATGTTCCCTCCTTTTCTGGTGCACGTTATTTTTTTAACGATTGTGGATGATTACAGCAGAGCTGTATGGGTTTACTTGCTACAGTTTAAATCTGATGTAGCTCGTACTCTGTTATCATTTTTTAGTATGATTCAACGACAGTTTGGTAAGGTGGTCCGTCGCATACAGGCAGATAATGGTCCAGAGTTTGCGACCAATGAACTGCGTACTTATTATGAGCAGACTGGCATTATCTTACAGACTTCGTGTACGGACACGCCACAGCAAAACGGCGTCGTTGAGCGCAAGCATCGCCATCTCTTAGAGACTGCCCGAGCTCTGCGTTTTCAGGCTAATCTTCCTCTTAATTTTTGGGGAGAGTGTGTTCTTACTGCTGCCTACTTAATCAACCGTATGCCTCTTGTCACCACCGGGAATCGTTCTCCTTTTCAGATCATGTTTGATAAGGATCCCAATTATCATCTTTTGCGGAGTTTTGGGTGTTTGGTATATGCTCGTGACAATCGGCATGGTCTTGATAAATTTGCTGCACGCGGGCGTGCAGGCATCTTCGTTGGTTATCCTAGCACTCAACGGGGTTATCGGATTTTTGATCTCGAAGACCGGCGTATTTACACATCCCGTGATGTCAAGTTTCTTGAGATGTGTTTCCCTATCGCCTGTCGGCTGATCCGTCACCCACTTTCACACAGGACGCGTTGCCTCGGCCACCTCCTGTCCGCGCGGAACCCATCTGGGATGATGATCCCCCTGCTGAACTCGGTTCTCGTCCAGGTCCGGGCGAGACTTCTACTCTGGCCGAGAACTCCCCTGGTCTCTCGACCCGGACTTCTTCTTCGCAGGAGAGCTCCCCTAGTCTCTCGACCCGGACTTCTTCTTCGCAGGAGAGCTCCCCTGGTCTCTAGACCCGGACTTCTTCTTCGCAGGATCAGCCTTCCCCGTCGTCCCCTGGTCTCTCGACCGGGACTCCTTCTCCTAGCTCCACTGCCGCACAAGAGTCATCATCATCACCTGGCCCTGACTCTTCCGCAATGGAGCTGGACAGCGGGCTCTCTCCTTCGGACTCGGCCGCTGTGCCTTCAGTACCGGTGGCACCTGTTTCGACGACTGCGCCGCCTCCCCGACGGAGCGATCGTCAACGTCAACCATCTGTTAAGTTGCATAGTTTTGACGTGGACTTACCTGGCTTTGCTGGGCAAGCCAATGCCACTTACCCCATTGAAGACTACTTGTCCTATCGGCGACTTTCTCAGGCTCATCATGCCTTTGTTGCTGCGGTCACTAGCCATGATGAACCTCAGTACTATCATCAAGCTATTCGTTATGAGCATTGGCGTCGTGCTATGCTCGTTGAGTATCGAGCTCTTGAAGCTAACGGCACTTGGGTGCTTTGTCATTTGCCTCCTGGGAAGAGAGCCATTGCCTGCAAATGGGTTTATAAGATCAAGTTCAACGCCGATGGGACCATTGAACGCTTCAAGGCTCGGCTCGTTGCGAAAGGTTTCACTCAGATAGAGGGCATTGATTTTCACGATACTTTTGCCCCGGTTGCCAAGTTGGTGACGGTTCGTTGTCTGCTCACTGTTGCCGTCAGTAGGGGCTGGTTCATTCATCAGCTTGATGTCAATAATGCCTTCTTACATGGCGATCTCGATGAGGAGGTTTATATGCAGATTCCTCAAGGTTTTTCTACTCCTGGTGACACTCGTGTTTGCCGGCTCCGTAAATCCATTTATGGTCTTCGTCAGGCTTCACGTAATTGGTACCACAAGTTTACACAGGCTCTTTTGGAGCTTGGGTTTGTTCAAAGTCGTGCTGATCATGCTCTTTTCACATACCGGCATGGGGATGTCTTTGTCGCCGCACTCATTTATGTTGATGATGTTGTTTTGACAGGTAACAATATGCCTTTCATTCAACGGGTCAAGGATTCACTTCACACTCGTTTTACTATCAAAGATCTTGGTAACTTGAAGTACTTTCTTGGTATCGAAGTCGCCCGCTCTCCTCGCGGGATGGTGTTGAATCAACGCAAGTATGTCCTTGACATCCTTGCCGAGTCTGGACTCACGGCTGCTCGTCCAAGTCCTACTCCCATAGAGCAGAGTCATCATCTGGGGCGTGATCCCTCTCCTCCAGCAGCCGACCCTGCTTCTTTTCGTCGACTGGTTGGCCGGATGCTTTACCTCACGGTCACGCGGCCTGACATCGCCTATGCAGTCAACATTCTTAGTCAAGCAGTGCATGCCCCGACCCAGGCACACGTGGATGCAGCAACCCGCGTCCTCCGGTATCTGAAGACCTGTCCAGGACGTGGATTGTTTCTTCCCGTCTCGCCTGATCTTTCTCTCACGGCATACTGTGATGCTGATTGGGCAGGTTGTTCCCTGACCCGCCGTTCGACTACGGGGTATCTCATAAAGTTGGGATCCTCTCCTATTTCCTGGCGTACCAAGAAACAGTCAGTCGTTGCTCGTTCTTCGGCTGAAGCGGAGTATCGCGCTATGGCGAATACTGTTAGTGAAGTCTTATGGCTTCGGTGGCTTTTGCGTGATTTGGGTGTTCACCACACCACTCCCACTCCTCTTTACTGTGATAATTAGGCTGCTCTGCATATCTCGGCGAACCCGGTGTTTCATGAGCGCACCAAGCATGTCGAGATGGACTGTTACTTCGTTCGGGAGCGTGTTCAGTCGGGGGACATTCTTCCTCTAAAGATTGCTACTGCAGACCAGCCGGCAGACATTTTTACCAAGGGTCTTAGTGTTGATCAGTTTTCTCATCTTCTGGTCAAGCTTGGACTTCTTGATATTCATTCCTTCGCTTGAGGGGGAGTGTAGTGATTTCTAGGCTTATTATTAAGTTTAGGGATCACATTGTAATTAACCAGCCCTTGTTAATTGTTGTTAGGGTTGGTTCGGACGTGTACTTAAGGGGGAGAGCTCATATGCAAAACCCTAACTAAGAATATCATCAATAACAGATCAGCCGAGAACTCACGTTCTCCGTGGACTAGTCCTGTTCTCACTGAACGGGGAAACCACGTAAATCTTGCCTCGTGTTCTTTCGTTTCCGCACTGTCGATTTCTACAGGGAGCTCAATCGTCAAATCATGCGTTATGCGATTCGCAATGATTAGAAACGAGGTGACAAATTCGTAAATGCTCTGTTTACTACGCATACACATATATATGAACGTACGTATTTTTTCGTATTATTATCAAATTGTTTTATGTTTCTCATTTTATTTCACGACTCCCGTCAGATTCTTCTGTTTTCTGTTGAACATTTACAAGTACTACAGAGCAAGCAAACCCAAAATAACACTTTACATGGAACCTTTTCCACACATCATCATTCATCAGATTCTCAAGGTATCGAGGTAAGACTTCCCCTGAAGCTCACGAGAGAACAGCCCCTTCAAGTACTCCTTAACGCTCACATTCCTGAACAGTGCCGGCGACTCTCCGGTCACCAAGCTCGGCGCAGGGTAAATCTCCCCATCAAACCTAGGAGAGTGGAAACTCGCAATCGACAGCCTCTCCTTCTCCGAGTTCACCATCGCACGATGCTCGATGCTGCGATACACCCCATTGGTTATGATCTCGACGATGTCGCCCACATTGACCACGAATGCATTGGGAAGGACCTTGACCGGCACCCAATTCCCGTCTTTCTTGATCTGCAAGCCTTCAACTTCATTCACTTGTAAGAGGATCGTGAGGCCGGTGCTGTCGGAGTGAGGTGTCAGGCCGATCACTTTGTCAGGCTCCGGGCACGGAGGGTAGTAGTTGGTCCTCATTGCCTGCCTTATGTTCCCTGAGAAGATGTCCTTCATTTCCTCTGGTTTCATCTTTAGGGCTTTTGCCATTTGGTCCAGTACTTTGGCTGCCAGGTTCCTTACCTCGAGGGAGTAGGTCTCCAATGTGTCCCTGTTGGAAAGAGAGGCAGCCGATCAGACATGAACAAACATGTGAGAAATTCAACTCCCATTTCCTTGAAATGTGGAATTGATGATTGGATAAAATGTATGAGACCTGAAGGGGAGGGGGAGCATTGGGAGCAAATGAGGCTTTCTAAGGTCGGGAGGCTGAGTGACGAGGAAGAAGAGGTCCGCCCAATCGAGCTTCTGCTCTTCCGATACAACGAATAAATGTCCGAAACCTTCCACATCTCCTGGAGATTGCCAGAATTTCTGCTTTTCCTCCATTGGGAGGTTGAAGAATTCCTGGACTTGGGTCTTCATGTTCTCCAACAGGGTATGGCTCACTCCATGGTTTACCAACTGCACAATATAATCCATCAAAATATCATCACAGCAGTCTCCTGGAGGGTTTTCTTTCTCTTTTTACATTGGGGCAAATTCACTGAATTGGTAGAATGGATTTGATTATACAAATACAACCCTCTCTACAATCACTTGTGGTGCTTTTATCAGTGATTCCAATTCTGGGTTTCCAAGAACAAAACCATGGGCAATCAGAAAAAAGTTCTTCCACTACAGAAACTAACTTTCTAGTAAGCCATAATGAAGGGAATGGACCAAATTCTGCATACCCAGTTCGAGTTCCAGAAATTGAAGGAAAGAACCAAACTCAATCCCATGTTCCATTCTTTGATCAGAAGCAAGTTCTAAAAAAAAACAAAAATTGTCGAAGTGTGAAGGAGCGAAAGGGGTTTGGTGGAACCTGGAAAAAGCCCCAATCTTTACAGGCGGAGTGAAGGATGGCGAGCTCGGAATCCATGGTGGCTTCATCGATCAGCTTCTCCAAATCAACAATCGGAACATCAGCGTCGAAAACGATGGGCTGGTCTTGATCAGGGCGCAGGTATCTGGACGGGACGACGCCGAGTTGGGTCTTGATCAAGTCCTGGACGGAAGGCACGAGGAGGGAGCTGCCAAGGCTGACGGATTTCGCTGGTTCCATTCCGCTTCTTCAGAATTTCTGGTTGGTTTCGACTTACGGGGATTTGGGTTTTGAAAATGGTCTGGTGGTAACTGGTAAGCCATGATCGGAGTCTACAAGGTCAAGGTCTCGAATTTTTGGTCCGGTTGTTGCAGACGGGTTGGCTAAAAATAACAAAACAGTATCATATACTAGTAGTTGGACGAGAAAACCCAGCTTCAAAAAGCTAAATTGGTAGGTGGTATTTAACCGTTGAACCGCAATTACAACAAAACATATGCATCATTGACATAACCATATCAGAGTTCGACTAACACAAGTACGCAACGATTATACAATGTGATTCATTCTCGAAGAACACGAGAAGTTGGAAAACCTCCCGGCTCCCATACACTCATCGTCGTAAACATGTATGTCAGAGCCCAAAGCAATGTTGTAAACCCGGTATAGCCTGTTAGCCCGGTCGAGCAAGTGGGTTGAGGGTTAGTGGTTCGATTGCTTTTAGCCCGGTTTAACTCCGATATGTGAAAAAAGTCATTATATTGTTCATACATTTATAAATTATATCAAATTTCTTATAACATATATAACATTACACCAAAATAAAATGTCGTACTTGGATCCAACATATAGTGAAAATTCATACACTAATATAACATCAATATTCAAATATTCAATTTAGAATTCCAAAATATAAGGTTAGACGAAAAGGAAAACAGGAAAATATGCGCATTTCACAAATTGAAGGAAAAAATCGACATTGTGTGACCTGACTTCCAACCAGATAACCTAGCAACGGGTTGACCCGGGTGGGTGTGTGCGACTCGTTTTTTTTCTCACCGAATCAGGATAAAATTGGTCAACCGACGAGTCGGCAACCTTGGCCCAAAAGGAACCAACAAACCCGAGAAAAAGCTCCGAGACTCCTTGGGCCGAAAGAAAGCGAACTCATAAAGGCAGGGAGGCCCGAGAAGGATGGCCCAAGAATCAAAAGGCCCAGTTGCGAAAGAAACAGGCACGCTGGTCTGGTCTGCTTCTGGCTTTTTTTTGCTTTATCGGTTGCTTGGCTTAATGGCTTCCTTCCATTTCCATCTTCCTCTCGCAGAAGAAGAAAGACAAATAAATATGTACACAGTAGAACCAAGAAATATAAACATGCAAAATCCAACACAAAACGGAGCCATCGAACAACCATAAAAAAGGCCAGAGCGAGGGAGAATCAGGGAAGAGAGAGAGAGAGAGAGAGAGATTGAGGAGAGAGAGCGGACTCAGAAGAAGGAAAAAAGTGGAGAAAATTTGACAAATTACACAGAGAAGAAACGAAACAAAAAAACGAAGTCGATCTGCTCCGCCACCGCCTCCTCCTCCTCCGCCCTCGATCTTCGCCGGCGCCTGAGGTCCGTTTTCCTGCTTCCCTTCCCTTCCCTTCCTCCCCCAAAACCAACAAAAAATTTCGTACTTCTTCTTCTCGTTCAACTAGTTTATTCGAACTTTCACCTGAATGTCAAGCCCTATTTCGCGTATTCCATTTATCTACTTCCTCCCCTCCCGCCCCATGGTTCCTAGCAGCTGATATAGCCTCTCCAGCTCCCTTCTCACTGATTCTTATCGTCATCTATCAGTAGAGCATGCACGAGTTTCTCGTTCGCTTTGTAGCGGCGTTTATGTAAGCCGCGCTCAATTTTGAATGCCGCGCCCTATTTGGTTTACTGAATCGGGTCACTGTAAGGAGCCCTAATTCGGCTGCCAATTTTTGCTGCCCATCTCACCCTCCCTTTTAGTTTTAGTTTATCTGTTTGACCTCGAGCTCTCTATTTGTAATTCTTTAGAGGTTTGATTGTTTTTGGTGTTGTTAGAGTGAAAGACGTTTTGGGTCTAGTGAAAGAGTTTTAATTTGATGCATTCGTTTCTTCCGTTACCCGTGCTTTAACAGGCAATTTGATGGTTGAATGGTAGTTGTGGATTCTTGGATATGGGTTTTGAGTTTTTGAACTTTTATGGGATATTGATTTAGTATCTGTGCAAATACAGCTCGAATCTGGGTGGTGATGGCTGTTCAAGCACCTCCGAGGCCAGTCATGGATGATATGGATGATGATGATGCCCCAATAGTTTTTAGGAGGGGTGGCAACTCAGCATCTAGGCAAAGCCAATTAAATGCTGAAGCTAAGAAGATGCCGTCTTCATCTCAAAATGCCAATGGCCAAAGCTCAAATGGGCAGAGGAATAAAGCTCCAGTTGCTTCTTCCAGGTCACCCCCGGTTAAGTCTCCCATAGGGAGCCCTAGAGCCTCAACTTCTTCTATAAAGGCTTCTCCCTTGCGGTCTCCTGTAACAAATTCTAAATCGCTAATGTCCTCGGAGACAAGGCAAATGCCTAAGCAGAATGCTTCGCCTGCTGTCAAGGTGGAGGTTAAGTCTGTCAAATCTGAGAACAAGGCTCAGGTCGATGATGAGGATTCTGAGGATGATAAGCCCTTGAATTTCAGATTGAAGGGAGCTGCCAACAATGCTAAGAAAGAAGTTGGTGGTCCCAGTCATGTGAAAAAGGAAGACTCTGATGATGATGATGATCTCCCTTTGGCCTCTAGGATGTCAGCTAAACCTAACCATTCGAGTGAAAAGAAACCTTTAGCATCAAAACTTCAGCAGAATGGCAGCTCAACTTCGAATGTGAACAAGATGAAAACTCCGGTTGTGCCAAACAAGAGGCCTATGGAGAAGAGTAGTTCTTCGCAACAATCCTCTGTAAAAAAGCCAAAGCTTTCTGTTCCGTCTTCCACCACACAAGTCAAACCTACGGCAGTTAAAGCAGAGGTGAAGGCTGACGATGATGACGATCTTCCGATCTCCCACAGGATCAAGAAGGCAACGATGTCAGAAAGAAAACCATCGTCTGCAAACCCAAAAGCAACCAAAGTGGTCTCTTCTTCGTTCAAGAAGGCCAATATGAAGAACGCAAAACAAATGAAAAATTCGAAGTTTATCAAGTCAACAAAAGTCCAACCGGGTTCTACTGATGGCCAGAGAAAATGGACTACCTTGGTTCACAACGGTGTAATTTTTCCTCCTCCATACCAGCCTCATGGGATTAAGATACTTTACAAGGGGAAGCCAGTTGATTTAACTCCTGAACAAGAAGAGGTGCCTCTCACTTTTTGTCTACATCTTTATAAATTTTGAGCTTTCCTTATTTGTAGTGTGTGCTGTTAGTTTCACATTGAGCTTTCATATGTGCAGGTTGCCACTATGTTTGCGGTGATGAAAGATACCGACTACATGCAAAAACCAAAGTTCCTTGATAACTTCTGGAATGATTGGCGTAGGATACTAGGGAGGAACCATGTAATACAGAAGTTGGATGATTGTGATTTTTCACCAATATATGATTGGCATCAGCAGGAGAAAGAGAAGAAAAAACAAATGAGTACAGAAGTAAGTTGTTTGGTTGTCAAGAACTCTATTCGCAGTAAGATATCAACTGAAACACAGACATTTTCTGACACTGACAAATCTAATATTCTAACTGTGGTCTGTGAGCTAATAAAACTTCTCTTCTTTTGTCCATCAAGTTCCGAATTTGTAGGGTCATTTTTTTTGTTTTTCTCTGCTGCTTCTCATAGTGCATGGCCGCTTTCCTCAAACAAGCAAGGATTTGGTTAGTGGTTTGCTAATTGCACCATGTGAAGATCCAAACTTCACTTTGCCCCAGCTTCAATGAGACAAGACCATTGTGATTGCCTTTAGTTCATGCATAGGAATCTGGCCTCCTACACCCTTCCTGTTCTAGGACAATGAGTTGCTTTTCATCTTACGTTTTGGTTGCTTTGATGTTTGGTATTAATGTCTGCAGCCCGCTTCTGCCAGGTCCTCTTGACTGTTAATATTTCCCTTTGTGTTACCACTGATGCTAAAAAGTTTTGCTACTTGTGTAGGAGAAGAAGGCGGTCAAAGAACAAAAATTGCAGCAAGAAGAGAAGTATATGTGGGCTATAGTGGATGGTGTTAAGGAAAAAGTAAAAAATTTCACGAACTTAGTTGTTATTGTCTTAATTTTGAATTTGCCAATTCTTTCATGTATTTCATGATTCTGATCATTGTGAAATCTCAGGTTGGGAACTTTAGAGTCGAGCCCCCTGGTTTGTTTCGAGGCCGTGGAGAGCATCCTAAGGTTATTTGTTGATACCTATAGTGTGAATTGAGATTCGTAGAGGCATTACCATATATCTGCTGGCTGAAATGCATATATACTTCAAATCCATCGTGTAATTTTCAGATGGGAAAGCTCAAGAGACGCATTAGACCTAGGGATATCACCATAAACATAGGGAAGGATGCTCCTGTTCCAGAATGTCCAATTGCTGGTGAAAGGTTAGCTTCTCCCATAGTCAGTTACAAGCTGAGATTTCTTGTCGGTTGGGTGGCTGCGTTTGCACTTGGCAGTACGTGCCGAAGTATGGGCTCAAAATGTTTACTTATATTCAAATTTAAACTGGCAGCTGGAAAGAGATAAAACATGATAACACCGTTACATGGTTGGCTTTCTGGAATGATCCTATCAACCCCAAAGAATTCAAGTATGTGTTCTTGGCAGCCAGCAGTTCGTTAAAAGGGCAAAGTGACAAGGAGAAATATGAGAAGGCTAGGATGCTGAAGGTGTGGTCATACTTGTCTTATATATTCACCTGCTTGCATCTTACAATGGTATGATATTTGAAGCACTGAGTGTTAACTGTATATTGGTGCAGGACTACATACACAACATCAGGGCAGCTTACACGAGGGATTTCAATAGTAAGGATATTGTAAAACAACAAATAGCAGTTGCTACCTATCTTATTGATAAGCTAGCTCTAAGGGCGGGTAATGAGAAGGTAAATTGAGTAGCTTCTTTCCAAACATCCTCATCTATTTTCTCTCTTCTTTCTTTGTTTTCCCCTTAATTTCCTATATTCCAGGTACGACTTCTGGAATCTGTATAAGCGATTAATATGGCATATAATGTGCCCAATCTACGCAAATGTTACTTTGTTTCTGCTGCCATTTATCATCCTAAGTGCATGTAATGGGAAGATTGATGACTTCGCAACGATTGGTTTCAATGTGGCCCTAGTAAAAGGCTGAAAGGCCATAGAGATGCTGGCAAATGGCCACATGGATCCTGACTATCTCATGCTTAGAGGGTAGGCTGATAAATCAGATCTGGCATATTTATGATTTCTCAGACAACAGTTCCAGCACCTGGGGAGTTTGATGTTCTTAATACTGTTGGCAGAATAAGTGCCCTGGGAGTTGTCTTTCCTTTATCTTGTTCCCTAATGTGACCGCCTTTTGTTTCTTCATGTCGCATTTAAGAATGATGCCTGATGGTGTTTATGTTTAGTTGGGTGCTTCCATATTGTAGAACCTTGATCAGTCTTTTACCTTGATAGCCTTTAAATACCATCTCTATTGAAAATCTAGAATGAATTTATGCCAAACGACTGACCTTCTGCAGGATGGTGAAGAAGAAGCTGATACTGTCGGTTGCTGTACGTTAAAAGTATCCAACGTAGAGTGCATCCCTCCCAATATGATAAAGGTGCAGCAGAGCGAATATAAGATTTTGTTGCTATGCTTTATATTTTGACTTTCGAGTTGAGCTGAGTCAAAACGATATTCATGAATGATATACTTTTCCTTGTTCGTGCTAGAAGCTTCATTCATATCTTTTCAGTACTGCAAGCCGCAAAGTTAACAAATCCCATTAACTGTGAATGAATTGTTTTGTTATGTTTTTGCGCGAGCTCAACTATGCGATGTTTTCATGTGCCCCTTTTTAGCTAGTAGTGATCGTGATGTGGGGGTGTTTTCCATCTTATGTAGTTTGACTTTCTTGGTAAAGATTCAATTCGTTATGAGAACACGGTTGAAGTTGAGCTTCCTGTGTTCAAAGCAATTGGGAAGTTCCAAGCTGGTAAGAATATAGTTGTCCACTTTGACTGTAGTTAAGTGGAATATCATTTTGTTGTAATGTGATTTATTATTCCTTTACCCCAGGAAAAGGGGAAAATGATCTCCTTTTCGACGAGCTGGATACAAGTAAACTGAATGCCCACTTGAAGGAACTCATGCCTGGGCTTACAGCAAAAGTGTTCCGTACCTATAATGCTTCAATCACATTGGATCAACAAGTAAGTTGCATTACAAGTTAATGTAACTTCTTATTCATTGATCTCTTAGCTTATTCTATTGGATTGGTTGATCAACTCGGATATTATTTTTATGCATATCTTATGACACTCAAATATACAATTCTGCTCTAATGAAGTTTTAGCAACTACATCAGATGTTTTTTATTCAATCACGGAATTAATTTATTTTCTGGGTTCTATAATCTGGACAGTTGTATGAAGAAACAGAAGATGGTGATGTTGCAGAGAAGGTTGTTGTTTATCAAAAAGCAAACAAGCAGGTAATGCAAGTTGGAATCATCTGTAATTGTGTTCAGTTATCCCAATTGTCTTTCTGTAATTTCTCTGTTTTCTTGCAGGTAGCAATCATCTGCAATCATCAGCGTACTGTCTCAAAGACTCACGATTCGCAAATGTTGAGGTTGACTGAGAGGATTGAGACTGCCAAGGTAGTTCATGCTTGTGGAGACCTAGCTGACAATAAATTAAGTGTCTTTTTTGACATTTGACAACACACCCTGTATATGTTCTGGAGGGTTTGTGAGTTCCACGCATTGGTTTCTATCCCCTCTTTCTGTCTTTGTGAGCTGATTTCACAATAATGACTTTGCAGCAAGAACTGAAAGAGCTGAAAATTGATTTGGAGAGGGCCAAGAAGGGAAAGTCACCTCTCAAGGGAGCAGATGGAAAGCAAAAGAGGAACTTGAGTCCCGAAGCGTAATTATCAGCCATCCTTTGATTGATTGTCTTCCACTGTTTGTTGAGCTGTTGGCTAACTGACTCTTCCTTTGTGTGGCAGCATAGCGAAAAAGATAGCATCTGCCAACCAAAAGATTGAGAAGTACGAAATGGATATGACGACAAAAGAGGATCTGAAAACCGTGGCACTCGGCACCTCCAAAATCAACTACCTGGATCCTAGGATCACAGTTGCATGGTGCAAGAGGCATGAAGTTCCCATTGAGAAGGTAAATTCCGAAACCTGACCCTGAACAGTAAGGTTGAAGGTCAAAAAGCCTTTGGTGTGTGAATGAGAATGTGATGAAAACTTCATTCGCCATTGCTGCAGATATTCAACAAGTCGCTTCTGGCAAAGTTTGCCTGGGCAATGGATGTTGAACCCCAGTTCAGATTCTGATGGAAGGGAAAATCTGGGAAGTGGTGCTCACACAACCCTCCCACTTGCAAAAAGAGCAGCATAAAATTGAAAAATTACCCAGAAAATGAAACAAGGAGAAGAAGAGAAAGGACCAATCAATCCAGCTTCTTTTGATGATCCATTACAGCTTTTCAATTCACAATTTTTTTAATCAATTTCTTTTCTCATTTGGGTCTCCCAGTTTTAACTCTGAGCTGCTGGGAAAGGTCGATGCTGTATGTTCAATGTTCTAATCTAATCATCGAGTACTTGCTTACATATTTGCTGCCATTGTCCCTGCCCACTTCTTGCTTCCCTTTTCTTCTTCACCAATTCCATGAATTGGATGCCTGTCTTGTAGCAGCAAGCAACCCTTTCTTCTTCTTCTTCTTCCAGAGTTTGATGTAAAGGAATGGCCGGAAGTAAGGACTATGAAATAGGTGCTGCTAAACTGCAGAGGAATTCTGATGAATGCTTGATTATGTATTTTATGAGGACATTGTTATGGTTGTCTGTCTCAGATTTACTAACAGTTTATAGACAGGAAAATCAAAGCCTGCCAAACTAGCATGATTGCACCAGTGTGTCTTTCTTGTCACCAAATGGACACAACTATTTCTAACACGAAACTAAGGAACTTTGCTAAAAAGTGATCGATTTACGAACGTACAATACCAATTATACCTGATGCACGTTATCCGTCGTCGCGCCATATGCTACACATCCCACCATGAATATCCATCGTCAATCTTTCATTTTCCAAATACGAGTTTTGAACACTAAACCAGCATTAAAAGTTTTATTATTTTTATGAACTGATTAACGTAATTGTTTATGATAATTGAGGATCGGGTTTGGGCTTGGGCTGATTCATATAAGTGAGTTACTTGTGGGCCTTTCATGAAATAATGAAGCCATGTGTAGGCCCAACCCAAGCTTCTTATCATCCGTGATCAAGTCGAACCGATGGTCGGAAAGAAGAGGAGTAAACTTGGATCTTGTTCTTGCCACAGGAAGAGAACCAGACGTTAACGAACAGATCAAGCAAGCATCAGCAACAGATTCGCCAATTCCAGGTACAGCTTTCTCACTATCTTTGCAATTTGCCCTTCTGCATCTTTTCTCGGCGAAACCAAACGGGATTGGCCTGACCTCCTCTTCTCAATCTCTCGGCCAATTTTAGGCTGGCGCCCGTTGCGATCGCGAAAGGTCTCTACTTTGAGCTTATTTAACACATCGTGGTTGTTTTTTCAGGAATCGCGATCGAATTCACAGCCACGCAGAGATGGGGTTTCTGGTAACCACGCTGATTTTCGTAGTGGTGGGGATAATCGCATCGCTGTGCACCAGAATCTGCTGTAACAGAGGACCCTCCACCAATCTGTATGCTTTCCTCCCTTTTGCTGTCTTCTTATGCCGAGTATTTCCTGCCTGGGTTAGGATTGTGGATCCTGCGGTGTAGCTCTCTTCATTGATCAAGTAAATTGTTGTTTGTGTTGGGATTTGGGAGAGGGAGTATTTGAATTTAGATCCATTTGGGAAGTGTTGAGTATGCATTGTCATGTAATCCAAGGTGCCCCAAGTAAGTCTGGTACAGGAAGCGTTCTGTTTTGTTCTTGGTGGATGTCTTTGTTTTGTCCTAGGAACTAACAAGTGCCTGCCCTGTGTAGTAATACAGTTGTGTATCTGATTTGTGTATTGTTCTACTATCAGCAGTGAAGCAAAGCTATGTGTTTGCTAGTTTTACTTCCTGCCTTCAGGAGCATTTTACATGCTCGCTACTTCGTCCATCATGTTCAGTGTTGCTACGAGTGGCGTTGCGTGTTTACTCATTTTCCATTTTTGCATTCCTTTTTGGTAGTTTGCTTATTTGATAGTCATCGGCACTGATTGTTAGATATATGGTCTTGTTGCCTGAGTTATATAGAAGCAGATTCCTAGATTGGTGTTACTCTTGCCATTAATGTCTGCACCCCTGTTCATGATAGGTCCACGTGTATTTTGCCATCTTGATAGATATTTTGTGTAGTGTGAACTTTCTCTTTGCGTACTAGCAATCTCTTATGAATTTGGTTACATTTGTTTTCTAATTTTACCAGGAAAGTTAAGTTACTACTCGAATGATCTTGTGATGTAGTGGATTCTCTTGATCATCTCTTTGTACAACATACCATACCTTTTATTCTCAAGTTCAATATAGCTAACCTTGGTCTTCTGCTCCAGATTGCATTTGACATTGGTTATAACAGCAACAGTTAGCTGCTGGATGATGTAAGTTCTGTTTCTACTTTATTCCTTCAATTCATTTGATTTCAACTGTATTTCTTTTGTCTTTCCTCAACAAAGGTGGTTGGATAACTTGCACGCGGCTTTTGTTTCCTCAAGCTGCATCCATGTGTCCGTCTTTAGGATATAAGATGGTATATATTAGAGAGTACTCTAGAACCCTATTGCTGAATCCTGATCCAGACTGCAAATTATGTGTGTTTACGGGGTTCTAGTTATTATCTCACCTTCGACCACAGTTTAGATCCTATACAACCCCATGAAAAATACTGTTTGAGAACATGGGGGGGATATTACTTGAAGCTGACAACATGCAGAGGCAGATGCAAGTTTGTAGTGAAACCTGTACCATACTCCCACTGATAAATAGTTAGCAGAAACCAAATTCAGCAACTATGTAGTTCTTGGGGTCTCCTGCTTCTTCCAATTAAGAAATTAGCTTTCAGTATATATTATATAAGTTTACTGGGTCATTAGTGTTCAGCAAGAGCAAATTGAGTTTGCAAGTAGTAAGATCTAGCTGCTCTATGGCAAGCGGATTAAAAGGACCACCAGTTGTGTTTCTCAATCATGATAATCATGGAACTGTATTTAATGTAGAAGGTAGTGGTATCTACACACGAGTATTGGGAATGTCAATGGTGACCTGGGTGCTATTCGATGATATTAAGTTAAGTATCACCTAAGACATTATACTGGTGCTTTCATGTCTCTTTGCCTGATACTGTACCCTGTTGTTTGCCAAATTCCTGCGCCAACTTGGTCATGAGTTATCATGGTTAATGACCCTTTTTAAATTTTCTTCTGAAAGTTTGCTTATTCAGCTGTTAAGTTTTTTGGCTGAACTTCTTACCAAAAAAAAAAGTTTCTTGGCTGAATGATGTTCCTTCAAACGATATCAACCTCACTGCACTGCTATCTGTTTTATGGGCAGGTGGGCTATTGTATATCTTGCACAGATGAAACCGCTCATCGTTCCAATCCTAAGCGAAGGGGAGTAGAAACACCCACGCAGATGAAGAAGCCAGCCAGCCGAGGATGTTATTCGATTATTATATGTGCAGTCTGTGGCCGGAGCGACATCTGAGTTTAGGGTTGGCCTTTCAAGGATCGTTTGCTGTCTCCATATTTTGGGATCTGTGTGTAGTTTGTTATCACTATGTAACTTGGAACTGGTTCTGCTTCTCATTCAAATTCTTAAAAGGGACATGCAGCACGTAAACAAAACGATTCTATCAGACAAATATGAGCCTAGAGATGAATTTTGGGGTTCAATAATGAAATACTGCCCAGAAAGATGAATTCTTGCAAGATCAGTTCTTTCACCTGGTTTACGATCCAGAGTTCTCTTCCATTGTTAACTTTTCATAGGTGGCGTTTGTTGTTTTCCGTTGGATCGACCAATCATGGATTGAGCTCTCCAATACTTTTGTTTGAACAAAACCTTCCTACTGCTGTGCTGGCCACAGAAAGCAGAAGCTCTAAATCGGAGTTTCACTTACAGATCGCAGAAAGATCTGCAGCAAATAACGGCGTCGTATTAAGCCAAGGGCGAACTGGTTTGGTCCCACCCAATCTCTATGAGAGACAATATCGGATGTTTACAACCAGAAAGTGATGGGAAAGTGGAAGAAATGAAAGAAATTGTTTTGAGAAAATTCAACTCAACTCGAGTTTGTTGAAGTGTAAGCGTATCTCGTAAAACCCTAAAAAAACCTCTGTTCTCCATCAAGTCTCCCTCACTCAACGCCACAAGTACGTACACAACCAGAGAAATGGCGACACTGCAGTTCCAGCTGCAGCTGGCGAAACCCAACACCTCGTCTTCATCTTTCTCCGCCGTGTGCCTGCCTCAGCAGAGGCTCTGTTCTGCGCATAGGAGTAAGCGGAAGGGAAGTACCACGTACAGGTCATGGAGTTCGAGATATGGGAATGTGAGCTGCTCATTTTCTCAAATGGACAATGCCAAGATTAAGGTTGTGGGCGTCGGCGGTGGCGGCAACAATGCCGTTAATCGCATGATTGGCAGCGGGTTGCAGGTAACTCGCTTCTCAATTTTGGTCCTAGTTTACACTTTTCCCTCTGCTTCAAATGAACTTAAACGTTCACTAGACTCTTGGGTTTGCTTTTTCTGTCCTTGGGGTTAATTGTGTTGGTGGGTAGTTTTCTCATATGGCTCGTTGTGGGAATTCTGATTTTGTTTTGCTTCATATGCTGTATCGTTTTGGATAGTACAATTATGCATTGCTCCGCAAGCTCTTTTATCAACTTACTCTTAGCAAGGTTGTTCTTTTCCAATGAATGTAGTTTTGAATTTTTAGACGTGACGACAATTGTTCAGCAAGCAATTTGTGACCAACTGATCACATATACTTGTTCATCCATCAAGGTTGCATTGTGACAGCTTCTTGTTTGGTTGGAAGGGGTTCATAGCTGATAAAGCTTTTGTTTTGAATTCAGGGGGTCGATTTCTATGTTATAAACACAGATTCTCAGGCTCTGTTGCAATCTGCGGCCGAGAACCCAATCCAAATTGGAGAGCTTTTGACTCGCGGACTAGGTTCGATACTTGCTATTATATGTATATGGATATCTGAGTTGTCTTCATGATTGTTTTGTTGTTTGTTTGCTGCTTTGAGTTGATTCACTGCTGGAGGTGTTTGCAGGTACTGGTGGGAATCCCCTCTTGGGAGAGCAGGCTGCTGAGGAGTCAAAAGAAGCTATAGCTGATGCTCTGAAGGGGTCCGATCTTGTGTTCATAACAGCTGGTATGGGTGGTGGCACGGGATCTGGTGCTGCTCCTGTGGTGGCTCAGATATCAAGGGACGCAGGCTATCTCACTGTTGGTGTAGTTACATACCCCTTTAGCTTTGAAGGGCGGAAAAGATCTCTGCAGGCAAGTTCTATTTCTTTATTTCTGCTTTTACCATCTTGATGAAGTCTGTCAGATTGTTGGGCGATGGATTTATGCTTCGTTCCTGTTTTGATGCACTTGTAGTTGCAATGTGGAATTTGCACTTGCAGGCAGTGGAAGCTCTAGAAAAATTACAGAAGAATGTTGATACTCTGATAATGATACCGAACGACCGCTTGCTTGACTTAGCTGATGAGCAGACCGCACTTCAGGATGCTTTCCTTCTTGCTGATGATGTCTTACGCCAAGGCGTTCAAGGAATCTCCGATATTATCACAGTGAGTTTTTTTTATATCTCAAGGCCTTTTATCAGGAAAGAGATAATAGGTAACAGAAAAAGTTTCTTTCTTCTTGGGTTCTAGTTGTATTCAATTGTTGGTTGTAAACTAGAAACAAGAACGAAAGAAAGAGGTTCTAACATTCACCGCTTCACATCTTTCACGTTGTTGGACCTAAGTCGCTCTTGATTATAAGCAGAACACCTGAGTTATTGAACATTCAACTGAGGCCTATTCCACTCTAGTTTCTGTATGGATATTATGGTATTAGTGATTTAAAGTTTGAACTATTCTTCTGCGTGAAGTACATTCGATAGTCTATCTAGAGCCAATAATTTTGTACTTATTGTGTCTTGGTAACCCTGTGATTTACAACTACAGCTCTTGGAGGGCCTCTAAACAGCAAGTTAAAGGTCTCCCTATTTTTTTCTGTTCTTGCAGATACCTGGGCTGGTGAATGTCGACTTTGCTGATGTGAAGGCTGTGATGAAAAATTCTGGTACTGCAATGCTTGGAGTTGGGGCTTCCTCTGGGAAAAACAGAGCAGAAGAAGCAGCTGAGCAAGCAACTTTAGCACCACTGCTGGGATCGTCCATCCAATCAGCTACTGGAGTTGTTTACAACATAACTGGAGGGAAGGACATAACCCTACAAGAAGTGAACAGAGTTTCCCAGGTCCGCACCCCTCTTTGCTGCTGTTTCCACTTCAATTAGCGGTCGTTGACTTTTTGCTCATATATCAACTCTGGATTTCGCAGGTGGTAACAAGTTTGGCCGATCCATCCGCAAACATAATATTTGGAGCAGTGGTCGACGAACGTTTCAATGGAGAGATTCATGTGACCATCATTGCAACTGGTTTCTCACAGTCGTTTCAGAAGACACTTCTAACAGATCCGAAGGCAGCCAAACTGCTTGACAAGATGGCAGCAGGAAGCCAAGAAACTAGCAAAGAAAGCCCTCTTCCTCTCAAAGCTACTGCTGCTGCAACTTCCACCACGCCTTCTCCGAGGAAGCTCTTCTTTTGATCGTATATTTTCTAACCATTTTGTTCCCCTCTTTTGGTTTATTCTTGAGATGGAGAGGTTACCTCCTGCAATGTTGCTGTATATTGATTGTGAAGCTCCTCGAGTTGCAAAATTATAATCTCTATTCCTATGCTTTTAGTTACTTAATTGAAGCTCTGGCAAATAAGATATAACATCCATATGGAGATGAACATGGGTTAAAAGAGGAGGTTAAGAAACACCCTGAAATCATTAGCTTTATAGGGCTTGTATACTGCACTCAACACAATTATTGACTTCTGATCTTCAATTCAAAATTTCTATTACACATTTCCACTACACCTGTGACATTGTATATTGGTCATTCTGTTTCAGACGACGATTAATTTACATAAAAATTCCGCTAAAGAATCACAAGAAAAAGGACAACTCAGGTTTGGGGGTAAAAGAGAACATTCTTTCACCAAAGAGCTCAAAGAGTGAAGCCAGCAAATTGCCGGCACTCATATCATCCTTCCAAGCTTGAGCAAGGACGAGGGATGATGTTTTTGCTCCAGCATCCCTCACGGCTCCTGCCATATTCTCACCCAGACCCGGTAACTGTCGAGAAATTGACGTTACACCGCCCATCATCCCTGAGGCCACTAGCGATGGGGGGAATCTGCCGCCTTGCATGGGATTCATTGACATCATCCCCACTGCACCAGCCTCAGTGGTCATTTTCTTGAGTGGTGGTTGCTGCTGCATCAAGCTGTCACTGCTTGCCTTGCGTTTGTCTTTGGGTTTATTGACATGCATCACACGAGACATAATCAGGCAAAAGATGTAGGCCGGAGTAAGGAAAACGTTTCTCTTAGTTTTACCGCAATGGTATAAATATTGCGTAAGAGAATGTAGGATGCTGCAGTGCACATTGAATACATACTTGCCATTCCTGTCACGATCTTGCCATTGCTCTTCAAGATTGGTCGAGCTGGCGGAGTCAGTAAACCGGGCAGGATCTTAAGACGATCATGCAAGCACAAACCCGCTGCACGCTGAATGGTTTTGTTTATAGCGAGGTTATCAGGATGCCAAAATCCTGTGCATTTGCAAAAACCAATAACAGATTGAACAGAATGAGGGACTCACCATCAATGCACCATATACACGCCAAGCTTCATACCTCTTCACCTCATTCTTTTGCTTCTCAAGTTGCATGTCAGGTTCAATAAGCAACAAATATGGCTCTAGGTTTGGTAGTATAAGCAGTCGAACCTATATAGAGAGAAGAACCCATTAAAAACTCATAGAGCCATGACAGATCATAACAGAAGAGGTAAAATTACATCACCTTAGTAAAAGAAACTAGATACACGACTATGAAAAGGACTAGGCAGTGACTTCTCTAAATCAATAGTAGCTGTGAAGACAAATTATAATTAAAGGAAAGGGAGAGAAACAGTAAAAAATTTATACCACACTGGGTCCAAGAGCTGCTAGTCCTTGTATTGCACCATAATGTTGAGTCAAGGACTTTGTTGGGTCGAGGAATGCATGAACCAGGGTCCTTGTGATACGTGGTTGGAGATTGTGATAAAGATGCCCAAATCTAACCAAAAAAGCATCAACTAGTAAGATAAATCAAAAGAATCCATGAAAAATAACAGAAAGGAGACCTAAAGAGATAATCACAAAGCAAAAAGGAACTGATGGGTTAAAGCGCTATGGAAAAATCATATTGGGGTGCACATTCTTTATTAGCAATCAATTAAAAAGCCGAACTTGACTTAAATAAAATGCATGTCCTGCAGCTGCCTTACGTTTTGCATATTGAACCAATAAGATTGGCTGTGAAATTCCTTAACTCCCAGTGATTGTCTGTTAATCTGTGTCCCAATCTTCTGGCAACCAAGCAGGTAAGAATAGATGGCAGGAGTTGGTGTAGCTGGGAAAAGACAAGCCATGTTAGTAGAGTAGGAAATGGAAAACAACCTTCAGGTCATTAAAATCTTCACCACATATCAACAGAAGGCAATAGCTAATACAAAAGAAGTTCATGGTATAATTACATAAGGTTCTATATGAATGTGGGAGTTCTGGGTCAGACTTCGGGTAACGCGCATCAGTGCAAACAAAAGAGAGAAGTTATTTAAATTCCTCGCAACCTGACATGGCCATCGTAAAGAATATACAGCTTAGCATATATTCCAAATAAGACAAGTGTCAAGTTTAAAGGTATCAATGACTTAAAATCAAGAAACACATTCACCTCATCGGCAATAAAGTGTGTGAAATAAGGCACTAAAGCATGCAGTCCTGAGTCTGTTGCCAAGCTCAGTAATGCTTGCTTGAATATGACCGAGTCAGGCCTCCTCATGGTTAGGACCTTGATCTTTTCAAAGTATAGCTACATTTGCAACCAACAGAGATTTATCATATAAAACTTCCCGACACCTCAAAGAAGCAAAGAATTACCACATAAGAGAGATAGAAGGAAACATAATTCCATGTCCAGTAAACCTGAAGTTCTCTTGATAGCACATGCTTGACGGGTAATCTAATATCAACAGGAAGACCATCTTCCTTATACTCTGACCTTTTCACATCAGCAGTTGCTGTTAGGACTGTAATAAAAGAGAAACCAAACCCAAACATCAAATCAGAAAGCCTCTGAGAGTAAATACATTATACATTATGCAACTTGGATTAATAACTTTCAAACTAATACTGGACTGGAGAATGCGAAACACCCAAATAGTAAACTCAAGGAATAGATTTCCAAAACTAAAAATGATCCATGATTCGGCATCCACTTGCAAACATAGGAGCATACAGTCATACCTTCAACTGGAGGATTCTCAGGAATTGCGGGTTGAACTCCTTCAATCGCTAGCCAGTGAGCAGTAACTGCAGTATGCAGAGGAGGCTTCGGTAAAGGCGATTCCATGACCTGCAGACGTTACACAACAAGATCAGAATGCAAAATCTCATTCTCAAAACTTCCCCTCAACAACTCAAAGTTGTTTACTTACATCTTTAAACTCCACAACCTTGTCATCAACGTAGTAAAGATCCTTAAACCCACCAGCTCTCTTGAATCGCAGAGAGTCCTTGGAGGTAAACCCATATACAGGCTGCAAAGCCAGAAGCAAGGTAAACAAACTAACCAACAAAAGTACCAAATCTTCTACCCAAAAGAGACGGGGAACAGACCTCGACATTTCTCAAGGTAAGAGCGCTATCTACATCGTCGCCGGTCAAAGTGGTTCTCCTAGCGTGGCGCATGCACTTGATTGCTTCCTTCAAATCAAATTCGTTTCCGCCCCGCCATTGAAAATGAATCGAATCAGAAGAACACGATCAGAAAAATAGAACAAAAAGGGGGGAAATTGGGGAGGTGGGTACCTGCATAATTTCACGGAGCCGGTACTCGACATCAGGAGCAAGCGCAAGCGAAACCTCAGGGGAGAGATTCGTAATTCCTACGGTCTGTGCAATCACTTCGATTGCTTCCTTTGGAATGCCTGCTGAGCTCATTCTCGCTTCCTTCACGGTCTCTCCCCTGCCACAGTTCAGTATGAGTTTCGGAGCTCAGTTGAAAATAATTGGTTTCGAGGATGAAGGGAAGAAGCTCAAGGTTTTGTGCTGGAAGGCCAACTATCAACCGCGTGAACTGTAGGGGGGAAGTTACGGTTGGGGAATGTTGGAGGGAGAAGGAGAAGAGCAGCGGCGGCGGCGGATGGACTAGCGGTTTTCGGCGACGGAGATTAGACTGGAGCGGAAGAGATGTCCGAAACTCTGATAATGAAACGTCGTCGTTTTCTTTCAGGCTTGTAATTTTCAGTTTGGGCTTGCCAAGTTGATGGATCGGGCCCAAGGTTTATGGGTTCGTTTGGTTTTGGTAATTGTTTGCTTGAGATAATTACAATGCATGCATTGTACACATTGTATTGTTTTTTTGAATTTTCTGTACAAACTATACATGCATTGTTTGCTTGATATGATGAAAACTATTACTCAAAATTAGTGATAGTAATATCTCAAGTTTTTTGTGAGATTGTTGGTGTTTTCTTCTTCCAACTATATCCCTACCTTTTGATGTGTTTTGCTTTTCCATATTGAAAGCAAAGGGTAAAAGTGACATTTTATTAGTATCTTATTTAAATACTAGAATAACTATCAGAGAAACCAAACGATGTAAACTCAATACATCAATTTTCTTATATGCATGTATATTATTATGCTTGCATTGATAACAATGCATCTGTTTAACTATCAACAAAACCAAACGACCCCAATAGTAGTGGAACTTCCGGTTTCATTTTGGATAATGTGACTCTTCCTTTTGCATTGGTGAATTTGGATAAAATAGATTATTAGATTATGGATTGGATTAAATGAATCGGTGAGTTTATAAATTCAGGAGTAATGATTCAAAAACCATATTTATCGGCGATTTTATTGGGAAAAATATGTTATTGGAACTTAAATCGATAGGTAATTCTTAACGGTATGAAATGGTTAAACCATGATTAAATGACAATTTCAATATAATATACCTTAGTTAACGTTACGACGTTTGGTACGATTTTACAATCTTTGAATCCAAGTTAAGATGTGAATTACAAAAAGTTAAAAGTACTAATGTAGATACGTGGCAATGCCAAATATGAATGAAGCACAGACAAGAAAACCATATATATATTTCACATTAAAACGTGTAATTTGGCTTTGGTTGACCAACAAGACAAACGACACACTCGAGCCAAATCACTTGGGTTTCATTTACAGTGTTGATTCCCGATATTTCTTCTTTTTTGTTTTTTGGTATTACAGCTTCTGCCACATCAACATAGCACCACCAAAGAGGAGCGGAAGCAGAGAATTTCCAAACACAAAATGGTTCAAAACAAACAACAGGGGAAGGTACAGCAAAACAGGAGGGGAGAACGACTTGTTGCAGAATGGGCAGAGCAGCAGGCAGGGAAGGCAATGGCCGATATAGTGAAAATGGGGAGGTTTTCAGGCACGATCATAAGTACTTGATCAGCATATATATGACCACAACCAGAGCCACGATCCCAATTACGGCCATAAGCATGCACAGGCAGGTGCAGCCGCCCTTGGTCCGCTTGTTCAATACTCCCAGTTGCTTCTGCACTCGCTGTGTGTTTCAAGAAAATTGAGGAAAAGGAATCAGAAGTATCCTACAAACACTTCGGGCAAACACGGCAATGATAATAAGATCCAGCACGATGTAGAACAGTCGGATGAAATGCAACTGTCGCTGGTATGTCTGAATTTTGCTAGTCTAGGGGTAACAACATTACATTGCTGCTAAAACGTTTAGGGTATAGCTAATCTATAGTCTTAAGAGTTCAGGAAAAGGTTGGGAAATTTAGAAGCAGAAGAAGCCTTTTGCAGGTTCAACAAGAATGGATCTAATGAAATAGCATTTTGAAGGGCTAGCTATGTTTGGCACAAACCCTATATAAACTAAGCTATAACGATGCCAAATGACCTCAGATGTAAACTTGGGTTATGGATGGTCAGTCAGTACCAAGTCATATGAAAGTTCCCAATGAAACACAGCCAAAGTATTGAGCTAACTTACCCTTAAGCGGGAGTCCGTCACATCCACATGTTCATCCAAGTCATCCTGCAATTCAAAGGAAAATTCATGATTCTTCCAGACTAACACGCACGTTCTCCTTCATTTTAGTTCTAAGCCTACGACATCAGAATTTGAAAATACAAATAGTGAATGCAAGACATAAGAGGAGCATACAATAAGTCTGGTGTGAAGATCTAGTTCCTCATTGACTGCCAAGGCGATGTGTTTTGTACTTATTACTGTCTCCTCCAGCTTCTCAAGCCCCTCGTCTTGCTCTGTTACAAAGGAATATCTTCGTTATAATCCACAATCAGCAAGTGCTATAAGAAATGTAACACAAAATTATACCTTACAAGATGCAAGAAGAAATCAATAATAACAACATTACCTCTCATAACTTGACGCTGAAAAGTAACAAGGCCATGGTTGTCCAAACCAGTCGTTCGACTCATGATGTCAGATTGCTTTATTTCAGTGCCTAACAAACTATCCCTGTTAGCAAAGCTTGTCATGTTCAACGAAGAAGCCATCTGGTTGGCTTTCGTCCTCAGGTTCCCTATCATGTCTCTGCGACGGTTCATCTCCTTTTCCGAACTGTGCACCACAACCCAGAAAGTTTGGCAAATTTAGTAACCTTTTGGTGCCAGCATAGCCTCCAAAGTTTAACTTGTTGAACCAATACAGCAACCACATTGGCAACAATCAAACACTATTTCACCAATAGTTGCAACAGGAAGCCACAACAACGGTTAGATGACTGGTTTATGATCAAAATGAACTGCTTCGTGCACAGTATAGAACTCTAAGTAACCAGTGAAACAAGGTTAAAGCATCACTAAATGTACAGCCACATTGGCAACACTCAAACACTATTTCACCAATAGTTGCAACAGGAAGCCACAACGACGGTTAGATGACTAATTTAAGATCAAAATGAACTGCTTCGTGCACAGCATAGAACTCTACGTAACCAGTGAAACAAGGATAAAGCAGCACAAATGGAAAGCCAACTACATGAAACAGAATCTGCACAGCATATAATGTATTATCAAGCTTAAAGAGGGATGAAGGTGAGTCGACAGCGGCTTACACTTGCTGCTTTCCGGGAAGCTTTGTCAAGAGGGTCTGTAAGCTATCAAGTCGGGTACCCAATATGGTGATCTTCCGCCGAGCAGCAGAAGCATGACGTTGGCTTTCAGGTCCAGCTGCAGGGAGAGAAGATATCATCCCAGTGATATCATCCGCAAGCTTTGCCGCTTCATTGTACTCCTTCATCCAGGCGTCGGAAGAAGATGCCATCTTCTCTGCCTTAAAACCCAAGTTCATTGAAACTTATAATCAATCATCAATCCAGTTTAAAGAGGAAACTAATGAAGCGTGACAATGAAAGCCTGGAAATCCACGATTTTTCTCCTAAAGAAAACATAGGAAAAGCTATCAAATTTAGAGCTAATTCACAAAAATTCAAAACCCCAATTCCGCCAAAATCAAGACCTAGATTCCGGACCCCAATGATTGAAAAGAAGAAACCCAAAATTTCAACAGGGAAAGAAAAGCAATCCCTAAAAATCCGATCAAAACCCCCCAATTCAACGCGGTGGATGCAGCTAAATTCCCGTCGAACACGAGGGAGGAATGCCAGATTGAGAGGGAATTAGGAATGATCACCTTAGAGCTTCTATTCACCGTTGGGCTTCCGATCGGTGGAACGGTCACTGCTTCAACAACAGAGGACGAGAGAAAGAGGCAGAGAGATCGAAACAGAGAGAGGGTGAATTGAATTGAGAGCTACTAATTGACTATTATTACAAGGATTGGATAAAAGGGGGCTGTCCGGCGGAATTATCAGCGCCAAGCAGAGCGGCAGTCCGGCTCGGCACCGTCGTCGTCGTCTACCTCTCGCCCTCTTGTTAACTTCAAAATTGGGAACGGACGGAAGAAAAAGATGGCTGCTTTCCTTTCCCCACTTGGGTCTTTCTCTCTCTCCCCCCTCAATTTCTTCTTGCTTTAACACGACAGCGTTGGCTTCCCGGCAAGTTTCTTCTTCCGCGTCGTGTAGCTGAGCTGGGTTTTGTGACCTCTTCTGATTTAATTTATCACCCTATTATTATTTTTTATTTTCCAAATTTCCGTTACCCGCCGTTTACTCCACCGTCCTGCCGCTCTCTCATCCTCCGCCACAGGATTTAGCCCTAATTTTAATCCATTAGTGGATGACTTTAGTTTAATGTGATCAGGAATCAGTACAAGTGACAAAACAGCAGAGACCAAGGTGTGTTAATTTCACTTTGTGACTCGAATCGCCCATACTAAAACACGATAATATATCGGTATAATATCGACCAAAAGTTAGTAACATCAACAAGACTTTCCCTATAGATGTAGGTACTACATTAGTCTGACTGACAATATGAGGAGGTTTTCATGGTTGGACAGCCGCGAGTCGATTACAGAAACCAGAAACCATGGTTGAAACTGCAAGGAAGATGGATACAAAGAAAGAGTACAGAAGCAAATGAATTTTGCGGGGAGGAGCTGTTACTTACTACATTGGCATCTCTGCAAATGATGCTACATATATGCTTACTCGAAATGCCTACCGGAAACCCCACATTTGATTTATCTCGACTGCTGTTCTCGTATTACACAGAACAATTTTATGTACAAAGCATCTTTGTAGTTTCCCAGAAACCTGGTTGTCTGCTATAAGCGTGCCATTATGTCAGGGCAATGTCGCTGCGGATTATGAGGCTCGAATCCATGCATTTGATTTCACCATCAGCGATTGCGAATCCGTGAATTACAGGCAAGGGAAACCCTCTTGCGAGGTGGGAGTTCACGTATGGGATGAAGATGCTGCCTAGGACAGTGGAGACCATCTCCTGCAAGGAGTTGTCGAACATTATGTGAGAATTTGAAGCTGGCAATGGAGCTCAAAGTAACACTGCATAAATGTGCGCATATATATATATATATATCTCATGTGAGTGCTAAGTAATGTGGAGTACCTCCAGTAGAGGGGTCTGTAGGTTACCGATGTTGCTCCATTTGGGAGATAATTTGAAACTTCTCATATCTAGAACGCCAGTAAGGTTGTTCCCCAAGATTTGTGGAGTGCAAGAAGCGTTAATTGCCTGCACAAAACAAGTTAAACCCCAAGGATCATCAAGAACCAATGTAAAAATAGTACAACTAATCTTAGCTTTAGACCTTCATCGAAGATATCCAAACCAAACATGCTTACCACTGATACACAAGCAACTGGTAGAACTTGAGTAGCATTCAAGACTTTCACTGTCACGTCCAAGGCAATGGCAGCATTACCATCATCCTCTGTAATGGTAATGACTGGAGGAGAAGCAGACTTCACATCCAGAGTCATGTCATCATCGGGGTAAAGCTTGTATAACTCGGGATACACATCCTTCCATGCTGCAGTATTCAAGAGGGATTGATCTGGCAGTTTATTGATCTTCCAATCCATATAACCTGCCTGGACATGTAAAACTCATTAGACATACCATCAGTCATTGGCATAGCCAGAGATATAATTTAGTGGGGTCCAAACATAACCAAATACGAAGTTTGACTCGATAGTAAAATCATTGTCTCGGAAAGAGGGGGTCCGTGGTTCTAAATTTACTAACTCCACCTTAAAAATCCACCATTCTTAATGTATATTCATTTTCCAAGTGGGGTCCATGGACCCCACAACCCTTAACCTAGCTCCGCCGATGCCATCAGTTAAACTATTTCTCTAAAACCTAGGAAGCGATCAAGCACATTGAGGCTCATCGTCAAAGCACCTTGACGTGGTCGTGTAAAAAGCTGGAAATTGACAGTAAAGCGGGCTTACATTGAAGTATGTTGTTGCAGCAGAATTAAACACATCTTCATGTAGTGATATTCCAATCATACGAGACTCGTCGTCGTAATATAAAGAAGCTCCTCTCCCTACACGGTGATAGGCCGGAGCCAAAGCATTACCCAATGATGTAAACAAACCATCGATTTGCAGATCAACTGAAGATGACTGGAAGATGGGATCGCTGACAAAAGTAACATTCAGTGCAGCAGTACGATCAATGTTGATCAGCTTCGGAATTGATTGCAATTTGGTGTCGAGTTTTGCGATCCCATCTGTGATTTTCTTGGCAACAGCCTTTTCCACCTTGGACTTTATGGTGTTTTGAAAAGCATCAACCACCCTGGAAGGAGTGCAGCAGCCCATCAGTAAAATACACAGTCAGCAACTCAGCTCGAGTCAGAAAAGAAGGTTCTTTAATGCTGTTGAATCTTTTCTCAGGAAAGTACCAAGTTCATCTCCCTAGAACTGTAGGGGGAATCTCATAGTTCTCAATCTGGTAAGATTAGCTGTTAGATGCTACATCAACCTCCTAACCACTTTCCCTAATTGGCTAAAACAAAAAGGCCCAGCAACCTCAGCCACAGAAGAGAAACCAAGAAGTGAAAAGAATGGATAAATTTGCTTACGCTTGATAAAGCCAAGATGCTCCACCATGGACATCAATAGAGACATCTTCCACTTGGCAGCCGCAGGCCAAAACTGAAAGCTTGAGGGTGCCTCCATCTTCCTTCACACCCGCAATGACCCCAACTCGCATACCTTCAGCCTTTATCCAGTCAAACCAGAAAACCCATCAATTCCCAATCCCAGTACTCTATCTCGTTCTCACTAATCTTAACTATATCGAGCGACCATTTACACCGATTTCGCACGATTTAAACTAGCCCAAAAAATAGAAACTACAGGTTACCTGAACTGAGGCAACTCCATGGTCAGAAATCTCGACAAACCAAACCTTGTAAGAATACTTCCACTTCAAGCTCATCTGGGCAGTAATCCCAGAAGCAACCAATTGGATTCCAGGGCGCCCAGCTTGAGCTCGTGAAGAACCCACGGTGGCTTCGTTGATAGTGATGTCAGATAGACGGATGCGGACGGTGCCAACCAGGGGGATTTTGACCGACTTCTCGATGTCGTCCAGCTGAATTGGGATCAGAGAAGAAATTGCTTTGCCTATCAAGACATCCTTGGCGAAATCGATCCCTTGTTGGGTTAAGAGCACGGAGATGCAGCCGTCGCGCCGTTGATCAGTGGGTTGGAGCAGATGGGTATCGGTGTCTTTAGCTGCTGATGATAGTGTCAAATGGGTTGGCAGAACGAGGAGGGAGGAGCAGAAGAGGAGAAAGAGAAGTCGGAGCTCCATGGCAGCGGCGGGGGTGAGAGAGGGTTTTTGTCGATGATCAATAGTTAGTCAAGTCAATAGCATTACAGGGGAGATGGAAGCTTTTTTATTTTCATTTCTCTCTGAAGCTTTCTCTCGGCCGTCGAGTTTACCAATAGCATTAGCGTCAGCTTTTTGTCCTTACCTTTTTATTAGCGTCAGCTTGTGGCTGGATATTGGATAATTTAGCTAATGAATTATGATTATACAATAGGGAAATTTTGAATTTAAAAAAAAATAATAATCTAGTCTTTCAAAAAATAATATAGTAGCCAACCAAATAATTTTCTATCCATTCGAACGCAGTAAACTTTGATATAGAAATTGATATTGAATCAATGTTAGACTTGTCCAAAAATTGTGAAAGCGCTTCGAATGTTTTACTAAAAAAATCATCGACGTAATATTTTATAATGAAACTATGATTGAACGTAATTCAATCAATTCATATTGTGGAAAACCACTTACCAATTCAACCGTAATTCAATCAATTCATATCGCAAAAAAGCCACTTACCAATTTAGATTTCGTTAGAAGGTCTATCGGTCGGGACGGTGATACAGTAACAAACCCTAATTTTGACATGTTAGCCAACCCATAGAACTAAAACCATTTAATAATCAAACTTTTTATTTTGTACAAAATAATATTCAAATTGTTTGAAATACAATTTAATTTGTAAGTTAAGGCTAGAGTTAGACAAAATACTAATAATCAAAATACTACTTAATTAATATACAGGTTTCTTGACACCTCAACACATAATTAATTAAAATATTATTATTTAATTCATATATGAAAAACAAGAAGAAAAATTAAAATTATTAAAAAGTTAACATTCATATAGGTAAATGCCACATTTGGTCACCGAGATTACTAAATCGTATCATTTTTAGTCACTAGAAAAATTTAATATCAATTTTTGTCACTCGAATTACTGAAACATGTCACATTTAGTCACCGCCCATTACTTTCATGGAATTGGACAGGAACTAACGGTACGGAGACCAAATGTGACATTTTTCAGTAATTCGAGTGACTAAATGTGACATGTTTCAGTAATTCGAGTGACCGGAGTTGGACAGAGACGAATGGGAGAGTGACTAAATATGACATGTTTCAGTTATTCGAGTGACCAAAATTGATATTAAAATTTTCTAGTGACTAAAGATTACCTGAATTGCTATTCGTCGCCCTAATATTTAAAAAATTTCGCCCTAAATCATACTACATTGACGTTTATACCCTTATTTACAATTTCAATCCTCAACCCTTAACTTCCCCCACCAGCCAAATTCCGGTCGCCGCTGCTGTTCAACCAACTTACCGCATCTCCCATTCCGCCAGAGAAACAGAGCTTCTTCCTTGGCCTTCCATATATCTAATCCCAACCCATTCTTCCGCCACATCGCACATAAATGAAAGGCATTTTTGTTGTTTTTCTCTTTATATTGTCCCCGGAATTGGATTTTAAAAAGCTTTTAATTTTTCCATTAGAGAATCAAAAAAATGTTCACTGAAGGAGTGTATTTGCAGCCATGGAGAAGATTAGGAAGGTTGTGGCTGTGATTTATGGGGCTCATTGCTCTGGATGCCACGGTGGTTGCAACTTGATCATGATCACAATCAAGCGGATTGGGTTTAGAGTGCAAGCTAGTTCCCGGCGGTGGAGGTGCTTTGAAGAGCGATGTTGCTCTCGTTGAGATGATGAAGATTAGGGATTTCCGATTTTTTTTTTAATTTTGATTTGGTTATTTAATAATTCTATATTTAAAGTTAGGGCGACAAAAGTAAAATTAGCGTTTAAATGTTCGAAAGACAAAAAAAAAAAAAATAAGGGCATTAGAGTAAATTTTATATAATTAGGGCGACGAATAGCAATCCCCAAGATTACACGATTTACGATTTACCCATTCATATGCATATATATACTGTTATAGAACTGCTTGCTCTATAAGCACTTGCATCACGCAGAGCGCGGGCTTCCTTCTGGGAAAAGTCATAATTGAACGACAGAAACCAAGTTCCAACATAACTACTAAACCAACTCTGGATCAAACTTCTAATAATCGCCTTAATTCTTCAAGTCAGATTCACTTATGCCAAACTGTGAAGCACCTGTCTTCAATGGCCTTATCATAATATCTGCAGTTCACGCTGTAGCTGGAGTGCTGGACAATATTTCTCAAGGAGCAACACAAAAAGGATACAATACAACACTTCCTTCTTCAGCTGCGCAAAGAAGGTAACTCAGAGTCGAACTTGATCAACCAAAATGCAGCAACCACACCATCTACATTGACCTTCCACAGGACTTGCCATGCATTCTTAACTCGTTACCCAACTACCGGAGATAGAAAGGAAAGAGAGCCAAAAGCTACGAGCTTGGCTCCACAGATTCAGGTATCAATAATTGTCTGGAAGAATCCGATTGAAGGTCCTTGGCAGAAACATGTTCCGGAAAGCAGAACGAGTTTGGAGGCAACTGCAGATGATCACCATTGGTTTCCAACATTTCCACAACTTTGGCCATCAATGGACGCTGTGACACATTCTTTTGGATGCACGATAATCCCACAACACACAACTTCCTCGCTATAGCAGATTCGAGTCGAGTAGCATTCTGTAGCTCCAAATCTCCTCCTTCGCTTAAATGATCATAAACCCACATGGGGAAGTACACTTGGGAAGAAGATTTCCCCTTCGATTCGGCCAGCCATTTCCCTTCGACCATTTCAAGCAACAACATCCCGAAACTGTAAACGTCTGATCTGCACGAAACATCTCCCAAGCCATTTGTGAACACTTCTGGTGCAACATACTGGAGATCAGTTCTCGGAATCCCCATCGAGAAAGAATCATTTCCCTCCTTGTTATGGAATTTGGACAGCCCAAAGTCTGCAACTTTTGGAACAAAACCATGGTCAACAACACATTTCGAGATTTAATATCCAAATGAAGAATGCATGAATCACATCCATCATGTAGATGCCGGATCCCTCGAGCTGTCCCCAAAGCAATTTGAAGGAGTTGCTCCCAGCTAAGAGGCTGAAGTTTTATTCCCTCTTCTCTTGAAGCTATGTACTTATCGAGCGATCCATTAGGTATGTAATCCGATACGAGAACATTGTGAGATCCTTCAGAGCAAACTCCTAGAAGCCTAACCACATTATTATGATGAACTCTAGCAATTACACTGATTTCATTCGCGAAATCATCGCCAGTGAACTTGATTGGATCACCAAGCACTTTGACGGCGACCAAACCACCATCAGGCAGTTTTCCCTTGAACACAGTACCGAACCTGCCTCGGCCTATTTTGTCTCTGAATTGGCCCGTCATCACAACTATATCAGCGTAAGAGTACCTTCTAGGGACAAAAGAAGAATTTGGAACAGCAACAAACTTCCCCTTGGCCACCACCATTTCTGTAACAGTACTCTTCTGTGCTGTTGTTCTGTACTTGTGGATCAGGAACCCAAAAACCACCATTGGAGCGAGGACGAACCTGGCCACCAGAGTGATATCAAAGAAAACACTGGAAAGAAAACGGGCGAAGAATGAAACCACACCATAGATGTAATACTCTGGACTGCGACATTCATAGGTGAATGGAGTGTCATATCCAGTCATAACACATTCATGACCACGAGCAAGGCAATCCCGGCACTCAACAGACCATCCAAGGTCAAACCCTTCCTGCAACAACAGCATAATATTCTCATAGCTCGGACCCATCACCGCCTGATAAATCGTGGGAACCCTAGCGAGGAAAGAGCAAGGACCCTTGAGCCCAGAAATTATGTAAGTCCCGTAGCTGACATAAACTGAATTCAACCCATCATCATCACTCAAGCAAGGTACTCTCCTGTAAGATTGGATGGTGATATTACCGCTGCATCGCACAAAGCTGGTCTCGATGTTGGAAGCGAATCCTCTGTAACGGGGGTCTTCATTCAATTCCATAACGGAAAGCGATTGGGAAGGCAAGCCGATGCAGGTTCCATTGGCGGCGAAGAAGCTCGGATCGACGACGCGAATTGTGCGGCTTCCGTAGGAGATTCGGCGGACGTGGTACTTACCGGAGTGGAATTGCAAAGTGGGTTTGTCATTCTCACAGGAGATCTCGTAGTCCGCGTCGCCGCAGCCTGGTGGGTCGGTGGTGAGGCGAAATGGGTAGGTGATGCCTGTTAGTTCGCCGCAGGAGGAATTGCAAGTCTGAGCGAGGAATCTGGGTTGAGCTGCTTGGGCTGTGAGGAGGAAAAGCAGCAGAAGGAAGGGAAGTGTTGGGAGAAACGAGGTGTTTGGGGATCGTATCATCTTCTTGCTGGTTGCGTTGGCTAGCTTGTATTTTTTGGCTGCTATTTGCAGAACGGGTGGATGGCAGCCATCGGAATGAAGTAGAATCTCAGGAGTCAGGAGAGAGAGAGTTGACTGGAGTAGTGGAGTGGACTCGAAGATATTGTTATTTAATATCAAGTATTTTGGAAAGTACTATTATTACAAGGAAAATATTAAGATTACAAAACCACTACAAAATCTTATCATACACTAACACAATACATCATTGATCATTCAATTTAATACACCTGGTTAACTATAGCTATAACTATCGACTTTGGACTAATATTTTTGCTGACTTGGCGACACTTCTAGGTTCGACACCTGGAAGCGAATTAGCTTGGAGTTAATTAGCAAAACCAAATTATAGAAGATAATTATCTTTTATCACAGATGACATTTAACTCGTCAATTACATACTTATGATCATGGTTCAAGTCGACACACTTAACCTTACACATAGACACGCCTAGGCGTAAGGCAATGGCAGAACACCTTGCCTAGTGGGTTTCGCGCCTAATTAGATACTGGAATACGTCAATGGAGTAAGGCGACATATAAGTCTCTCCTAAAAATTACTAGATGGAGTTAGGAAGTCAATATTAAAGGAGAAAATTAACATCAACTATGAAATCAATTTTCTATATCAATATTTTCAATAGCTCAACTCAAGAACTTTTGTGAGCTATTGATCTATGATTCTATGAATTCGTGAGCTATGTTCTTGTCATTAAGTTTTGAGTAAGTTATTAATCATCTTAACTGAAGTGAGGAAGTGTTATAGATTATTTTTTTCATTCATCATACGGTGCAAATTGCTATTTTTCTTCCAACGCATAGGCACAGGCAAAGGCTCCACGCCCGCCTTACGTCTAGTGGCTTTTTAAACCTTGCTTATGAGACATGATTCAACCACATAGTCAATGCAGTCAAAATCACATTCTAAGTGAAAGTGTTTTGGTGATATAAAAGCGTGAAAACATAAAATTTCAAAACTTTAAAGCATAGATTTTAACTATACTTGTAAGTGGAAATCGCGTTTCGATAGAATGCATTCTTAATATATACAAAAACTTAAAACATGAATGAACATCCCATGAATTCTTAATCTACCATATCAATAAATAGACTCTTACTAGCAAGTAGCAAATTCAACAACACGAACGAGTATTCTTCCGCCTCAATCAAGTTCTATAATTTCTGTTTTCCTGGAAGGATCCACAATCTCTTTCGCTTTCTTTTCCCGCCGGCGTTTCCTTGCTTCTTCTTCTTCATCATCATCATCCAAACACAGCGGCCTCTTGTGACTGCCCTCGTCGCCGTCCGGAAACAGAGTAATGCCGCCGCCGTTTTTGACCCTTCCATCCAAAATCGCCTCGGCCAGTGGATCTTCCACCAGCCGGATAATCGCCCTCTTCAATGGCCTCGCCCCGTAGCTGGGATCGTACCCTTCTTTAGCGATTTTGGCCTTCAATCCCTCAGCCACCTGCAATCGAATCCCCTTCCCCGACTTCACCCTGTCGCCCAATTTCTTCAACATGATCTCGATGATCTTGTTCAGATCCTCCGGCGCCAGCGGCCTGAACATCACAATCTCATCCAATCTGTTGAGAAACTCCGGTTTGAATGTCCCCTTCAGCTCCTTCATAACCTGCCGTGCAGTCAAAATTGCGTTTTAAAATTTAAAAAATTTACGCTTTTACATTTCTTGGTCACTAAAACGCTTTTTAGTTATGATTTACGTTCTAGATCACCAAATCGCTTCTACATACAAACACAGGATTTTCATAAAAACGATTTGGTGATCTAGAAATGTAAAAGCAGCGTAATTTTTTAACCCTTAAAGTGTGATTTCAAGGGCATTGTTAACCTGAGCCCTCGCCGCGGCATCGTCGTCGTTGGGGATCCCCTGAATCACGGCCCCCTGTCCGACGTTCGAAGTCAGGACGACGATGGCGCCGCCGAAATCGAACTTCTGCCCGCGGCCGTCCGTCATGGTGCCGTAGTCGAGGATCTGGAGGAGCGCGTTCCAGACGTCGGAGTGGGCCTTCTCGATCTCGTCGAAGAGGACGACGGAGTTGGGTTCCTTCTTGATCGCCTCCGTCAACTGGCCGCCCTGCTGGGAACCGAGGTAGCCCGGCGGGGATCCGAAGAGCTTCGCCACGTTGTGCCGCTCCATGTACTCGCTCATGTCGAGCCGGATCAGCGACCGCTTCGACCCGAAGAACTCGATCGCCAGGGCGTTCGCGAGCTCTGTTTTCCCGCACCCGGTCGGGCCCGTGAAGAGGAAGCTCGCGACGGGTCGGTCCGGGTCGGAAACCCCGGCCGAGGCGCGGCGGACGGCCCGGGTGACCGCCTTCACCGCTTCTTCCTGTCCGATGATGTGGGCCCTCAGTCGCTTCTCTATGTTTTGAGCGGCCGCCGTAGATGGTTTGCGGATTCCGCCGCCGGAAGAGAGATTAGGGTTCAGGCCGGCGCCTTGTAAAATCGAAGAAGCGAGAGTATGATATTGATAGAATGGATCTGTGGGATCCCGTGGGAGAAATCCCGTGTTCCGGCCACCGCGCGACATTGATGGCGGGCGTTGAACCGATCGCCGAAATCCTTCCTGATATAATTCTTCAACCGATGAAATTGGAGGGGTAGTTATTCATAGAGCTTCACACGAACCCTAATCCTATACTAATAAGGAAAACAAAAGCTTTTATAAGTTCAGCTAGATAGCCATCGTAGTTTTTGGAGCTAAGTCCCAGATCAGTATCAATCTATAAATGCTTAACTTTTATATTTCTTTTTTTGGCTAAATAAATCTGTTTAGTATCTTGAAACATTTTGCTAAATATGTTAGAATATTGAATAAGATTTCCATAGAATATTTAATTTGTAATGTTTGTATTAATGTGATTAAATATCGCTCTTAATAAATAAACATTTTGTACTGTCGGTCTTCCAGCTTCTCGTGTTGTCCCACTTCACGAATTCGTAAGCTACACTCTATATGTCATTTTTTTTCAATCACGATTGGTAGATTTATGAGCAATTTTGGAGAGTAAAAAATGGAGGTTTCAGTTAGCGGGGATGCGGCTATATATAGTCGATGCCATCAAATTTGGAATTACCGGTATCAATATGTTGGTTGATTATGAGACTTCTTTGCATTGGGGACTTTGTTTGGTTACCATTTCTCTTGAAACGTAGTTTGTGAGGGTTTTGATTCCTCGAATGACAACCTTTTAATGAATCGAGGTCGAATTTTGCAAACGTAATTGGCGGGACAGTTTACCCACTAATAGATTGGTGGGACTGTTCTATTTGACTACAATTTGGACCTAAAGTTTGAATTTTTTTTAAAGAGTAGCAGTAATCTTTTTACTAACCGGTTATGATTTGCCAACATATTGATTATGCATGTATCATGAGAAGAAATTGTAACGTTATTCTTTCAAGAATCTTTTGTATAGATAAGACTTTCATTACCAAGACAATTGAATTGAAGTGCCTAAATACATTAGGAAGATATATGATGTTTGGCATTTTTTCAATACATTGTTTGGTATTTTAGAAATTTTATTAGTAAAATATTTTAAGTCATTTTATAAATTATTCAAAATTTAACTAATCAATCACGTATGTACTTTTAAGCAGGGGTGTCGATTCAGGTCGGGTAACCGGACCGAAAACACAAAATCGTAATTTTTTGAAAACCGAACCTGAAACAAATAAGAGATTTTTCGATTTCGGGTAACCGACCCTGAAAAGTGTCTTAACGATTTCGGGTAAGGCAAATCAAAACCCAAAAACCAAAACAAGCTATGGAATATGAAGAGTTGATATGGCTTCCAATTTTTAGCTAAACCCAAAACCCAAAAACTAAACCTGAAAACTAAAATTCCGGACTCGAAACAAAACCGAAACTGAAAACCTGAAATACATCTTACTAGTTCGAGTTCGGTTAAAACCGAAAATCCTAACCAGAATTTATAGCCCTAGATTAAAACCAAAACCCGACCCCCAATTGACACCCCTACTTTTAACTTTTAAATGGAGCAAAATGGGTTAATGACACATTTGGTCACTGTGATTACTAAATTGTCCCATGTTTAGTCACTAAAAAAAGTTAATATCAAATTTGGTCACTCTAATTACTAAAACAGGTCATGTTTAGTCACTCTCCGTTAGTTTCCGTCCAACTCTGTTAATGTTGACCGTTATGTGCTGACGTGGCTAACGGGAGTGCCTAGTCAGCGTCATTATGACCCGGAAATGGTCAAACCCGACCCGCCACATCACTAAACCAGCCATGTCATACATCCAACCCAACCCATTAACCCAACCCAACCCATTACCAAACCCAAGCCCGTCACCACCACTAACATACCTACCTGCCATCCCACAACTCCAACCACCGTCCTTCGGCGACCACCACTCCCCGTCTCAAGTCTCGCTCCTTCTCCAGCCCAGTCTTGCATTGTCGTACATCTTCTTCCTCCAATCTCGGTACTAGTACCACAACCGCAACATCAGAAGACAGCCATGCCCTCCATTGCATAACCACGCAGAATACTCCCAAGGCCACCACGGCGAAGCTCACTGCGGCTAGCTCGAAGCCCAACCACAACTCCAATCCTCCCTCTCCTTGATATCCTCTTAGTTTATGTCTCTTCAAGGAAAGCTTCAAGTTCAGAGTAAGCCCCTTCTTTTTTCTCCTTTTGATTTGATTGAAATTCTTGTGACCAGGATTTGGAATTGAGGAGAAGGTTTGTAATGGTGGAATCTCCATCGCTATCCACAAGAATCTCCATCTTGACGCTGCCAACAACAATGTCAAGCCTAAAATTGAGGAGAAGAGGGCTGTAATGGTGGAATCTTCGCCAGAGCCGTAAAGCAGGATTCGTCGCCGCCGCTTCAGCAACAGCCATTGACGCCTAAACTGTCCGACTTGAGGTCTTACGATGATGACGAGCCGCGATGGGGGAATCGATTTAGGGTTTCGTCCACTACAGCCGGCGCGCGATGGGGGAAGCTAACGAAGGTGGATTTGAGGGTTTTGTTGTCTGCTGCGATGGGGGAAACTAACGGCGGCCCGCGATGAAGAAGAAGAAAACAATGCTACTTCGAAGAAGGATCCGGGACAAGGGGATCAAGGGGGTAGCATGGAGCTCTTCATCTCTCCCTGGAGTTCAATCGAAAATGGTTGTACCTAGAGGAAAGAGCAGAGCTTCGAGAGGAAGGAGATAGGTTTTTGGTCAGAAAATTGAACTTTTCAATTTTGTTTTGTTAGGTGTGCTAGGGTTTGGTTATGGGTGGGGTTTGGGTGTATGACATGGCGGAATTAGCGGAATTAGTGACGTGGCAGGTTGGGTTTGATCATTTTTGGGTCAAAATGGCGCTGACTAGGCACTCCCGTTAGCCACGTCAGCACAACGGTCAACATTAACAGAGTTGGACGGAAACTAACGGAGAGTGACTAAACATGACCTGTTTTAGTAATTAGAGTGACCAAATTTGATATTAACTTTTTTTAGTGACTAAACATGGGACAATTTAGTAATCACAGTGACCAAATGTGTCATTAACCCAGAGCAAAATTGTACACAACTCTTAACCTCTTCCACCAAGAGCCCCGTGTTAGTGTTATGATTAGAATTTAGAGGGGGGAAAACTGGCTACAGGAACTGAAAGCAGAAAAAAAGGCAGATGGCATTCTTTTCCTTGCACATTTCTCGCTTCACCTGGCGCTGAATTCTTCCATCACAAAAAATGAACAAAAGCTAGAAGAGGAGACCAAAAAGGAGAGGAGAAGGGGAAAAATGCTAATCTCTTGTAATTTGTTACAGACCCATCCTTCTTTTAAATCGGCACCCTGAAATGCTATGCCAATTTCACTCACTCACTCACTCACTCACACAGACACCCACAGTTACACAGACGAAAAAGGAGCCAAGGGGGAAAACCTTAACACAACCAGCTGATCCAACCCTCGGCGATGAATGCAAATACTGTCGAGCCTGTTTGGTACCATCAGCGAATGACAACAGCCGGGGTACCATGTCGATGAAGTCGTCGTGAAAAAAATTCCATGTTCGTCATATGGCAGTTCATTTGGAATCAGATGACAAGGGAGATCATGCCTTCTTCCACCGTCACTGATGTCATAAAAAATAATCAGGTGCTGGCCTCTTGGCAGGTGCTCCTCTTGACTCCTGCTTTTTTTTTTTTTTTTTTTTACATTCTGCAATTAGTACTATGCCCATCATAATGACAACTACATTCCCTCCTTTCTTCACGGATAACAATTTCCTAAAACAGGGTTCATCTACAAACCTGAGGGGCAGCTTCAAACACGCGAAATTGTTTGTTAAGGTTCTCATCCAGCTCCAGGATTGCAGCCACATTACCACATCTGCAACAGATACCGAGGAATGCCACCCAAAGTCGGGTCAACAAATAAATCCCTAAGGGGAGAGAGGGTGTATGTTTCAGAAAGGGGAATCATTCTTTACCTGTAACAGTAGTTTGGAGCCGACCAGACAGTAACTATTTGGTTGTTGAACATCCATTTGTATCCTTCCATCACCAACTGGTGAGCGCGACAAATGTAATCGATATTATTCGAGTGGTTGAAAGAACTAACCACGCTGCCACCAAACAGAAAACCTGCACCACGCGGGCTCAAACCCCAACCTTCAACAATATCTTCAGGATCTGACCAAAGGAGATCACACATGGCACCATCATGAGGGACTTCCTGTTTTCTGTCAATGGTTCGGATCTGTTTCCAGAATTGCTCAGTAAATTTAACAAGCAAATTATAAGCAAAAGAAGGTTTTAAAAGCAGATCAGTCTACCTGATCCAAGGTTGATATTGCAGGAGAGAGACCTCCGTGGACACTGAAAATTTTGTTCTCAATAAGCGCTGATAAACTGCATTAAATAGGACCAGTCAGACCAGTTCAGAATTGACACCTTTCACAAAAGCAACTGAATGTTGGTTCTGGATAAGCAATGCATACTCCTAATCAGAATATGTCTTTATTTACCCACAGGTTAATTACAAACCCTAAAAGCAGATGGTGGTTTTGTTTCCTCGAGCTGAAGCTTAAGGGATAATTTTATGAGAAAGTCTATTTCTTACCAACTAAAGGAGAAAATGATCACTTCAACTTGGTGTAGAAGAAAAAAGAGCTCTCAAACTAGAGCCAGTTAGACCAAAATCACCGGCGAATGATCTTTTTTCCAATAAGCGAAAATGAGTAATATTAACTGAAAAGAAAAACAGCAGCTCACAACCTATCTGCTACTGATATTAGTAATAAGATTAAGTAGCTGCCACTGTGGTACCTGATGTAATCAAAGATATCCGTGCAGTATCTCCATACATTTACAGAACCATATTTCCTTAGACACTCATCATAAAAACCGTACACCTGCACAAAGAGGACAGGGAATGTAAATTTCAGAACTACAACAACCGATGTAGTGAAATAAGGAAGACGGTAAGAGCTTAACCTGTGTTATCTGACGGCTCTCATGATTTCCTCTGACGAGCGTGATTCGATCTGGATATCGAACCTGATAAAACAGCAACTCCTTAATTGTGAAAAGCAGGATGGGAAAAAAGACAAATGTAATATTGTTTATTCTATGAACTTATACAATGTGTGCCTCTATAAATACTTGTGGGGACCAAAGTTCAAGTTGATTGCAGCTATCATAATCATATGTGAAATGGGTGTAGAGAGTAAAAGTTGCATCCACGACTTGAATGATTTTGCCTGTCAGCAATTCAAATTCAGTGAAACAAGATTCACTAGCTCCAACATTGTATTCATATTCGGTTTTATGCAACTTTGACAAAAAACGACTATTGTTATATAAAAAGGACGAATGATGAACTGCTCAGACAAAGAAAAACAGTAAAGAAGCCTAGAGTACCCCTCACAGGGCCCAAGGATACCGAGGTCAAAAGAAACATGGAGGAAAATAGGAGACGGAGTATCTCGAGATAGGAGAAAAATAATACCTTAAGGGCAAGCAGAAGCAAAAATGTTTCAACAGAGTAGAATCCTCTGTCAACAAAATCTCCAAGAAATAAGTAATTAGTTTTTGGGCAATCTCCTCCTACTTTGAAAAGCTCCTTCATGTCATAAAACTGCCCATGGATGTCTCCGCATATCTACAGATGGTAACAGCCAACATAGTTAGTAAGTAGACCTACCCAGTAACCAACAAAACTTTTAACCATGGAAACCCTTATAACTATAGTGTCACGACTTCTGTTCAGAATTTTGCTGCACAAAGAGAAGAGAAGAGAAGAGAAGAGAAGAGAAGAGAAGAGAAGAGAAGAGAAGGAGAATATTGACTCCTCACCCTCAGTGAATTCAGAACTTCAATCCAAGAAATCAGTCCATAAGAGAGCGAGCATGAAAGGGAACACATACCAATAAAAATAGTTAACAGAAACATGGGGTCATTCAGCTCCTAATTTTATATGACACACAGAACCAACATAAACCGTCCTTCAAACAGCTATAAGGTCATGCCAGGGGGCAACAATCCTAGACCTAAACCCTACAGGTGAATCCTATAAACAGGTTTCAATTTCTAACTAAAAGCATTAAACTCGCTTCATTCCCACGCTTAACCTAAGCTGGCTGATAACTATCAGACCAGATCCACCACTTCACCCAACAACAAATAGCCTGAAGCAGGAGATCCCCAGCCAAACTTGTTTCATGGTCCAATTTTAGTCATGACCAAGTATATCAATCAGTAGACTTGTGCCGCACATAGGAAATTAGCGGCATTAATAGCACCAAATAGCATGGCAAGCAATGCAGTCAAAAGCGCGATTCTACCTAGAAGCGGTTGGGTGACCTAAAAGCGTATAACCGTAAGTTTTTAAGCGTAGATTTTGACTACATTTGTAAGGGAAAATCACGATTCTACGTAGAAGCATTTTGGTGACCTAACAAGATAAAAGCGTAAGCTTTTAAGTTTTAAAGCGCGATTTTGACTGCATGGATGGCAAGTAGAAAGAAAAAATATAGGAACCAATTTGTTCAAGTACGAGATTAAACTCTCATTAGACTCAGCTGAATGATATGTTCACAATCACAATATAACTTACAACTCTTACCATGATGGAACAACAAATGAAAATAGTTCTCAATTTTAACGATCAAAACAGAGGGGAATGACAGAACGAAACGGTTAAGTAAATGCCCTTACAAACACTTTACAAGCTTCCTAATCCTAGCCATCAAGTAAGAGCTCAGGTTCTCTGAAGTGAAACCATGGCAGGGGTGGGGGACACGCACAGGACCAATACACATCTATCCGCAAAATTCCCATTGTCTGAAGCCCTAAAACGGTAACATGCACGATTCAGTTTTCACAATCACTAGAGGACAATGATAAATAACGAACCAAACAACTCTTAACGCCTGTTTAGGAACTTCCTAATCCAAGTCCTAAATCAAGACTTAAGCTTTACATTTTCTGGGTAAGACAACGGGTGGGGGGAGGTGTAGACACACGTCACCAATATATGCATAAGCGCAATTATCCTAATTCTGAAACCCTAGACTCACAGCCACGATTCAACTACAGTCAATTACGGGAAAAAGAAATTTGAATTGCTTGAAGACAGGAACGATAAGGATTGCTTACAGTGACAGGGGCATCCACGCGCTGAACATTACTCTCTTCGACGAGGATTTCCATAGCTTTCAAGCACAGAGCCTTCACTTCCGACTCCTTCAACGGCTCGCACCTCTTCAGCTGCTCAATCTGCCTATCTAGGTCTGACATCTTCCCCCGAAATGCCCTAATTCCTTCCTCTCCCAGACTTCTTGTACCGAATTCGCCAGGCTTCAGTCGCTTCTCTCCCTTCCCGAGATCGTCGACTCCTGCGAACTCACCAGTGCAGTTCTCTGCTGCTCTCTGATACGAGAGCTCGCTCTCGCGCTTTCCCCTCTCTCTCTCTCTCTCTCTCAAAGTCGAAGCTGAATTTTTGGTGTTTTTTTTTTTTAGAGGGTGGCCCCTACAGTTTCCTTTGTTCTAGTTTTGCCGCCTCATATTTTTTACAAATTCGTTTCGGCCACGGCCTTTTCGCGGTATTTTATTTTCAACAAAAATATTTCCCCAAAAAAAAAAAATCCCCAGCTTGGCGGCCGGCCTGGGCAGACCGTCCGGTTCAACCATCCGAACCAAACCCCTTTATTAGCGAATTAACCGCCGCTCATATAAAATCTCCATCCGTCTCCTCCATCGTCCATCTTCCTTCCTTCTCTCTCTGCTCTTTCCCCTTCGCCAAATTTTTTCACAGTCGCACACAAATAACAAAAACAATAATTCGTTTCTCAAACCATTATTACCCGCCAAAAAGGTCCTTCTCGAATCCATCACACTCAACGTCTCGATTTTTCAAAACCCGGCGCCTTCCTTCTTCCCGCTAGGGTTCTCTCTGCGTCGTTCTCTCTTGCCAGTCTCTGACTGATGCTGTTTTGCTCTTTGCAGGTTCTGGTCGAGACGCCGTACGGCGCGCAGCCATGGATCGGGAGGGGAACGGCGAGGATGCTGCCCTTGTGGAGCCGAAGCCAGATGCCGGCGGAGGAGAAGCTGATTCGGTTGGGGAGAAGAGGCCGCTGCCGGCGGAGGTGGAGAGCGAGGATGTTGGTAGGGATGCGAAGAAGCTGAAGAAGAATTCGGCAGGGGAGATGAGGCAGGTGGCTGAGATGCTGCTGGTGTTGTCCGCCATGGGGCGGATGAGAGGAGGTAGGGATCCTACCGAGGACGAGGTGAAGCTGATGGTCGCGGCGAAGGATAAATTGGCCGAGATCTGTCAGCGGTTTGCGCCGAAGGAGTTGGTGAATGGAGATGCGGTTGGGAAGGTTATCGAGGATTTGGGGCTCGATTGGAGGCTGAATGATCAGAGATTAGGATTTCGTGGATCCAGGATGTCGATTAAGGAGAAGGTTGCCCACGCACAGAGGAAGGTAATACATATTGAATGTTTTTTTTATTTTTCATTCATGCGGTTGCCTATTCGTTGAAGTTGGCAGTTGCTTGTCTGTGATATGTTCTTATTCAGAGGCACTGATTTTTCTTTTGTTAAGGTGGTTTAGAATGTAGACTGAGTGAGCATCAGTTAGGATTTCGATTGTGAAGTATGCATAGAAGTGGAAATTGAGGCCAGTTGGTCTAGTCTAAGTGTTAAAAGAAGCTTCAGATGTTGCCTCTCTTTGCTGAAGGAATGAGGAAATGGAAGGAGTTTCCAGTTTTTCTATAGATCATTAGTAATGAGGAAACTAGGGGAGGCGGTATTTTCAGAGGGTTACGGGATGGTCTTCTACAGGTGAAAAATGCTTCTTTACATTTAGGTGTGGATTGTTGGATTGGATGTACGCTTAGTGGGATATTTGCTTGTTTCTTTTGCAATCCAAAGAAGCTTTGTTGATAAGGAGAAGGTTCTTTTATTCCCCTTTCCTTTCCGGGTTTGAGGTTACTCTAAGAGTTTATGGGAAATGGATGCATCTATTGTCCTACTGCTGCTTAAATAATTTATCAAGAATGTATTGTTGAAATGTATCTCCAGATGGAAGAACCGAAGGTCACTCCACATGTATCTCAGACGTCACACTCACATCAAAGCTTTGCAGTCACAGCTGAAGGTCGTGTTCCGACACACACTGTTCGGCCGCTTCCATTTGAGAAACCAACTCATGCGTCTTTACCTTCTGGAACTGCTCCTGTTCATCCTCCTCCTTTCACTCATGTTTCTGCAACAGCAGCATATATGAAGGCTTCCAATGCTGAAGCAAAAGGAGCAGCAGTATCTGTGCGGTTACCAATTAATCATGTTGGGAACTCATCTGTAGTAGCAGCACCAAGAGGGAAGTTTATTAAGGTGGAAGGAGGACCAAATGCGAACACTTACACACTAAATCGTAATTCTCCAACACTATTACCTCTTTTCATTCCAACTTCTCCATTATGGAAGCTACAATCTTGGCCAACTCTGCCAGTGATGATGTGGTAAATGTTTAATGGCCTCTATGTCGGGTTGGGACTTTCTTATAAGTACTTGCATGTAGATAAAATAAAGTAGGATGGCATTGAGATGTTGAAAAACAAAGATGCTCTTGTCAAAAAATAACTTGTTTCTTTTGCGGACTCAAATGATCAGTGGGGGTGAATAATAAATTGTCGTTGACTTCAAGCTCTTAAAAGAGGGCCTGTTGGTTGCATGGCAGGAGCCTATGAGATTTGTCTGAACTTTGAGACTTGGAGATTCTTAAAGTTCTTACTTCTTTTTAGGTTTGGTACTGAATCCCTATTTTCAAATTCCTTTTTGCAGCAAAAGCTCCTTTACATCATCCTCTGGGGAATGCTCCAACTTGGTCTTTACAACCCAGTCCCTTACCCTCTACGGTGGCGGCAGGCAGCAAGGTGCCAAGTCATACTCCTGTAAAGGCCGATGGGATTGCTAATTCAGGTGTACCATGGACAGGTCAAGGTGGTAGTCAAGCATTCAGGCCACCAATTACTCAATCAGCAGCAACAAGTATGCCAAGTGTGCATCAGCCCACGCAAACTGTGAAGGCTGTTTACAGTAATCACAGCGAGATTGCCAAAGTTGTTCAGAAGTTACTGCAACCAAAGCTTCCTGAACATCCCACTTGGACTCTTCCTTCAAGGGAATACATGAACAAGGCTTTGACTTGCCAAAGCTGCAACCTCACTATCAATGAGGTTGAAAATGTTATCATTTGTGATGCTTGTGAGAAAGGATTTCACCTAAAATGTCTGGAATCTGTATTCCAGAAAGTTGTTCCTAGAACTGAGTGGCACTGCATGAAATGCACATCATTAAGCAACGGGAAACCGTTTCCCCCTAAATATGGCCGTGTCATGAGAAGCATGACCCCTCCAAAGGGGCCTGCTAGTGCTACCCAGGCTGGAGCTCAGTCCTTGTCAGATAAGAAACTAGTGAATATGGGTCAGAAGGGTGATCAAGATAAAATGAGCTCTGTGTTAGAAAGTGTTACAGAATCTGGAACTTCTGGGTGTGTGGACCTTGTCTCTGGTTCTAAGATTGGTAGTGAAAGAGGACTGTCAGGAAACAGCATCACTTCAAAAGAAAAAGGTACGAGCTTGATGTCTCATGCTGGAACTCTTCAAAATGAAGCTGACTCAAGAAAACCTCCAGGGCCCATTCATGATTCATCTTCTGTTGCATTGTCAGGTGAAACATGCAGTCCACAAATTCAAGCATGTGGATCTCCTATTCATGACAAGAGATCCACTTCTGAACAAAAACTGGATCCTCCTGCTTTTCTGTCTGGCCACATTCATGATACGTGTGAAGCCAAATCTCAGCACAATGTGCGAGATGTTGCTGAAGGAGGACCTTTAAACACTGCTAAAGACCTTCCAGTTACTTGTCAAGGTGGTGATGTTGAAGAATCAAAGAAAACGTCTGCTTCAGGATATGATATCAAACCAATTGAGGAAGGTGATGCTCAGGCATCTTCTCCTTCATTACATAATGACAAGCAAAGTGAGGTTGATCCTGGTTTAGATCACGATGTCATGCAAAGTGAGCATGGTGTTCCTCCTGCACCTTCTGCATCAGAACAGAATGTCAAGCAAGGCGAGCAACCTGCGCCGTCTGCTTTAGAACAAAATGTGAAGCAAAGTGAGCAAGGTGTTGGCTATTCACCTTCTGCTTCAGAACAGAATGCCAAGCAAAGTGAGCAAGGTGTAGGACATGCGCCTTCTGCTTCAGAACACATTGCTGTGCTAGGTGTTGGTCATGTGGCTTCAGCTTCAGAACACAACGTCAAGCAAAGTGAACAAGATGAGCAACCTGCGCCTTCTGCTTCAGAACAAAATGTGAAGCAAAGGGAGCGAGATGTTGCCTGTGCACCGCCTGCTGCAGAACACAATTCTATGCAAAGTGAGCATGGTGTTGCTCATGGTCCTTCTTCTTCAGAACACAACGTTAACCAAAGTGAGCAAGGTGTTGTTCCTGTGCCTGCGTCAGAACACAATGCCGTGCAAAGTGAGCAAGATGTTGCTCATGCACCTTCTTCTTCAAAAGAAAATGCCAAGCAAATTGAGCCGGGTGGTGTTCATGCTCCTTCAGAACACAATGTTGACCAAAGTGATCAAGGTGTTGCTGATGCACCTTCTGCAGAACGGAATGTTGAGCAAAGTGAGCAAGGTGTTGCTCATACCCCTTCGGGTTCAGAACACACTGTTGAACAAAGTGAGCAAGGGGTTGCTCATGCACCTTCTGCTTCAGAACACAATGTTGAGCAAAGTGAGCCAGATGTTGCTCATGGGCATCCTGCTAAGAACACTAGTGGTTCTAGTAACAGCGTGCAATTGTCTCCTGAGGTGCTTCAAACTGTTGAGTGGGTTGGTTCTACGATTAAGGTTTTCGATGACAAAGCATTCTACGAGTCTTGTTGCATTGGAGGAGTGGTGTACAAAGTGCTGGATCATGCCCTTTTTCATTCTAGTCATGGCAGCTTGATACCTTCTAAGATTCAGGTAAGTATGTTCGCCATCTAAATCTGTGGAAGGCAGCATGTAGTACCTTCTATATGTTAATCATGATCTACGTGGGGGTTGTTTTCTTTTTATATGTAGAGGTGGAAACATTTTGTTTCTCGACTTAGATCCCTTACTGCTTAGCTGGTGCACTATCTCTAAATGCTCAGTGTTTCTTCTTCCCTTGCTATGTTGCTAACATGAAGCATTTGACCTGACATTACAGTCAATGTGGGAGGATATGAAAACTGGGTCAAAATGGGTCACAGTCAATAGGTGTTATTTGCGGGAGGACTTACCTGAGGGTGTAGGCCAACCATTTTCTCCCGAAAGTAACGAGGTAAAATGTTTACATACTTAACTAATTATATGACAGCTGTTGAGAACTTTAATTCTGCATACTGGTTCACTGGTGAATGGACCTACTTAGTGGTTAGCTGCACTAAAAAGATAACTTACTGATGGATGATTTCAAGATTCAGCTAGGGTGTTCTCTTACTAGCTTGGCTGGAAACTATTCCTGTACAGCATGCCCGACCTTTGTGTAACTGTTATGATGTGCTCTATGTTAGGTGTATGATTCCAACCATGAGATTATTGTGATGGCTGGGTTGATTCAAGGCTCATGTAAAGTTCTGCCTCCTGTCACCTATAAAGAAGAGGCTGAAAGACGGAGCCAATTGGCAGCAGAGATAAACAACAAATCAGAACCAGTTTTCCTATGCAAGTACGTGTATCTGTTTGCTATAGTTCTGTATTTGTGCTTCTAACTGCTTAAAAGCTGGTAGTGGTTGATATGTTAGGCATGCTTATAACATGCTGAAATGCCCATGTGTGATCTTGATGGTTTACTTAGCTTCATCAAACATTAGACATGGGTTTTATTGAATGTTAGTTTTTTCTGTTACTAAACTTTCTGTTCCTTCTCATGTATTACTTCTAAATCTAATACTTTCGAACTCCGAGTCAATAATCGATACCACGGACAAATGATGGGGGAGATTATTCATAGAAATAATGCATGGAGAATGCATCTTGATTGCTATTTGAGGGACTGAAATCATACTTCCCTTTAATTTGGACCAGTTTTATTTTTGTCAAAATGGAAGACCAATGGATGCTCCTTAAAATGGCTCAAATCCTTGTATCAACTTTGTTCAAGAACATATTCCAACTCTGCACTGTAACAACTAAAAATATCTTACATGAAGATTTGTGAAATTTTACTGTAGATAAAATATGTATGTTTTAATGTCTCAGGTGCAGTCATTGAAGTAGCTTCTAGCTTCTATTGATGTTTTAAGTATCCTTTTCACTTTAGAGTTAAGCTATGAGCATGTATCCGGCTGCCACAGGAACTGAAAGCTCTCCTTGGCTTTCGTGATCTGTTTTTGTTTTATAAATTACTCAATATTGTTAGGCCATTGGAAGAGTGAATTTTAACTTGGATAATAGAGACCCTCTTATTCTAGATTCCTAAATAAGGCCGTTTTCTGGACCTGTATGCAAGCTCAAGTATCGTGTGGCAAGAACAGAAAAAAGGAAGATAATTACACTATCATGTTTTTGGTTGAGCCTATGGTCTTGGTTGCAGTATGAATCAGGATATGCATCCATTAGTCGTCCAGATTGATTATTTGTATGGGTGACATATGTCTGTGTTACCCGCCAAAAACATCTCCTGCCACGTGCCCGTTGAACCCCATCTTACTGCTCGTTGGAGTCGAGCATTCAGCTAACGCTGGTATCATCTGATGTGAAAAATCTGGTTGCAGGTGGTTTTTCGATAAACTCAGAGGAAGTTTTCAACCTGTTTTCAGCTGAGCAGCCTCTGAAATATGCTCTGAGATCATAGATGATGTATCTGCATCCATTTTGAATTGTTCTTCTGCCGTTCTCAGGTTTGCTTGATTACTACCCTCTTTAACTATCTCAAATTTTTTCAATGCGCTGATATAGCTTAGGTCACTGGATAATATTTTAGGTCGAGATATGTTACTGAAACTCGTGAAAATTTCTGCAGTCCAGCATATGCTTGATGAGTTTGACTAATTGGTTGTTTCCTGGTCTTCTTGCTTTGCTTGCAGACAATCTACATCAATTAGGGTCATTGATTTCTGAGACCTAGTTGGCATTGCTGATCTCTTGTACATGTTCTTCCCCCGGTTAGTCAAATTCTTTGTTTTGTGAATCAACGCACAAATACTGCCAAGTAAAATGTTATAATTATCCTGCTCTCGGCTGCTTAGCCATTTGAATTAAGCTTCTGCAGACGGGCAAAATGGCATAAGATATACATTCTAATTAGAGTTCTATTTGCTTATTATGTGTGGTGGTTTGTTTTTTCCCATGTTACTATTGAGCAAAAGCAATTAAGTTGGCTTGAGTAGGGAGTTTAATTGGGAGATGAATACTACTAGAAGGTATTGTAAGACTGAGTGTTTGAAGGATTTGGCTCCCTCGTAATCGACGTTGTTGATTGGTTGAGTATGTGCGATATTTGAAGAGATTTCCTAGACAAGATATTCATTACAACAACAAAGACAAATAGAGAGAATAAGTATAATTGAGAATTAAAGATTTATTATTATTATTATTAATCTGACTTTATTTTCAAAATAAAAAGAAAACAACCCTTACATAGAATTCCGAAACATAAATAATAATAAAAAATAGCAATGCCAGCTTTGAGTCTCTGACCCGTGTAGTGATGACAATGGAGCGGGGCGTCGCAGGAATATCCATGTCCCGCTCCACGCTACTGCAGGTCGACCCATGCTTATATGTTATTCGAAAAGAATTGAGATAGAATGGGTCAAGAATGGGGCGGGATCGGAAATATATACTCATGCCCCGCCCCACACTACTGCGAGTTGAATAATACTCACCTCATCACGAATAAAGTTAGATAATACCCACGAGACGGGTTCGAATTGCCAACACGTACGGCCGTCCTGTCCACATGTGCTTGCCCAAATCAGATTTTTACAAGGTTGTCAACCCGTGGGTTGACCCACTTTGACCCTGACCCGGTGAGAAAAACGGGTTGCACGCACCCGTCAGGTCGACCGCTATAAGGTACCGGGTTGGAGGTCAAATTGTGCCATTTTGTTCTTTGTTTTGCGAAATGCGCCTATTTTCCGATTTTTCTTTTCGCCTAACTCAATCTTTTGAATCCTAAGTTGAACATTTGAATATTAATGTTATATAAGTGTGTGTGGATTTTCACCATATGTTGAATCTAAGTACGAAATGTTATTTTGGTGTAATATTATATGTTATAACTCATATGTTATATGAGATTTGATGTAATTTATCAGGATAAGTACAATATAATGACACTTTCTATATTTCTGGGTCAACCCGCGGGTTGACAACCTTGAGATTTGATGTAATTTATCAGGATAAGTACAATATAATTTATCAGGACCCACTAACTCAACCGGGTCCGGGTCAACCCACGGGTTGACAACCTTGGATTTTTATCAATCAGGTTGTTAATCATAGTTCAAAAAGTCAAAGTACAACGCATTAATTTCGAGGGGAAAAAAAGTTTTCTCGCCGGAAATCAAACCCACAGTAATGTTTATAGTCAAAAGTAGTAGACTCCGATCATGAGATGCTCTTCCTCATCATCGTCGGAGGGATCGTAGGTGAAAATATCACCTTCTTCCGGCAGCCTAAAGCTCACCCTTCTCTTCCTGCTGCTGCTAACCTCATCAATACTGTTGTTAACGACCGCTGTCTCGGCTTCTTCGATCTCCAGCGGCATCTCCAAAGAAAAACTCCCCGTATTATTATCAATTTGGGAATCAGGATGCACTCTGTTTTTGGCGGCGGCGATCAACGGCGGCGGTAATTTCCTCGACGGAGACCGCACCAAAAACTCCTGCAGATTGATATCGTCACGACGGCCGCCGGCGTGACCCTGCCTCTTCTTCAGCTTCCTGACGCGATCCGGCCGCCTCCCACGACCATCCCGATCGCCACTACCCGCCTCCGCCGCCACCTTCCGCTTTCTGCTGGCGGCGGAAGCGAAAGAGTTGGGCTCTGTTACGGGACACAAGTAAGTTTTGGTAAAACGATAATTAAAAAAATTATGTACATGCATATGTGGCAGGGACGCAACTCACCAATTTAAGGTGACTTAAATGTAACTTTTTGGGGCAATGTATCAAACTTCATTTATTACATTGTAAGTGATATCTCCAAACGAAATTATTTACATCATGGGGAAAAAAAAAGGAACACACCTAATTTCAACTTCTCGCTCCGCCACGGAGTATTGTTTCCTCCTCCAAGGCACCTCGGCTTGATCCAATCAGCGAAACTGTAAGACGACGGCGGCGAGCTACTGGGAGCGAGAGGAGGAGGAGGAGAAGAGTAGTTGCACTCGTCGTCGTCGTGGGGCCGGAGGTAGCAGTCTCGCCGCCGTGGCCGCCGGAAACAAGCTCCCAGACCCATTGAGTACACAATATAATTTTGTTCCCGGCAGGCGATGAGGACACCATTTTATATAAATGTGATTGCTAGTGAGAGTTAGGGTAGCGGAAGTTGCAAGAATGGCGAGGAGGATTGATGATTAAGTTAAAAGTGTATTTGTCTTTGTACGTTAATTATGTTACTACTTTTACTTTGCCGTAGGAATTACCGAACATTTTTAGATTCAATTGTATCCTGCAATTAACTTTCTTGTCATTTTCTCGGCAGGGAAAATAAAAACTAAAGAAGAAAAGAACCGAGTCATTTAGAAAAAAAAATTAGAAAATCACTTAAGCTTATCCAAAAACTAAAGTCCAAATCAAGAAATGCTGCATATTTACAATTTATTCCCTTGATATATATTTTGCCAAGTACCGCCAATACTTTGGGTTTTCTTGTCTACAAATTACTATAAGGGAATGTCAATATATCCTTTTCACCACGTCAGCTCATACTAACCAACCCGCACTAATCGGAGGGACACAATTGTAACTTTATTTTCCAATCTTCTTCCTACCTTCTCGCCGAAATCCCCAACGCCAGTTATTTTCTTTCTCTCCTTGCCTACTGCTTTCTCTCTCTGCTCACCATGTTCTTCGTGTGAGTATATAACCGTCGCCCTTAAATTAATTAACTCCTCCCCTCCCATTCTGTTCCCTTCTCGCAATTTCCTTTCCCATCAACTAATTCAAGCTGTCTGCAGGTTCTCTCAATCCATCCCTCCCTCTCTCTTTTCCACATGCCCCACGTTAAGGTCGGAAATCAATTAGATTAACTTGTCATGCACTTATATGTTGTTGTGATTTGTTCCATGGTGGTTTAGAGCTGGGAGCCTGGAATGGGTTTCATAACTAATTTGTTTGAATTTTTTATTAATCTATTGCATATATTTAACTAATTTCAAATAAATTCCTCAAGGAGCATTTGCCCTTTTTGGAAGTCCAAAGACGGGTCGTGCCTTGCGAATCTATACGATGAATTATGATCATTGATCATGGCTGTGAAAATTAAGGTACTTCATTCAAATGAGTAACATATCAGCTATTAGATTGTTGATATGACTTGAATCGAACTATCAGCAGCTACGAATGGAAGTCACGCGGGGCTCAATGTTATTTGGGTTCGTGTTTTGAGCCTGGTTGTAATCGCTTTTCCTTTACCATAATGGATTAGGGTTAGACCTTGGAGAAGTAGTATAAATACTTCTCATACTCCTCTGTAATTTGTATCTCCTCAAGTATAGTGAAAACTGGCTCTCTCCTGCCCGTTGACTAGCTAACACACATTGCGTTAGTGAACCATGTAAATCATGTATTGTGTATGTGCACTTGTGTTTTCTTACATTGTCGAATCCTTCTATTTCCCGATACTCAGAAAACATCAGTAACGCACATAGTATAGTATAGTTTTGAAGACGAAACTTCACGGATGATAATAATTGTTCTTCTCTTCATTGCTCTTAATTGATTGCAATAATGCTGCCGAAACATCATTGATCATTGCCATGACGCTTTTTATTGCCAAAATCTTTCATTTTATTTCTACTAATAATCGGCTCAATGTTGTGTTGCTATTTGCTAATTATGTCCTTAATATGATGTATTTTTTACATGTATATCTAATGTATCCACCCAAATTGTAGCTTATTTGGGCGTTCCATTGTGATTTACATTAGGGAAAGGGTATATATGCTATATAAATTCATTATAAAGTCCACTTTGTCCATGATTTTCATAGAATCTGACTTATTGAATCCAATTTTACCTACTTTTTATTATATTTGAAATTTGAATCTCCTGTATTGGTTCAAAGGCATTAATCATTCAGTTATTTGTTTTTGTTGAGGAATTTGTTGTATACACAGTGGGTCTGAACTCTGAAGTAATGAGAGCCTCAACTTATAATAGCAAGAACGGAAAATCAATCGGAATTGAAGGAGGTCGCCCACTTGAAAGTTGAAATTAGGTTTAAACTTCTTTAAGTGACTAATAAACGTTATTAACATTGATCGTGCCTCATTGGAATGGTCGGATTTTTTTAATGATATTAGGGAACTACAATTCTCAAGTGATTTGGTCAAGTTTAATTGAATATTTCATGTAAAATAAGTCGAGTATGGATGAATGAGCCGCATATTGATCCGGATTCTAGTACTTAGGTCATGATTATTTCGTTGGCATGACGAGCAAGAGATGTTTATGATTTCATTTCTTTTAACCAATGGATAGTTATATTTTATCTAACGTTTTAAGCATGAGAATAAAGTTTCTTTTTCTAATTTAAGCCTTTGATAAGTAGATCTTATGCAAGTGGATGAATATCATGGTATCATAATATTTAGTCAATGGCTTGCTAAGTAGTGATCCTTGACGTATTTTTGGGTTGGACCGGTCCTTTTTCTATGTATAGGTGTGAATTCAATCAATTACTATGAATTTGGAAATACAACAATTCTATAAGTAAGAATGTTGATAAAAGATAATTTATCGCTCATGTAACCGATATTAGTCTTTATACTCCATATACATATTGAATTTTGGGAATCAAATATATATGATATAATGGTCAACGTGACTCTATATAATAATATGTGCGTTGATCTTTAAAAACAAACAAATAGCAATATATCAACCCACTTTTTACCCCATTATGCACCTCTGTGGATCATTATTCATTTGTATGTGTGGGCTGATGACCCTCCTAGCCCTCAATAGCAAATATTGCATACTTAAAACTAATCCAACATATCAAAGCAAAACCCGGCCAATAGGCCGGGCCCTATGCTAGTTTTTATATGTATAGAAGAACCTAATATATGCCGCCAAATTGTACTCACTAGATCATTTTTCACAATTAGTCAACTTTCCTAAAAAAAAGAAAATTTGTTTAACATGAGAAAATATATTATTTCCAAAGGATATGGCCAAAATCCCAAACTCATGATCAATAATTAAAAAAAAATGGAAATGCCACATTTGGTCACTGAGATTACTAAATCGTGTCATGTTTAGTCACTAAAAAATTTTAATATCAATTTTGGTCACTTGAATTACTGAAACAGGTCACATTTGGTCACTCTCCTATAGCCTCTGTCCAAATTCGGTCACTCGAATTATTGAAACATGTCACATTTAGTCACTTGAATCAATGAAACGGTCACATTTAGTCACTCTCCCGTTAGTTTCCGTCCAACTCCATTAATGGAGTTGGACGGAAACTAACGGGAGAGTGACTAAATGTGACCGGTTTTAGTAATTCGAGCAACCAAAATTGATATTAAATTGTTCTGGTGACTAAAAATGACACGATTTAGTAATCTCAGTGACCAAATGTGCCATTAACCCTTAAAAAAATGGAATGATGAATGTGCCAAACTCAACAACAGTTTCTAGCGTTTGAGCTAGAAGTTTGTGAGGTCTTAATACCATATACTTAATAAACAGGATCGTCAAGTTTCAAACACAATACACTACAACAATAAAGACTATAATATCATGTTAAAAATCAGTTGGTCCCAACCAATATAGTTAGAATTGCGGATTAAAGATTAAAAGCTTACATTTTACATTTCAAAATCACCAAAATGCTTCTACGTGAAATCATACTTTAAGCATAGTCATATTTTACTTATTTTTACGTTTCTATCTCGCCAAAACACTTCTAATTAGAATTGCAGTTGTTGAGTGCATTGGTCCCAACAACTCCGTTTATTTGAAAGAAATTGAATTATAAATCTTACACCATTTACTAACACTTAGAACGATCATTATATTATTATTATTTTTATTATTATTTATTAACATAAAAGAGCAATCAGTACAGTGGCTGGCGGCTGGTTTTATTATAGAACTACACACACATATATTCATGCTACATATTCAAATTGTGCAAAAGAACAAACTCCATCGTCACTCGTGGCTATGCGCGGAGGCTAGTACAGGATTCCGTGGATGTCCGACTGTATAATTTGTCGTTGTTATTTTATATATTTTGTTGGAATGGGAAGAGATGGTTTCTGCTTACCGAAATTATATCGGCTCTTAACTAATGGATTATGTCAAAGAAACCGTATAGAGAAAACGGATTGAAGGCGTGATTTTGATCACTCTAGTTAGAGTGTTTATTTGCCTCCACTACCTAGTTGCTGGTAGGATTTAGGCAAACCACCTCCAGAAGTCCCTCAAATCAAAGTCAGAAAGCAGCACCTTTCGTGACTTCTGTGTGTGTTTGTGTTTTTGGAGAAGGAAAAACGAGGAAAAGAAGATGAACGTTGGACGAGAAGTTAGGTTGCAGAAGACTTTTATAGTGAAAACGACAGTTCCCTTCCGAAGGTTAAAATAATTATGATAATTAATTACCAAAAAACTCACTAACCACTTTATTTAATAACTAAAGTGGAAAGCAAACTTAAAAATAACTTGCACTTTCCTTCTCTCACGTATTAAGCTTTCGCGACAGATTAAGCTTTCGCGGCGGACATCAACTGTTTAAAAGAGTCGAATAACAAGAAATTAGATCTCAACCAAACAAAAGGTTAGCAGTAACACCTGTGTCAAAAGGTTCGTCTGTGACAATTCAATAAATTTACACAACCACAAACTCACGAAAAAAACAAGGAAATCCAATCAGGCAAGAAGCCTAACTCTACGGATCAGCAGATGGGTTAGTCAACAGCTCAAGGGCCTTTTTCAGGTGCTCGACGGCGATCGACACCTCGTCAAATGCCAGGGCTCCAACTGCAAATCGTGCCGCTTTATGTGCCTCGACGATTTTCTCAGGTGGAGGCTGGTAGCTGCTGTCGTACTGGTACGTTGCTGCTGCTGCTGCTGCTGCTGCGGCAGAAGTTGGGATGGATGCATCCGCGGCGGAGCTCATCCTACTGCTTGAACTGCCATGCTGCTGCTGCTGCAGCGCTGGTGGAGGTGGAGGATGATAACTTGTAGCAGGTGGTGGAGCCGACTGAGAACTGTACGCGGAGGAATCGGAGGACCCTTGCTGTTGGTAGTAAGAAGGGTAGTGGGATGGCACAGACGGGAGCACGGATGGGATGCTGGTGTCTGCGAAGCTTGGATACGACTGGAAGTTTGGGTAAGAGTAGGATGAGGGATTATCATGAGATGATGGGTAGTTCTGTGGCACATGGTGGTGAGGCTGAGAATAGGTGGGGTTCTCTGACGGATTAAAATCTTGGGAGTAGCCAGCAGCACCAGTATAAGGTGGAGGTGAAGGCATGATGTTTACGCCGGAATGCTGGCTGTTGAATGAGTCATATGATTGGGGAGGATGAGATTGAGCCCGCGCTGAATGCTGCTCCCTGTCCATTGAATCATATGACTGAGGTGGTGATTGTGGCATGAACTGAGAAGGATGTTGGTGGTGGTTAGGATGATCGTGGAACTGAGACGATTGTGGAAAGTCTGCTGAATGGCCGCTGCCACCTTGATCATGGAATTGGGATGATGGATCGGACTCTGATGATTGCATTGTGGTAGTTGAAGTTTCCACTTGTCCGACATCCTGAAAAATCACCATTGGGGCACAACAAAATAAGATATTCTGTGCTCATTTCATTTCCACGATTACTGAGTGGAGACCAGACCTACACTATAACCGATTTTTCCTTCTTCATTCCGAACCTTGAAATCAGAGTGGAGAAAGAATTTAGATTTAGCTGTAACTTACATTCCCATTGGTAAATCCACTAGATGGATCCGCCATATCTTCATCGTCAACAGGAGGGCCTGGATTGGGTGTCCTTCCCTCTTTCAATGCCTTCCTTATGTCTGCAGCCTTCCAAACTGCATACTTCTGCTTCTGTTCAAGCTGCAAAGTGAGAATGAACCATAAGGACCTAGCAGAGATGTTCTTCAATGATAAATAAATTCAAAGACATGTCTGTCATGAGGATTAAGCAATTCCGAGTTGCAGAAACTCACTTCAGCCTGGAGAGGCCCAAACTGATTAATAATCTCAAAGAAAATGCTTGCTGCATAAAATGTCTTCGCTGTGTTCCTGTAGCAAGACAAGAACTTCAGATATCGACAGCCATTTAACTACCGGTTTACATGCATATGGAGCTTAGTTCAATTGGATCTCAATATATTTCAATCAATCATTTCCCTGAGTACATTTTGATTTTAAGCAACACAGTAAAGCAAAACCAAATAGCAGCAAAAACAAACCAAAACCAAACACAACATGCATTAGCACAGTGCTACCCAATGTTTAAGGAGAGCGAGTGAGAAGGTTAGCCATCAACACAACTAATCCTAAAACTATCAAAAACGATGGAACCAAAAGGCAAAGACTTTCAGATAAGTTGTTACACTCTTAAAGCAATTGAGATTTTGAAATTCTACTTCTTAAGCATGCAACTTCAAGAAAGCTGCCAACATTTTGAATTCGGCAACCCCAAAGAAAATGAGTGGCAGTTACACACGAGTGTTGCATGCTGAGCTAGACGGTCTCAAGTCCATAAGCAATACGAGCATTCATCCGAATACATATAAGTTAGACAACTACGATTGCCGGAGTTGTGAAGGCCTCTTCTCACCCATCATATTCTAACTTGTGAAGAGCCAAGTAAGTGCATCACAATCATTGTATTAGACCAGAATACAGTTAAACATCAACCAAAAAGACCATCCATGTGCCTCATTAAAAAATAATATTCAATAGAAAGTAAAATCATTGCCATACAAGTCAGCTCGTCCTGCACGATCTTGTTTATCAGCCTTTGAAAAGACATTTTGGGCGAAACCCTCCAAATAATAGTTATCCTCGGGTCCTAACTTCACCGTCTTCTTATCCTGTCAAATACCATACACGATGAGAGTTACAATTAACCCTTTATCAAGCATATCACAGCATCAACAGCAGAAAAGGATCACCATTTTCAACAACTGTATAATAGCAGAACGGAATAACACGGTCTGGGTACGTGATGCACAAAAATTCCATAGGGATCCATAACGAATGCGGGGATGATACATGCAGCCTAGAAGAACACAAGCCTAAGTCGATGCTTCAAAGCGGATCCTCACAAATTCAACTTCACACATCAATACTAGGAAACTGAAGCACTACATAGAAAACTCCAACTCCAAACCAGAGAAAAGGAAAAAAACATAGAATCGATCATCAAGGATTAGTTTATAAACAAAAATCAGCTAGGCAAGCAAACCTTCTCGAGCTGGCTCATGAGGGAAACAAGCAGAGAATTGGTGGTCTTAGTGCGATCCTTCTGAGGAATTCTCAGTCCCCTTTCCATCGCATACAATCGGCCTGATCAGAAAAAACGGAGTCGATTAACAGGAGAGAAACTTACAAATTTTAGGGTTCAAGGGAAGTAGGAGTAGGTTCGCCTTACAGTAGTAAGCGACGAGGGGTTCGTGCTTTTGCAGCTCATCGGCTCGTTGCAGGTACGGCAGCAGAAGCTTGGCTGGCTCGTTGTCGCTCGCCGCCATCGCCCGGATTTGCTTTTGATCAATTCGCTACTGCGCTGCTTCAAAAATTGGGGGAAAAGAAAACAGAGATGCTACGGAAACGAAACTGGCGTGTGGCGTGGCGTCTATAGTTTTGGTTTGATTAATATCATAAATGGCAAAAGAGAATGAATGATGCTAAAGTTTGGAATATAACGGGTTTGTGCGGGTTCATGCCGGTCAATATTACAAATAAAATTATAAATACTTATATTTAAACATTACATTTAATATCAATATCTAAACATTTATATTTGAATTCAACAAATAACATCAATATTGAACTTTTATACTCATAAAACAAATGATAAAATAATTTTTATCAATTAAATTCACTTAAAAAGGGCATTTTACTTAGAGATTCGTATATTGATCATGTCGGTCATACCGGTGGTGTCACGCCGGTTTTATGACCGGTACCGGTTAAACCCGGTACAACCGGTGGCACGCCGGCCGGCGTGACAACCATGAGATAAAGTAAAAGATTTAATGGTGGGAGGGGTCGTTTTGATGGGTGATTGATAGTGGTGTAGTATTTAGGCATAAATCACTTATTAACACATTTCAAATGTGGTATTTGTGTGTCATTTGCATCTAGTATTTTGGTACGATTAAAGTGAGCAAAAACCATAATGTCTCAAAATAACTTATGAAAATTGATGTAAAACGGATGAGCTATAATCTCTGTTGAATTTTCATATGAGATTAAAAAATGGCCTTAACAGCCGCTTGGGTACCTGTGCCGGTCTCATCTAAAATCCGTTCAGCTGTCCAGAAAATCTGGTAAACTACTCTTAAATCCTTTATTTCTCTCCTTACCTCTTTTATGATATGAACCATTAGATCTTCCCTTCTCAAATTACAACCATTGGATTGAATTTTGTAAGCCTACAAAACTCAAAGTTTTATACTTTAACCTGCGCCTTATTGCAATACTATAATTACTTACTTTCACTTTATTAACACCCGTGACTTTTTCTCTTCAAACAACAACTTACACATCAACTTACACCCCTCCCCTAGACCCTTACTATCTAATTTGCACCCTTCTCCTATTTGTGTAGGAGAAGGATTGGGAAGAGCTCGATAATAGGTATGAGAATACCAAACTTACATCCAATGAATTGCTGATTTGGCCAAAATAGTGAGTCAAGGTTAACCCGCTTGAATTTTGTTGAGCTAGATTAACGGTGAAAAGCCAGTAGAGAAAGTGTTTGCGGGAAAAAGAGTGAGAAGAAGGTCGATTTAGTCACTTGTTAAACTGATAAAAGCGAGAAGTTTTCAACAATTTTGACGAGCAATTACGGTCAAGACTTGATTCAACTGGCAAGTTAGATCCTTTGTTTAACAAGAATGTCAATTAACCAGTGTCTAAGTTAGCATACACGGATCAACTACCTAATTTACACCGTTGTCTAATTTGCACCCCCTCCCCTATTTGTGTAGGGGAAGGATTAAGAGAAGATCGGGAACAGGGATGAGAATACCAAACTCCCACCTATATGAAGATTGAGACATGATTGTAGCCTGCTTATGAGATCAAAAGTTGGATCATGGTAGACCAAGGGGATTACAGCTTAGGTCAGCTGCAAGTTGGGTTAGAACATTAGTTGCTGGGAACGTAACAGAGTGGAGCAATGGGATACATGCATAAGAAATCCTCGACACAGATTTGCAGCAGACTAGAGGAAAAACTTCCAAATGGCAATAATAATTCACAGAACAGGGTGGCACAAGGTACTATCTTAAACTCTCCAGTTTATCATGTCTCCTTCATATCTATACCACTACAACAACAAATTCCTACTAGTAATAACAACATAGATGTTGTGCAAATGGTGTAAAGCCTACATCTTACTCCTCGGCTCCCCTACGGTGAAGCAGGAACCGGTTCAATACCAGAGACCTGGGAGGCAGCATCCTCCTTTGATATCGCAACGAAATTAGTAGGAGCAGAAAGCCTCGCCTCCCTTCTGTCTCTACTTCCTGATCTGCTGCCATTCTGAGAAGTGTTCAAAGACAGCCTCCTGCTCGGAGTTCCATTGTTTGAGCCCCCTCCGTTTGCTCTTGGACCAACCACCTTCTTGGGTCCAGCTGGTCGGGCTGGACTAGGCCTCGAACCGAAGATGGTTTCTTGCTCTGTGTTTTGCTGCTCGTGGTACTTCTTCTGATCCTGTGTCACACAAACAGGTCATATATATAGTGTCCTGATGAAACAGGAACATAAGTGTCATAGATATTCAGTGGGGATGAGATGAATAAGGAAAGAAGAGAACTCACTCTCATCCTCCGCTTCTCCTCTTCTCTTTCCTGCCTAAGCATGGCGTATTCATCAAGCATGGCAAGTAGAGGAACGCCATCGTATGTAAATTGCAAGCCATGTTCCTCTTCCCATGCCCGAGTTTTGGCAACCAAAGTGTCAACCAGAGCTACATGAATGAGACGCAGAATTAAAACAAAAAAAAAATGTCGTCGTAATGAAGGTGATTAATCTGTAGCAGTTTTAAGATAACTATGTAAAGGTCTACAAATTCCAAAGAGACCTGGAATTTTGTTGACTACAATTCTGGCTTTTTCTGCTCGCTTGAGATTCAAGTGTGCACCTCTGCTTGCATTGTACCTGTTATCATCCTGTGGCATTGAGAAAGAAACAGTTGATATAGAACTTACAAGTTGATGAATTTAGGAAACAAGATCAAGTATGCAAGGAAAAAGGGAACGAGTTCCATTTAGCCAATACCAGGAAGAGTATAGTTAGTTCTGTATGGAGAGATGCACAAAGTACCCACCCGATTATAGTCTTCAAGCCAACTTTCTTCTTCACATGCAGACATCCATTTCTCCACCTTGTCCAGAATGTCCTTTCTGCTAAGAGCTTCATCTTTGGCTTTTGAAATTTGACTATCCATGTCAGCTAGTAACTCAGCCGGCTCCACATTCCCGGCATCTAACCGTGCCATGATTTTTTCTCGAGCAGCCTCAGGATCAATCTCTATATGAGCATGAACAAAGATCTCTTCAAGTTCTGATTGCTTTTTGAAGGCTATTTCTTTCATCCTGCTAGACTTTAGCTGATCAAGCCTTTCAACTTCAATTTCAGCCTTCAAAAGCATAAGGAAACCGAGTGAGTCCAAAAGAAGATAAGGACTGCAGGCCTAATGTTTCCATTTAACCCCCTTTTAAAATGAGCAAAAGTTCATACCTGTTCAATGAGATCAAGAGCAAGAGCACCAGGCATGTTCACTTCATCAACTGAAGCCGATATGTTGCATGTAACATGGTCAAACAATTTCCTTTCGTCGTCCGGAGTATCCATCAGGTTCCACAGATCAATCAATTGAGTCGCTAACTCTTGAAGCTATGATAACAAAGGGCTTGAATTAGAGAGGTTTCAAGGATTTCAGGAACGTGAGCGCCATTGAAGCATATTTGACCATGATAGTCCCACTTATAGTTCTTTAAGCATAGAGAATCAGTTAACAAGTATAAGTTAAAACTTAAAAGACCAAGAACTAGAAAGCATTGAAAGGCATTCTTTACAAGCTGACCGAAACAGATTGAGAAGCAATTACTTCGACAACAAGCACACCATTGATTATCAAGGAAATATGCTCAGTGATATTCATCTGCAGGCAATAGACCAAGAAAAGAATATCAATCACAAGGGAAAGAGAGATGGAAAACTAGTTACCTTGCGGAGCCTCTGCTTCTTATCTTCCGTGAGCTCCAGGACTGTCTTAGCTAACCTTGCCAATGTACCATTGCTAATGCTTTTGGATTGAACACCAGTAGATTCGTTCAAGCTGGGATGAACATCAGTTACAGTGCTAAAGAAGTCCAAACCAAGGACAGCACAGAGATCATGTACACTGCTCACATACTCAAGGACCTTGTGCAGTCTCTCACTCTATCATTTAAAAGAAGCCATTAGAACTGAGTGTGAAATGCACTAACTTAGCTGGAAATAAGAACAATCCCATCTTGATATCAGGATGAAAAGCTGTACCTTCTCCTTCTGAAGTTCCTGTAGGCGAGCATTGTATTCATCCAACTTCTTCAAAGATAGATCAGATTCATCAACTACCGGAGTCTCCTTAGTACTCAAGCTCCCAGATATGTCTCCACAAATCTTTTGTATCTGTGACTGCACATCGGAGAATTCCCTCACTCTCTCTTCTTTCTGTTTCCACAACTGTTCAAGTGCTGGTGCTATGGCTTCGAGTTGCTCCTTGATTGTTCCAGAAGTCTTCTCCGGCTGATATTAGAATTATTATGCAAAAAAAAAAAAAAAACAATTATGAGAACCCCAGTTTTCAGAGTAGCCGACAAAAGATGCCACGTTCTCTTAAAACATGCATAACACCAAAATCTAGGAACCGTGTAAAGTGTACTCACAGTTCCAACAGAACTTTTATCCCCAAGGGAGGATAAGAGAGTTGAAAGCTCTAATTTGGCATCTGACAGAGCTTGTAGCAGCTGTGCCCTTGACTTTGCTGCCAGTTCAACTTTCTTCTTGTAAACATCCAAGCACTCTTGATCTATTTGGAGAAGCATCTTATCCCTCTCCTCATCAGTTTCGCCAACCTCATCCCAAATTTCCTGTAGCACATCAAAGTGCTGAGGGTTAAGCTATGTTATCACAGCATATGAAGTCAAATTAAATTACCAAACATAAGAGCTACACAAACCTGAAGCTTCTGCAGCAAAGTACCACAGGTCGTTTCTGCAACTAAAGGGTTCTGAGTGTCTGTGACTGCCATTCACTTCAAGTCCAATTACCTATAATGCATTGCCAGACATCTTCAGAAAACATCATACTAAAATCTCATTGGGATGAAGCAAGAACATAAACAGGAAATTAAAGATACAAACCAAGGAAGTTAAGTTTAAGCCAAGAAAATCAAACCAAGGTTAAGGAGCACTCGCAGAAAATTAAATATTATAACAGAATCTGATGATCCAACTCAAACTACAATCACAACCTGCACAGATCTTGGGAAAACCGACAGCTACAAGCCTCTGGGTCGCAGGCATTGACAAAAGCGCATTACCACATTATAATTGACAAATGCTGCTAATGTCGTCACTATCAGCATTAAGCCATTGCAATAAGCAAACCAACGTATGCCTCACCATGATGCGTAGCAGTATCTGAGAAATTTATGCCCCAAACAAGAGTGCATTGGAATTGCAGATATATGTTATCTTTATGCTAGATAAACAGTGGCAAGTGAAAGGAAATCAAGCAACCAACCTACCGGAAAGTTCCAAAATTGGGTTGTCAAGTTGATTGAGCCTAATGAAGACACCTACACTATTACAACGGAAAGTACTAATACAGCTAATTCACTTCATTAAATTGCCTCAATCTGGAATAGTAGCATTAACAAACTCATGACTTGAGTTCATCGGCGACTAACCCACAACCACAAGCCTTAAAATCAATCAACTGCAACAAGAACTACAACACAAAATCATCTCATTCCCAGAATACCATAAAAGTGCTCAACTTTCGGACTAAACAACAGATCCCCTCCTACAAGCTAAACCAGATGGATCAAACTTTCCCCACAGTGGAAGCATCAAAGCAAGCAACCCAGAAACCGAAATGCACCCCCAAGTCGTTCTTCACCCACAGCAACAGCAACAACTACCGCATTTTACCAAATCAATCTCAACCCAAATGCTCCAGATCCGAAACCAGATATCTCCTAGCTCCACAAACCTAGAAAATTAACAAAAACCACCCACATTGGGTACCCCAAGCAAGAAACGCAAAGAAGCAGCCATTGCTTACCCAGATCGTACTTGGTGGTAGGGCTATGCGGGGAAGGTTAGTTATGCTTCAGATCTAAAGCTCGCACTCCCCTTCTTCTTCTTCTTCTTCTTCTTCTTCTTCGGTCACACTCACACTCACACTCACTGACTCACAGTCTCTCTCTCGCTACAGTCTCAAATGTTCGTGAAGCAGCAACTAGAGCAGGGGGAAAAGGTGGGAGTAGAGGGTACAGCTGGTAATTAATAATGAGAAGAAGCGACCAAGCAAGCAGAGCAGCAAATGCTAAACAAAGAACGAAAAGGACAAATGCTGCTCTGAGAAAAGGAGAGAGAAGAAATCTCGCTGACCGGAAAATTGCCCCGCGGATTCAGAGCTATTTACGAACGTGACACTGTCACTATTTTCATTTTAGGCTGGAAGTCGAAAAGCATGCATCTCCTGCTAAACGCCGAGTTCGGTCAGAAACGACGCCGTCAGGAGCGGACGTTTCCCGGGCTATTAATCAAAATGAACAGACCGATGATTCCGTGAAAAAAGTTCCATAAAGCCACGAAATTAAGGATGCAATTGATCAAATTCAATAATAAAGCATTCAATTAACAATAACATAAAAGTATGTATATGAAATTGAGATTTTTGCCCTTTTTTTTTTTTTAGCTCTGCTTGTTTGTTGTTTCCACTGATACTTCTCCTCGCCAGTCGTCAGTATTCTCCGACTCTTCTTCTTGCTGTCTATCACTGTCACGGCCAACGAACGCCGACGGAGCTCGTTAATTAAACCGTGGCCGGAGGCCGGAGCTCTCTATTTCGTTAGCTCCCACTAGGTTTCGGTCGAACCCAGAGAGCGAGAGAAGAAACAGAAAGGGGGTAAAAATATGGAAGGCGTGGGGTCTCGGCTCGGCCGCGCGTCGTCTCGGTACGGCCCGTCGGCAACGGCGAACGTGTTCAACGGTCCGGTGAGGAAGTGGAAGAAGAAGTGGGTCCACGTTTCTCCACCGCCGGCCACTAATAACAACAGCTCTCGCTCCAACGGCCACCACAGCGCCGCGTTGGGGAACGGCAGCAGCAACGAGAGCTCTCGCCTCTTGCTCTGTCGATGGACCCCTCTCGCTGTCGGAGGAGCAGCAGGCGACGGCGAATCTTCCGCCGCGGAGGAGCCTCCCAGGCGGAAGTTCCGCTACACTCCGGTGAGTATGGCCGCTGTTTCTTCGACCTTTTCTTCCGTGTTCTTGCTGCTTCTGGTTATGGTTTTCCCACTGTTTGGTGGTTCTGTTCTTCCAATTTTGGGGATTCTAGGGTTTCAATTCAGCTGCTGGCAGGGTGGGGTTGCTTGAGATGTAAGCCAATTTGTATGTGGAATTGTGGATTCTGATCCTTTTTGGTGGGTACTGTAGATTGCAGCGCTGGAGGAGAGAAAGAAGGCAGCGAAAAGCGTTGATGTTGAGGTCAAAGAAAGTGAGGGGAATCAGATTAGTGAGTCCAATGCTTCTGAGAATGATGAGCCGGAGGATGATGATGAGACTATGAAGGAAGAGGCACAGGTATCAATCACTTCACTAAACCCTTTTTTGCTGGTGGGTTCTGGTTGGACTTGTTTTTTCCACCTTGATTTCGACTGGCGGTTTTGGCTTCTCCCCCTTGTTTGTTTCTTGCTTTGACATTTCCATAGTCATACTGGTTGCGAACTGTTTGCTTTTGGGACATTACCAACTCCATGGATGAGATGCCATTATCATTTCGTGAACTGGGCTTGTGATAATTAAACAGCTTATACTTTCTATTGCTCTGTCATGAGAAATGACAAGTGGTCAGGAGCCAAAACATACACTGTTTTGAGTCAGTTTAGAACCGTGTTTGTCATAGAGAACACTATAAATCAGCTGCTTGCTCTGCAAAATCCAAGAAATTGAGTTGGTTTCGGACTAAACTGGTATACAGAATTCTAAGGTTGCATGTAAGCATGGTTAGTGGAAGAAAGAGAGATTGTTTCATTGTTGGCGATCGAACCACAGTTTGGAACATAACTTTCACCTTGACTTGGCGCCAATTTTGTTTTGGGACTTGGGGTCAATATCATGGTCTTTTCTCTTTGCAACTGGTTTACTTAAAACCAGAGGAAACCTTCAGTGAAGTATGTACATTAGTTCCTGGGAATCTGATAATCTATTAAGCTTGATCATCATCGTATCAAGCGTTTGCTTTCCTCTGATATCAAAATCAATTTTTCAGCTTCCCATTTTGCTACTTTTCAGGATCCAGATAATGGTGGTACCCTGGACCTGGGGCTGTGCCCGAAAGGCCAACTCAACGAGGACAAAGAGTCCCCAAGCGAGCACGAGGAAACAATGGAGGCGGCGGCAAGTTCAAGCAGGGCATGGGCTTTTGGTTAAACACCAGGAAGGTTGGGAGGGGATCAATTCTGGCAGTAGCATTAGTGATAGTCTCGTCAGAATAAGAACATTCGAGACTCGTCGTTATATCGTATTGTATATGGCTTGTAGCTCTGTGTTACCAACCCGCCTAGGCAGAAACCAGTCGTAGCTTGTCATTGTCTATGTTGTTTGGTGTTAGTATGTATATACCTGAAGTCTCGAGACTATACATTTCAGTGATCCCTCTGTAAGTATCACAGTAGTTATTTCAGTGATCCTTCTGCTAATGCTATCGTGTTTGATTAGCAACTAAAAGACGGAAAGGAAACGAACAAAATGAATCTCTCTTCAACAATTTGGGGAAGGAAGCACGTAACAGAAACCCCTCAAATCTACAACATTTTCAGGCACAACGAGAAGCATCTTCTCATCATAGCTTCCCAGCATCTTATAAACTATCCCAGATAAATAAAACAGACAAATGCCTGAATGATGTCGAACACCGGATGACAAGAACAGTTTCTCCCAAGAGTCTGCTTTTTTTTATCATAACAATTGAATCATTTCGCTTAAGAGTCCGCCTCTGCTTCATTCTCTACTGATTGAGTAACACCGACTTCTGCTGGTCGAATCACCCGTTCATGGAGCATGTATCCTGCCTGAATTTCAGAAACACATACCTCTTCAGCAAAAGGTGTTCTATATTCATGACTTCCCAAATCAGAGACAATTTAACATGCATCAGCCATACTATCAAACTACGTACACATCAGGAAGAAGCAATCAAGAGCGATGACAGAACTCACAGAACTCGTGCTGCAGATTAAACAAACTGAGAATTCATCCTCACTGTAACATTCAGTACCTAAAGTCCCATCGAAAGCTCAACTGTTTTTCTGTCTAATACTAGCTAACTAGATACTTCTCAGCAATCGTAGCCATTGCATGACTCTGCCACCATCACTATTTATACAAATCTAAGTTCCTGATCAAAGGAGTAAACAGAAAATAGAAGCACGCAAGCTGTAGCCATATATACATTACACCAACGAAGGAATTTACTGTATATAAGTAATGTTTTACGAGAGATATTGTTGCAGATGTCTACAATCGGTGTTAAGAAGTAACTCAAATCTGAGAACAAAAATAGTAATGCAGACTGAAATTTACTACTGGTTATCAACTTAATAATAGCATAACAACTATTTTGAGTTTTTGTATGCAACTATTAAGAGTTATTTACCTTCAGAACATGTGCAACTGTGCCTGGAGGTTTAGAAGCATCGGGTACTTGAAACATAGCATTATGTCTATGTGGATCAAAAGGCTCATTTGTTGGATCAAATCTTTCCAGACCAAACTTCTTAAATACCTGTCATTCAAATAGAATAGTAAAATAAAATGACTATAATGTAAGAGAATCCGAAAGGTCTATAATGCTCTAATGCAGTACAGATCATACCTCCCCAAGTTGTTTCTCTGTCATATCGACTCCTTCTGAAAGCGACTTCACAAGTGGCACCACTCCAGCACTGTCTTTAGATGTATCAATCTTAGCAAAACTCTCTTTGAAAACTGAAGAAGCCCTTCCCAAGTTGTCTGCAACATCCAGCAGACCTTTTGCAAAATTCTACAAATACACACACTGACACACATTAAATCAAAATAGACAAACAGTAGAAGGGGAAAAGAACTATGTTTGAATTCAAAAAAGAGACCTGAATGGCAAACTTTTTAGAGTTCTCCGCTTCACGTTTAGTCCTTTCCATGACATTCTCATTCTCTGCCAAGGCACGGAGGAATTTATCTTTCATCATCTGGAACTCTTCCTGCTTCGACTGCAAAAGCTCATCCTTCTCAACAACAAGCTTCAACAAGTCATCCCTGGACAGATCTACAGCATCCTCCTCCGAATCTGAATCAGAAAATGCAGTTCGTTTAGTACTACCCCTTCTCCTTTTAGCACGTGCAGACTCAGTTGCTTGAGATTCTGAATCAGAACCTGGCTCTTTGCTCTCTCTAGACACTGAATCTTCTGAAAGAGCACCTGAGTCCGCATCTCCGTTTATTTTCCCTTGGTCATTGCTCTGTGTAGCACCTTGTTCCTTTTCTGTTTGCTCGGGTGAAGCAGATGAAGCAAATCCAAATTTCCCAAAGGGAAAAGAATTGAAGGCTGATTGATGAAACCCGGACACCTAAGTCACACCAAACAAAAATAAGCCAGACGAAGATAAGATTTTATCAAGGTAATCCTATTCAAATTTCTATCTAAAGATGAACATGATTACAATTCAAAATTGAGTCATACATTGATTTCACCTAGCAGAATCCAAATGCTACGGAATCTAAAGATCTTGGTTGAAAATTCTGACAGATAAGCTACTTAACTAATTGTGCAGAAGCTTCACACTGATAAAGAAGGCAAACTAAACTCAAAAACTACGTCACCTAACAGGAACAGAAACAACCCAAAGCCTAGCGCTACTTGCAACATTGTATCGCCATCAAGGGGACAGCGTAAATTGATGCCTTAAAGGTAGATCATGTTATTTTGACCGGAAGCATAAGACGCTATACCCTCACTGCATAGAACACTCAAAGCGAGAACAGATTATATACGCAGGTCCTTTATAATGCCAGACATGATTCGAGCCTCACATTTAAACCTCGAAACCAAAGGTCCATAACCTGAGACCATTACCACCAACCATATATAAACCCACTATTCAAATAGAAATAGCACAGGAATGGAGCTCAAGGAATGAACTTGAGAGCTTAACTAAAACAACCGCAATCCAAAAATACAATCAAATCAATGGAAAACACATTCAGTTAAACAAAAAAAACCCAATTCACGATATCCAACCAGTAATTCAGAAGGGACTCTTAAACCCTAGCAAAACCCCGATTCCAAAAGTTCAATAAGAAACAAAGGAGGAAACTTTTCGCCTATGCTACTCACATGCTCGAGACCCTGATGAATAACAGGTTGGACTCCACAAATCTGTTGCTGCTTGGTGGAGGCGGAGGAGAGAAGAAGCAGGGAGCGTCGGCCGACGGCGTTCCCAGCGACGCGAGACAAAACCCTGGACAACAACATAGTAATCGATTGACGAAAAGGTCGAACGGGTTGACTGAAGGAAGCCGGAGATTAAACAGAGGAGGCGTGAAATTGAGGAGCAGGGAAGAAACCGTAGAATGAAGGTTTAGGGGGATTTTAGAAGGGGAAAGTGTTTTTGCTTGGAGAGGAAGAAGAGGTTTTGTCCGGTAAATACATGTGGATTGGTGGGGGTATTTTTGTCCATTTCCGTGGAGATTGTAGAATGGTCCAGAACACTTGTTAGCTGTTACCTAGATGACATTTCCGATCACCGAACTTTTGACCTTTTACGTTTTAGTCACTGAACCTTCTGTGTTGGTAAACTTAGTCATTGAACTCGTACTTCCTTTTAACAACAAAGGAACTAGAATGCCAAGTATACCTCCAAATTTTGGTAACTTTGGAATCCCTTATGGGAGATGGTCTTAACGTTCGAAGAAAAATGCCCCTACCAAAAGTGTTTCATGTGGAAAACGCTTATACGAACAATATTCAACATATACGAGAGCGTGCATTTAGTGATTGTACAAGCAATTTAAGATTTACATAATTGATAGCTCAACCTGGATTTTTCACAGGTTGGACATTCATACGTGATCATCATTTTTCTCAACCCGTAACCATCCGAACATATATACAGCAGAATGAAAAATCGGAATGCAGCAAAGAAGCGCCAAGGATTAACCGATCAATACAGAAGTTTGATACATTTAACCACACCAATACAAGTACTAGCAAGCAAGCTAGGTGTGCCTAACTTCATGTAGTACTCCACATAAGCTTACATATATGTAAAGGTAATCATGAGATCTTAGATGTCCAACCTTAATGATGATGTTCATGATTATGATTATTATTACGAGTGTCTCCATCATTAATTACCAATATTACCATTACCGTAACCATAACCACCATCCCCTCCAAGCTTACGGCTTAATTGGCTCGTGCCCTTACTTTTAGGGACGGTTTCGTCAGCGTAACTGCCTCCTAGGTCACCGCCGCCGTCGGGGGCCGCCATCGCCTCATCATTACCAGCGGCAGCAAGGCCTTTAGCGGCGGTGGCGGCGGCGGAAGCAGCGTTGGAAGGAATACTTGTACTGTCAGGAAGGCTTTGGACAGCAACGTCGGAATCATCAAGCATTTTAGCGACGGCAATGTTTGTGGCAACGGCCAAGAGAAATAAGACGACCAAGTTGGTCGCGGATGCTCTCCCCATGACGACTAAAGTTGGTCGTTAAATGTTGCTAGAGTGTTTGTTGATGGAATTTGTACTTGTTGATATCAACGTGATCAATATTAAGTCTATATATATAGAGAGAGATTGGGTCGAGCTCTTAGCGTGTAAATTTTTACGTGAATTATTGGGTACGTCAATTTTTCTTCTTGGATTTTCGTTCAACACTCTGTATCACTTTCCTATTTCGTAATGGGTGGTTTAGAAAGCGTTGTATATGCTTTAACTATTGGAGGAAGTTTTGACATCCCTCGTGTCATATATCATGTTCAAACAACAATGTAACTTTCATGTACACTCAGCTTTTGGTAGCTATAACGTTTAGTGTTTGATTCTTACTGCCGGCCAATTAGTATGAATCAATGAGTGTTTGATGAAATTTCACATGCATGATTTTCCATTAGGGTCATTGTTTAAAGTGACACCAAACATTTTCTAATACGTGCATAAATGAGTGGAGCATAGTGTTTTGTTAGAACGGATCCGGAATCGACAATGCAAGAAAGTAAAGAATACAAAGAGATTTCTTGATTTTCAGACAACGACAGATAATCTATGATCTATCTTTTCATTTTCATTGCTGGATTGTAGGGATGACAACAATCCCGATGATGGATTGCGGGTCGGGTTTGAATTGAAACTCGCTTTACTGTTTCGCGATTTCAATTGGGTTCGAGTTTAGCCATATCTAACCCACTCCCACCCGTACCCGCACCAAACCCACAAACGCTTAACAAGTTAACCCTAATTCCTAAATTAATTATGTTGTTTCTCACTCTCTTGTTGTTAGGTTGCTTTTTTTTTATTAGAGATTAACATCGATTCTACTAACTCAAGCTTCAAGTCTTCGATTTTCAAGTTCTCAACGGAAAAAAACGAGGTAAAATTGGTGTTACTCCATTTTTGTCCATAAACTTATCAGTACCCAGTGGATTGAGTTGGATTTGAGATTTCAAAACTCATTGGGATTTTCCGAGCTTTTTTATGGGGATACCCATTAGATTGGGTTTGGATATGACAGAACCCGACTCAACCCAATCATTGTCATCCTATATCATGGTCCTTTTCTATGCAAAAGTGTAGTAAAATAAGATTTTTATTCCTAGTTATAAAAAAAAATTATTAGAACAATCACACTGTTTTTTATGAGATTTTACGTTACATTCCTCACAATTTGATTAGGAATAACTTTTTTTAAATATGATTCATGATCTTAATTCCATTCGAGTAAACTTTTGCCTCTTTTGATTTGTTTTCGAAGTTTGAAGTCCTGATTTTGAAGAAGTTCATCTTGGACCAAAAAATCAAATGCTTGAATCCTAGAACTAAATTCTTTAAACCTTAAATTGTGAGATTAAATACACCCAGAATAATAATCGATGATTTTGATTCATTGAAATATATTCAACGTACTATATGCACCATATTATTGTGCAGAGAATTAGGGCACAAAGTTTATGCACTCGAGACAAAAGTATAGTACCATACCACATATTCGGATGAATTCATGGTATAAACATTACGGTTTAGCATTTCAAATCACCCCTGTCCTCTTTTCATAATATAAATATATAAATATTTAATTAAAAATAATTATATCTGCATAATTCATTTATAGATTAAAAATAACCGACTATACAATCATTGTTTTTAACAACCACAGAGAGATTTCATATTGTAAAAGAAACGCAAAAACATTCGTCGTCTACACTATTAAATAAGTCTTTGTCAATGTATCTCACTAAATTAGCATTAGCAAATTGGTTGCCAAATCGACTTGGAAACTTGTTCTTAATATAACTCAAAGCTGAAAATGCTCTTTTTTTTTTTACATTTGCAGTTGTAATTCGTAGAATCAAAACTAGTGGAATTGTCGATGTCGCTAGACAATTTCAGAGTTGTTGGGAAAAAGTCGAATAGGCATAAGGAGAAAAGAGATCCGATTAGATCTTTATTGCAATTAGAATTCGTTTATAGTCTAATAAATTAATAATTTTATGTCAATTTATGAATAAGTAATGAGTTGTGCTGTAGTGACAAAAATACTCTAATACTACGTACCTATAGACATTGTTTTGCATCACCAATATGGATATATACGACAGATATTTTTGTTCCTCCGAAATTTACCCCTGTCCCAGGACAAGGCGCAATGGGCCTCCCGAGGTTGGGGTACCCGACGTCGGTGGCTACTGAGAAAAAGTAGTGGAGTGCTCGCCGGACTGAGATTCTCCCCTGTGATTGATCTGCCGGAGAGATTGACTGACAAATATACATCTAAATTTTGGAACTTTGGAATTCCTTATTGAAGATGGTCTTAGTGTTCAAAGAAAAATGCTCCCGCCAAAAGCGTTTCAGGTGAAAACAATTACACAAACAATGTCCAATATATACGAGAAAGCGTAAATGAGGGATTGTACAAGCGACTTAAGATCTATATCAAAAGCTCAAGCTGGATTTTTTCATAGGTTGGGCATCCATACGTGATCATGATTTTCTCAAAGCATAACCAGTCAGATAGATCGATAAAAATAAAAAAGATACGTAATCATGTAGATATAAATATAATTACGTTGAATAACCACTACAATCTTGAGAAATGATACAAACATCAATAAGGAAAATCAAAATGAAAAACCATACACAACAAAGAAGCGCCAACGATTAACCGATCAATACAGAAAATTATTTATTTAACCACGCCAATACAAGTACTTAGCAAGCTAGTTGTGCCTAACTTCATGTACTAGTACTACACAAATAGCTTACATATATAATAAGGTAATCATAAGATCTGAGATGTTCAACCTTAATGATGTTCATGATGATGATTATTAGGAGTGTCTTGCTAGTTGCTACGTTCTCCATCATTAATTACCAATATTACCACCATTACTATCATTTTGATTACCGGCACTATTACCATGATCATAACCACTATTATTACTGCCAGCATTATAACCACCATTGCTATCATTTTGGCCGTCGCCGATTCCTTGAGTGCCGCCTTCATCCCCTCCAAGCTTACGGCCTAATGGGCTTCTGCCCTTACTTTTAGTGACGCCTTCGACACGGTAACCCCCACCTTGGTCACCGCCGCCTTCGGGGGCTTCCGTCGCCTCATCGGCGGCGGCGGAAGCAACGTCAGGAAGGGTTTGGACGGCAACGTCGTGACCAGAAAGCCTTTTAGCGACGGCGGGAAGCAAGGTCATGTTAGTAGCAACGACCAAGAGAGATAGGACGACGGCGACGACCAAGTTGGTCGCGAATACTCTCGCCATGACGAGCTGCTCGTCAAATTTTGCTAGTGTTTATTGACGGAATTGGTACTGGTTTATGATCAACATTTAAGTCTATATATAGAGAGATATTGGATCGAATTTGCAGCAGAAAATACACTAATCAAATCAATTTAAATCGATCGTGATTTAGAGAGTCGTTGTGTTATGCTTAACTAATGGAGGAAGTTTTTGTCATGTCTCATGTCGAAACAACAATGTAATTTTCATGCACACTCAGCTTTTGCTGGCTGTAACGTCTAGTGTTGATTATTTTCTATGCAGCTTTATCTCACTGGTGAAACACTTTGCAGCGTTCATCTTTTGTCCTGCCAAAAGCTGTAATTTTGTCCCTCAATAACAGGAAACGCCCCATTTCAGTTATTGAGCAGGAGCCAATTCAATTCACAGCGCTAAAGCTGCAAAAGAGAGAGAATAAAACTCCTTCAAAAGAAGCAGAGATGAACAGCTGCACAAACTTGGCACAGCTTTGTCACATTCAAAGTGTGACGGGAAAGGGTAAGCATCGCGCAGCAGGGCTCATTGATACGCAGGAAAAATCGAGACAAAAGGGTTCAGTACTATCCAAGCTAACAGAGACTCGGCCTAATTAAACATAACCAAGAAGCTTTGAAAGATTGCTGAGGCTGCCCTGGCCGAACAACAACACATTCAACTGACACAGATCTGCATCTTGATCGCCAACACGAGCACAGCTGAGACGTTGTCGGTTTTGTGTTCTCTCCAAGTGGTCGAGTCCAGCTGGGCTACTAGCTACCTTCTAATTCAGGTTTCACAAATGCAGCAATGGCATGTTGTGGAACGGGACTGTTCGAGATGAGTTACATGCGTAACGAAAGGAATCCTTTTACTTGCTCAGACGCAAGAGAGTAGATAAAAGTTTTTCTGGGATTCCTTTCACCCAGCAGAAAAAGCAAACAAGATCGTGGCTGATCATGTTGTCAAAAATTTCCTAGCTGAATTCAAGTGATGGGAAAAGACATATGTGCTCCATAGATTCATTTAAGTACATCAATAAATGATGCTTTGGCTTCCAATTTGAGAGGCCAGTTTGTGGCACATTATTGACACCGAGACCGTCATCTCAAATGTAAGCATTATCAGAAAGCAGTTACATTTGCAGAACTTTTAACGAAGTTGACATTCAGAAATTGATGCTACAAGTCCAGGACCAGCAGAAAAAAGGATGAACAACATGACATTCAAGTAGTTTCAAACCAATATCATGAACATTCAGAACCAAACCTTACGTTTACATTGGCTTCATACCAGCACGAGTACAACATACTTATAGAGTCTAAGTAGTGTCGTCGTTCGTTTTGATTATATAGACAAAGTAAGCATCCGGGTCTCAGTAGGCACTTACTTTGGCTCTTTAGGAAAATGCAGCTTGATCAGTGCAGGAAGTTCGGCTAGTTCAACCTGAGACCGCCCAAGAAGGATTCTTTTCAGCTTTTCATCACAATTGACCACGTTCTTGTTGTTGGAATCCTGGTAAACAGGGCGGGAAGGAATCAGCACAAACTCAGAGGCCAACAAATAGCTCAAGAAAAACCATGTCAAGAGAAGACACCAAAAAGCTAGTAAAGATGGCACAAACCTGGAGATTGTGGGCTTTGATGTAGGACCAGACACGCGTGAAGCATCCCAGGCGAGAAATTTGAGATTGACCCACAAAGTCTCGCAGAGTCGAAGGAAGGTTCACTAGATCAATCAAATTAGCAATCTTCTTGGGGTTGTCTGCAAAAGCCTTCTTCACTCGCTGCGGCAGCATCGTAGCTCAAGCTCTCGTCTTTGATTTCCTTCTGCAAATCGGAGTGAAAGAAAACCATAAAAGCCATACTAAAACTTGAACAAAAAAGAAGTGCTATCCCGTCCCAGAGAAAAGTTGCAAAGTAAAGAACGTTTATTTTGACCGAGAAAAAGCTCACAGGGGAATTCTGTCAAACACCTTGCGTGCTTGAAGATCACTGAGTCTTGGTAGCGCTCGTGGGATTTCAGAATGTTATTGTCTCTTCGCTTCTGATGCTATTGTTCGCTGCCTTAATTAGGTCAAACTCAAAACTCAATTCATGGTTTTTAGGATTTACGATCAGTCGCAGAACTTGCTTATTTGTATGAATATTTAATAAGTTAAACATGAACCATAAAATCCATTGTCGTCCAGCGGTTAGGATATCTGGCTTTCACCCAGGAGACCCGGGTTCGATTCCCGGCAATGGAACCTTTTTTGTTTACTGAAAGAGTGGGTTTGTCGAGGGAAAAATTGATGGGGCGTGATACAATAACAACACTCTATTTGTTGTTACAGTAACAACCTGATTCATTAAGAGCAAAACTGTAAACTTACAATAAAAATACTGAACTTCTATTTAACGCCCTAAAAATTTGAAATTATCGCCCTAAACTGACTGCACGGACAAGTTTACTGAAAGAGTGGGTTTGTCGAGGGAAAAATTGATGGGACGTGATACAATAACAACACTCTATTTGTTGTTACAGTAACAACCTGATTCATTAAGAGCAAAACTGTAAACTTACAATAAAAATACTGAACTTCTATTTAACGCCCTAAAAATTTGAAATTATCGCCCTAAACTGACTGCACGGACAAATTTGCCCCTGAACCCTTCCTCTTCATTCTTCCCCATCGTCGATACATCTGCTTCCCCATCTTTCCACCAGCCGTCGACTACCGCCGCCGCCCTCCGCTCCGGCGAAACACAATCGCCATCACCTCTGCACTGCCGCCCTGAACGAAATTGACCCTTTCCCTTCATTCTACCCCATCATCGATCCATCCCCTTCCCCTTCTTTCCGCCAGAAATCGACTACCGCCGCCGCCAACTGCTCTGTCGAAACTCAACCGCCACCAACTCACCTTTGCTGCGTTACATATCTCGGCCCGTCACCTCTGATCCGCCGCTGCAAGAAGCAAATCGGTCGCTACCGCCTTCCACCCAACTCCCTCTGCCGCTGTCTAGAGAAGGAACGAAGAAGAACAAGCAAACCGAACCATTGTGTATTGGTTGCGGGTCGTACTTGGCTGCGGGTGGTTGTGGATTGGAATGTAAAGCGAAGCAAAACCCTGTAGTAACAGAGGTGTGTGAAGGCGGCAGCGGGTGGGATAGAACCAGAGTTGGCCGGCTGCATTAGAGGCGAGGCGAGATTCTTTCTTCTCTTCTACGTCATCGATCGGCGCAGCAGAAGGCATGCGGTGGCGACGGGCAAAGAATCCTTGGGCGAATGGCTGCGATAGGCGAAGAATCCCTAGGGCGAACTGTGGCGACGGGCGACGAATTGCTAGGGCGAAATTTGGTTAAGGGTTGAGAATAAATTGGGGGCAAAATCGTCAATTGGGTAATTTTAGGGCGACAAATTTAAAAAGTTAGGACGTTAATTAGTAGCTCCCAAAAAATAACAATTAATCAGATCCCAAAATCCAATTCCCCTCCGCTCTGTTCTCCTTCTCCACGCTGGCGTTCTCCTCCGAGTCCGACTGCAGTCTATGAGATTCCCAAATTCCAACTCTCCTCCGGCGGAGAAACCCTACTCCGGCGCCTGCGAATATCAAGTACACAGGGGTTGGATCTCCTTGCACCGACCAAAATAATTCCGCCATTCTTTCTCCGTCCAGAGCTTCACGACAACCAGCGACAGCAGCAACGGCCACAAAGAGAAGAGATAGATGGAGTTCGCGACGGTAGCGGCAGACGGAAGTGACGGTGGCGGAAGAACGGAGAAGGCGGGAGAGTGGTAAGTGGCAGGGGAAGTGACAGATGTTCTCGATCGCGATCTGGAACCCGTAGAAGGCTCTGGCCTCGGCGACTTGCACTTCCTTCATGAACCGGCCGATTTTGTGGAGCCGCTCCGATTGCTGCATTTGCCAGAACGCGAGGAGCTTCCCTTCGAAGAAGAGCTCGTCGGCGGTCAGCATCTTGGCGTGCCCCGCCGCCGCCGCCGGCCCGGTGTTGGAGAGGAACTCGAATTGGAGATCCGCAGCGGTTCGAATCGGCGATGGGGATAGGGGAGGTTTCTGGTTTTGGATTTCGCGGGGGCGGTGGTTGGGGCTGATGGAGATGAAGTTGTTCTCGTCGAGGAATTCGGAGGAGAATGAGATTCTAGGGCTTGATGTCGGTTGATCCATGGTGGTGGATTTATTGACTGCTGGTTGAACTGTTTCCATAGAAACCATTTCAGTTTTGTTTTTTACTTCGTGAGAAATAATTTGATGGAGGAAGAAGAAGGGAGGAACGAAGGAAGGAAGGGAAACTGAGAAGTGGGGTTTGGTGGTGAATGGGGGTTTGGGGCCAGGAGCGGCTCTTCTGGGATGGGCAACATATTTGAGGGATTTTTTAGGGTTTTGGAGATGGGGAAGAAGGGGGGATTCGAAATTTGATTGTTGGATTTGGGGATTTTTTGGTCACTGGTACTGTTACTATTAGCAATTTGAGTGTTTATCTCTTAATTGATTTGGAATATAATTGAAATTTGATGTTTTAAGCACATCAGAAACTTTTTTATACAAACCACGAACACGATAAAACAAATAAAAAAAACACTCCTGAAATCTCATAATGCAAACTACAAACACGATAAAGCAAACTACAAAAACAAACCAGTAACATCCTAATGCAGACCAAAAATCTATTAAAGCAAACCAAAAACCTCATAAAGCAAACCACAGAATTTTCAAAAACACACCAGAAACCTTATAATCCAAACCACAAACACGATAAAGCAAACCACACAAACAAACCATAAACATCCTAATGCAGACAAAAAATCTATTAAAACAAACTAGAAACCTCACAAAGCAAACCACAGAATTTTCAAAAACACACCAGAAACCTCATAATGCAAACCACAAACACGTTAAAGCAAACCATAAAAAAGCAAACCATAAACGTTCTAATGCAAACCACAAATATATTAAAACAAATCAGAAACCTCACAATGCAAACCACAAAGTTTTTAAAAGCAAACCAGAAACTTCTCAATGCAAACCACAAATACGATAAAGCAAACCAGGAACTTCGTAATGCAAACCACAAACGCGATAAAGCAAACCACAAAAGGCATACAAAAATGTGAGAAACCAAACCATAAATCTCACAATGTAGACCATACATCCGGTGGTCGTTGACCGGTCAACGATGACCGTTGACCAAACTCCGATGACCGTCAGTGACCGGATTCCGGCGCCGATAAGCATATTCCGGCCCCGGTGACTAGATTCCGATGCCGGTAAGCATATTCCGACGCCGGTAAGCATATTCCGGCGACGGTGAGCGTATTCCGATGACAAGATAGCATATTCCGGCGACAAAAAAGCATATTCCGGTGACCGGCGACTAGATTCCGGCGACCGGTGACCGAATTCCGACGACCAAATTTTTGGGCAGAAAATAAAAAAATATTTTTTTATTTTTATTTTTTTATTATTTAAACAGATTTTTCATAATGACAATTATACCCCTGCTTTGATTTTACACTAGGTCAACTAATCTAATAAAAAGTCATCACAATCCTAGCTTCCTATTGGTTGGAGACTAGTGTTGTTATACTAACCGGTACCTGGGATCGAACTGTCACTATAATATAGTTTTTTAATTCAGAGGTCGCTTTTTTGTTGGATTTTAGAAAATGAAGGATTTAGGTAAAATTTTGGATGTTTATGGATGTGGGATTTTCTTACTTTGGATTTTTAAAAAGTGCATGTTTGCTTGTTGGATTTCATATTGGATTTGTGTCAATGTGATTTATCAATTATGGGTTGAATTTACATTTGTATCATTAATGATTTGTGTTCTTAATGTTCAATATAGGAAATATTGAAAAGATATGAGGATAGACCTGTCATTTACAATCATCGATTTTAGTCTCCCACAAAATTCCAACTAAATATGTGGGATTTTATAATCCGTGGACCTCACGGATTTTGACCTCAAAATAATCTCACATATATGGGGCCCACACACCATAATGTAACACCACTTTAACACCAAACATGGACTTTGTGCATAATCCCATGAATGTGGGATTTTGATCCAAAATCCATGATGAAAATCCTACAAGCAAACGAACTCTTAGTTCTTACTTCCTACCTACTACTAATGGTCACAATTTTTACAATCCTCTTGCTAAAACACAATCAATCCATCTTCCTTATTATTCCGTACTCAAACATCTTTAAAAAATCGAGCAAGCTAGAACTTCGTAGAGCGCCACATTTCCAAGACTGTAATTCTGTAACGATGAATCATGATAAAGCGGTAGGATGGGGCAAGTCAGAAGCAATACTCATGCCTCGCTCTGCGCTATTGTTGGTCGGGTTACGCGCGAGTCAGATCAGAAGTTGGCATCCCTACCACTGTCCACCAACCTTTTATTACATGGTTGAACCACTATTTCATCATAAAGTACCTTATCGCTCATTCTTATCATACAATCTCGAGCACGGTTTTACCACCCCTTAGACCTTTTAGAGAATTTTCCCAAATCTAACTTTGATTGGAATATTATTATGCGATAAAAGTATCAACAACAACATGGGACTCAAAACATAGGCAAAAGTATCTAATTTACCACCCTCACACGGGTGAATTGCAAGTTTGGTCACTCATATTACCTATTTACTACACGTTAGCCATCCGAATCACTTTCCTTTCAATTTGACCATTGATACTACACATTTATGTCATTCTTGGTCACTCGCCGTCTATTTCCGTTAACTCCGTCCTAGATGGCGGTCAACATTTATGTTTGACAGTTAAAAAGCTGATGTGTCAGTAAAAAATAAATAAAACATAAACAATAATTATTTTTATTTCCAGATCATACTAAAATTTAATAAAAATATATTTAAATAAAAAATTAATTTCATAAAAGTCCACTATCTCTCTTTCTCCCCTCACGAAAAACCCCCAACCCTTCTTCCCAAGGCAATCCGCCGCTCTAAAATCTCCGATGGAAATGCAGCGAACGAAGCAGAAGAAACCCACAACTCTCCTCCTCCCCTGCGCTCTCTCTTCTCCGACGAACAAACCCACAGACCTAGCAACTTTAGCCTCCGACAAGCTCCTCCCATACGCTCTCTCCTCCGCCGCTTCCCTTACTGCCACCGCGATCTCCTCTTCGTCGATCAGTCGCAAGCAATCCGACGCCTTCAATCTCCAGCCATCGCTCGCCGCCTGGTGAGCAACCGGAGAAGATCCGCCGCTCGATTTGTGATTCAGGAGTGAAGACAGGCGCTAGGGGAGGAGCACATTTTATAATGAAATCCTTTTCCCTAGAGAGACCCAAAAAATTTTTGACCCTGCAACTCCAATTGATTCAACATCAGGAGAGAAGCCGCCATGACCTCAAGTAATTCGGCGCCAACCACGGCGGCGGATTGCTGAGAGAATGGCAGCGGCAACTGCTGTTGATGAAGAGACCGTGATGCTCCCCGACGATCTAGAAGTAGCAATCGTCGGAAGCAGGGTCAAGAGATCGTCGCCTCTACTTCCCCGTTGGTGGAACGCATGACCAGAACAGAAATAAGAAAGAGGAAGAGGAAGAAACAGAGGAGATGGCGGCGAAGTGCGAGCGCCGACGGAAAGGGGAAGGCCATGCCGGTAGGCTGTCTTTTCTTTGGAGGTCACTCGCTTTATTAATATGTATATTAGTTACTAGCTTTCTTCCCGGCCGATGGCCGGGGCAACTTTTATTTTTATCATAAATTAATTTAAATTTTTTTAATGTAATTATTTTAATTATAAATTTGTGTTTCTAGTATGAAAATCACTTTAAATTCATCAAATTATTTTTCCAATATCAATTTCATCATAAAGTGAAAAGATAAAAAATATTTTAAAATTTAATACTTATGAAAATACTAATATTATAGTAACCTTGTTATTAATATCATCAATTATTTTATAAGAATTGTGATTAATGTAGTAAAATTGAGAAAAGAGATGTTAGAACTAAGGAGCGGCTTATCGTTGGATTCATTCATTTAATCTTGCCAAATATCAATTCGGTTCATTTTGTAATATTTATAATTATAATATTAATACGATTAAGAATGCGACCACAATATGTTCCATCCGGTACAATCTGGTAATTGTCCTGTGTTGTACAATACAGACCAAACCATTGCACATTCACACACACACACACATATATAGTCTAGGCTAGCGTACGTTCTGGAGTACGCTAATCTACCGTACGCTCCATTGAGTTTTGCTATTTAGATAATGAATTAATCGGAGTTTGGGACATGATGCTACACCTTAACTTATAATGGTTGACCCCAATTCTTAATTGTCTAACCCAAATCATGAGGTTCGTTTAATCTTAAAATGAAAATTATTGATAATTTTCGACGAATCAAATTCATTGATTTCAAAAGTTTTTATTTTACATGCACTTAGAATGTATAACATTTCTGCATTAAAAAATTGATGTATATTGTAGATAAGTAAATACTAATGTAAGAGTATATTAAACATCAGGGTATAAAGAATTGGTTAAAAAAATTTCAAACGTCAAAAACTAATTAAAATCCACACATTTCCTAAAACTCTGTATTTGAACGTAGCCAAATAACTAACGAAAAACCTTTCCGTTTTTATGCCTAATTTAATAAATTTAAACATGAAACCGCAGCAAGAAAACACGGAGAATAAAAAAAAAAAGCAAAAAGAAAACTTAATTCCGAAAATTGCGGGGAGGGCTACGAAGCTTACGTGGATGGTGTCTTTTTCTTAAACTGCTTTAATATATTTTAAGATTGTTTTTATGAAAATAAAATATGTGTTAGATTTTATGACATGGAAATGATAAATAATTACTTTTATTAGTTTTAGCTGATACATAAGCTTTTTAACGGTCAAATATAACTGTTGACCGCCACCTAGGACAGAATTAACGGAACTAGACAATGAGTGAACAAGGATGACATAAATATGTAATATCAATGGCCAAATTGAAAGGAAAGTGATTCGAGTGGCTATAGGTAATATGAGTGACCAAATTTGCATTTCACCCCCTCACACTGTAAAGTGTAAACAGCATAATTCTGCCGGACTATCCATTTGCCGGATTTCATCGCCCCATTATTCCTCTCCTTCCACCGGCCACCACCAACCGCCATTTTCATTTTCATACCCAGCTGCTTCTTCCTTCTCGTTATCATCGCCGCCTCCCCTCGCCGCCTACCCATGAAAGATATACAACCCCGGCAGCTGCAGGCATCCGATTCCCGCCGCCTTCGTCATTCTTTTCCATAAGCAATGTCCAAATGGCGACCGACTCTGTTTTTACTTCATATATATAAAACAGAGCCGTTCCACCACCACATTTTCTCCCATCAAAATCATATAATTGGCATCAAATTCTTTCGCGTTTTCCATCCGAATTGGATGTTATGGCGCCTCAGCTGTTCTCCTGCTTCGTCTGTAAACCGCAGATTGTCAGCAACGATGCCGATTCCGATGAAATAAAGCGCCGGCACAGATCCAAACCCTTCGTCACTCCCCGGAATAGCGCCGGCGGCGGCGGAAGGAAACGAGGGGAGGGGAAACTAGAAGGGGGTGGGAACCACAGGAAATCCAACAGCTTGTCCAGCTACCCTGGCGGAGGCGCCGGAGGAGGGAGACACTCTGGCCCGAAGCAGAGGGCGGTCGCCAGAGCTGTTATAGAGGAGGAGAGTTACATTGGTTCTCCCGAGGAGTGGATGAATCAGAGCGGCGGCGGCGGCGGCGGCGGAGGAAGGCCGAATTTCGTCGGGGCGAGGAAATCGGCGAATGGGAGGATTGAGGAAGTGGAGGAGAGCTTCGCGGCAGAAGACGATTGGAATTACAGAGGACGAGGAGGGAATAACAAGAAGAGGCCTCAGGGGAAGAAATCGCAGGCGCGGCAGCCGGACGAGGAGACGGAGAGCTTCCCGGCGGGTGGGTTGGAAGCTTCGTCTTTCAGCCGGAACTGGGAAAAGAGCCAGGCGTCGGTTAGTTTATCGGAGTGGGCGATTGTCTGCCGGCCCAGCGCCGATCAATAAACCAAACCACTCTGCTCCATGGCTACGTAACGTAGATTTGGGTTACTCCGGCCGGCGAAACTCGATCGGCGATGGCTGACAATCAGAATTTTTAATTTGTTACAACTTTATAACAACGATTCCTTATGTATGTTCAGTTACTGATCTCCAACATGTACGCTTGCAAATCTTTCTCTTAAAATCTTTTTTTGTTTCATTCTTTTGAGTGACATTTTCAGTGTTCTAGCCGTTGGGTTATTCACAGGTTAAACAAAAGATCTTTTTTTTTACTGCTGAAATTAACCTCGTACGCATTCTTTCGTTCCAGCTTTCTTTTTGACTGCTGAAAATGAAATTCTCGAATAAATTGTACAACGAATATTCAACGAGTTCGATAGGTACATTATTGTAAGACATTAATAACATTATGGAACTAACAAAACTGTGAAATGCATCCCAACTCAAAGATAGACAAACTACTAAGGGTACTTGCATTACATCGAATCAAAGCATAAATACAGCTCAAACTAGCACGGGGCGTGCTCCTACGATATGTAGGACACTACACAATGAATCTCTCGGAAAACTCTTAAAAATCTCGATTCTAGTTGAGAATCATACCTGCTGCTATGATCCCCGGGATCGATCCCCTCTTAGTCGTAAGGGTTTTTGAAGTTCTTCAAGAGATCGGGGATGTCATACCCGAGCATGTCATCGACAGCTTGGATCATTTTCGGCTTCAACTTTTCGAACTTGTCGATGTTGTAACCACTTAACACCTCCTTGAACTGCTCTACATTTGGGAAATCACCTGGAGGTAAGTGAAACTCCCTTTGAACCTGGCAAAACAATGAAAACGTCGTCTAGTGAGATTGTAGTGCAAGAAAAATAGCAATGAAAGTGTCCAAGGAAGAGGGAGAGGGGAGGGAAAAGAGAGAGACCTTTCCAAATTCGTCTGCCAAATTATCGATTAGTCTTTGTTGAGCCTTTGCTTTACCCATCATGGATGGCATCTCCTTTTTAAGGTGGCTGATAATGTAAGCATGTATCTTTGCAGCCCTAGCACGCTTCACAAATTCATTGATCTGTCATAGGCAACCATAATTAGTCACTTCCTTAAACCTAAGCTCCAACTAAGTGGTTGTTTCAATACCAGAAAACTATCTTCTATCTCGTAAATGAATTGCAGGGTTGTAATGGTTGGTATGTTTGTGAGGTATATGTGACATTTTTCAGATACTCGATAAAGGTCAAGGAAATAAGCATGTAGTTTGAACAGAGATTAATAAATACTCCTGCACCAGGTCATGCTATGGAAACTTCTAAATGGAGGGAAGGAACTCACTCTGCGATCACAAGCCTTCTTAGGTATATCTTTTAGATCAGAGAGGAGGTCAGACTGTTCTTTCTCAAAAAGCTCCTTACCAAGTGGCCCAACAGCATCTTCACTAACTGGTTTGTCGTTGAATGAGCTGCCAATCAATGAGAAGCATCAACAGTTGGTCATAAAAACAGCACATAATCAGTAACAAGATAGCAGTACATAGTCCTGAAAAAGACTAAAGCAGGTAATACATCATGATGATAACCTATATAAGAGCATAACATTAGCAAGAAAGAAAGCTTTTGTATGTCAAGAAATGATCATGCAGCTGCGTAAACAACATGGAATGTGTTCATTTTGGAATATGGATTTTCCTATTGGAACCTAGATACAGGCTATAGAAATTATGGAGAAATAATCAGCACTCCCAATATTATGAGATTGACCAAACCTTTTCAAATGAAAGGACATTAGGTTTTTTATCAGCTATAGACTAGTCTACAATTCTCCACACTGAAGGCAATATATGTTGACAAGAATCAAGAAACTTAACTATGACATAAAACAAGTATTTGTGGTGTGCAGCTAACATGAAAGTTTGCAACTTGACATCAAATTATAACTGGTAAAATATATTACTACTAGAAACACATACCCTATATAGACACGCATAACTTCAGGAGTATTGAGGACTTTCCCCAATGACCACATCAAGGCTCCATAAACTCTCATTAGCTGCATTCAGATAACAACCAAGCAAATAAACCACTGCACAGCCAATCCATCATACAAGTTACTTGGAAGTGTAATTACTTGTTGCGTATCAACTTGGTCTGCCTTGTTCAGAACCACCCTAATCTTGTCATCATGCCCACGTAGAGATGAAATGACACGCTTGAACTCATCGCTAACATCAAGTTTGTGAGGGTCGAAGAGAAGCAGAATAAGGTCACACTTTGCAGCAAACCATGACGTCACGCCCGTGAAATCATAAGCCCGGTGGATTCGTTGCTTTTCTCCAGATAGCACTCCAGGTGAGTCTACAAATGTGATTTGCTCCAGCAGCTTCACCAAAACAAAAACTCTCACACACTAAAAGGTGACATGAAGATAGCATTATAATATAGTGAGTGACTTACAGGATGCGGCATTTGAGAACATTCAAATTTTGACAGAAATGCAGTTCCAAAAGTTGTTAGTCCACTGAATGGCATGTCTGCCTGAACTGCCACAGTATTACCTGGAATACTTCTCTCATCTGGTCCAGACTGCATAAGAAGCCACCGGCGAAAACATAGCATTTCCACAGTTAGGGTATCATATCGAATGTCAATTTAGAAACAAGAATGCCAAACAAAAGAAAATTGTTTGGAATCTCATAGTTTAGTGCCAAAAGCAGATCTAGAAGACCGTACAATTCTATAAATACACCACTGAAGCATTAAACAAGAAAAGGTAGTTAAAAATTTATCAACACCTGTAAGAATCAAAACTGGGAAGTTTGGTTCCTAATAGTATAATATTGTGAGCTTTCTATGAAAACACGAATCTAAAGCAGAGTGCCTTCTGAACAACTGAAACATGTAATAAAGTTCTAAACGCCTAAAGAAAAAGTTTTATTGGGAGCTTCTCTGAAACATATAGTTAGGAAGCACAGCAAGAAAACAAAGGAAAGATCAAACCCACAAAAATGCCGCCTCGTAAGTTCAGAACAAATGTTCATCTTATAAACATTAAGAATCCACCGTCAGCACAAATATTTATTTCACTCGATATAAACTACACATGATACCATCGAATGGAGGGAGCTCCTAAAGAAGAAGGAAACTCTTACGGAAACAGGTATTTGCACTCAAGATTGGAATTTTTTGAGTCAATAAGAAAATGACTTACTAAAGACGAGCTATTCATTCACGTGGCTAGGTAGACTACATGCACAAAGTCAAATTTGACAAAGAATAGACATAAAAGGGCTCCCTCAGTACCATAACAACCACAAATCTGTCTGTGGTAGGTTCGGGTCCAATATGAGCTCCTGCCATTTAGAGGAAATGATATTTAGTAGAAGGAAAATGAAGCCTTCCAGGCTTTTATAAGCGCACCAAAGCAAAGCAGACTCACCAGGATAGCTACTTTTAAGTAGATGTTTTATGAATGTAGTTTTCCCTGTGGAGTACTGGCCCAACAGCATAACCATGGGTTTGGCATCAAAATCACTATTTGTCTGCAATAAACAGCAAAACAAGATATCCTGAACATAAGTTAAGCAGATTCAAAGTGCAAAATGCCCACGGCTCATAACAAGCATATCCATAATCAACATTATGCAAAACTACCAAGGAACATTAATACTGACCAATAGTGGAGATACAAAGTCATTAAAGCGGTAAGTAACTTCCAATGGCTTCAGCTTTTGAAGATACAGCTTCTTCAAACCATCAACTATGGATGTCACAGAGGATAGTGGGACCTGTGCATCGAATGAAATTCAAGTAGACAGGAAATTGAAGGAATCAGAGAATGTTGTTACATTTATCTATTGAAGAAAACAAGAAAAAGGCAATTATAGCATGCATATGAACCAAAAACATGCAACATAGAGAAGACACATAAATAGAGCTGGAAGATGATCGCACGAATCATGAATGAAATAGAGCTGAAAGAGGATTGCATGAACCATGAATGTGGAGCCAGAACATTTGAAATCCTTATATCCCCTTCAAATGGATTCCTAGGAAAAGGTAACAAAGTGTGAGCAGCACCCCTCCCTAAACCACTTTTAACACAGTTCGAGGTCCAACTAATATTAAGGAATGGGGATTATACAACCTCAACACTAGTGAGAAAATTCAACGTTCCTGGGAATCCTCACATACAAATAGAAATGCACAACTGTATCTCAACACATAGAACCTTGAGGATGGTTTTGCATCTTAACCTGCTGCTACCACTTGACACTGCTATAGACATAAGCTCTACACGGGAGGGCTAAGCACCTGAGCAACAGAAAGCAAGCACAGGATTTCTCCTATATGCAGTGGATAAAGTAATGTTCAGCACTAGCTAGCTCACTATACTGCAACGAACTATAGCATCACTATCACACCAAAAGAACAATCCAACAAAACAAACCTTCTTTACAGATTTCGAAGAAGAAAACCAACGTCCCGAAGGTGAGGTTTCAACCGGAGGAATACCTGCATTTTCACGAATCAATGAATGTCGGCATACAAGGATAAACCAAAGTACAAATATGCATCACTGCCAAATGTTCTTACCATTAGCATCAAAATCAGCTGATCTGGAGGTCGGCCTCCTTTTCTTCTGCGAAGAAAAATTTCTAAATCTTAAAAAAATATCCACTACAAAGAGCAACACACAACAGTGACAGAGAACTTACAGCTAAAAGTTCTGCTAAACCTTCCATCATGGGAGGAGGCACATTTTCAAAATCAACTGCGATTCCAAGCAAAGATTAGTCACAATCATCAGAACTAGACAGAAGCAAGCTCAGTACAGCCTAATAAGTTTGACAATTTTACCATCGCTGTGCAGGATTTCACTTGATATCTCCTTCCCAGATTGTGCCAGGGAAACTAACTAAATAACCAAAGCGAGTTACAAATCAGGAAACGATTATCAACCAAAAGACAGATGGAGAGAGAAGTCCAATAATGTAAAACCTGCATAGCGATGATGAACTCCTTAAATCCAAGGTATCCTTGCCTCTTCGTGTCCGCCATAGCCCACACCTTCAGAGCAACAAACACAAATTATCACCATGACACTAGGAACTAACTAACCTCAAGCGACTAAACCAAAGCTACAACAGACGCATACCTGTTTAAGATCGGGACGAGGCAAATTCGACATGCCGAAGAATTTAATAGCGTCGTTGCCAGTAATTCTACCGTCGCCATCTAACCAACCAACACACCACAACAAAAGAGAATCGCCATTTCATTTCTCCGGCAAAGAGCAAATCAATCTAAAGCAACGGTGACGGAACAGGTAGAGAAAGACTAGCAGGCGGGGTATCACCTGAATCGGCGTAGTTGAACCAATCGTTGAAGATCTTCTGGAACTCTTTGTTGCAGGAACCGATTGGAGAAGGAGATATCTCCATGGCGCCCCTCCTCGCCGGAAGATCGGACGGAGCAGCTGATATCCGCGGGCCACGGCGATTGATTTGTAAAGAAGGGCGGTTTGGTTTTGAAAATTTGTAGGGGGTGTTTTAAACGTATAGGTGCGAGAAAGGGAATTTTGAACGCGAAGGTGGGCAGATCACTTTCTTTTCGTTTGTTTTAATGTTTTCTGTTTATTTTCCGTTAATATCCTTGGGAAAATGGATTAAACAATAAAAACGACTTCTTTCCGCCAACGTAAGTGCCCCCGGCCCCGGAGAGTTCGGATTGCAAGCAAGCAGCTAGCAAGCGGCGTCGTTTGACATTCATCCTATGATCCTATCTAGGGGTGGAAGTTTGGTTTGCGGGTTGCGGGTAACCCGCAAACCACACCAAACCACACACTTTGTGGATACCCATATCCAAAAATTTGTGGATAGTGGGTTGGGTGTGGGTAGCAAAATATTGATTTTTGTGGTTAGTGGTTAACCATTACCCACAGTGGTTTACCCACAAAACCCACATCAACCACATTATATATTACTTTGTGAAACTTGGAAGACTAAGAATTAAGGTAGCTACTAAAATCAAATACATACTTATTCTATAAAACAAAATCCAAGTCAATACACAATGTTCGATATAGTAAGATAAATTAATTGATTCGTTAGAAGATGGGAATAATCGATAAAGGTTAGTTCGATGCACAAACTCGTCTCCATTTCTCCACGAACTCACGAACAACATAACATGCAACTAGCTACCAACAATATAAGACTATAATCAAGAGTGGAGAATAATTGATTCATTAAAAGCGGATGCCTCCACTTATCGAGCCACATTTGTGTTTTGTTGTTGTTGCCATCGGAGGAGCCGTGACATGCAACAATGTTTGTCTGGAACTGGTCACTCCTCCTCTCCGTTATCTTCAAATCTCTTTTCAAATTCATCTCTTCTGAATTTATACTAACTAACCTCTTGTATTCGAGATATATAATGTATCTAACACTTTATTAACTTTCTTTTATGTATGTATTTATTTTTGTGTGAGAAGAAACACAACTTCACTAATTAATTACCATATTATTTTATTTAATGATGAAATTTTTGTGGGTACCCACAACCAACCCGCAGCGGATAGTGATTAGCCACTATCCACCGCGGAGCGGGTTGTGGATAGCATAATTCTATATTTGTGGGTGTGGTTACCCGCAAAATATGGGGTAACCACACCCACCCCAATTTCCACCCCCTAATCCTATCTATTATTCTCCGAACTATAACAAATTTCAAGACATTCGTTCCCTCCATTTCATATCATACCCTACAACAAATGAGCTTGTACTTAAACACTTCAACTAAACCATATCTTTCATTTTCACTAGCAGCTTCATCTTCCCAAAGAGTATTCGACAACGTTCACGCCATACTTCACTAACCATCATTGTCCACAAAAATCTCCCTTGTGATCCATTCCCCAATTAAGTCACCCCTTTCGAGTCTTCAATATCTGCTCCTAGTCCTTGACTCCTCGTACATATCTTCATAGTGGTGCCTACAAAAGACAGACCATCTGACGCTCAAGTTAGTAACCATCCAAAACTAAGGAGAGAGTTAACCTCATATTATTCTATATAGTGGAAGAGTACATCATGATCTATGTCACGAGCTCGATTTCACGATCTTAGTATCTACGGTTCTGAGATGTCATGGCCCCAATAATACATGCTAATGGTGACATCAATGTGACCTCGGTATCACGAATTCGTTAACCTTCTTGTAAGTAATCGAGTGTAGGACACTCTTGATGAGATGGTGGAGTTATCCTCTTGAGAAGATGATAGTATTTAGCTCGACGTGGATAAAAAGTTTTATGGTACTTGACCTTAACATCGAGAGTCGCAACGGCTCTTGTTGATATCATGTGTGCACCCTCACCTAGTCCTTTTGTTTGTGATTGTGCTTCTGGCTTGTAAATTGTCTTTTTTTTTCCTTTGACAAAGGCATTATATTTCTTTACGCACCGTCGAATCACACTTCAAAATATACACAACACGAATCTATCAAGTCCTTCCTCCCTCTCTCCCAACTTTGAAAAATATACCTTATGTACCCATCAATGGGATTAATAACATTTACCGCCGGCCGCTGTTCTTAAAGTGAACAATAGTAATTATACATGTGATTTTTTACAATTACTTACAAATCCACATTTCATGGCATATTTTGATCATTTTCAAGACATTTTGTGACAAGTGATTGATCCTATTATACATAGAATCCATCTTAATCAAGTTACAAGAGACAAAAACTCTACACTTTAAGAAATACCGACGGTCTTCCCTAGCAACCAGAGAACAAGAGCGAGCTCAAACCCAAAAATCGAATGCAGGGTCGTCCTGTCGAGGGTGAACCCATAAACTGTGATCCCTGCTCTGTTGTTCTCGAAGTATGACACTGCCACCCACAAGCACCAAAATTTCAGAGATCAACATCAGATGAGAAGTTTACAACTTTAGCAGAAAGATTAACTAATGGATCGTCAATTCTTACCTAATGCTTGTCGCTTCTGGAACGAGAGCGTGCTGTAGGCGTAAGCATGGATGATTTTCGAGTTATCCAACTCGTCCTCCTCGTCCCCTGCCTCGTCGGTCTCTGTTTCGGACTCGGCAGCACCATCAGCCACCATGGCAGCAGTGGGAGTCTCACCTTCCGTCGCATCGAAGCGCTCTAGCGTGGCGCAAACATTCCATTTAGCAGCCAAGCACGTCACAGCCTGTGCCTTGTGGGTGATCTTCGTCGCGCTTCGCAGCAGAATCAGTATACCCGCCACAAGTGTCATCGAACAGAGCTGCACCCTTAAGAAATTCAGAACAAAAAAAAAAATCCCCTTATTCAACCCACTTACTGAACATTTAACGACGCATACATACCGCAAGTTCTCCAGCACCGTAGACATCGACTATGGCGCCGGCCTTAGTGGTGGCGAGCAAGGAGGCGAACTGGCTGCCCGTGACCATAATCAAGGTGCAGAGCATGAAGGAGCGGTACCGGTGGCTGATGATCCTGAGGTGCTTCCTGATCTTGAGATGCTCGTACAGCACGTCGCCCATGTCCGAATCGACCTCGAAGAACTTGGCGAAGTCCTGGAGGCGCAGGATCTGGAGGTGGCAGATCAGGTGGAAGAGGACGCAGACGAGGAAGAATATGGTCGTGCGGTAGAGCCATGAGAGGAGCTCCATTGCGCAAGCGACGGTGTCGCTTAGGAGGACGTCGCCTAGGAATGGGATCTGTGAAGCGCCCGAACCGTACCACCATATCTTGTACGCCGATTCTGCCACGAAACAGGGGAGGACGAAGATCGCCAGCAGCTTCAGTGATCTCTGCACAAGTCAAGTTGGCAGAGTATTGTCCCATACTTTCATTTATTGAAAATCGGAGTCCGGCTATCAGGGCAAATTATAGGGGGAAAACAGAGCAATTGGGCTCTATACAGTAAAATCGTACCGGATGTTATAATGGAAAAATCAAAGATATAGTACGTTGTGCTGAAATCGTATTTTCACCGTGGTTCAATTGTTTTGTGCCACTAAAAACCATCTATCGGTTTAATTTCAGTAGCAGATTTTTCTGATCGGACCACCAGTATAATACGATTTTACAAACACTACTTTCTTGTCAAGCGAAGCGAGTAAGCCTAGTTAATTATTAACATATCATAAAGAACAGAGCAAATTATTGATGTGAAAATAATGAACACCCATTAGTGGACTCAAGTCAAGCAGAAGGAAAGAAGAAGTAGATCAGTAATTCTTGAAGCTCAATACTTGATTCACAGAAGCATCTTATTTTTTGGATCCTCACATTTATGACTCTTTAGCAAATAGAAGGGCCCCAGAAGAGCCAAAACGTTACGATTGCCTGTAATTGACCATGTGGGTCGGAGGTCTGGCTTGATGCCGATCTCCCCACAACGTCTCAGCCACAAATCAATAGTTAGCAAACAAAGAATCCGAGAAATTTAATACGAGCTAAACAATCCGCGACAAAGTTGTTTTTGGCGATACGCGCCCAGAATTTCTAGTATAGACAAACATTTTGTCAAATAGTTAGCACTTAAATCAGTCACCTGATTTACTTGCTTAGGAAGCAGAGGAATGGGGCATTGTAGCAGGAAATCCAGAAAATTGAGAAGCAATCAATCAACCACGACACACAACACAGAATTGAGGAAATTTTGCAAAACCGCAGTGAGTGAATTGGAGATTTGGAAAAAAAACCTTACATCGAGCTTCTTGGTGTATCCTTGCCTGACGGTGTCGCTGTCGTGGCAGAGGCGGTCGAAGAAGAGGAACCGCCGGAGGCCGTACTTGCGGCCGAACCTCGACAGGCAGAGGAAGGAGAGCGAGGCGACGCCGCTGAGCGAGATCTGGACGACTCGATCGAAGGGCCGCTCGTGCGTGCTGTCGCAGGAGGAGCAGGCGAGGACGAAGTGGGAGACCGCGGGGACGACGAGCGCGAGGAGGACGAAGACGGACCAGGAGAAGGAGGCGGACCAGAAATCGGACTGGTCCAGGCACATCCACCAGAGGCAATTGCGGAAGGACTGCAGCTCGTCGGCGGCGTGCGATATGCTCCGGGAGAATTTGGGATTCGTGGTGGAGTAAGTTTTCCTGACCAGACTCTCCCTGGCCTCTTCCATGGCGCGCGTTTGGAATTGAATTAGAGTCAAGGATCGAATTGGAGAGGATAAAGGAAGCGTTGTGGGGAGAGAGAGAGAGGGAAAAGGGAGGATGTGGAGCTTCCGCCTGTGACTAGGAGATGGATTGATTGGCTTCACGGGGAAGATGCAGGACTGAGGGGAGCTGTCCAACTGTATTTATATGTGGGGGAGCGTTTCCCGGCGGAAAAGGAGAAACTAATTTATTTATTTCAGAAAAAAACAGATATAATCCGGGTGGCAGACTGCGATTCGTTGCACTGAATATTCTACAAAATGAATGTCCTTCAGACGGTGATGGATCCTATTTAGTACTAGTGTGGGCCCCCACCAGTTGGTCGGAGGAAGGTAGGATGGCAATGGGTCGGGTTGGGTCGGGTTTTGCCAAATTCATGGGTTTATCCGTGAAAAAAATTCGGGGTAAAATCCACTGGGTTTGAAAAACTCAACCCCTTGGGTATCCGCAGGTTCATGGGTACCCACAGGTTTTTGTCTTAAAAAATTTACAATAACAAGTTCCTATCAAAATTAAAGTCAAATATCAATCTCTCAATACAAATTATCCATATATAAAATACCATTCTAGAAAATTCAAGCAAATAATAAATTATCCATAAATAACATGATTAATTGAAAGCTTCTTCCTTTCAATTAAGTTTCTTCACTCTCCACTCGATAACATCAACTTCATTCTACACAATTAGAAAGAAAAAATTAGACATGTCTTCACAATTAGAATATTAAATATATCGAGAAAATTAATTATATGGGTGTGGGCGGGTACCCATGGGTCGGGTTTACCTAAACCCAAACCCAACCCAACTCGATGAATATTGAACGGGTTTAAACCCAAACCCGGCCCAAAACCCGTCAACACGGATTTTACCCGCGTTGACCGGGTTGGGTCGGGCGGGTACCCGTGGGTTCGGGTTTTGTTGCCATCCCTAGAGGAAGGTGAGGTATGAAATTTGATAATGTAATGGGGTGTATAACTTATTGTTGTATAGTTTTTTTGGGAAACACGTGATAAAAATAGTGAATTTTAGCAAGAAAGAGACATTAATGATGCAACAAATCAAAAATCGGCCTTATGAACCAAAATCAAGTACATGTTACCTTGTGAAATAATATTGTTTCTGGTAATATGATGAGGTGGAGTAAGTTTTATAGAAACTGAATTCCAGAAAATCGAATAAAAAATCGCCTATCGCCGTTTTCAGGAAATGAGCATCTCACAATCGTTGCTAGCTTTTACTCGGCCCGTTGGCCGATTAATTTGGTTTATAAAACTTTCATCTTGTCGTCATTGTGCTTTCTGGTTTTTTTTCAGGCCATGATAAAATCTAAGGAAATCAAGAACGAACAACACGATTTGGGATAGGAACCGTCGTTGTCGTATCCCTAGAAAATGGTGGTAAACACGGACTCACCTGCCAAACTGGTTTGGATTGAGATTTTTATCGGGTATCAGGGAACCATGTGATTATAAATTAGACTTGATCAAAAGGGGCCAAAACTTGAAATGCAGCCTGTTTGACCGGCCCATGCCAAATTCTAATTATTCTTTACTTTTAAACTTTTTATTTGAAAATAAAAAATAGTGAAAGAAAAGAGATGACTGTCATTTGCACATCACTTATTCGGGAATAAAACCATAGAAATTCAAAAGGAACTGAAGCAATAAAAAGAAGTATTGTTTTTGCCTCTTCATATATATTTTATCACCACGGAGGAATAAAAGGGCTTAATGAAAAAATTGACACTCTTGAACCCGTTTAAATCCGCATGTGTACGGTAAGTTGGCCCGTTCCACAGAGGAAAGAGGAAAAAATTGACACTCCCTATTCTATCATTCCTACAAACGCTCCTGGAGCAGGAAATTTGAAATGGGGGAAGGGTTTTTTCCTCTCTGCTATTATATCTTTTTAATTTAAAAAGATCCAACAAATGTATTTAGTGTGATTGGTTATGATCCTTACTTTTCCTTAAAATGGTCATGGTTCGAATCCCACTACGTGTCTTTTTAATGAATTAAAAAAAGTAAGTGTGAAGACCAAAATGTCCTTCCTACTTTCACTCTCGTTGCAGGAAATTTGAAATGGGGCTCCTGTTTTTCCCTTCGGTGTATTATATTATGTGTAGATTTACGCTGGAATTCATCTCGATTATTATAACTCGCGTTTGTTCTCTATAGAGGGGAAAAAATTTCTTCTTTGTGTGGCCATATGAGAACTCACTCGCCACGACTACGAAGGTAATTGATTCGAGTATTCTACACGATTCAGTCAGGTTAAACGCGAGTAAAATTCAGTGTTCGTGAGTTCTTATTGAGTGTGAATTTTACCCGCTTTTTAAAATTGATAGGTTGTGTCAAGTGTGGATTTTGCCAAAAGTCAACCCGTTTCCAACTAGGCTTGCACTCATAAAGCAAAAGGACGATATTATGTGTCCAACAAAATATTAATAATTTGTGGATGTTCTTAGTATTTTTTTAGCAATGTAAACCTAATAATATGGATAATTTATGGATATATATTTACTGGAAAAACAATTAATAACATTTCGATGCAAACATTTGAAAAAATAATGTATGGTTATGTTCGTGAATCCATGAGTAGGAGTTTAGTTGGATTGAGTTTTAACTTTTAAAATTCAGTCGGTATTTTGTTAATTTTGTTAATGGATGCATTCTCTGGATTAGGTTTGACTCTAGAGATTCCAACTCATTCTCATCCCTAACCGTTCTCCCTTCCCGATTCAAAGACAAATAGAATCTAGCAAGTGCCTTCTCCCTCCCCAATTCAAAGATGAATAGAATCTAGCAAGTGATTCAAGACACATAAACTTAAAAAGTCTTACAACGCGGTCATCGGATGAAAAAAAGAAGCGTCAATTCACACCGTAAAAAACGTTCATCATATTTTTCGAGGAGCACAAATAGTTGGATGTTATGAGAATCAAACCACCGTTACTATTGGGCCTCGATCTCGGCTTGAATATTTTATTGTTTAGTATTTTATGTAAAAAATTTATTATTTTTTTCCAAGAAATGTCAAATAGAAAGAACTATACAATCTACCCAAATACATTAGTGAAGCCAACCAACAAAGTCGAAGGAACAAAGCTCAAGAGGAGATAGTAACAGGGCTTTCTGCGCCACTCTATGGGCAGCCCTGTTAGCAGACCGGGGAACTGCTCTAAACTCTAAGGAGCCGGAAACTGAAGACAGAAGTAGGAGACAATCTCGAAGCACAGGACCTCCAATGGAATCTGAAGAAATCCCCTGACGAAGCTAGCGAATAACCACTTCTGAATCTCCTTCGATGATGACACGAGGAAGGCCTTTGGAGACCAAGAGGGAGATGGCGTCCCTTGCTGCCAAAAGCTCTAAGAGATAAGGGTCACAATGTAAAGGTGCTGAAACCCTACTGCCAAAGCCACATGCTCGTCTGTACCACGAACCACAAGACCAGACGAGCATCCTGAAGCACGAACCGCCGCATCGAAATTGATCTTCAAGAAGCCTTCAGGAGGGGGGATCCAGGAGGGGAGGCGAGAGCTTGAGGGCAGGGGGGAGGGGTAGGCTCAAAGGGAAGAGAGGAGGAAACTTCACGGACATGGAAAAAACATTGACGCGCTAGAGACTGGGCATGAGGCTGAAAATGCTCAAAAACCACCTTATTTCGAGACTTCCAGATTCTCCAAAGAACACAAACATAGAGGAGAATATGGGTTTGGGGGTGCTCGGAAAGCATAACATGTCGCCACCAGAGACTGAAATTCACAGTCGGGGCCGGGGCAATGAAATCATTTAGTCCCATAAGAGTCCACAGTCTGGTGGCCAAAGGGCATCTAAAGAACAGGTGTTCATTGTTCAATACTTTCTGGACTTCTCCAACAAACAGGGCATCGAATATGACAGTTTACTCCTCTAGATTTCAGCGCTACTACTGTTGGTAAAATCACTCTTAGGCACTGCCAAATGAAGAATTTCAATTTTGGGGGAACCAGCATATCCCATGTCTTCTTCCATATAGGTGGATCGATGATCTGGACCAGAGGCTTTCGACTTGCAACTAAAGAGATTTCCAAAGCTAGATGGTACCCAGTTTTGACTGTATAGGCGCCATTTTTGGTAAAGTGCCAAATTCTCGTATCTCTTTGTGGGAACCTAGGGAGAGGGGTTTTGCATATGAGGTCAACCGTTATAGGATCAAAGCAATATTGAAGCCGAGGGATATGCCACTCTCCTCTTCCTTCTCTAATAAAGAAGGAAACTCTTGGAGAATTAGTAATATTCAAGAGTCGGACTAAAGGAGTCATTGGTTTTTCTGAAACTACCCATTTATCCTTGAAGGCTACAATATCTTGCCCATTCCCAACTTGCCATCGTAATTCTTGGAGGAGGAGATCTCTACCAAACAAAATACTGCGCCACCCCCAAGAGGGATTTGAACCTAGATTTGCATCTAGTACTGAGCCATGATGGAAATAACGGCCTTTATAGATTGAGGCAAGGAGGGAATCCGGACTCTTCCATATTCGCCAACATTGTTTGGCTAGAAGGGCCTGGTTTAAGGCTCCAAAGTCCTTGAATCCCAGTCCTCCATGGAATTTACTATGTGCTAAGCTTTTCCAGGAAACCCAATGTATTGGGTGATCAACATTATCTGGTGATCCCCACCAAAATCTAGCCACGTGACTGTTTAACCGCCGACAATTTTCTTTCGGGATCTTAAAGCAAGACATGCCATGAACTGGTAGGTTGGTTGCTGCTGTCCTTATTAAAATATCTTTACCGCCTTTAGACAAGGTTCGTTGTTTCCATCCTTGCAGCTTCTTAATGAGTTTTTCTTCCATGAATTGGAAGGACTCCTTTTTTGACCTGGTAATAATTAAAGGTAGTCCTAGGTAACGATCCTGTTCTCCGATGCTACCTACTCCTAGCTGAGCCCCCAGCTCCAAAGCTTGACTGAATTCATATTGCGGCTAAATAAAACCGCTGACTTTTGTAAATTGACCCGTTGTCCACTCAGACCTTCATAGGCTTGAAATAGGGAGAGGATAGTTGTACAAGATTGCTGGGAAGCCTCTAAAAATAAATACGAATCATCTGCAAAGAAGATATGTGAGACCATTGGGCAGAATGCCCGAATCCTAACCCCTTCCAAAATCACAATTGCAATCGTATGTCTTATCATTGCTGAAAAACCTTTCGTACATAAAGCGAATAAAAGGGACGAGAGGGGATCTCCTTGACGAAGGCCTCTTGAAGGACGGAAGTAGACGGAAGGGATCTCGTTCACCAGTACTGAATAGGAAACTGTTGTCACGCATTCCTTTATCCAGGATATGAACTTTTGGTCAAATCCTAATTCTTTCATCACTTCAAAGAGGAACGACCATTCCACACGATCATAAGCTTTTTCCATGTCCAATTTTAAAGTCATCTAAGTCTTTTTCCTTGAAGTCAAAGTTCTGAGATGGTGGGTTATCTCGTGACTGATTAATATATTATATGAAATTTGACGTCCTTTTATAAACCCATTCTGAGATTGAGATACTATGCTAGGAAGAACTTGACTCAGTCTGTTAGCCAAGATCTTAGCTATGATCTTATAACTTACTTGGCAAAGACTAATGGGTATGAGATTCTTCATCGACCTAACTACCGCAGTTTTAGGGACAAGCGAAATCCAAGTTCTATTAATTGAACGAAGAAGATGACCTGAGTGAAAGAATGCTAGGACGGTTTGAGTGACATCGTGGCCAACTACATCCCAGTAAGATTGATAGAACCCGGCTGTGAATCCATCTGGACCAGGTGCTTGAGTCTTTCCCATACTGAATACTACTTCTTTAATTTCCTCTGGATATTTATTAGTAGTATCTTTGTACAAGCAGGATTTGGGTATGTTAGTTATTTTCTTATAAGAGAAGAAGTCATGTTCGGAATAGGAGAAGGTAGATGCTTCTATGCCTATAAATATATATTTGATCGTTGTTTAATGATATGTTGAAGATTAGAATCCAATAATAGTTGTAGTTATCTTCGTTCTAACTCTCTTTCTTACGAATATCTTTCAACATCGACGATCCAAGTTACGTGAAGGTTCTCACCGAGTAAGATGAAGATCTTTCATAGGGATCCTCTAATAGTGGTCTAGACTGATCCGTCAGCTCGATCCGTGCAAGTACTCATTTCGTGATTTAACCTAGCGCGTCAACTCTCAATTATTAGCTAAACCTTATAATATAGATCTCAAGTCACTATAATCATATACTATAATTAACTTATATGATGACATAAATTCGAGACTTTAAGCTCATCCTGTCCCCGGCCGGACAGATCTTGACAGAAGCGATCCTCCCCGGGATCGCTAATTCTGCTGCCTGTGAGAGCTACGTTGGTGGTGGAGCAGAGGCAGAGCAGGTCGGCCGTTGATTTCTTAGTATCGAAGCGTACTGTGTACCTGAGAAAGAAGAAGAAGAAAACAATGGAGACAGATAAGCGAGATTTTGGCGGGGAATAGAAGAAAGAAACGTGTAAGCATCACAGCGGCATTTCATGGCTTATATTATATACGTACTCGCATCACAACATGGTGTGATTGATTGATTGATTGATTCCAATTCCATTCAATTTTTTGTCCATTGAGTGCTTAAACTTGATCAAGTATTTTATTATATAGCTAGAAATCCCAGCAGGCATGATTAATTAGGCCTAAGGTTGTCCACCAGCGGGTCGACCCACTTTGATCCTGATCCGGTGAGAAAAATGGGCCATACGCACCCGCCGGGCCGACCGCTACAAAGTACCGGGTTGGAGGTCAAACTGTGTCATTTTTTTCTTTGGTTTGCGAAATGCGCATGTTTTCCGATTTTTCTTTTCGCCTAACTCAATCTTTGGAATCCTAAGTTGAACATTTGAATATTTATGTTATATAAGTGTGTGAATTTTCACTATATGTTGGATCTAAGTACGATATGTTATTTTGGTGTAATATTATATGTGTTATAAGTCATATGCTAGATAAGATTTGATATAATTTATGAGGATAAGTACAATATAATGACTATTTCTATATTTCCAGGCCAAACCGGGCTAAAACGGTTGACCCATTAACCCTTGACCCACTAGCTCGACCGGGTCCTGGTCAACCCGCGGGTTGACAACCTTGATTAGGCCCCAAACCCCACTCCTAATCATGCTGGTGAAGATCCATTGGGGGGAGCTGTCATCTGTCAGGTTATCTTAATTGATTGTCGTCATTAGCATAGTAGATTGTCATTAAGCAATCCAAGGGGGAAATAATTAGGAGAATGAGCAGAGTCGTTAACGTGAACGATTATTTTAAGTGTGCTAGCTTAGCTCCATCGGTCGACAGAGAGAGCAGTTCAGCTTTGGCCACTGTGGTGTGCTTCCCTCATTGGGTCATTCGTTGTTTCGACGTTGTTTGCATGAGTCATTTGGTGTCAAACGACTCGGAAACAAAAACAAGTCATTTGTAAATGATTTATTTTTCAAATGGGTCGTTTGTTCTTTATTAATTTTCAATTTTAACCATCCCATTTTTTCATATTTCCATTACTACCTCTTTTTTATTTTGAATCCATATACAAATCATTTTCAATTGTTTCCATTAATACTTTTAAAGTTATTAGTTCTAGTAAAATAATTGTTACTAGTTATCGGTTTCAAATATAGGTTATGTCTGGTTGTAAAATAAAATACTTTGTAACAATTACAGTGAAGAAAGTAGTTAACATAAAATTATCATTCAAAAATTTAAAAAAAAAGTAGTATTTTTATATAAGGTTAACTAACACCCCCAAATAATTGTTACATGTTGGTTGTAAAATGGATTTTATTTTCAGGATTGACTTTATTAAAATAGCAAACAAGACAAATGACTCGTCTTAACAAATAACCCATTCAGATATTCTAAACAACCATCAAGCCGTGTGAGTAGTTTTGTAACCCGTGTCGTGGACACACTAACAGTCTGTGAAGATTCAATGATAATGTTCCAAGTTCTAACCATATACTCCAAGTTCGTGTGTCCATAAATGTTGTGGACATCACACTACATACATTCATTAAATGCTACCACAGAATTAGTCAGCGAAAATGAAGAAAGGATGGGTGATCTCATTTTATTTTTCATTATTATATAAAACTAGCCCTTGGCCGGACGTAGTCTCGAAAATTGACTCTTTGATTGTAACTGATGTTACTCGTTAACATGTATGTGGCGATGGCCGGAGGTAGGTCAACAATACCACAATAATATGATGGAAAGTCATTATCCCATTGCATTACAAAAGAAACAGTAAAACATAAACATTATAATGGACAATCCAAACCAAGCCATTAGCCTTCAATACAGCCACTATAATGGACAATAATATGATGGAAAGTCATTATCCCATTGGAGAAGCTCGAGGTAACGGTGATGCATTTGCCGGGAGTGAGAGTCTCGACCTTAGTGCCGAAGGCGAGCTTGCGGAGGTAGTCCATGGTGAAGAGGCCGGGGACGATGTGCTCGCGGAGGAGGCTGGGTAGATTAATTGGTGGGTCTGGTCAGTTCTTTACTTAGGGGTCGGGTCTGGTCTGGTTTGGTTAGAGGTTTGATTAGGTTTGGCTGACATGGAGGGTTTAAATGACGTGGCGGGTCGGGTCAGTCAATTTTCGAGGTTAAAAGGTGATGATTAGGCAAATCCGTCAGCCACATCATCACTTAACGGACGCCGTTAACGACGTTGGACGGCAGCTAACGGAGAGTGACCATAAATGAACGGTTTCTGTAAAGTTAGTGACAAAAAATGGATTTAAATATTTCGAGTGACCAAACATGAACGCTTTTTGTAATGTCAATGACCGACCATGCAATTAACCCTAAAAACCATTGTTATTCAAACGGTTAATGACATTTCAAACTGTCAATGACATGCTACATAATATTAATGATTCATTCATAAGTCGACTAGACGCTAGTTAATCATTGAGTCATCCAAATTAAGAAGCAATAACTAATTACCAAATCATATATTTAATGTTTACCCTTATAACGCCTCCTAACATTTCCCGCAAAAAAAAAAAAAAAACAAGTGAATAACTTAATGTCCATCATGCCAGTCCCCCAACCACAGGATGGCAATTTACCTATGCAACCTATTTTAATAGATTTTTCAAACGGTTTCCACCTATTAATACATGGAACTAATAGAGTATTTCCTAAACTTGCTTCAAGCTAACTGTCCCCATGATAAGCCAAGAAATTAACCTGCAAGAAACAAATATCTTCATGAGCACGAGTAAGAAAAGCAGCACTCAGCTTTGGTGCGCATTGATAACATAATCTTCCAGTTATAAAGAAAGGACATAACAGAAATCTCACATTAAAAAAAAAAATACTAAATGGTATTGATAATCCACATAATTTAAATCGGCATTACATAAGGGTAAACACTACTAGAAAATCGAGTTTCCGAAATCATTAGTACTAGCACCATATGTATTACCACATTAGATGATGAACCACTCGTGACATAATGTGAGAAAACCCAACAGAACCTAAGGTAAGAAAGAGAAGATTTATGGTAATACTAGCTTCAGGAAGTGCATGAAGCGAATGAGATGGAGGAATTGAATCCATGAATGAGAGGAAGGCAAAGAAGAAAGAGTCTGGGGGAAATATGCTTTCACCACATTAAGAGTGCCTTACTTCCATTTAGAGTCAAACGACACAAAAGTGTTACTACTAGTTATGAACATGAAACAGACATATCAATGCATGCATAATAGATAATCTGCTTCCTTCTTCTAAGACGGGGCAAAACTCTCCACACACATGAAAACGAACATAGAGAGCACTGCACAACGCTACTACTGCTACTGGGATCAGATCTCGACAAGGGATCGATGAGAGGAACTGGGCGGGATAGTGTCCTTAACTGGTCATATTGATCAAGGTGTCCAACCATTCATCACTGGAAAGCAGACTGCCAACCATACTTGAACTTTTGCCCACAAGGGTGGTAGAAAACTGGATTGCCTCCTCGCCAACAATACAGACAACCATCACGGAAACCCCCTGCATCCATGGAGCAAAACAATGTTCATCATCAGCTTTAAGGGCAACAAAACCATCATCATCATCCATCGTTATCTTTAGGATTCTATCTCGCTTCAATAAATTCAGAATTGTGTAGGCATGCATACTGAAGCAAGAAAGCAAGCTGCTCAACCACAAACCACCAGCAGCAAAACCTAGTTATTATTAACTAAAATCCAAGAATAGTAATTACCAGATCCAGAAGAGGTATCCATGATGTCACAACAAGTAACCACAGTGTTGGTCCCGAAGCCTTGGGCTGTCTCAGCAAAAAACAGCTGACTCCTTGGAGGGATGCTTTCAATGGGGGAGTCACTACTATCATTGTCAATCACGACGCGCTTCTTAGCAGTGAAGTTGGCATGGCAGATAAACACACGGTCCAGAAGAAAACAAAAGCTGAGCAATGGTGTCTCAAGCTCGTATTCGAAGCCCTGAGAACAGATCAATCATCAAACAGATACCAAGACAAAATAAGATAATCATCAGTTAATATATGAAACAACAATTAAGTAAACCATTCAACGATGAATTGCAGGGAATGGAGGCATCAAATTGCACTAAGAAACATATGCATTGCATGCGGGCAGAAACCCAACCGCTGCCTTGTTGTAAGATTCCAGAGCCAATTTCGCAGCAGAGCGAGCTTCATCTATCATGGCTTGGTGACATTCTATTTTCTCAGCTTCGTCAAGCTCAGAGATATCTTCGCTGCGTCCATACAATTTCACAAATTTGCGTATATTATCAGTGAAAGTAGCCATAGCCATGAAGTTAATCGTAATATACAGAAATCATAATCAACAACAACAACATAATCAAAATCAAAATGATGAACAGCAAAACATCAAATCCATCAGCTAGCGAAGCATCGACTACCCATCTAAACACATTTCAACATATATTCAACAGTACGTCCGTCCGTCTCGTTAAGTAATAGAGAGCAACGCAAACCACAGATAGCGATTCATGATTCATGATTCATGAAACCTTCCTAGTTCCTACCAAGCGAATTCTGATCCTTTGGAGTTAATTAAAGCGTTTGAGTAAAACAACAACAAGAAATCAACAATGTAATTAAAATTGTACTCACACAAAATCCAGTGGACACGGGTTCACATCCGGTGGTTCCCATTCTCCAGGTTCTCCAGATTCCACCGCCGGTTCAAGCGATGATGATGATGATGTCGTCGTGTCCGATTGTTCCTTGACATCAGATATCACCGGCGGATCAACCTTTTGCTTTTTGGCTGAATGAGGACCTTCGCCTTCCATGGCCTTTCCTAGGGTTTTTGCCCGCCTTCTCGGAATTGTGCAGACCTCGTTGTTTGCGTTCTGAAATAGCATTCATATGCTAAAGTTTAAACCACAAGAGGTAAGCCCTTTTCCAACTTGGGCCACCGACCCGTTCCTTTCTTTTCTTCAATTTATCTTCAGATCGGGCCTGAATGAGTCGAGTTGAGCCGAGTATTAATTTAATTTAAGTTCGGCTCGTTAATAAACGAAACGAGTTCGATTGGTTTACTAAAGGATTATAACCTATAGGTATAATATGCCCTTCTACTATGACGTTTTATCAAACATGCCCCTCTACTTCTTTATGCATCAAATATGCCCCTGTACTTTGTAAAAATGATCAAACATGTCTTTTTGTTAAAATTTTCATCCAAAAACCATTAACCAAGGCCGAACTTTGGTTTGGGCGACACAAATGTCTAAAATATCCTTAATAATTTCACTTTAGAATTTATTTTGTATAGCCAAATAATTCAAATACTTTCACTTTGAAAAGACCTAGAGGAATAAAACGGGGGGACAAAACTATCATTTTTCCTCCCATTTGCCGATGTCGGGTCGTCTAAATATCGATTCAACCATGATTGACGATTATTTCAATCAAAATTTTAACAGAACATGTTTGATCATTTTGTCAAAGTACAGGGGGCATGTTTGATGTAAGAAATAGTAGAGGGGCATGTTTGACAGAACGTCATAGTAGATTGGCATATTATACCTATAACCCTTTACTAAAATATTTACTTGTGTTTGACTTGAACTCGACTCGAGAAGTTTCACTCGAACTAGGCCCATTTATTAGTTCGCAAGATCGACTCAAGCTTAAGTATTATATCATTTAGATCATAATTTTTCGTTTGTTCATATAATGTAATTTAAGACTAATTAGCATACGAGAAATTTATTATACATGATTTCTTTATTAAACTATAAATGTGACATATTTGAACATGTGTTCAAATTCTTAGAAAATGAGACATAATCTAACAAACCTAATAAATTATCAACAAACCAATAATAATCTAATAATCAATTCGCTCATAAGTTGTTAGTTAAGATGGCTTGCTAAATATATTGTCGGGCCATCTCAAAACTCAAAACGAACTAGCTCACGAGTTGAGATCAACAATCCAACTAGTCCAGGTGACACACGAACTTTACGAGTCTAATAAGATTATTGAACGAGCTTTTTGCAAACCAAGCACCAAATAGGAGGCGAGCAGATTGGCTCAGTTCCATCCCTACTTATACAAACATCGTTGTTTGCATTCTGAAATAGCATTCATGAGTGCTAAAGCTTCAACCATTGGAGGTAAGCGCTTTTCCAACAACTTGAGATCAACTAATTACAACACATGACATCATGATCTCTGTTCTGGCATACAAAAATAAAGTAAGTAGCATTACAGACAACAATTACCTATGCATTCTTGTTTAACATATTTTTCAAACTAATTTTTTTATTATCAAATTAACACACTGAATTAAGGAACTAATGGAGCATTGACTAGTCAATAGTAGTTAAGGTAGGTTTCCCAAAGATGCATTCTAGCACTTCCCAAAATCTTCTTCATCTAGTAGCATTTTCCAAAACCTTCTCTCAAGTTAACTCTACCAATATAACAAAATAAATCCCCTGGAAATCAACCTGCAAGAAACAAAATATTTTAATGAGACGGATAAGGAAAGCAACACTCAGTTTTGACATGCATCACTCTTAAGTTTGATACAAAATCTTAGTACTAAGGAAGAGACTAAACAAAAAATTTCACATTAAAAAATTGAATTACGTCAATATCCTGCATAATTTAAATCGACACAACATAAAAGTAAACACTACTAAAATGTCCAGTTTCCGAAATCACTAGTACTAGTAGCACCATATGTACAATATTAATTACCACAATAAGTGGCGAACCATTTGTTTGTGAGAAAACAAATGAGAAACCATAAGAGAAAACACAACAAAAAACTAAACAAGAAAATATTTATGGTGACACCAGCTTCACAAAATGCATGAAACGAGAGAGATGAGGATGAGTTTGAGAGAAGCACGAGAGGAAGAGAAGATAACATGGAGGTGTTTGTCATCATTCTCATCGGCTATGATTCAGGTCATAGAATATTATAAAATTTTACCCTTTTCAATTAGCAGTACATCAATAAACTAATCAAGTAACATTAAGTTTATCCTCGATTTCAGCAAAGGATTTACATGCATGTAACGATAAGCCCAGAAGAGGGGATAAGGATAACCATATACCAAAAGGTGCCCTCTCGCAAGTGAATTGCACAGCAACTAAAGAAGGGTCAGTGTCCAAATTACACAATCGGATTCTTTTGTCAACAGACTATTGGATGTTTTGTGACCAACTCAAACTCTCTAAGATCCACCAACACCAGAGGAATAGAGATATGCTTCTGCTACTGTATTTCTAGTTGGGATTTAGTAGTTACACAGAAGTATTAGGTAGCCTAGAAGCATATGAACAGGAAGTTATTGATGTACCCTAATAAATGCTATGCCACCAATCACTCTCACTGCATACAAGTAAATGCTATGGTACCACAAATCTAGAACTAGCCTGATCAAGTCAACCAAATGGAAACAAAAAGGAACAAAATAGTGTCCTGCTCAGCACCAAGTGCGATGAAAAATAAACTTACCATTCTATTTAGAGATGTCCACAACTTCATTTGATTGGATTTCCTCCTGTGACAAGAATACCAATGAAAGTTATAAACATTATGGAATGAGTGGTGGGGAAAGAAGAAGAGAGAGACAGGGAGGGGCCAAAGTAAAAAAACTCAACAATTGAGGCACCCACTGCCCAGTGGCGACAGAACAATTTAAAAAGAAAAGGGGAGAAATTCCACTAAAAAACAGATCAAGTGCATTAGAATAACTTCAGGAAAGTGACCTTTCTTGCCCATATGTTGCTTTACTCCACTTGCATTTGCATGCAAATTAGCTACGTTGAAATAGATAAAGATTAAAGGGTACACGAGTCTCTTACCACCACAGGCACATACGCAGCTATAAAGGCAGACTCTGCAACAAATCTGAACCCACCATTCCATGCATTCACTCCCTGGTTTTCTTGGACTTCAAAGCAGTCGATCCCTTCTTCCTTTTTGTACCCAACTACACAAACAGCGTGTGTATAGGTAGGCGGTTCTGGAGTCCCTTCCACAGTAGGAGTCTTTTGCACAGTAGGAGTCACTTGCACGGTGGGAGTGGCTTGTGATGCTTGCGACTGGGAGGATGTAGTGTAATAAGGTTCTTGTGATGCCGCGGTGGCATTTCTTCACGATTTATCGCTCCATCGGCTCCAACAGCGAAATAAACACCAGTTTTCTTGGTGTAATCTTTACGCAAATAGAAAGAACCGATGAATGGTCCTTGATTCTTCAGTAATTCCTTCAACTTAGCGATATTTTCAGGTCCACCTTTCATTGAAATCCTCTCGCAACTCTTCAGTCTATATCGCACCGGATAGTCTTTGGGCCTGATCGGAAGTGGATCTCCAGTTGTCACAAAATGCCCCAGACAGCTCTTGCGCACAGGTTTAGGCCCTTTCATCCAATGCAGCCGCTCCATTTCCCGAAGCTTCTTTGCCGAGAATCTGCCTCTGAACGGAGTACTAGTCTTGTCGGTAGCTAGTCTCACTCGGGCATCGAGTGTGTCGCACAATGACCGATACACACAAGTGTCTGATAGTTATCTGCATTCATCAAACTTACTATCATAGTTTGTGCGCACAAGCGAAAGAACAGGGCGCTTAGTCTCGCCGCCAACCAGAGCGTCTCTCCAGGTAAAACTAACCATCAGTCTTTGCACTCTATTCTTCTACCTGAAGGGAAGAAATACTAACAGTTCAATACAGCTGTAAAGAGTAATTTAAAGCCACAACTAACACCCAATTTGCCGAAACTTTCAAGGATTAACCTATCCTAGAAGAAGCCATGGTAGTTCATTTGTCACATGGAAAACCTAACGCATTTGCATTCTACGATTTTCATCTATAGTTCTGACGGTGACGACTCTAGAGGGGAAGGAATTGAAGGAGGATCAAGACGGGGCAGCAATCTATTACCTGGACAGAATACGAGGAGAGGTGGGCGGCGGCTGGGGGGACGGCAGCAGGATGACTGGAGAACAGAGATATCACAGAGTCGCAGCCGCGAGAGTGCGAGCCCCAACGGAGAGGCCCTTGCAGCGGGCCTGCAACTCTGGAGCTCCGACGATCCCTTGCGACGGTCGAATGTCGATGGGTTTGGAGTTTGGATTTCGGGAACGGTAGAAGGAGACGGCTCTCGAGGAAGAGGGAGGGATGCTAGGGTAAGTTTTTGGAAATTGGTTCTATTTCCAAATTTTTACTTTTCCCGGTTTTTTTGTGCGCTCCACAGGACCACAATCCACGTTACTCTGTTTTTTTATATATATTTATCTTGGATAAATTGCAATGTTGGACTATTGGTAATGGGGAATTGGGGATTACTAAGAAATGATGTTTGATCACTAAATTACATTTTTGTCACTAACTTTATACTCTCGTTCCATCAATGAATATTCTCCGTCTATTTTTGTTAATTTTTGCTTACAATAGTCAATTCTCGTAGTTGTAGCAATTAAAAAAAATTAAAATTTTCACTTCATTATTGTAATTATTAAATAATAAATTCTTTTCGTCCTCGCCACCACAGCAACCACCCCGCTGCCACGTCCCTAGTCGGTGAAGGTCAGCGTCTCCTCCTTCTCTTTCTCTTTCCGATGTCTAATCACCCCCTCCTCGCCGGTTCTGCCACCACCTCCCTTCTCCTCATATATTGTTTCGCGTCTTCATTAATATGTCATCACAGCTCTTTCTGATTCATCTCTCTCTGTTACCCTTCCTTTTACTTATGTCATTTCATTCATCCTTCGTCCTCCCTCTCTCCCCACTCGGTGTTTAAGGGGTTAAGGACCGCCATTTAGATGGACAGATCTTGGTGGCTCCAAGTGCTGATGAGTCCAAAGATGAGGAATTCGGCGTCGACGCTACAGTTGTCGATGATTACAACTCCGAGGAGACTGACGAGCGCGATGAGGTGAATCTGGAGTTTCGAGTTCCAGAGGGTATAATCTCTCGAACCCCTGGCCTCTCCCTTTCACCCTCTCCCCTCCCGATGGGAGCCCTATACTTAGTGGTGAAGAGAGAGTATAACAGGGTGGGTCTCGGGACTCACCCAGATTCGGAAGGAAAATGGTTAAATTAGGTACAATCGATAAGCGAGATCGAACATTACCGCACGAAGAATAGTTGATCGAAAAGTTTTGTGTTTGAGTTTGACGATCTCATCACTTCTTAAACACACGGTATTCATATTTGTGCAAACTTCAATTCTGTATAAGTTGACTTTCTTATAAGGGAGCATGCAAGTAAACAATACAAGAGATTAATTATATCTCTCTCAACCCGACGACTCGAGTTATTGATAATAAACAGTTCATGGCAAAGAACATGTGAAAGCGGACGTCTAAGTAAATCATGAATTGCTTAGTGTGTGAGAACCCCGCTTCTATGGATTCTAGGGACTGATTTTCGACACCCGCGATTACTCGTATTGAATAGGGATTTAGGGGTTGAGAGAAAGAATTAGGGATTTAGATGAAAAAGAACATAATAGAATTAGGAATCGGTCGAGGCCTTGGATTAGGAGAGAATAGAAATTAGGAGTTGAGAGGATAAACTAGGGTTTAAGAAATTCTTCTTAATATTGTTCTTGATTGATTATGACGTAAACCAAAGTACATATTTATAGGAAAATACTAGAAAATCCTAATAATAACCCTAATACGACTAAATATCTACTAACCATAAATATAATCATCATACCTAATATAATAATAGAAACCCCAAATAAATGTGTTTCTGAAAATCCATCCCCCTTGAAAACAACCTTGACCTCAAGGTTGTAGTTGACTTCTACCTCTTTGACCCTCCGCTTCCTTCGTTTCCAATTGCGCTCCAGTTCGCGAAGGAACTCTTCTCGTGCAACTCCAAGCGCAACTCCAACTCTCCTGGATGCTTCTCCACCCACGTGACACATGCCACTGTTTCGATAGTCGAATAATTCTTCCTCTTCTTTTTCGAAATTCACGAAATAAGAATCGGATACTGTTCCTCCTTATGCTCCATCTTAGGGTCGTCAAGGAAATGATCCACAAATTCTTCCATTGGCTCGGCGGTGAACTTAAATTCTTTTGAACTCATAATGATTAATTATAGTGTATATTATAGGGAATCGTTTGGTATTTGTTAGTAAAAAAACTAAACAGAAAGATTATTTGGTTATTTTTAACATTAAAACGATCCTAAAAATCTCAATCCAAACCAGTTTGGCAGGTGAGTTCGTGTTTACCACCAATTTCTAGGGATACAGGAACGGTGGTTCCTATCCCAAATCGTGTTGTTCATTCTTGATTTCTTTAGATTTTATCATGGCTTGGCAAAAAAACCAGAAAGCACAATGACGACAAGATGAAAGTTTTATAAAGCAAATTAATCGGCCAACGGGCCGAGTAAAAGTTAGCAATGATTGTGAGATGCTTATTTCCTGAAAACCGGTGGGATAGACGATTTTTTATTCGATTTTTTGGAATTCGGTTTCTGTAAGACTTACTCCACCTCATCATATTACCAAAAACAATATTGTTTCACAAGGTAACAGGTACTTGATTTTTGATTTGTTGCATCATTCATGTCTCTTACCTACTAAAATTCACTATTTTTATCACGTGTTAAAAAAAAAACTATACAACAATAAACTATACACTCCATTACATTATCAAATTTCATACCTCACCTTCCTCCTGCCAAATGACCGGGGGCCATGCTAGTTATGTTTTCATACCCTTTCTCGATTCCAATGTTTCTTGGCATTTTATAGTTTGCCATCTGCTTTGGGTTTTGGAACTTCAACGTGGGAATGGTCATGAAGTCGGTAGGAGCAGTTTTCTCTTTTAGGATAACGTATCACATATCATAAGTAATTTATAACGTTTCATGCTCGTTTGGTCCTACATTTTGCCCTTCTTCTTCAATCAATATATGATCTAGATCATAGCCTAATTGATGAGAGAGTTAACTTTCATCGTTCTTTGACTCATCAACGAAATGACAATGCTTTGCTGACCATTTTTGGAATGTCCTTCCCTTTGTAAAAAGGTTGATTTTCCATGTATGCAGCTCAATATATACCGCGGCCCAAACCCAACAGGATCAGAAATGGGCCGATCCACTGATTCCGCTTTGTTAGATCCAGAATAAGTAGCACAAACCGTTGACTGGTTGATGCTTTCCTTGTCGTTCTAGGCCGTCGGATCAATAAAAAGGAAAGCCATCGCTCCCGTCGATTACCGTGCGCCTCCTCCATTTCCCCCCGTTCCGCTCTAAATATTTGTTTTATCCGGGCGAGAAGAGGGAAGAGCTGTTTGCGTCGATTATCAGCAGTGTTTCATTCGTCGGAGAATCGGAGTGGGATCACAGCAGTAGAGGCGAAGAAGCGAGGAGGAGGAAGCAAAAAATGTCGGGAGTCACTAATGAGGAAGACAAGAAGCCAGCAGATCAGGGAGCCCATATCAATCTCAAGGTCAAGGGCCAGGTTTGATTCCCTCTTTAACTCTTTGTTTCCCCCTCGACTAGCTTCGTTCTGAAAGGGCACTGCTTTTGTGAGATCGTGTTCTTGGTGTCTCGTTTATGTTTATTTTCCGTTCTGGGTAATAAGTTGTGTGCTTGATTGTTTAGATTTAGGGTTTCGAATTTCGTTTCTTTGGTCGAATATGTTATGGGCCTGTGTAATTTTAGTCCATCGTGTGAAACTCCCGTCCTGGTGGGAAGTCGCGTTCTTTTTATATTCATGGTTTGACTTGCCCTTCCGGGGAACTCTTGATGGGTTTTAGTGGTGGCTATGTATGTTGTGATTGGCTTACCTTTGATGTTCTGATTTGTTCAAAAGCTTGGTTGAGTTTATTGTTCCTTATTTAAGGTATAGCTAGCTGTACTTGTGCCCCAGTGATTCAACCAATGCTCATAGCTTGTCCCCGCAAAGTTCAAAACTCTACAGAAGGAAGGACGAAGGGGACTTTCATGGTTGTGTTATTGGTTTCCTTACACTTGACTTACCGATCATTTAACTGGAGTGGGCAAGCAGGTTTAGATTGTTGGTGCAAGTATCTTAGTTTGGTGAACTGGGATTCGATTAAGTATTGGTTTTGTCTAATCAAATCTTGGATTGTTGTGTACAGTGGGATCTATTATCTGCATATCTAGTTTACTCCGGGTGGCTTAGGTATGGGAGATATCTAGTTTAGGAAACTTGGGCGTATAGTTTCCTAATTGGGCTGTATTTTGTAGGATGGGAATGAAGTTTTTTTCAGGATCAAGAGAAGCACTCAACTGAAGAAGCTTATGGGTGCCTATTGTGACCGTCAGTCGGTTGACCTCAACTCCATTGCATTCTTGTTTGATGGCCGCAGGCTGCGAGCTGAGCAGACTCCAGACGAGGTCTCCGTCTTTCCTCCTTTTGTCTTTTGCTGTGTTCTTATACTGGCCATATGCTTGAAACATGTCTGCTTTGTTGCTGATCCCGCTTTTTTGTCTTGCAGCTGGAGATGGAGGATGGAGATGAGATAGATGCAATGCTCCACCAGACCGGCGGTGCAGCAAGTGCCTAGAAATATATCCGTTTGAGCTACGGTAGATGTAAGATATTAGTTATTCTGTGAATTAGTGGTATCTGAGAAGTAGTCTATGTTCTGTGTGGGGAGAGCTATATCTGATATACAGTCCGAGCTGTGTCTGATATACAGTCATTATCCTTATTACTGAGATTTTAGGTTCTATTCTTCGTGAGTAGATTGTTACTATGATACTATCCCCAATCTCCACGGAGGCTAGGCATGTACGGATCTATCTATGGGAGATATTGTTGAGACCCTAAATAGCTTTCGTCTTGGTAATTATTCATCTGCTTGTGCTCTCCCAGTTCCATTCATCTAATCGTTGATTGTTTCTAGTCTTTTATCATCATGACAGATGGTTTGAAACATAGTTGTACCTTTTTTTTTGGTCACGACTACAACGAGGAGCTTATAGTATCGAGATGATGGATTTGTTATCGAAAATGGCTTGTTTTTACTAGATTTGCGATCTAAACTCATCAGGTCTATTCAACGATCGTTAAGTGTTCATACACAATTCGACTATTCCGAACCCTAATGATTCTTGCATATAATTTGTGAATAACCTAGCAAATTTGGTTAGGCATGCCACGAAAAGCAAAATAAAGTGTCCAAACTCCAAACGAGGGCCGTGCCCAAATACAACGCTTGCGGTTGGTGCAGTTACCCGCTAGCTTTGCTCGTTCTGTGCCATCAAACAAAACCCAGTCCGCAGGCAGTCTCACTTCAACTCCCTAATCCTCCTTTTGAGTTTAGGGTTCTAAAGTTCCAACCTTTCCCTCCAATTTATCAGTTCCCTTACTTACACCCTCTGCACTCCTGCAACACCTCTGCTGGTTTTCTTGCTGGTCAGTTTAACCGTCCGCCGTGAAAATTCCTTCCCCATACAGATGGAGTCGAACGGGGATGACGCCGCTCGTATCGTCGCCGAACTCGAAACCCTCAAGTCCGCCAAAAGCGACATAGACAGCCGAATTCGAGCTCTGGAAGCTCAGCTCCGCGACTTGAAACTCCAGAAGCCGCCCGTCTCTGCTAACGGGTCTTGTCATTCAGGCGGCTCGGCCGGTGGTTCTGCCCCGGCTCACGGATTATCGTCCGATATGATTTACCGCTACAGCCGCCACCTCCTCCTTTCCTCTTTTGGAGTTCAAGGTTAGGCCTTTCTGAGTTCCCGTTTTTTTCTCCCCCTTCTCCAATTCGCTAAGGAAACTAGGCATTTATGGGTTAGGCTGAGAAATTTGTGCAGGGCAGTCAAAGCTCGTCAAGTCTTCCATTTTAGTGGTTGGAGCTGGAGGATTAGGCGCCCCTGCTCTGATGTACCTTGCAGCTTCTGGTGTTGGTAATAACTTGATCTCTAGTTTCTTCGTTCAAGACAGGGTTTTCCCCCCTCTCCTGTTAGTTTTGTGATTCTGATGTCGTGGTTTTCTGTGTAGGCCGGTTGGGTATCGTCGATCATGATGTTGTTGAACTTAATAACATGCATAGGCAGGTACATTTTGTTGCCCGTTGCTGTTTGCTTCTACCTTTATTTCGAGTATTAGTATCGAATCACTAGGGATTCTCGTTAGTGTACGTTTCTGCTGAACTTTGCTTGCTTGGTTTTGTTTTCCCCCCTGGAAATTCTTCGTCTTGTGCATTTGATCACAGGTTATACACACTGAAGCATTTATCGGTCAACCAAAAGTGAAGTCTGCTGCTGCTGCCTGTCGCTCGTACGTTCATCATTCTGTTGATCCTGCATAAATTTAGTTTTAGGTTGTTGAGCTACTTGTAGGGTTTGACTTTCTATTGATTAAAGTTTTCGACTTTTGCTGTATCTTTGAATTTCCTGTTACATTTTGGTTCTGCAGAATCAACTCCTCAATTCAGGTAGTAGAACACCAAGAAGCATTAAGGACATCCAATGCTATTGAAATTATGAGCCAGTATCCTTGTGTTTGAAATTTCTTCTCGAATTTTGTAGCCCCTTGGTGGTTGCATTTCTGTTTCTCTCTTTATTGGTGTTTTCAACTTGCTACCATCTTGCTTCAGATACGACATTGTGGTAGATGCTACAGATAATGCACCAAGCCGTTACATGATCAGTGATTGTTGTGTCGTTTTGGGGAAGGTACATTAAACCCACTGTCTGTTTGAATGTGTTTATGTCCTATATGGGATTTGATTTCCAAATACTTCACCCGCTTGTCTAGTTGCTAACTGTTCCTGTTCCTCCACACCCAGCCTCTTGTGTCGGGTGCTGCATTGGGATTGGAGGGTCAGGTACGCCATGTTTCATCCATAATCTGCTTACTGTTTGCTGCACCATACTCAAAAACAACTGGTCTGGCTACAGCTAAACCCCAAATCAATCTTGCCGCTTTCATGTTCAGCTGACAGTCTATAACTACAATGGAGGGCCATGCTACAGATGCCTTTTCCCAACTCCACCACCTGCAACAGCTTGCCAAAGGTGCTCAGATAATGGAGTCCTAGGAGTAGGTAAGCCAATAACCAATGTATTTTTGGCGATTTAAAATTTACTGTGTTTTAAATATACGAGCCATCCTAAGTGCATTTTCCTATTAGTGAGGCAGGAAATATATGATGTTCAGTCTTCTATACTTGTCTGGTGCATATATTGATTTTAGAACCGAGGAAGTTGATGTTAGCCAAGATTGTTGTTTTAACTTTGATTTTATGTTCGCAGTCCCTGGAATAGTCGGCTGCCTCCAAGCTCTAGAGGCCATTAAAATTGCTAGTGCTATTGGGGAACCGTTGTCAGGACGCATGCTTCTACTTGATGCATTATCAGCGCGAGTTCGGATTGTATGTCACCAGCTTTTGTACCTTCAAGCGGTTTGATTTCATCTCTGTTATCCAAATTTTGACAGGCTTTCATTGATGCTCTGTTGTATATTTTTCTTAGGTCAAGATTAGAGGGAGGTCAATACATTGTGAAGTTTGTGGAGAAAATACAACATTCACCAAAGAGCAATTTAAGAACTTTGATTACGAGAATTTTACTCAATCTCCCTTGTCAGCGGTATTCACTCAGATCCCCGCTCTGACAAATAGCAGTAACTCATGAATTATCAATGGCTGAAGAACTCAAGTATCTTTCAATATGAATGCAGGCTCCCTTGAAGCTCAACCTTCTTTCAGAAGAATCTAGAATCAGCAGCAGCGAGTTCAAGGAGAAAGTGACAAAAGGAGAACCATATGTTTTGATCGATGTACGACCAGGCCACCACTTCAAGATTGTTTCACTTCCAAATGCCATGAATATCCCTCTATCGACTTTGGAGGGCAGGCTGCCTGAGATCTCTTCAGCTTTGAAAGAGGAGGAACATCGCAGGAGCAGTGAAAGCTCTGAGTCACCTATTGTTGGCCTTTACGTGATGTGTAGAAGAGGCAACGACTCACAGAGAGCAGTTCAATTGCTGCAGAGTATGGGATTCCCCTCTGCAAAAGATATCGTTGGTGGCTTAGAGGGCTGGGCTCGTGAGGTGGATCCAGATCTCCCTACTTACTAGAGACCAAATAGTTTTGTCTTGCAATGTTTTCTTCTACATGAAATCCTGTACTTCAAGATGGGGGGATGCAAACTCATTACCAGCAGTTCATCTGGGTTATTTTAGTCACTTTAAGTTATCAGTATAATCTACTGTTTACTTGTCCGTGGTAGATCTTTATTATAAAATAGAGTACTTTGTCGACAACAACTTGAGCAGACAAGGAATGGCAACTAAGACGCTTTGTTTTGTATATTTTTCTTGCTGCAACTTGAAATTCAGAAAAATACACCAGTGACCAGCCAACCTAGCAGAGAAAGGACAACCTTGAACATCATGAGGTGACACAGAAAGAGAAGCAATGCTTCAACTAGCTATTTTGGACTGCTGACTCTGATGGTGTGCCTTAAAAGATAAACATCACACATAACTTCTAACCATTATTAAGGGCTTATTCCATGGCCTCTTTCCTTATGGTGACCGGGTGGATCTGGTTGCCATGGCTGTGGTGGCCTAGGAGGGAAGGGAAATGGCGGCTGGGGCCAAGGACGAGGCCATGGCTCTGGTGGCCTAGGTGGGAAAGGAAACGGCGGCTGGGGCCAAGGACGAGGCCATGGCTCTGGTGGCCTAGGTGGGAAAGGAAACGGCGGTCGTGGCCAAGGACGAGGCCATGGTTCTGGTGGCCTAGGCGGGAAAGGAAACGGTGGTCGTGGCCAAGGGCGAGGCCATGGTTGTGGCTGATCACCGCCATACCCACACATCCCAAAAGAACACTGAACTCCCCAGGGGCATCTGTTGAAGCACTTCCCACAGTTGAATGGACTAACGTTGCTGTCGACACACAATCCACCACAACATTGCCAAGTGAAGGGGCAGCTGATCCCACACCAGCCACAATTGTTTGCATCAGACGACACATCTACACACTGGTTCCTGCAACACTGCATCCGCGGTCCAGGTGGGTCGTGATGATTGACACCCTGATCTCTGCAAATCCATGGCGCTCTTGAGCAGCCGGGGTCTCGAGGCTGCTGGTGATGGTTTCTCACTTTCTTTAGCCATGGTGATGAGTGCGTCGACACGTTGTAGTAGTAGTAGTGTCCTTGTTTGGAAATTGAATCCCCATTTGCCAGCACAAATAGAAGCAATGGCATGAATAAGGTTGCCCCTACTCGAGCATTTTCCAACTGCATATTATGTTGTTTGGATACATATCCCGGACAACCAAAATGAGAAAGCTTTATATATACAAGTGCAAAGGCGTTTAGAAACAATTTAGTTATGTTGTAGATTTGTAAGAGAAGAAGAAGCTTGTAGGAGGCGGCAAACTCATGTTTTCCATACATGGGTGTCGTGTACTGCAAGGTGGTAATCTCATTATGTTATTAACTGGGTGGCTGTTTTTGGCCTTTGGTAATTCAAGTAACTGTTAGCTGTAGGTAACCTGTTTCTCTTGCCTGTATTTGTGAATTTTCTAAAGAAACATGGAATGTGGTAAAGCATGAAGAAAGTCGTCTTCTCATACTTCATCAATGCGCCAAACTTTCCCAGGTGTAGCCGACTTTTGCCTTTTCCTATTTCAATTAGGATCCAGGTAAGAAAGTTGTGACCTTTGATTAAGCTGTCATTTTTCTTTTTGCATCCGTTAGAATATGAAGGTATAGAAAACTGCCATCAATTAAACCTGATCAGAAATGCTTCGAGCTATCGACTCAAGACAATTTCGATGAATTGGGCGAGGAGCAAGAATGAATCATCTCACAGTTGACTGATTATGAATTGTATCAATGATGGGTTTTCAAAGTGGATGTAAGTTGGAATGGGTGAATTGCAAGAATGGATGGATTTCAAGAGATTCCTGAATGTAGTTTACAAGAAATCCTAGTCATCAATTACTGCTGTCTGCTGGTAATAATATGCAAATAGTTTGGAATCTACCAATATTCAAATATTGATTCTGCTCAAACTGATATAAATAACTATTACAAGAAGCAACTGTGGTCTTCAGCCACCACATTTATAGTCTGATAGAAAGTCAGGAAGCCAGGAAGCTAAATTGCAGTATGATCAAAAGCTGAGGATTTTCCAGGCCTTCCTCAACAGAGAACAGAAATCATGAAATCTCGAATCTCAATTTGAAGGATCCTTTTTCCCCTTTTCGGTTTCTTCCTCGTTCTCCTGACCATAGCGACGCTTGAACTTGGCAATCTGCCCCAGACTTTCAGCCATCTGCCGCTTTGCTCTGAAGTGGTAAACTTTACCAGTGTTGTGTATTTTGGTCATCATGACATTCATCAATCTGCCGCTCTGCGTGACATAAGATATCCATTGCCTTTGCGGGTGAGCTCCTTTCTTCATTTCGACCGAATCTGTTATCAAGCATCAGTTTGTGAAAGATCAACGTGAGAACAACTCCAAGTCTCCAACAGGGTTGCATCATATGCATCCATTTACCACAGTGCAATTGGGAAGACCATCTATCTAGGTCCGAGGAAACAGAAACAATGAAGGATGGCAACAGAAGAGGTAGCTGCCTAATGCCCACCAAGCTAAAGAAGAACCGAACAGAGTTTCACATTCCAAAGAGAGCACTCTGATCAGTGATCACGATGAGGAAATTCATCTACGCAAAAAAGACCTGACCTTTCTGGTCTACCTCCAAGATAAATAAGAAAAGCCAAACCACAGAGCAGAAAAGGCTGAACTAGTGCCATTTGCAAGAGATTCCCATAGGACTACCAGCTTAAATTGTGCTGACTCAAAGGAAGTCAATTGAATTATTAGAATATTTCTCCACGAAAATGGATCCCTTCGGTAATGCAATTCCCAAATTTCTATCTAACAACCATTATCAAATCCACTCAACAGTCCAATTGGGTAAGAAATGGCAGACTGTTCCGCACTGTGAGAAGAATCACCAAACCAAGCTACTGGAACATAACGTCGAACAACTGATGGGCAATGCATAGGAACGAACAAACGATAAAGAAATCAAATTGCACAGAAGATTGGGGAAGATGAACCAAACCCCTAGATGAGTCGCTACAAGAGCAGAAAGGAAACAAGCTAGAAGAAGATACTGACCTGGAAAGAGATGCAGCGATCTTGGTGAAGGAAAGCTCGATAAACCCTACTCCAGTATTCCTTCGAACTAGAGAACCCAGCTACGAAGATCTTCGCATTGAACAAGAAACAGAACAGGTTGAAGAGAGATATCGGGCTGGACCTGGAGACGGGCCGTTTGATCCAGCCCCGTTTGATCCAGCCCAGTTCTTAAGATGTCTTTTAAAGTCTGCATTTTCGCCAGCCGGGTCAGGCGGGTTGACCCGGGCCGGTTCCGTGGATGGGCTGAACGGGCTCTGGCCGAGCCACGACATCTCTCAGCGCCATTCATTAGATCAAAGCGTCCTCTGGTTACGAGACTTCCGATCAAATCACTGCTGAACCAGAAGAAGATTGTCGCTCCTTCGTAGCATAATTTCAGCACAAGGTCGGTCGAAGGGGAGGAAGAATGGCTACTGCGGTAATCGTAGGAGATGCGAGCTCCTGGGCTCGAGCGCTCGTTAGGATCTCTCCGTACACCTTCTCCGCCATCGGAATCGCCATCTCTATCGGAGTCTCTGTCCTCGGCGCCGCCTGGTATGCTCGTTCATATGCCAGCGGTTGTTTCTCTGTTTTGAAGTGAAGTTGTTCTATTTGATCAGTGTGGATTTCGGTTCCTTGAATGTGTTTCTGACGTGATTTGATGGGTTGGGATCGGGTTGTTGCAGGGGGATTTACATCACCGGAAGTAGCTTGATCGGAGCTGCAATCAAAGCTCCTCGCATCACCTCTAAGAATCTCATCAGGTGCCTGAATTTAGAACTTCTTACGTTCTTGCTTCTCTTCCATTCTTGGTGTCTGCTTTCCTGAACCAGTTGTGCATTCCTGTTTCTAAATTTGGTACTTGGTGATGATCTGATGATATTAAGACGCTGCAGTTGAAGTTTAGCTGTTCGGTGTTTTGGAAGTAGTTACCCGAAGAATCAAACTCACTGGCATTTAGATTCAACTTGGTAATCTGCATTTGGCTAGAATCGAATTAAATTCACTAGCCAGAGTGCCAGAAGGTCAAATTGAATGATGAAAGAGGTGGTCTTTATCTGTTTATTTAAGGGAGAAGGATCTGTTTTGGAATTGCTTAGGTGTTGCCTACATTTCTCTGTTTCTTCTGCAACCCAGGGAGCTCGAGCTTCTTCGGCATTCCACATTGTGGTTGTTTTGCTTGATCCAAAATCAGATTTAGGACATAAGATTCCTCATTGCATCGGCTAGATGCTTGGCTTAAATCTGGAATTTCTGTTTACACTCTGGGTCCGGTTTGCTAGTCCGGAGCTGAAGCTGGTGTAAAATGTTTTATCCTGGTTATCTTATCCTTTCCTTATCTTAACCTAGAATGTTGGTCACGTTAACGTCTGTTGGTACATGAAATTTTCAGGTTTATAGGACAGAATACGTTGATAATGGTGACAATAAATGATCAGTTCCCCTTAATTGGTTTATGAGTGTCTGTATTATATCCAGTCTCTCCTTACCTGACAGCATGAAGAAGATAGATAGATGTTGAAGTTTCTTTCTTTTCTTGTGTTATAAGCTATGCTGCAAACTACTGACTAGAAGTTGGTTTCTTATGCATTATGTTGTGTTCCAATTCGACTTCATCAGTATAGTCTACTGTTTTTACTCATGTTAACTGCTATAAGTATTTGACTGCCACAACTATTCCTAGCTGATGTGGTGGCAGTTCTACTTTGGATTATGAAATTTGTTTTTTCTATTAAGTTTTGGATAACCTCTGTTTATGTATTAGAATTGTCAATTATTTGGTGCATATATAACCATCTGGTTACATTTGGATGTGAATTTTTCTTTCTTGTGGACTGCTGTCACAGCCTTGCCTTTTCTGTGTTTAGTTTGACACAGACTTCCAGTCTTTCACCAATTTGTAACCTCTAGAATGATGACAACGCCTTCAGGATATAATTTGCGGTGATTGGTTGTTTGTTTCAGTGTGATCTTTTGTGAAGCTGTTGCCATATACGGTGTCATTGTGGCAATTATCCTGCAAACAAAATTGGAGAGTGTTCCTGCTTCACAGATATATGCTCCTGAATCTCTGCGAGCTGGTTATGCAATTTTTGCATCTGGTATTATTGGGAAAAAATCCCAAGTTACACATCTTTTTAAAAAAAAATCTCAAAATACACACGTTATGAAAATAATTCCCAATCTACGTTAGTTTGGGCCATCACCGCTGTCGACGAAGACAGTGATTGCATCACTGTTGTCGACGAAGACAGTGATTGCATCACCGCTTTCGACGAAGACAGTGATTGCATCACCGCTGTCGACGAAGACAGTGATTGCATCACTGCAGTACACGGCCGCGGTGAAGGCCTGACCTGCGTCGAAACTTGAAACAAACGTAACTTTGTGCTCGGTTATCCGATCGTAGCAAAATTTTTTTTGATTCCGCATAATTTTTCGAGATCTTGCAAGTCGCAAATGGCCATAGGAGGTTTGGTCCCGCCTTCGTCTCGAAAATATGTCGTTTGCTACCCCGAACGAGCCTTTTTTCGATTTCGTCAAACTTTGAATGACCATAACTTTGTGCTCCACAATCCGAAAATCATGAATTTTTTTTTGATTTCGCATAAATTTTTAAGGACTAAAATATTTAGTAGGAGAGAATTTTCAAAAAATGAATTATTTATGGATATAAGGGGTTTTGGGAATAACTTTACCTTCCTTTTCAGGAATCCAAGTACATTCCGAAAATATGTCTATGATAAAAATTGTAGTCCTTAAAATGTTATGCGAAATAAAAAAAAATCATGATTTTCGGATTGTGGAGCACAAAGTTATGGTCATTCAAAGTTTGACGAAATCGAAAAAAGGCTCGTTCGGGGTAGCAAACGACATATTTTCGAGACGAAGGCGGGACCAAACCGCCTATGGCCATTTGTGGCTTGCAAGATCTCGAAAAATTATGCGGAATAAAAAAAAATTGCTACGATCGGATAACCGAGCACAAAGTTACGTTTGTTTAAAGTTTCGATGCAGGTCAGGCCTTCACCGCGGCCGTGTACTGCAGTGATGCAATCACTGTCTTCGTCGACAGCGGTGATGCAATCACTGTCTTCGTCGACAACAGTGATGCAATCACTGTCTTCGTCGACAGCGGTGATGGCTCAAACTAACGTAGATTGGGAATTATTTTCATAACGTGTGTATTTTGAGAATTTTTTTTAAAAACATGTGTAACTTGGGATTTTTTCCGTATTATTGTTGGCTTCGCCAACCTCGTTTGCGGGTATGTATCTCCATCTTACACTGGTTGAAACCCGTTAAACTTCGTGTTGCATTCAGAGAATAATTCAACTTTTCTTATTTTTGTGGGGACTTCGTTGTACTCTGTTGTCTGACAACAGGGTGTGTGTTGGAGTCATTGGGAGCAGCTGTGCACTCTCCGATGCCCAGAACTCATCACTTTTTGTGAAGATTCTCGTGATTGAAATATTCGGCAGTGCTCTTGGGTTGTTTGGAGTGATTGTGGGCATCATCATGTCTGCTCAAGCATCATGGCCTTCCAAAGTGTAACAACATGTCGTTAATGGAATCAGATGAAGGAATCGAGGGACCATGTAATGTAGGTATTACTCATGATCCCAAGTGCGCCCTGTGTATCTTATTCTTTCATATCGTTTGTTATGAATACAAGGTGTTTGGTAAAAAGAAAGAAAGATGCTTGTGGGGGAGGTTAGACCACCTGTACTACTGTTAAGTAAGTTTTGTTGTCCGAACAGAATAAGTACTCGGGACCAAATGAGTTGTGTAATTTTTACTGAAAAGCTGGTGCGTTACTGTTGAATGATTGTTGTTGTGTGTTCCCTGGTAGATTCTTTCTTCTGCTCCGTGAATGTCCTTGGACTTGAAGACGTGAGGGTGAAGGCAGTTGCTGAAATTTCTTGCTTGCTTAGGTTGAACATAACTCTTGAAATGTTACTCTGTTGCGTCAAGTACTATCCAGCGAAAACGATCTATAAGTTTGAGTAGTTACCTGAATGCATAAAGGCATTAAGGCTGGTGTTTACTGTTGATTTTTGTTTTGTGTTCCCTGGTAGATTCGTCTTCTGCCCTGGTAGTTTCCTGGGAGTGGAAGACGTGAGAGTGAAGGTAGCTGTCGAAACTTCTTGGTTGGTGAGTGTGAAAGTGGTCTTGAAAATCCTTTCACTTGACTCCTTGGTCTATAGCAAGGTTGTCAACCCGTGGGTTGACCCGGACCTGGGTCACCCATTTTAGCCCGGTTTAGCCCGGAAATATGGAAAGCGTCATTATATTGTACTTATCCTGATAAATTATATCAAATCTCATCTAACATATGAGTTATAACATATAATATTACACCAAAATAACATTTCGTACTTAGATTCAACATATAGTGAAAATTCACACACTTATATAACATTAATATTCAAATGTTCAACTTAAGATTCCAAAGATTGAGTTAGGCGAAAAGAAAAATCGGAAAATAGGCGCATTTCGCAAAACAAAGAAAAAAAAATGACACAATTTGACCTCCAACCCTGTACCTTGTGGCGGTCGACCCGGCGGGTGCGTGCGGCCCGTTTTTTTCACCGGATCAGGGTCAAAGTGGGTCAACCCGCGGGTCGACAACCTCTCTGTAGCTTGCAGATGATTAGCCACCGGCCTTGAACTTTCGGTAATTTGTTCTAGGGGTGGCTATACGGTCCAGTTAAATTGGTCCAAATTGATTCGGTCCCGGTCCAGTTTTTTCGGGAATATAAGGACCAAAGATTGGATTGGAAATTGGAGCACCACTTTTCATGTTGGAAGATGACAATGTTAAAGTCCCCACTTGATAAGCCAATGGGATTGGTGGTTTTATGTCAGAGATAGGTAATGTTGTTGGGCTCCCCAATGCTCTCTTCCCTTCCCAGTGTAGTGCTCCCATTCTGGTCCCAAGGGAGAGATGCTCAGTTCAGTCAAACTCATCTTTCTCTTCGCTGCACCACCAATGGTAACCTATCCTTACAATTTCTCTATTAGTTTATGGAAATTGCTCCACTTCTTTGGTAGGTAGACGGCTGAGGCAGCCGCCATTAGTTCCACTAAAAAAGATCCATAGAAAATCTCTGCAAATCTGGGCTCTTTGAACGTTCAAAGGTTCAACAGTTACCCTTGATACGAGGCTTCTCTTAAACAAGCAGAAGAAAAAGACATCAACAGTAGTCTTAATTGAAGCTTCCAATCTTTGATAGATAACAAGCATTCCATACAAAGGCGAATCTTCCCAGAATCTCAAAGGTACATACAGACCACATAAGCCCTCGCGCCGCCCACACGAGAGGGCAGGCAACAATCACAATAATATGCAAATAAACAGTAGGCCAACTTTAGACACAAATTCTGGTACCAACAACTGCAAACCTAGTTTGACTACAGCAACCAAACCCTGGTTTTGCTTATTCTTAGTAAGCTACACAGCTGCCATACTCCCCCACAAGCAAAGCTCTTGCGGCTTCTTAACTAAAGAAGCTAGTCCTTACTACTGCAGAACCAGGCATTCTTGAGTTCCTGAGACCATGTTGCAGTTCCTGCCTTTGTTGATCGAGCCAGTTCCTTCGAGAGGGGGAGGTTTGTCATCGCCTGCACCCTGGGTCAGGTGCTCATCTTCCTTCTCGCTCAAGGTGTAGGAACAGGCTTCAAAGATCAGAGCTTTCACTTCTTCAAACCTCTCTTCGGAGAGGGACACTTCAGCAAGAAGCCTCCATGCATTCTCCTCAGAAGCTTCCTCGTAGTCTTTCTTCCTCTTCAGCACCATGTGCCCACTGATCTCCCACACTGCAGGGTTCACTTGGGTATCGAGAAGCTCACTGCTCACTTCGCCAAGTGCTTGTTTCTCAGCATAGCACTGTTCAACCATCAACAGCAAGTTTCCAAATGGTTAATAGTGGGATATTCAACAGGTTAGAAAGAAACGAAGCAAAACAAAAATAGTATTTCAGGGTGCATTATACCTGAGGCAAGAGAAAGATGCGCTTTCCACAATCAGCAATCAGGACATTGTGTGGAATGTTGTTATCTTGAAGAAAAATGCAGGCATCGGAGACGGCGTTTGACAAGTCTTGGAGAGTGTTCCCACCTTCAAAGACGAGACCCCTGACCGGATAATCAAAGAGCTCAGAGATTTTCACTCCATCGCCTAATGTTGTCACCTTCCTGGTAGGAGCCTTCTCGATCGGGAATGGCACAGCCAAATAGTAAGCCTATTGCAGAAGATTTATAAAAAAACATATGGTTTAGTATGATTGTCGATATTTCATAGATAAATGCAGCAGTAGCTTCAGAAATCATATATATAACTGGACACCAAATATTAACCTGGAAGTGAAGATGGTTGATGGTAGCAAATGCACCAAGACTGTTGTAACCCAAGCGGAAGTAAGGGTTCCCAGCTTCAATTGCCATGTAAAGTGCAAGCAAAAAGCTCTCACGATCAATCCTTTGAGGCAGACATTCCAAGATACGCGGAATCAGCAGCACATGCCCATACTCGATAGGGCTAACCTGTAACCAATCAAATGACAGTGCCTCAGTACTCCATCCCACAGCAACCACTTTTCTGGGCTAAAAATAGCAATAAGAACTTGTGAGCAAACTAAATGAATAAACCTACATTGATGGCAACCACGCTAGGAGAACTGTCAGCATCAACTGGAGCATCTGGGAAGAACTGTACTTCACCATCTTCGCTCGCATCAAACTGGAAGAGCACTTCCTCCTGCCCAACTTTAGTGAAGTTGAATTTGTTCCCATCAAAGGGCTGAAGAACCTTGTCAACCCTGAATTCAGTTGGCCTCTTCTTCAGGTGACGACCTTCATTCAGTTGAGCCATGAAGCCACATCGGCCAGGAATCACCTGAAACATTAAAGAAAGAAACTTCAGCATCAATCATCAAACCCCACTACCCAAGAACTCAATAAACTATCAAAGGAATGCGTTATGCAAGAAAGAAACAGTACCTTGGTTTCACATGCAGTGACATCATAGCGAAACAGTCCTCGCTGCATGCGGTCCTCCCACTGGAATCCCAACAAATACAACGATTTAACCATCGAAAGTCCGAGAACAGAAAACAAACACGCAACTTTGTTCAATCAATCATCATTATTTGACCTTAGACGAAATTTTAATTACCTGTCCAAGGAGGAGGGAGTCCAAGAATGCAACAGGAGCCTGGTTATCATCATGCTCAAGAACACACTTGTCACCAGGAATCTCCTCCACCCTCTTGAAAGTATAGAGAGGCAGCTTTGCCCCTGTCCATGCAAACAAAGAAACATGAACTCATGGCCTCAATAAGTGAACCTTGTTAGAGTAAAATTTTAACAATAGAGCAATAACAGCATTTCAACACAAGTACCTGGAATGCAACACTTCTGAAGGCAATTGCGGCCGCAACCTCCGCCACGGCGGGCAGCGTCTTCGCCCTCGTCCTTTTGGTAGTTCGACACAACGGTAGGAACCCTCTTGATTCTAAGCATCATCCTTTCGCTTCTTTTTTTTGACCTCACACAAGGAATTTCACAAATTCTCTACGGCCCACAAAGGATCTTAAACAATATACTTGAATGATTCTTCCTCCTATATATACTCTTTCTATTTTGTTGCGCTTTCCGAAGCTAAAAAGGAAACGAGAAATATCCTAAATCCTACACTAAAACGGTAAGAGAAAAGGAAGGGAAGAGGGAACCACCGCCGGCGAGGAAGAGGAGATCGGAAGGGCTCCCGCCTTCCGAAGGCAAAGCTCCACGGCCGCCGTGCGCAGAAGGGTTGCTCTGGATTATATCCAGCTTGCGACGCACAGAACGGACATGGATTAGAGGCCGAGTTACGCCGTGAATAGCCGTGATGTCTGCAACTTGTCTACCCTGGAATTATCCCCTGAAAATCCTTCCAGCTTTCCTTCTTCCTACAGGGAAAAGAAGAAAAAAAAAACGAAAAACCCCCCAAAATCAAATCAAATCCACACCCTTTGGCAACCCACTTTCCCTTTTTCCAATCAAGCTTCCCCTGAATCACACGCACGAGAAACAAGAACCCAGAACAGAGCAAATCAAAATCCGCCTTCGCCGGAGAGAGATTCTGAGAACTGGGGGGAAAAAGGGTTGCTGCGGGACGGGTTTGGGAGATGGATTCAGGGAGAGTTTTTGATGCTTTTTACGTTTTGCGGGTATGGAGAGAGAGGTGAATGGAGCGGAAGAGATATAGAGGAGGGGAAGATAAGGAAACAAAGAGTGGTGGTTGTTGTGGCTGTGGTTTGGCCGTGAGGGAAGGGAAGGTCGAGTGGCTGTGGTGGGATCTGGTGGGCTTTTTTGGGGGAAATTGGTGTGTTCTTATAGCCGTGGGACGACGGAGAGCCGCAGAGATTTTTTTTGTAGTCGTTCTGCGGGCAAGCCAATAAGGCAAATAACCCGTCTCTTTTGGGCCTTATTTGGCTGCCGCCGGAGCAGAGGAAAGGTCTCCTTCCAATAAAAAATAAATAAAACGACCGCCTTTTGCCCATACATGGACCAAAAATAATGCACCATGCATATTACTAAAGAAATTTCATATATTCTATATTTACAAAGAAAAGATTCCATATATTCTATGGTATAAAATGATTCGAGGTAGCCCACTTGATCTCATTAGTGATGTCAAGAATGAATAAAATTACAATTCAACATCATACTAAGCGCAAGATTCTAAAGTGGGGGAGACATTGATTTTAAAGAAGATACTATTAGGGTTTTGCGAGTAGTTTAATTCGAGACTCGTGTAATTATCTTATATATACTACATTTTTTTGTCGAGGAATAAGTCAATTTGATATTCATTGTCTTCGGCAATCTTGCATGGGTGTCATTTTACTCGAGATAATTATGTGACGAGATGTGTATTTAACACGTTCTAGCATCATTCTTGATACTTTCGATGTCAATTCTCTTATTTACTACTTGTATTCGTGTCAGTTTGATTTCTTTCTATGGTATGAAATGATTCGAGCAAATCCCACTTGATCTCGTTAGGGATGTCGGGAGAGAACAAAAATACAATTCAACATCATATTAACGCAAGATTCTAAAGTGGAGAGACATTGATTTTAAAGAGATATTATTAGGGTTTCACGTGTCATTTTATGAGTAGTTTAATTAGAGATGCGAGAAATCATCTTATAAGCTACATTATTAGCAGAGGAATAAGCTAAAATGACCTAAATTGTCTTTCGCAATCCTACATGAGTATTGTTTTGCTAGCGATAAATATTGCGACGAGATGTTTTTTTTTTTTGCCCATTTTAATATCATTCTTGTTACTTTCGATTTCAATGCTCTTATTTTCTGTTCGTATTCATGTCATTTTGATTTCTTAGGTAAGATACCTGTAGTTACAATTTATAATGCAAGCCATTACTTGTGTCGGGGACAATAAATTTGGTCATCAGGCTTGGGACAACTAAAATATTGAAGCGACCACACATGCCCTCCCCGCCCTAAACATGCCGAACAGATAGGATAGGACAGGTCAGGTCCAAACTGTCATACCTAACGAGCTCGATAATTGGAAGTCTCGAAGATAAATTAAAGTGCTAGATATCGATTAGAGAGGGGAGGGCGGAGAGAGGGGTTGGTACTCGAGATTATTTAGCAGAGAGGGATCTTAGGGATTCGACTGTCTGCCACCATCGGGATTTTTCATCATCGTGGTCGACATTCAGTCGTCAGGTTTTGGGGTGAGAGGATGAGGGTTGGGTTTGGGATGATGTGGTGGATGATGGGTCGTTCAAGACTCTGAGTGAAGTGGGTAAAGATGAGAGGATGAGACTCAGAGAGACCGAGATTGAATTACGAATGAGGGTTAGGGTCTCTGCCTCTGAAAATTTCACATTAGAGGGCTATGTAGTGAGTCTAGGCCGAGGTGGTGAACGAGTTTACAAAGGGGAGCTAGGCTTTCTGGGGCTTGTGGCCTTGTTGTGAATCGTGGCGGACAATTTGACTTTTGAAGAACTAGCTGGGGCTTGGTGAGTTATCTTGTCTATCTCGATTTATTTAATTTTAAATCGAACCAGATTTAGACAATAAGTTTGACCTCTCTCACAATCATATCCCAGACTAATCGTGCTACTAGCTTATAACCCGGCCCTTTGGCCGGATTACTCATATTTGAATATTTTTATTTTTATGTTACTTTTAAGTCTATTAACCCGTTTAATCTTATTGATAATCATTCGATCGAGATGATACATAACGAAATAATATATAGGTCGAACATTCGAAGAAATATCATAATCATTTAAGAATATAAAATATAAAAATGTATCATTGACCCCATTTTCATAATGCTAATTAAGTCCCTGTTAAAATGCTATTGGTTAGTTTTTTTTACAGTAAAGAAATATAGAGTATAAAAGCTCACTGAAATTCTCACACACCCCATAGATAGTTTGAAACTAAATCTTAAACCTCACAATCCTATATAAAGGGTTCAATGCTCTCCTTTTAGAAACAATATGTCACTAATCTAAAAGAAATGAAGAGTTGTTGATTCAAGTCATCTATATACTAAAAACTCAGCTAAGAGGGGACCATCACAACTTGAGAGCAAACGAAAAAATTAGGGTTATCTCCAATATGCGAATAGACTCGATCAAAGTAATAAGGCGCAAAATTAGACACTCCTTATCTATTAGTTCTAGTAGGTTGAATAAAGAAGCGACCTATTTCAAACAATCAATCAATGATTCCTCGTTTTAAGATTGAAATAGGTTGTGACAGTTGCAAAAACCATAAACCTAAAGATCCAATAGCCACCACTCTCCGTTGTACAACCAAATTTCTATCTCAATAGGCATATATTCAACCAAAAATTCAATTTCTAATCCTCCTTCTACAACTTCAGTTATTGATGAACTCCATTCTATTCGCCATGAATTGATATCGGAGTTGAAATCTTCTACTCGCCCAGCTTAAAATCCCAACAATAAAACCGTAGTGCCAAGAGATATCTGAAGATTGATTTTCAATGACAGTCTTATACTGGGAAGTGAAAGGCGCAAACTATTGCACGATGGATGAAATTTCGGAGGAAGTTAGAAAGAGAAAAGAACAAAGATAAAAAAACAAAAAATTTAAATTTAAATTGAAAAATGCAAGGATACAACACGTAGTTACATAATTAGTTTCTTCCATGTTAGCCAATTACCCATTTACCTTTAGCAAAAATTAAGGAGAGAGCGGGAATTTAAAATTGAGAAATCTCTACTATGAAAATAGAAGTATCAAGCTCGATAAAAATACATACGGTAGACTTAGTGAGCTTGCTAATTATGATTAAAAAGTCCTATGATTTTCAGAGATTAACTTTGTCTATTTTTTGTATAAAAAAGGATGCAATAAATTTGTTTAGTGTAACTTGTTGTTATTGTTATCTTTGTTTGAAGAGACCCGGGTTCAAATCTTGATATTGCTATTTTTATATAAAATAAATAATAAATGTGTAAAGACAAAAATGACCTTCCTACTTTCACTCTCGTTGCAGGAAATTTGAAATGGAGAAAAGTACACAAAACTCTCACAAAACTCTACCATATATTAATGGAGGATACACGATTTCTGACGTTAACAACTCGAGTTATACGGTCGATTTCTGATTTGGCTGGACAATTGAAACCTAACCCCCACCCCCTACTACAATCTGGACTCCGAGTATCAAGTAATGTCACTTTTGATGGGCTATGAATGTTACTTTTTCGGCCGAGACTTATGAGTTGAGTTGGGCCGTGGTTCAAGGTCTCCAGTTTACATATACAGGCTGAAAGTCCAGCACAATACCCGTGTATTTATTGCCGGCCCATAAGCAAGCGATCCCCAGCTGAACGGTTGTGGGCTTGTGGCCTTGTGGTGCGTACCCAAAAAAAAAAGGAAAACGCAAACAAGTGTTCAAATCCCACGCGCATGTACAGCACGTGTCGCGTATGCTTCCAAAAATGAAAACCACCGTAACAGAAACTCAATCCCTCCAATTCAATTCGCATAAATGAACTTCCAATTCAATCCCTTTACCCTCTCCCTCTTCATTCTTCAATCTTCACTTCCATAGGAGCTGAAGAGCAATCGCGATTTGCATTTATAAGCAATCGATCGGAGTCCGCCGGCGAGAATCGCTTGAGAAAAGAGGGGAATCAGAGCAGGTTCTCTCTGCTTCTTTAGGTGGGAAAGAAAAAATGGCGAACCTTCCCAATTCGCTCTCCATGAATGCTCCCTTCGGAGGACCTGGCGGCCCTAACCCTGGCGCCGCAGGAGCGCCGGCCGGAAAGGAACGGAGAATGGCATCTGCCGAGCACTTGGTTCTCGAGCTGAGCAACCCCGACCTTCGAGAGAACGCTCTTCTCGAGCTCTCTAAGGTGATGATCCCATGAAGTTTTCTTCTTTCTTCATATTAAGTTTTGGGTAATAGTTTCGAGGGTTTTATTTTTCCTCCCCGTATTTCTTTGTTGAGTTCGTTAGGTTTGAGTATGGATATCAACTGCCACATTTTTTTTCCATGACTACTAGCTTTTGTGAAGTTCTGAGCTTTCAATTGCCTTGGTTATGTATCTTGTTCACCTTAGTGTCCTTCCGTCTCACTCCTTGAATGGAAAAGGAAAAGGGAAATAAGGGAGAGGAAGAACCCCGTTAAGCATTTACTGTCTGTCAGCCATAGTTGTTGGTAACAGTTAAGTGTGACCGGCTCTTCAATGGGAATCTTTTTTCTTCCATATCGCGAGTAGTAGAAATATTTCATTTTGATCATTGTTGCCTGTCTAAGAGTCACGTGTGCATGTTATCATAGGGATTCATTTCACTTCCTAACTTGCATTTCGTCCAGAAGTTCTTCGGGTCAAAGTGTCTTTCGGAATTTCAATGTCTTTCCAGCTGGCTTCATATCATTTCCTTAAGTGCCTGCTACTTTCAATGAGCTCTAGGCTGCTCTGAATATTATGTATGGATTAACGGGTTATGCCTCTCTAGTTTGTGCTAAAATATATTTGGATTTTCTGTTTTTAGAACATCATCTCGTTGATCCCTGTAGTGCAGTTCACCCTAGGGCATGTAATCCAGTTGATCTTGTCCGGATCTGTTGATATATATGAATGTATTTGGTAAAATGTTGCTCCTCTTATGCCTGCAAAGTTCGAATTATGTTGTTCTTTTAGTGGTTGATACTATATGGAGTTGCTGCTACAATGCGGTACCCATTTGGGTTGTGGGGGCCTCTAGCATAGCGGAACTAGTTTGTCTATGTAATTTTCTTCCATGAAAAACAAGCAAGTATGAAAGTGGAAGTTTATTTATGACATTAGTATTTAAGGTAAATGTTCTGCCAATCGTTTTTCCTAGCTGTAGGACTGCAGTCAATTTGATAGATGTACATGCATTTGTAAGTTAGAGGTGGTTCATTTTTCTTGATGAGATGCTGTGCAAATGTTCCTAACAAACTCCTGTTTTCCTGTGTTGATATTTTCAGAAAAGGGAATTATTTCAGGATTTGGCTCCATTGTTGTGGAACTCCTTTGGTACAATTGCTGCACTTTTGCAGGTAAACGATCTATATGTAGTTTCCTTGTTTTACATATTTCACACCATATCAGAACTTTCTGGATCTACTTTTGTGTTTATAGAATGCCCCACAACATTCTGCAATTGTATTGCTTAGTTTTTGTTGTCATGGTCTGACGCAAAAGCCTTTAACTGTGATCGATACTCTCCCTGCTACATTTGGCCAAATGTAGTGGATGTGGCTAGTAGATGAAATCTTGATGTCCTACATATATGAATTCTTACCTTATGTTTGAATGCCTTAATACCACTACTTTCCCTCCCATCGACATGTAGTTGAGGTTAGTACTGGGTTGAATGATCCACCTTGGTATATCACTCTAGTAGAGTCCTTGTAAACAGATAAGGATCACTGGGGTGCCAGCTGACTTTTATAATGTTTATTATTAAATTGCAATGTGCTTTAAACATGATGTTGCTTCTTTCCATTTATCAACTCCATGATGCTAATTATGCTACAAGTGCCTTGTATTGAAAATACTCCAAATCAATGACCTATGTCAAAATATTCAGGACTTGTGTATGCTTGTTTTCATTAGGTACCACACACTTCAATATTGCCAATTGTTAAGCAATTTAAACGTTTCATCTTTGGGCAATACTAATTTGTTCGTTCCTACTTGCAGGAAATAGTTTCGATATATCCTGTTCTGTCTCCACCAAACTTAAGCCCAGCTCAATCAAATAGGGTCTGCAATGCCCTTGCTCTGCTTCAGGTTAGATGCTTGGTTGTTTGACTTGAGTCTTGAATGGTGATTATGTTCACTTCTCTGACCTTGTGTACTGTTACTGCGCTTTTCTTCATTTCCAACATATACACTGTTAACATAATCGTGAGTCAATAGTCAATACAATGACTACTTTTTGCTTGCATGGGCTGAAAATATCCATATGTAATATGCCCAATCTTTGAAGATAAGTTCTGCCATGTAACAATATTGCTTTTAACAGAGAGGTCCTTGAACACATAATTGTTTTGAGAACACAGTAAATCAAAATCTTCATGTTTGCGGTTAAGTACCTTAGACATTATTCTGAGTATGTAAGTTAAAGGGTTTAGACTAGAAAACATGGGTAGTTGGAGGTAATTCCAATTTTCTGAAGAAACACCTCCCTTTTCCTTTCTTTCTTTTTACCTTGTCAAGTAGGTAAAGAGATTTCCTAATACCTATTGGGTAACTTGAGTTGTGGTTTGCTTAATTAAGAGAGTATTGCTAATGCTTCATAATCTTCTCTGTTCCCTACAGTGTGTTGCCTCTCATCCAGACACAAGGATGTTATTCCTTAATGGTAATACTCTTGCCTCTTCACTCACGGCTCACCCGTGCAATAATCCCGCACGACATATGTATTTCCTTTATCCAGTACTGTAGCAATGTAAACCCTCCAGAGATGCTAGTTCCTTAGGCAAGCTCTTCGAATTAATTTTCTTATACATGCTCCTTTTTATTCTGAAAATGTTGATTTGCAGCTCATATACCTCTCTATCTGTACCCTTTCCTCAACACAACAAACAAGTCCAGACCTTTTGAGTACTTGAGGCTTACTAGTTTAGGTGTCATTGGTGCTTTGGTGAAGGTATTTCTGATTGCTCCTGTTCCATTGTATCTACCTTTGATTGCTGATAATCCTACGGGCAATCTAAAATTCGTGCACTGCTGCAGCATCATACAAAATTTTCTTTAAATTTGCCAGGTGGATGACACTGAAGTCATTAGTTTCCTTCTGTCAACTGAAATAATCCCTTTGTGTCTGCGTACCATGGAAATGGGGAGTGAATTGTCAAAGACGGTTGGTGCCCTTATTCTATGCCTTCTTTATATCTTTACTAAAGGGTGTGGTCATCCTTTTC